ACTAGATATTTACACTAGCAGCTATATAACAGCATAGAACTAGGCTAGCCTACCCCTAAGAGAGCAATAGACGTTATACTGCACTAAGATAGTCTACGTTCCTAGAGAGCAGGGATAATTAGAGACTAATAGATAGAATAGGGAATTAAGCAGGCGTAGAATAAGCGTATAGCAGCTGCGCTAGCTATAGCTAGCTGTAAAGCTAAGAGGTAATTTATATATAAAATAAAAGTAAGGTAAATCTAACTATATAAGCTATTATAACTAAATACTAAATATTTATACTAGTAGTTATATAACAGCTTAGAACTAAACTAGCCTACTTTTAAGATAGTAATAAATAATATACTATATAGAGATAAATTATATCCCTAGAGAGAGGGGATAATTAGAGGCTAGAGAATATAGTAGGAGAATAAATAAAAGCAGTATAGCTCTAGCGTAAGGCTAGAGGCAGGCTTAGTTTTTTAGGGGTTATTAGCCTCTCTAGAATACAGCTAGTAAAGCTGGCAATATTTATATATATACAGAAGATAGGCAGATTCTAGCTAGCATAGAGCTAGAGCTGCTCTAGAGAGCAAAAACAGAAGCAGGCAGGGTTTTTCTTTCTACTAAAGAGTTTTCTAGGCTTAATATAAAAAGAAGATATACTAGTTATATAGCTTTATAGCTATCTAGAGATAACTACTATAAATATTATAATAAAAAATAATAATAAATATAAAGTTAAATAAATACTTAAGGCAAAAGAAAACAGAAAGAATTAATATTATTTTATTAAATAAAAAGAATACTTAAACTTAGAAAACACCTAGGAATTAATAGAGAACTTTATAAATTACTTAATATTACTTTAGTAGTTTTATTTCTAAGAAATATAGTTTAATTTAACACTTAAATATTATTTATTAACTTAATATTAAACTTAGTATTTAAGAAATAAACTAATATAGAATTTAACTTATTTAAAGAAGTAGAAAGAATACTACTATTTTTTTAAAGCTATTTAGCTTTTTTATGCTCTATATATTCTAACTTTTTAATATTATTAATACTATATATAACTATATATATTATTTTCTTAAACTATAATTTCTTTTATTTCTATAAATATAAAACTTTTTAATTCTTAGCTAGAGTATACTTCTTAGCTTCTTTAAGCTCTCTCTTAAGCTTATAATATTAATTTTTAATACTATAAAGCTATTAAGAAGTTACCTCTATAATATTATAATTCTCTTACTTATTTACTATATACTTTACGTAATAACTTAAGTTAGAAATAAAGGCTTTATATTAGGGAAATTCTATATAAGTATAGTAAGTATAAGCCTTTATAAAAAATAAGAATAAATTATTAATTATTACAGAAAGAAAATTATTTTAATAAAGAAAAGAAGTAGATAAAGCCTTAGACTACTACTTTAAGATATAGTTAGCTAATATAATAGTATATAATAATAAAAGAAGGAAAATATATAATACTTAGCTAGCTTATTTTAATAGCTTTAAGGATAAAACTAGCAGAGAAGAAGTATAATATTACAAATATTACTATATAAAATATAGAATAAAACTACACTAGTAAGAATAAGCATAACTTATAAGTTAGGGAAATTCTATATAAGTATAGTAAGTATAAGCCTTTATAAAGAATAAAAATAAATTATTAATTATTATAGAAAGAAAATTATTTTAATAAAGAGAAGAAGTAGATAAAGCCTTAAACTACTATTTTAAGATATAGTTAGCTAATATAATAGTATATAATAATAAAAGAAGGAAAATATATAATACTTAGCTAGCTTATTTTAATAGCTTTAAGGATAAAACTAGCAGAGAAGAAGTATAATATTACAAATATTACTATATAAAATATAGAATAAAACTACACTAGTAAGAATAAGCATAACTTATAAGTATAAAAAGAAGGCAGAGGCATATAACTAGCTATATAACTTAGAAAGTAATTAAAAAAGTTAATATTTAAATATATTAACTAAGAAGAATTAAACTAACTAAACCTTAAGCTATTTAATTAAGGCTTAAAGAAATTAATAAATAAGCTAGTTAATTTAGTTTATAATAGAGAGATAGATAAGTACTTAAAAAGAAGGTATTTTACTATAGTAAATAGTCTAGTTCTCTATTAATTAATCTAAGCAATAGTTTTATTATTAAGAGTTATACTCTTAATAGCTTTATTATTATACTACTTATATTATTACTTAGTAATGCTTAACTTAACTTACTTCCTAAGAAACAGACCTACTGTAACTTAGAACTTAAGCTACTGTTACAGTAAGGTAAATCTAAAGATATATACTATTACAGCGAAACACTAAATATATATAGTAGTAGTTAAGCGCTAAGCTAGAGCTAAGCTAGCTTACTCTTTAGATAGAGATAAATAATATACTTTACTAAGAAAGAATATATCTCTAGTAAGAAAAAGTAATAGAAAGACGTAAAAGCAGATAGAAAGTAAAGTAAGCATATAGAAATAGAAGCCTTAGCATACAGCTAGAAGTAGATAAGAGTTATAAAGGCACTATTTTTTATAAAATACAGCTAGTAAAGCTAGCAATAACTATATATATACAAAAGATAAGCAGCCTCTAACTAACATAGAGCTAGAGCAAGCCTAGGAAGGTAAAAAGAGATATAGATAGAGTTTTTCTTTCTAGCTAGAGAGTTTTCTACATCTAAAATAAGTAGCTAATATACTAGTTATATAGCTTTATAGCTATCTAGAGTAATTAATATATATATAAAAATAAAGTAAACTTTATAGTAGTAAACTAAAGAAGTAATTAAAATAACTCTATAAAAATAAAACTAAAATACTTTAATAGAAACAGTAGGAAAAAGTCTTTAAAAAAATTTACGTTAATATTGTCTAGAATCTTAGACTGCCGATCAAGAAAGTTGCGCATCACGGCGCCGGCATTGTTCACGAGCACGTCGACGACGCCAAACTCAAAGGTCAGCGAATCCTATCGCAGCACCATGGCCACTATATTTGTTGGATCGGATTTACGCGTTTCCTGCTGCTGGGTTCACAACAACGGTCGCACGGGGCGTCTCAAGGTTGGCATTCCGGGACTAAGTGCTAGGCACCACCAAGTACGCCGCTGACGAGTGTCTCTGGTCGTCTCTAGCCCTCACATCCAAAGGAATGTAGTCTATCAGCACCTAGGCGTCCTCGGCAAGTGTTTTATACGCCGCAAAGGCCAATTTTGTTCCATTGTGGCATCAAGCGCAGGGCAGATGAGGGCCCGAGAATAATACATGACAGACGTGCAAGTCGTGGCCTCGCCACAGACAACAGTCCGCTTCGCCCGCTTCAGTCCTACACGCGGGTGCGGTAAAGAAAAAGACAGAACCGGCGCCCTAGTGGCATCGGCCGCCGTGGCCGCCCACCGGCTGAGGCTTCTTCAAGGCCTCGAGCACCCGTGGCAAGCCCGACAGTACGCAGGTGAATGCAAGATGGAGCAAATTAGCCCCCGTCGGCCCCTTGCGACGGAATCTGTCCCCGAGGAGAACCAAGGTGACGGCCAGAAAGACAGGTTGCAGACGATGCATCGTCGTCGTCGTCGACAACGAGGCAGACCCTACGGCGAGGACGTCTAGCAGCGCCTGAGCACCGTTCGTTTTACAAGTCAGCAAGACGTGCAGGGGAGAGACGCTGACAACGAACGGCTCCACCTCTCACCGGAAGCCAGCAGCAGGAGCTGTGAAGAAGGGCGGATATGAACGGCGCGAGGTGGTGATTGCGCACCCGCGCCCACCTATGTGACGAGTCGTGTACGTCCCTCGCCTCTGGCCGCGGGCTGTCTTGCGAGCTGTTGTCGCAGCACGACGGCATCTTGGCGACGGAGCGGAGATGGCGATGCACCGCGTGGGTGGACAGATTTGGTTGGTAGTGAAGGGAGTCAAGTTGGCCGTGACATGTTGAGAGGTCGAGCCGCCACGTGTTTGCACAGAGCCTTTAGCGTGCTTTATGGAGACCTTGTCCGGTGTGGTATGGCTCTGTTCTGTTCCATTCTGTTCAAGGACGTGGGAGACGGGTCGAGTCTGGCCGTGTTTGTCATTCCAGTCCAGCCAGAGTCGCTAGTTGCATCGCGACGGCAGCAGAGCAATGCTGGTCCACGGACTTTCCGGCCAGCAATGGTTTCAGCGTTTCAGCGTTGATGCTTGAAGAGCTTCGTCGTCACCATCGAATCAGTCAGGACCCGGGCCATCGTCAGCGCCACCACGTAGGCTGCCACGTTGTCGGTTCCGGATTCTCCACGGGAGCATAGTTCCAGGCTTGCTGTAGTGTTGGCAAAGCCACCTCTGTGGCTCTCGTCTCGTCGACAACCACCATGATGCCGACTCGATCTACAGAACCATTGAAACATTGGGCTTTATTTGTCCCTCTCTTCACAGACCGGGAGGCCCCTACAGTATGCTCGGTCTTTGCATCGTCCCATGTCATGGCTCGCGGACAGGAGGCAGTCGGGCTAGCTGGTGAAATCAAAGGGCGAGATAGAATCACCAGCGGGTTCGTGGTCGAGTCTTTTGAGTGCTCCGAGCTGGCATGGACTGCCATTACCACCGCAACGGCCTTGCCATGGCTGCCTGCGTGAGGTGAAAAGATTTTGAAACCGTTTCAAGTATACAACTAACGTAATTGACCGGGATCATGGCTCGAGTTTCACAAAAAAGGAGCACATTCTTTGTCAAGGCACAACCATGGAACCTGTTCTTGGCTTTGTTCTGGGCAAGTGAGGCCCGCTCAAACTCAATCATGAAAAACACCGCCATGTTCAAAATACCGCCAATCGCAAAATGCATGAAAAACCCAGACGAGAGAATTAGAAGCAGCAGCGCTTGTGGGTTAGGGTTAGGGTTATAGTTGGGGTGAAGCCAATCTATGACATCGAGCCGAGAAACAAACATCTCCCTCAAGAAGCATCCCATGCGCCCTGTGGCCGAGGAAGACAGAAAAAAAAGACCTACCAGTCTAGTATCCTTCCACCGACTTGCAAAAACCGGCCCACGTCACCGTCCTTCGTCCCCTGGACGATGTCGACAATGCCGGCAGCGCTTGCCGCGAAACTCACCGCGCCGGTAGATTCTGAGCGTCCCCTGGACTCCCCTGCTCCCGTCAAGTTGGTGATGCCATTTCCCGGACAGTAGGCCCATACCTTGGCCCCCCATACCTTGTAGTTGGCGTACATGCAGGCGGTGGCCATGTTGAGCGCCGCCTTGGACATTCTGTACGCCTCAGAAGCAATGCGGTAGGTGGAATCGTTCGGATCAAGACGAGCGTTGATTGAACCGAGCCCCGAGGAGACGTTGATGATTCTGGGGTCGCTGGACTTTTGGAGCAGCGGCTCCAGAGCTTCCGTGAAGACGAGGTGGCCGACGGAGTTTGTGTTGATGGTGTCCAGAATCTCGGACCGTCGATCCGGAAAGTTGCGCATGACGGCGCCGGCATTGTTCACGAGCACGTCGACGACGCCAAACTCGAAGGTGAGCTTTTCCACGGCCAGGCCGATGCTCTGGTCGTCTGTGATGTCCACCTCGAGGAGACTGAGGGAGCCGGCGTGAGGCTGGGCCTGCAACCGCTGCAGGGCCCTCGCGCCTCGCTCGTAGTTGCGACAGCCCATGATGACGTGGTTCTCTGGCGATTCCACAAGGGCAGCGGACAAGTCGTAGCCAATGCCAGAGTTTGCGCCTGGCGATGGTTGTCAGGACTCGCGACCTCGGAAGCCAGCATTCATCGTCATCACCGCCGCCACCACCACCACACCACGGACTCGGCGGCTCTGCTCGACGAGCCGGGCTCTTCACGTGACGATACACCGCATCGCGTTGGGAGTCGGGACGACGTACCGGTAATGAGGACAACCCTCTGTGACACGGAGCCGTTGGCCGTGCCGCTCGCTTCTGGCGCCATGACTCGCGGCAAAAGATGCAATGCCCGGGACGAGGGCACAGTTTTCTTTGAAAGGGAAGCAAAATTTGACCTTGGACCGACTCACTCACTCTGGGAAATAAAAACTCCGCCCAGGGCACGAGGCAGAGGTGGTAGCTCCGTCGCTTCCAGACGGCACGGTGGCGTCCACGCAAGCTCACCGCGGGCTGTGGTCACGTATCATGTACTCCGTACGAGCAGCTCTCATCTGTGTCTCGAGTCTGGTTCCCGAAAATTTAAAGTTCAAGCCAAACGGCGCGGCTAACGTTAGCAGCTCCGAGCCTCCCTCGTCCTCCTCACGGCCGACCCGAGTTGCCTCGCGCGGGTCCATTTCACCATCCCCCGGGCAGGCGTGGGAAATTCCGGCGCAGGGGGCCTGTTGCAGGCATTCTTCATTTCACCTTTTCTCGTACAGAGTACAGAGTCGGGAACCGGGACGCTCGTCGGCACACCCACGCCAAACCTGTCCCCGTAACTCCGCATGCACTCGCGGTGTGCCCCCCGCCAAACGGTGAACACCTCGTCAAGCATATCAATGTCCCACCGGGATTGCTCTCCTCACGAGGCTGCCAGCCGCGGCGCCCTCGGTGCCCGCCGTGATGGCAGATCATCCCCTTGTGCGGTGGGAATCTGTTCGTTTCCACGCCACAAATGTTCTTTCCTGGGACAGCCCGTCTTCCGTTGCAAGAGAAGAGTGGAGGACTCAACCAGGCGTGGAACTTGTCGTACAGCGGGTAGCATTGCTGTAGTATTCCGTAGACGTTTTGCTGGTGTCGTGGGCCGTGACGGCGTGGTGGTGGTACGAAGATGCGCCGCGTGGCTGGGGAGGCCGTTATTCCTAACAGACATGCCATGGTGGCCCCATGGTGCATGGTGTCCAGTGCGTTACGGCCGATTGGAGACGGTCCTCTACACCTTTGCAGAGTCCAGACCCCAGAAGGCGCCGAGTGCGACACGGCGCATGGTGTTTTGGCTGCACGCAAGACCGAACAACAGGCGTACCTGGTACCTGAAGCAAACCGAGTCTCGCCAGGACTTGCTCGCACACTGAGTCAAGTTCGTGTGTACTGCGGGGAGCGACGCTCTTTCAAGCCACGTCCGAGGCCGTGGCCGATGAACGACCTCTTTGTAAGTTACCCGCCTCTTGATTCAGTCGCGGTTGCTATGCTCGGCGCGTCGGATGGACACGTCTCGGAGTCTGTCTTCTTCTTTCGGACAGTCGCAGAACAAAATCGAGTCATGGAGACAGACAAGTGCACTCAACACGCATGCTGGCGCGTCAAGCGGTGACATACCGTCATGCCTGGGCATACATGGGCAGTGATGACGTAGCGGCGGATGCGGACACTAGGGTTATCAATGCGCAATACACCGGCCCGTGTAACCCTAGACTGTGTGGTAGTGTAACGCCAGCCTCACCGTTCATCAACTGTCATCTCTCTGCGCCCTGCTGTGTTTACTCTCAAACCACGTGAATAGGTCCCGGATCCAGAAAACAGCCCTCATGCGCAGAGGAATCCGCTCATAGACCAAAAAGTCCAGATATTCATAGCTTCTGGACAACTTGTCGCCCGCGTCCAGGCAGTTCGTCCACAACCACTACACGCACTGAATAGCCACCAGCGCGCTCTACTAACAAGTCTCGAATGCGACCCGTCCATCATGTATCCTCGTTTTCGGACGGTGCCAGCGTGAACTCAATGATACTCGACAACCTCACTATTCGCGCTCAAGAGCCATGTTCGTTCCCGGCAGCTGTCGAGCACGTCTATATAATGTCGGCCTACGCGATTGCGATATTCCAGGACTTGCTCTAGCCTCCAAACCAAAACAACCTACGCGGCCGATTCTCGTCACCGTCCAGATTCTGCATCTCAAGAACAAGTCATCTCTCTACTTCTCTCTCAACGCATTCTCTCACCGCGAGCAACATGTGTTTCCGGTCCCCGTTGGCCAAGCGCGCTCGGCCTGCCGGCAAGAGTCAGCCCGACGACATGCCTGGCGACAAGCCTGACAATAAGCCTGACGACAAACCTGAAGACAAGCCTGACGACCAGCCTGATGGCCAACCTGACAACAAGCCCGACAACAAGCCCGATGAGTCGCTGCCTGAAGACAAATCCCATCCCGGGCGCCCAGATGCCTCGAAAGCCGCCCAGCGAAGGAAACCCCTAGTCCCTCCGGGCCTCTTCAGAGACAAAGATGATGAAGGCAGCACCGTCAATGCAGGCTATACTTTCCGGGGCCGTTGGAAGCCACCCATGGGAGGGAGCGGACGGAAGTCGTGGCCAACCAACCAACCATTCATATGATATTGGGCGCGCGCGACTGACTCGAACCCAACGGTAAAGAGTTGCGACTCTGGTGAGGCGGGAACTTGGGCTACCGAACCTGTCAGGAAAATTCCTTGCTAGCAACATCTTTCTTCTACGATGCGCACTTATCCGTGCATGCGGCTATACTTGTTAGGCTGCCTATTTTTCATTCTTTGCTTTAGCGACAGTTGCGGAGACTGGATATCAAGAACTGGAAGGCGGCGTAAAATTCAATGTTATCCTAATAGAGTTTTTCATGTATATTGATACATGGTCTAGTAAAGATGTGTAGTAATTACATATGGAGGACTATTCATTAGGGCCTAGAGCAAATAAATCATATCAACATATAATGTCGTATGGTCTCAAGGTCCTTGGTTCCCCAATCTGACCGACCCGACCAACAAGAGCGATATATACAAAAAGACGCCTGTGTGTGTAACCTGAGTAGATGGGCTTGGTGCCTTGGTGCCTGAGTCTATTAGTAGCTCATGAGGGTATCGTGATGGCTGTATTCTTGGTGCATTACAGCTAGTTTTGTGGTTGATCCTCTTGACCTCAAGTGGCGTGTAACATGTACGCGTGATATTAACTACAAACTTGAGAAGGAGAGAGAGGAGAAAAGTTTCCTTTGCTTTCCCTTAATATACAGTTATATACACTCCCTCGGTAACGTGCATCCGAAGAGTGTCTAAGGATGCGCTGCTGTAGAGTCTTGCATAGACTCGGACTTGCTAGTCCGAGTCCATAATAGTACCTTTAAGGTTTTCTAGGGCTTAGACTTGTGTGCAGCTTATAAGAGCATTACAGCAGCTAGAACCTTTATTCATCACCGCTAGTTATATAATCAAGGCTTTGTTAACTGCAAGTTTTATATAACACTAGCTCTCCCTCTAGATAAGCTTACTCTTAAGCGCTTAGTTTGAAGCTATTACCTAGTGTCCATGGAACGGGGATTTAACAAGAGCGAAAAGATCCGCTTTGCAAGCCTATCAAAACCCCATTCGGACCCGGAGCAAGGTTCCAAGGCAACGGGCGTAGGCTGGTAAGTTGCTATCAAGCTTACTTGTGCTGCACTGCACTGGGGGACAAAATCGGAAAAGACGCTGACCTATACGCAAGGGGCACACAAGACTTATACGCTACAGGGTCTCGACCCTGCGCTAAGTAGTAAACTACGCAAGGTCGATCTCTCTGTTCGTCCAAGCCAAGAATGTGCGATCGAACCTTTTTTAGACCGTCGTTATGCAGAAGAAGCCGTATGCGCTGGGCTAACGTGCGTCATGATTGATAGGTGAAGAGGTGAGGTTGGCGTAACTTTGGGCTGCGAGCCTCTTTTCCCCCATGTGACATTAAAAGGCTGTGTCTAGAATCACATGTCATCCTGACAGGGTTTTTGATGCGCACTGTTGTAGTCTACTAAAGATGTGATGTGGAAAACATTACAAGTGCGTATTATTCAATGTTTAAAATAAACACAACATATAGTGCACTTGAGAGCTTCAGCAAGTTTTTGGTAGCGGTCCGGCTACGCTGTTCCCGTGACACGTTATTCAAATCAATCCTCTGCATAGTGTATGGATATACACGTGCTGCACGAAATCACCCGTTTTTCGACGGCATCTCGTGTCTGAATTTGTGGCTTTCAACATCTACAATCTTCAAGTTGACGACTCTCCCAAAGCAGACGTCCCTGGCAGCCGTCTTTTCCTCCCTCGCGAGTTGCTTTGTCTTGTAGCCACGGCATACAGATTGACTCGGACACAACCCGGAGTCGGAATAGTGAAATGCGCCCAGAGACGCGGGGGGCCTTATTTCCCCCCCTTTACATCTTGCAGCGCTTTCGTCACATCCTTTACATCCTGATGCTCGACACCCAGGACCTCTATCTGCCGCGGAAGCAGCCCCGACAACACATGCTCTGCTTGCTCAACGTCCCCTTCCGCATGGAGCGCAAGGCCATATTGCATCTCGGCCCACAGCGTCAAGCGGCTGTTGTCGCCAAACATGGTCTTCCTCTCGTCCAACACCATGCGGAACGTGGCCCTGGCTTCGCCGTACTTGCCCTGCAGCATGTAGATGCCGGCGAGGATGTTCAAGTGAGCAACAGAGTCCTTGGGCAGGTCGCTCGTCGCCCGTCGCCCGTCCCGCTCGCACCGCTGCAGCTGTTTCTCCAGGAAGCCGTACAGGTCGCGGGCCTCGTCGTGACGACCAAGTTTCGCGAGGACCTCTGCGAGCGCCAGACGCGACCGCAGCGTATGGGGACATCCGGAGCCGAACTGCTCGAGAGAGGCGTCGAGGGCGCCGCGCAGGAACGCGCTCGCCTCGTCGAGCTTGCCTTGACGCGACAGGACCCAGCCCAGGCTGTCGTACGCGAAGGGGAGCGCGTTCCCGTCACGGCCGGGCGTGCTCTCCACATCCCGGACGAGGCTCCTGAGCACGTCTTCCGCTTCCGCGTAGCGTCCGTTGCGCTTGAGGTCGTCCGCCAGCGCCTGTCGAGCCGCCGCCACCAAGTCCCCGCAGCCATCTTCGTCCGAGGACGGCGAGAAACGCTCGATTGCCTCTCTCAGCTGGGGCTCGACGCGGCCTCCGCGCTCCGGTAGCCAGCTGTGCAGCTCGGCCAGCTCAACCCGGCGCCGGAGACACTCGGCACGAGGTGTGCCGCCGGTGCTGGTTTCCGCCACGAGCCCCTCGTAGACCGACTCCAGCCAGCTTTCGAGATTCCGACGGACTTGATGCCGTCTCTCTTGTCCGTAGTAGTTCACAATCTGCGACTTGAGCATGGAAATGTAGAAGAAGCGGGCGTTGATTGGCGGCCGCGGCGGGACGGGCAGGACAGAACGGGCGAGCAGTTCGGGGAGGAGCTTGACGATCCACTGCTTTGCGTTTTCGGATTGAAAAAAGCGCTCGATCTGCTCTCTCAGGCCCTCGTCCTCCTTGCTCAAGCTCAGATGGTGGACCCAGTAGAGGGATGCGTATTCTGCCAGCGGATAAAGCTCGCCGAGGTCTTTGGAGCCCAGGGAGTCGCCAATGCGCCGGAATGACGGGTGCATCAGGTAGTTCAGGAGAGTCCTCGTCATCTCGAGATGCTGCTCGCCGGCCCAGTCGACCGTCTCCTCCACAGGCGCCGCCGCCCGGGTGTGCAGCAGAAAGTGCCGCAGGGAGTGGTGGACGAGCCTCAGACAACCATTCTCGAGCTTGACGAGCGACGGGCACACCTCCGCCGCCGTGGCTTCCAGGTCCGCGATGAAGGTGTTGGTTTCCGTAGCCAAGGCGTTTGCCACTTCCACGACGGTCATTGGCCTCGATGAAAAGGCCAGCCATCGCAACACGCCATCTCGTAGCATGATGCGCGTCTCGGGGAGCGTCCGTGACTGCTGCTCAAACACGTCGCGGTACAGCTTGTCAAGAGAAGTAGGGAGGCGCTCCAGCCGCGAGTCGACATCCTCGGGGCTGCTTTCGTCTGCGAGAGCCTTGATGGCGAGGGCCGCCCAGACGAATATACCTTCGGACTTGCGGGCCACGGCTGTGCTGACAGCCTCGGCCGCCGCGTCTAGGCTCGGGTATTTGGAGGCCTCGGATGAGCAAAACCGCTCCATGTCTCGAGCGACTTTGGCAGCCGTCACCTGGATGGTGGGCGAGTCCCCGAGCGCGCGTAGAATGTTGGCCTCTGGCCGGCTGAGCACAAGCAGTCTGACGTTGCCGGCCAGCATCGTCGTCAGCTCGACCAGTTTCGACGCGAGGTCAAACTTGAGGCGTGACAAGAAGTCGTCCGACAACTCGTCGAGCCCGTCCACGACGAGCGTCAGGCGCGGCGACTCCTGCACGACGAGCCTCCACCGGTCCCAGGTCTTGAAGCTGGCATCGTATGGCGGAGTCGCCGAGTCGGCGCACGAGCTGTCGGCGACGACGCTGGCAGCCTGGGACTTGAGCGAGTCGCTCGTCTTTGAAGATTGCACCAGCTGGGTTGCAAGATCGCCTGCCAGCAACGCCGGGGTAGACTGTGCGGTGCAGTGCGTTGTGAGCACTGCTGATTCGGGGCTGGCTTGTTGGACATCGGCAGCGATGAAGTCGGCCAGGAATGACTTTCCTATTCCCACTGGTCCTTGAATCCACAGCGACGGCGAGCTGCTCTCGTTCCACGACTTCCATGCCTGGTAGGCCGGCTCCTCACGAACCCACTCGCACGTCCGAGGCAGACGGTGTCGTTTCCTCGCCGAGGCCGGCTCGGCCCAAGGACTGCTAGACACACTGAGCCTTCTCTTCTTGTCGGAGCTGTCCATGGTGCTGACGATGATGAGTAGCCGTCGCGTCCAGGGTCGACAAGTCGGATGCCTTGACAAGGGACGGCCCAACGTCTTGCGGTTGAAAAGCACCAACATGTAGATGGAAATGTAGAGTGAGGCGCTCGGCCCAACGGTGTTTACGGAGAGAAAGGGGCAACAGGGTTAGACGTTCGAGACCACGGTCCGCTCATCCGCAGTTTCTTGCTGGGTGGCAAGGCGAGCCGCGCGGAAGGGTACATAAGCTCGCATGTCTCACAATCATGACAATGAAGCTGACGAGTCGACACTATCAAACGCCACAATTTTCAGCCCGCTGTTTCCACCTGCAGGTGCTTGTGCTTGAACACGCTCGCATGAGCACAGTAGAGGAACTTCTTGACATGGAAATTCAAAGTAATGTACAGAAGAAGCAGGTTTAGATGTCGTCCGCTTCCTATATCAATCAAGGTAAACTTGTCGTGCATGCCTCTCTGGTCCTGCATTCACACTTGGATTCATTCACACGTTGTTTAATTCCACGTCGTGCTAGAGGAACCGCCCAGTAGCTACCCATTGTTTGCCGTCCATCCCACAAGAAACGCTCTCAAACCAAAGAACAGGAAAATGAAAATTAAACGAGGCTCACTTGCAGCCAACTACAGGCAGAGCAGCCGCACTCGCTGGCCGTTCGTTGCCGTCGCCCTTGTGGTGTCGACGGAATCTTGCAAACGCAAAAAGGTTTGATACCGACGACTTTCTTTGCGTCCTTGCCGCCGGGACGAGCCTTTGCGTGTCCGCGCGAGGCGTCTCCTCCTCGGGCTTCACTCTAAGCGACTCGACCTCTGGTCCGGGAACAGTCTGCGAGTCGTCGCTCAGGTCGGTCAGCAACTTCATCGCCTCTTCCCACGGGAGGACTCGTGCGAGCGGGCCCTTGGCTTCAGCCTGCTTATAGTAAGCCTGCTTCTCCAAGGTTCGTCCAAAGACGCCGACTTGATACTCGGCGTCTTCCTCGTCCACCAGGCTGTTTACGGTGCGGCACCAGTCGATGAAGTACCCTGCTTTGTAGTGCACATATCGCTGGGCAGCATTCTTTTATCGTCAGCCGGTCAGTCATGCCGGCCGAGGAGACAAAAAAATAAACGTCTGGGGAGGAGTCTTACCGTTCCGATGTTGATCTCCTCCACGCCGTGATCCAGAATTGTCCTCTGGATCTGGCCAATCTCCTTGACAAACTGGGGGTCCTGGTCCTTGGGAAGAACCGAAATGAAGCCCTTGATCTCGCTGGCGGGTATCTTTGCAGGTGTTTAGCACTTGGTTTGGTTGTCCCGTCCCGTCCCCGGGGGGAACTCACCGCGACCTCGGGCCTGTGCCTGTATGCAATGGGCAGCCCCTCCAAGTAGTTATCTATTACGCGGCGGACAAAGTTCTCGTAGTACCCGGGAACCAACTTGGCTCCGGGCTCGTCGCCTGCCGGAAACGAGTTAGCCCCCTCGGCGCTCGTCAGACCGCGCCGCGCAGGTCCTCTGGGACGTACTCTCATCAACTTCCCATCTGGTGTTGGGGATGCGATGGGTGAGCCAGGCCTTGATGGCGACGGCCGTGTTGTCGAGGGCATCGGAATACGCAGACGCGTCTTGGCCCTTTTTGGAGTCTCCAAAATCGGAGATGCCCTTGACCACACCCAGACAGATGGGGCCCTTGGGCTCGAAGTATTTACAGAGCTGGAGGAAGGCGCTCGCTTCCATGTCAAGCGCGATGGCGTTTCGGCCGACCTGGGCCGGGCGTCAGAAGTTGTTCTCGCGGACCTTTGTCAAAGGCGGCGAAGCACCATCCGCGGACGACTCACCGACGATCGAATCTTCTCAAATACCTGGGCGGCGTCGCCGCGGACAGCAGAGCCTGAGATGTACTCGCCGTAGCAAATGCCCTGATGTTGGTGCGACTTGGTGAAGCCCTGCATGTCGCCGGCCTCGACGGCGACGGGCTTGTAGTCCGGCAGGAAGACGGGCTTGCCGCCGGGCTCTTGCGCCTCCCACTTGCCCTCCTCGTAGTTGATGGCGGCTTCGCCAAAGACGACCTGGCGCAGGGCCAGCTTCAGCTTCCCCGTGGCGTCATGGAAGCCGGCGCAGACTACCGCGTGCAGCACGAACCGAGGGGAGAGGGTGTTGAGGAGCAGGGCGGCGCTGACGGCGAAGGACTGGATTCCCTGGCGCAGCGAGCTGGTGATGTAGTACTTGAGGACGTCGCCCGAGGGCAGCTCGAACTCGCCCAGGTGGAACGTGTGGCCGTCTCTGACCATGGACACGTCGTGGCCGCTGAGCCGGTGCTTCTCGTCGTCGATGCCGAGCGCGTGCGCGAGCTGCTGTGCCTCGGCGGGCCGGCCGCAGATGATGCATACCGGCCGGCTCCGGAGTCGACGCAGATTCGAACGGCTCTCGTGGTCTGTCGGCGCCATGGTCTCTGGTCTCTGGTCTCTGGTCTCCGGCGCGAGTTGCCCTGGGCGGTGCTCGGCGCCTCACGTCGAGACGAGGCGCGCGCGTTTAATAGCAGCTTGGCCGCCCTCGACCCTCGACCCTCGACTTCCCGCGGCGGCGCATCCATCCTGACTGCCGGGGCTGAAATCAATATCCTCAATGGCCTGAGCAGGACATCCAACGCCCGGCCCCCAAGGGCCCCCCCTGCTGGATGCGCCACGGCCCTCGGCGGAGGGCCTCGAACCCGTCCTGACGCGCGCAGCTGAAGAGGCTATAAATACATTGCAGCTGGCGGCTCAGTCAGATGGCTCAGCCGCGCCTGATGACTCCCCTGGCCACGCAGCTCCGAGCCATGGAGGATTCAGCATGCGACATGGAGGTCTGAGGGAAATAGGGCTCCAGCATGGGCATCGGGGGGCTATGCAAGTACGTACGATGCCATGACGACGATTGCCGAAAAACGGAGGATGCGGTGTCTGTATTATACGTGGGTGCCGAGGAAGCCGGAAGTCGGCATGTACCTAGACGGTTTCGTGAGCCTTTTTGCAGTGGCAAACTCGGGAGCAAGTGGCTCACCTCATGCTTCGAGTAGTCCCCCTTCGTCCAAGATGGTAGGGGATTCCGGCCCATGGCTTGTATTCGCCGAGGCTCTGTGTTGACAGACGTTTCGAGACTCGTCGTGGTCGGGACTGACTCGGGATGGCCGTGTTTGTGGCCAGTCCCCGGCTCAACTGTTGCTTCACGACACCTCTGAACAGATTATAGCGTTTACGGAAGCGGTAGGCAGCAACATGGGCGTTGTCTCGCAGCGGTTGCCGTGAAAGGACCAGCCGGGCTGCCTTGGGAGCTGATCGCCACTCCTGGCATCGCGACACATGACGGTGTAAGAATTTCTAGTGCTAATCAGCTGTGCTTGCAGAAGGCCAGGCCTGCCTAGGCCATAGGCATGTGCTTCCAAATCCTCGCTTTGCTGGTACAAGTAGGCCGAGTACCTAATTACAGCGGCTCGGCGGTGGCAGTGTGTCTTGCTACGTAACAGCTAGCTACGCACCGCTCATGGGTAATGGCGAGGCGAAATTTCATGTGGAGGCGTTTGCCAGAGAAGACGTCGACTCATTCCCCAATGAGTTGAGCACAGGCCAAGCAGATTGGCTAATTAGAAGAGGACTTGTGCTCGATACCTTCTGACCGAATAGAAGGCCCTTTCGCGCTGAATAACAAGGGAAGCGATTCACCAGACTCGTGCTTTGCGCTACTTGCATGAGGAGAAGTTGGACAATTTTGTGAAAGGCGTCTGATGAGTTGATACAACTGACTACTCTCTATGCTGTTCACTATCAAGATGAAGCAGAACGAAAGAATGAATGTAAAAGATATAATCTCCTATTGAAGGTGCTCTTTCTGAAATAGCTACTCGCTCATCATAGTAATAAGATGGTCTACTGCATAAGAGCAAAGCATAACGACATTTCATAGCTTCAAGCCAATATAACCAGCTGCCATTAAAGCGGCTTGCCTGTTCTGAATTTATGAAGTGTAACAGTCGCATGATTATCCCCTTACGTAACGTCCCTACTCCTCGAAATGTATCTTCTGGTCGATCGGCCGGTCAGGCTCAGACTTCAACTTTAAGCAGCAGGAAGGCAGATTATATAAGAGAGAGATTCCTCTAAGGTCGATTCTATATTTGTCTGGCAGGCAATTCCTATTTCGTACTTTCCCTCCCTAGTCCTCGCAAGATTTAGTCACATCGCCCTGCACTATCTTAGGCGGCTCAGGCTCATTCTTCGCGCAGCAGCTAGGCAGGTCCTCTACCCTTAATAGAGGGACGAAGAAAGGGTCGACTTTATGTTCGTCTTTCAGGCATCCCCCACGTCGTTCTACATGTCCCGGCTCGCAAATCCCGTTGTCGTCAGGGACAGTCGGTTTTTCATTCTCGACAGGGTTCGCCGGGTCTGTCTTAGGCGGCTCAGGCTCATTCTTCGCGCAGCAGCGAGACTTCACTAGCTCCTCTTTGTATAATAGAGGGATGCCGAGAGGTTCGACTTCATGTTCGCCTGGCAGGCAGTTCCCATTTCGTGATATACCTAATATACCTCCCTGGCCGAGGCAATTCGTGCCCTTGGCTCGAAATCGGCAGCAGCGCACGCCACGCAGGTCATGGGCGATATCCTCTTCGCCTTCGCCGCATTGAGAAGACATACGTGTTTTTTTACCCCCCTGCTCAAGGCAACTTTTCTGCGGGTCGCCTGGTATCTGGTCATGCCGGGGTAGGGCAGAGGCTAGAGCAGCCGTGCAGGCGAATAAGACGGCGTACTTCATGGTGGAGGGGGGGTTCAGCTCTGAGATGTAGATGCTAGCGCGGATAGGTAGAGCGGCAGTAACAAGTAGGACTAGAAGTGATGCTTGAAAGCGAGACTTGATAGATGACAACGGTAGTCGTGCGTGGAGTGCCGGCGAACAAGAAGACGACTGAACCAGTGTGAACCTCGGGTATTTATAGAGGAATTGGAGGCGCCATGTCCTGACTCGTAACCGTATATTAAGGACCAGTCTTACAGGCGACTACGTACGCGCAAGCATTGCCAGTTTTAATTGCAATGTTGGAAATAAACGAGGGAGGCTCCTCTCTGATTCATGCAGCTACATACATCCTAGCTCCAACGTGCATCTGAAGAGTATCTATTATCTAACAAGGCACTACTATGGTGCCTTGTGCATACTTGTACGCTCATTTCAGGCGACCGCGTGTAGTTATTCTCCTCTTGCTCTTTTCTCCTCGAGTGTACAGCTAATACTGGTAACGCTTACACGCGGTTGCCTGCACGGCTAGTTCTTTACAATTTCCACCAAAGAGGCTGTCGATGCCAAAGGATATGGTCTCAAACTGTCGCACGGCACGGCGTACTCCGTACTCCGTACCCACTCAGGTATTTGGCCACGTAAGCGCACGGAATTAGGATAATGCGCACACGAATCGTGGACCCGAGCGCCCCTGCCCCTGTTGTAGCTCACTTAAGCTTTTGCGACACAAACTAGTTCTCCTAATTTTGCTTAGCTCCCTCGTTGGCTTCCTATTGCGGCATACTCTGACGGCTCTAACTTTTCTCGTCATCATCGTCGCTTAGATGTAGGTGACAGGGAGAGGCCTTGAATTGATTGAGCTACAAAAGAGAGAATCATGTGCGCCCCCTGAAAACGGGCGCTCCGCTCCTCGACTCGTGTGCGCATCATCACATCCAGTGCGCATCACGTGGCCGGACAGATGCCCAATCTAGCCAGCGGGCTTGTTGTGCCGGGCGACAAGATTGATACTTTGCGGGCCCCAGGCCAGCTGCATCGCGCAACTACAAGACGAGGGAAAAGTCGCCGCTCGGCACATGTTGGTCAGGATTGCAAGTCCCCCATCACCCACGGCTTTGGCTCAAGTACAGCACAGCAGTGACAGGGATCCGCAGCAACAGAACTGGTATACTTCAACGCTGGACGCTGGGTTAGAGTTGAGACGATGCGCACCCAAGACGGCTGAATCATAGACGTGTTCTTTCATGTCCGTTCGGTTTCAGTGCTACCAAATCCTGAGTGGAACGGCATTGGAAGTGGAGTAGTCTAGGGCGCCTACAACGTCAGTAGTACAACAACTGTAAGAGTGCTTAGTACCCCCTGCTATTTTGGTAACCTCAGCACGCTGACGGAGTATTAGAAGCCGTCGAGAATCAGGGTCCAAAACTTTGTCCCAAAGTCTAATAACTAGCTAAAGGTGAATGGACGAGACAGGGTGAAACCGAGGGCGTAACAAGCTGATGCGGCGAGTGGAGTGCCCATGCATTAATTAATAACTCTGCAAGAGACAATGCAAAGCACGGAGGAAGAAGCAGAGCAACAAGGTAAATGAGCAGTGCTGTTTTACAACGGACACAACTTAAAAGTAGTGCCACTCGAATGTTCTAGACTTTTTCGTGTGGACAATATATCTCTTAGTACTAGGGCTCAGCTGGGCAGGCAAGCTCGAGGCTTATGAGAGCCTCATGGACAAGGAATAAATAGGAAGTACTCCCAGCCAGAACACGCACGTGCAGATTATGCCGGAACTCGGACCCGATAATAACTCGTCGTTCGCAGAGCTATGTTGAACGGGGGGGGGGGGGGCAAGGCCGCCGCCTAACGCGGCTGCAGTCATCGACATCGCAACACTGGTTATACTTATTTTTTGTAGTTTAGTATATTGATATAGGAAATTAGCCTGCCTCAGTAGGTAGCCCGCCTTAGTGTCGAGCACCATCTATTAGATAGTGAGCCCGCGGGGGCCTTTTAACAGTCGGACGATGCACCGGTATACATTCGAACTTCAAAATCCCACGGCATACTTAAGTAGAGAGCAGTTAGAACGTGGTAGTAGTCGGGGACCGTGTAGGAGCTACGAATCTACATTGACGTGAATTATAGCATCTATTTCTTACAGTACGTCTAATACAATTGGCTTCTCGCCCTTTATTAATTCCCTCGCCCCGATGCCTCCGCTAATATTCCCGGCTTCAGACAAGTAGTCCGCCCAATACCACTGACGAACCGGCCAATTCCAGTGTTTTCTGCATCCTCAACAGTCCGGTCCGTCGGTGGCCCTGTCCCACGTCTCCTTGCACAAGTTGAGAAACACCTTACCGAGCGCGGCACGGTGAAGCGGGATGAGACTGAAAAAGAGCGCCGCGGCCAGGCCATAAAGAGTCTTGGGAGGTGGGCTGCCGGGATACGTCTCCTCGACAAACCGGAAGAATTGTTCTCTCAAGCCCCCAAGCAGCGCACGATCCGATTCCGTCAGAACCGGATAATCCTCGTGCGCGGATTCATGCGCGTCTTTGAAATTTCCTTGGCAGCCAAGAACTACGTGATCGTAACCGCAGAGCGACTGGAGGACTTTGGCAAGGTCGTAGTTCACATCTCCGGTGGTGGTCAAGACGTTTCCGAGCCGGCACCGGACGTCCAGGAACCTGACCGCCTTGCCGTCAGCCGAGAGGATGGCGTTGCTGAAGACGGGGTCGCCGTGTATGACGCCGGCGGGCACGGCCGTCTTTTCCGCCTCGTACTTGTCGAGGAATTCTTCGATGCGGCCGAAGAGGTCTGCGGCAAGTGGACCCAGACCAGCGTAGCGGTCCGCATTTTCCTTGTATCTCCGGCGTAGCTTTTGGCCATAGTTGGCGTACATGTCCGGCTCGGCGTCGGGGCTCTCCGGGCCGTGTTTCTCGAACTCCTCCTTTAGCGCGGGGGAAATCTCGAGGGTCTCGGCCGAGGGAGCCTCGGCCATGTGGATCTTGTTCAGGGTCGTGAGAAACAAATGCAGGCGGCCCTTGGTGATGGATCGACCGGCCAGCAGGTGGGAAAATGTCAGGCCGGGGCAGTTCTCCATTTGAATTACATATGTCGACGTGTCCTTGATGTAGTCAACGCTGTAAATGCTCGGGAAATATCGTGCTATGCCCGGCGGGACGCGCGAGTAGAAGAACAATTCTCCGAGAATGTGGTCGCATTTGCTTGACTTGATGACCTGGTTGTTGATGATTTGAATGGTGTTGAAGTCCCGGGCCGCCACCATCCCAGTCCCAACCTTGCCCACTTGGTGAGCGGAAGAGTCGTCGGGCTCGTCCAGCAACCACCCCACCTCTTGGATCGTGTCAAGGTTGGAATTGACGGCGAGATCGTCGACGTATACATCTGCGTAGGGCTTGCCAAAGTGGACATCGTGAAACGGTATGTTGTACCTTGCCAGTTGCTGCAACGTCGTGGAGCCGACATCCGCTATGACGGCGCCGACGTTTCCGTGATGTGTTCTCATGCGGCGGGCGGTTTGCTTGTCGGAACGTCAGCGACGACCTCGTCCAGTGGGGACGCCGGGCAGAGATACGTACGATGATGATGTGATGTCCAGCACGATACAGTTGCTGGACCAACTTGATATTCGCCTCGATGGGCGGACAAGTCGAGTAGTCGCCCGCTATTGCAGGGGCCCCAACCAGAGTCATGTCCAAGTCGAAACAGAATCGGCTCTTCCTTTGGGGTAGCCTGGAAGGCAGACTGCCGGACTTGGCCCTGGCAAGAAAGCTCGTCAACTGCTCCGGTGTGCCCACGACGTTGAAGTCTTGTTCGTTCACAGGGACTCCCAGAAACGGGATGCCGTTCTCCAGCATGAGCCCGACCAGTCTAGAGGTGAAGTACTCTGCAAAGTCGGGATTGAGATGCTCTGGCCTGTCTAGGTACTCTGCTGCCCAAGCCTGGAGCTGACGCGCCGAGGGAAACACATAGGCACCAGTATTCGCCTTGTCTGAGATTGCCGTCTTCTCCTGGATGTCGACGATTCTCTCCAGGCCATCCCTGGACTGGTCAGATAGTGGCACACTGTTGAACGTGGAGGCGGGGACGGCATACTCGTTTTTTGTTTTGATGTAGGAATAGATTGGGCGATCCCCATTGTCAGGAAAGTAGATGCAAGAGCCGCAATGAGCCGGCAGGTCCCTGACAAGTTGGAGAACATCAGTCCAGTAGATGGTGTCGCAGTCTAGCGAAACCGTTCTGCGATGCAAATGCTCGACTTGCATGCCCTGCGTCGTCACGTAAAGCTAGTGTCTGCTGTTAGGTTGCGCCGCATGTGCAGGTTTTCTTTTGTTTTTCTTTTGTTTTTGTTTTTTCAAAACGACTCACAGTCTCGGCCGCACCTTTGGTCTGATGCAGCAATCTGACAAGGCGAACGTCCAACTTGGTATACGACTTGGCCAGCAGCTGTCCAACTTGGAAGTTGTCGTCAACCTCCTTGTTGATGGCCACCCACAACGTATCGCAGGGCCGTAGGCTTAGATGATCGATGATCCACAGAAGCATCGGCCTACCGACTATATTGATCAGTGGTTTCGGGTAGCGATAACCTTTTTCGGAGAAACGCGTGCCATTGCCGCCGATGGGGATGATGACATTGAGCGGCGCTTGGTCATGTCTCGAGGAAGGCATCGTGAATTCGTGCCAGCGCAACTGACGTCTCGTCGCTTGGCTATGGTTCTACGTGGCATCCAGGGAACCAGCTTGTCTTGTACACTTGTAAGTCGACGGAGACGCATGGAAACCGGCCCTTGCTTCTGGGGGGCTGCTTGGAGTTGCCGGAGGCGCCTCCGCCTCCCCTTGATTTAAGCCCACACCCCCAGGCTGCTACGTCCATTCATATATTTGTTTGCACAGGTACGGAGTAACGCTCGGGCAATGCCAGAGACCGAGCAATGCTGCACGGAGAGAGCTGTGCGGCTCTAACCACGTGTCAAGACAGGGGTCCATGGCCTAGGGGTGCCTCGATTGTCTCGGAATACTTGCAGATTGCTGACTCGTGTCCATTCGTGCGTGATTGGAGACCCCTTTAAACTGAGTTGCTCACCGCTCAGATAAAGCATGATTCGAGACCGTGTCTCGGAAACCCGTTTTTATGTGGAGCGACATGATGAGACAGTCAACGTCCAAAGCCAAGCCAAGCTTCTCGAGTTGACTTTGAATTTGCAATCCCATCCCACAAAGCCATCTTTACATCTGTAGCAATTTATTTACTGTCATCGGCGAGTCGGCACCAGTTTCGCTTTCCGCTCTGCCATCGCTTGCCTCTTCACCGCGGCAGCAGGCCCACGCCATGGCTACATCGAAAAATGCCACCAGTCTTGCGCGAGGGCTGGCTCGGGTTTTATCTCACAGGCGTTGGTATGCCGCGTACAGCGCCGCTGCCCTCGTCTCGATCCAGGTCGGGATAGGCATCGTCCTGAAAGCGGCGCAGACGGACAATCATTATGCCTTTTCGCCGTCGTCGTCCGTCACCATCTCCGAGTACCTGAAGATGCTCTTGGCCATTGGCTTCTTCTATCGCGAGTGGGCGGCAAGGGTTGCGGAAAACGCAGGGCGAGCCTATCTGCCGGTTTCCGCATCTGACGACTCTGTCCCCCTGACACACGAGGCGGAAAGACGAGCCGAGGAGGATGACGAGCAGCACGAAACGGGGGACGAGGCTCTGCGGAAAACAAGGCCCTGGGTAGAGCGTTCGTTTCTGACAGCCGTGAGGAGGGAGGTCTCTACCGACATAGCGTTCGGGCTGGGCCTCTTGTCGCTGTTCTACGTCCTCATCAACAACTTGGTTCGTCAGGCGCCGGGAGCAGAGTGCCTGTGCAAAGCTGCCCGTGGTTATTGACATTGTGCGCAGGTTTTCGTCAGCTACCAAGTTGCCGACCCGGCCACCATCTCGTTGACCAAGAGCGGCGTGACGTGCGTCACGGCCTTGGTCCTGATATTCACCCTCAACACCAAGGTCACTGGCGTACAGTGGCTCGCCATCGTCCTGCAGGTACGGGCTACCACGTCTCTTGCTGCAGCAGCTCGTTGTCTGACTGGCCGCAGGTTTGCGGCTTGTTCGTCACGCAATATGATCCGACGGCCGGCGGCGCATACTCGGTCGGGGTCTACCTCCTCCTGATCTTTCAAGTGTTCCTGAGTGCAGTATCTGGCGTTGTCAACCAGGGCCTCCTGCAAGCGAGCGGCGCCAGCTTACATGCGAGCAATATCATCCTGTACGGCTCCGGCGCATGGACTAACTTGCTGTGCCACGTGATCATGAGAAGCACCAAGCCCGACGAACCGGGATTCTTCGAGGGCTACGGCAGCCTGCACGCCGTCTTGATCATCGTGAACAACGTCTTGATCGGCCTCGCCATGAACGCAGTGTATAAATGTAAGTGCTCCGCTCCCTGGGCATCCGTCACCGGCGCCACTGAATCCCAACGACAAAGCAGACGCCGACGCAATCGTGAAGTGTCTCGCAACGGCCATCGCCACGGCCATACTCATCTTTCTGTCGCCCATATTCTTCGGGACGACTTTCAACCTGTTGATCGTCCCCGGATCCGTAGTCGTGTTTGGCGCCTCGTGGCTATACGCCACGAATCCGAGTCCAACACCGACGAAGCCCAGCCAGAACGGCTCGCATGCAAGCACCTCCCAGCACCGCCCTTGGACGCGGCTGCCAGCGGTGCGAAGACTCTATCCGGTCCTGTATGGGATAGCTCAGCTCGTCGCCTTGGCCATGATAGCTGCCATGTCCAGGTCCGGACTCTCGGCTTCCCACATTGTCGGCGAGAAGAACGGTCAATCCGCAGCCGTCAGGTCACCGTTTGAAAAGACGCTCGGGTTCGTTCTCTGGAACGAGGCGCGCCCGGAACGCATCCCGCACGTCATGAAATACCAACCCTTTTTCCACTCTCTGCACATCTCCATGCCGAACCAGACGGCTCCACGGCAGGGGTTGAACCACGAAAGCCTGGGGCAGGACGCGGCCACCATCACCTTCACCATCTACCGCCAGGTGGCGTTGACAATGCAAGTCATTCTGGACAGCCAGCCTGACGTGAGCGGTCTCTTCTACTTTCACTTCGATTCCTGGATCGACCCCCTCGCGTGGAGTGACATAAACCTGGAACAGCTCCACTTTCCCGCCTTTACCGACAAGACGAAACGGCCATTTACCGTGTGCATGAAGGACACGGCGAAGCAGGAGTGGTGGGGATGGGAGAAGGGAATCCACAAAAAGGCGCTGGAAGCAGTCTCGGCAGCCAAGTCGAGCGTCTTGACCCGAAACTACACGATAAACGACGGCGAGTGGTGCTTGGGATGGAGCGACATATACTACATACCGAGGCGGTTCTTTGCAGACTTCATCCGCCTCGCCCGGGTCTTCTCCGACCCCCGGTTCGACGTTTTCCACGAGGTGGCGATACCGACAATCGTCCACATCATCGACAACAGCCGCCGCGAAAGCCCCGACAGGCCAGTCGTTGATGGGATCAGCGACTGTTGGGGTGACTGCTGCAGTTCCAACCCCTCCGTGGGCGACGTACTTGGCCATCGTTGCGGCCATCGTCTGGACTACCGCAATGAGACGGTAACGGACGCCTTCTTTGCAAAGCTGGCGAGTGAAGCATCCTTGCTGAAGAAATACCAATAGCGATGGAGGTTGGAGACGCCAATGTAAAGGAGTTCATCAAGTATTGAAGAGATGTGTATTTATACATGTAATTAGTACAACCACAAACTAAACTACACCGGCGTCCGGCGTACGACTTGGTGAAACCAAAACTCGACCCGGTCATGGTTTTGGCGTGTCTAGGACTAGACGTGACGTCCAACCGCCCAGATGACTCCTTGGTGTGTCTGCCAAGATGAAGCACGGCTACTTTATCCCTTGGGTGTGACGATCTAGAGCTACGCAGTCCAGTCCACGTTGCCCGTGGCCATGTATACGTGTATTGTTAGGCCATGTTGGCAACTGGCGTGGCTTTGATGGCTGGTTTTCGACACACCTCGTCGAAATACCTGCTGAATCGAACTACTGGCCTGTCGACCAAGCGCCAAAAGATGTCTGCAACCCAGACGGTGAGGCCCATTACAAGCACAATGTCAACCACCAAGACTGCCGCTCTCTTCCACTGGCCGTCATCTGCCCCAAACCAGGAGTGCACCTTGGACTTGATGTCCGCTCCGGCAGTTATCTGAATGCCATGATGCACGAGGTAGACCGAGTAGGACACGTCCCCCAGGTACTGAGCGACCGGCGTCGTGAAGGCCCTCTGCAGAGTCGGGACCCGGAAGAGGGCCGCACACACCAGCACCGCGGAGACGCTGCACCAGAACTTGGCGGGCAAGATGAATCCGTCGCCATCTCGATAGACTTTCGGGGTGTGTGAGAGGAGCCAGCGAAAGCCGGGCGAGATCTCGGCGCGCTCCATGGGATACCCCGCCAGGTAGAGGCCGACGAGGAACACGGCGATCCAGAGAGCCGACTGGAGTCGTGACGTCCACGGCCCGCACCTTGCCGCGCTCCTGCTCCCGTTCTCCTGCCGCTGGCCTCTTCTGCGCTCCTCGATGACGGCCTCGACCTCGGCGGCAAAGAGACCGACCATGAACAGGGCAACCGCCCAATGGCCGCTCGCATAGGCGTGGATTACCAAGGCGCCAACGACGAGCAGTCGCATCCGTGCGGAGCCGCGAGACGCCGAGGATGACGAGAAAGAGCAGCATGGAGCAGCAGAACTCGATGGGAATGGTGAAAAGGTCAGCGTTGTGCTTGTCCCAGCGCCAGCAAAAGACGAGCGCGCTCACTTGGGCGTAGACGTCGCTCATCATGGTCGACACGGGCGGCGGACCCGAGTACACGCACGGGACGACGACCTTTTCAAACGTGATGCCGGCGATGCTGGGCAGGAAGAGGCGCAGCCCGCGCCGGAAGATGAGCGACACGAGCGACTCGGAGAGCCTCTCGTGCTCGCCGGACCGGATCAGGAGGAGGCTCTTGTACGACAGGACGAATCCAGAGATGAGGAAGAAGAAGGCAACCATGGGGACGCCGAGGAAGAGGACGCGTATGAAGGGGAGCTGCAGGAGATTTGATCCCATCCCCTCCCGCTCGTTGACGCCCCAGGTTTCATTTACCCACACGTTGTCTGGCTGTATACCGGCCAGGTGGAAGACGGCCACGATGAAGGCGGCGTACCCTCGCAGTCCATCGAGGAACGACGTCTTGTGCAGCGCCCGCGGCTTGGACGGGTAGTAGATGTTGCTGATGAAGCTGGGGGCGACGGCGACGAGCGATGGACGGACAAGAGCCAAGGCCCTGTGCAGGGAGAGGGAGAGGGAATGGGTGATTTCGGTACAGGACCTACGGCCTCGCTGGCATGCGCCGAGTTCGCCATCGTCCGAGCTGGAGAGGAGGCTCAGGGAGAGCTCGTCGGGCTGGTCGGATCGGCCCGGGGGACGGCTGAGAAAGGAGCGAGCCCTGGCTGCCCCGATGTAGAGTCGACGCAAGAGGTAGTCGGCCATGGCGAGGGTCGACGTGAGATTCTAGTCACATTTGTCATGCGAGTGAGTCACAAAATAGCCAATATACTGGCGACAGAGGCGCCGATTTCTTTTTTATTCATGAGAATCGTCTAGTGAATCAATAAAAGACGGCATCATGGCGATATTGTCTTGCGAGTCGCGTCGCCACAGCTACAAGATCCCACGTCTGCTGCGGCTTATCTTGGCATTGTTGAGAGTCCAGCCGGGCCCATCTTTCATTTGAGGCTTGGTGTCTGAAACTGAAGAGTCATGACCCGAGGTCATGGCCACGTTTTGCCCACCACGCCGACAAGCCGACGCCCGGTATCGCGGGATCGATGGTGTATCAACGGCGCACGGTGACGGGCTCCACAACGGCACCTGGCGAGTCGCGGCCTCAGGTGACAAAAGCGGCACCCTGAATTATAGCACGCCCAAACACCATGGAACGCGATGACGAGGCTGCCCTTTGCGCTTGGTGTTTTGCTTGTCAATAGCGGCGAGCCCACCTGTAAGCGCCGTGCATTGCGGCGTCGGCGTGCGTGGCGGCAGCGGCTGGTCGCGCGACGACGACTACATGGGTGGGCCCTAGCGGGCCTTTTTAGTAGTGGGGCGTTGCACGAGCAGTGGCCGTTTCAGCATGCAGGTGCGAGCGAGGGAGGCACGACTCACACAGCCGTGCAGCCGGACGGCTCGGCTCCGTGTCGGCCACGTGTTTCGTCCGCCCTTCTCTTGAAATCGCACCAGGTATGGCTTCAATACTCGTCAATTCCTCAACCCACAACACTCGAGTAGGTCGAGGGACATCCTCAGTATAGATGCATTTTTCAGCCCTCGTATACTTCTCCACCCTGTGATCCACTCGCCATTCCTCGCCTGTTCCAACTCCAACACCGCACGTCACACCTCGCCTCCGTCTGTCCAAGGTCGTTGCAAACTATTGAATCTTTGGCCAGTCTCGACGACCTCGCGAGATCTTCTGGAAATGCGCCTTTACTACACTGCAAATCGAGGTCCAAGGTACTCGGCCCCTCGGCGGGGTGCAGGTGCAGCTTTGCTGGGAGCTTGGAGCTGACGACTGTTCAATTTAGCTGGAGGAATGCGCTGTTGCGGATTGTAGCTGCCTGCGCCGGAGTGTCGTTTCTTGCCCTCGGCCTCACTGGCTACTTGTTCGTGCTGCCGACGAAATCGTTTCCGCGGCCGGCCAAACCGGCAGCAGAAACCGACTTTGTCCTCTCCGGTCCCACGCCGCAATTAACAGCCCATGACAATTATCAGGACCGCTTGGAGGCTCTCAACACGAGCGACCCCGTCCCCGTCCTCGACGGACAGGCGCTCGCGGACCTGAAAAGTTTTCGATATGCCGTCTTCCTCCCGACATTTGTGCGCCGCTTCATCACCTGTTGCCGGTACGAGGCTAACGCGCGGGTCCTCTAGACTGGCCACTTTTCTCTCGCCGCCGATTTCTTTCGGTCCATCATGTGTCTCTGCCTCGACCATGCCGAAGTCGACTTTTATGCCATCGTCTCCGACTCTGGCGAGGAGAAGAGCTTCCGAGGAATCCTCGACGCGCTGCAGCCCTGTGGGCAGGCCTTCGGCCGCTGGGACGTACCCCCCAGTAATATCAATGGACCTGCGCCAAAGGTTGAAATCGTCAACATGTATGACATCCTGCCGGAGTTCTTTCGCGGAGACAACGTAACTCGGGAGAGCACGTCATACATCCTCGATACGTACGGCAAGTTCGCCTACCAGTCCATCAAGAAACTGGCGTCGGCGATGCACTTCGAGTACGACCACGCACTCTGGCTCGACTCGGAAGCCATTGCCGTTCGACCTTTTCGGCTCCGCCAGACATTCGACACGCACATCAAGGCGCCGGCCGTGTTCCGCTCGAGGATGCGCAACACAGACTTCATGGGAGAGATCATGAACAACTCGGCCAAGGTGCTCGGCCGATCCATCGACTCCTTCGGCCCATTGCTCTGGACTCTGGAAAGGTGGGCTGCCGACTCGGTTCCCCAAGCATGCCCGCTCGACGGCTAACAAGCGCCCCGGCGCAGCGTGCAGTGGATCATCGAGAGAGACGTGCTCCGCGACATGGTGCGGTACGTCGAGGCCGCGCACGGCCGCGACTTCTGGTCCGTCTGGACCGAGAACCACGGTCCGTTCGAGATCAACCTCTACAACCTGCACATTGTGGCGCGGAAGCTAGAGACCGTGAGCTCCGTCTTCTCAAAGTACGCAGTTTTGGAGACGGAGCGAGAAATGATCCGATTCGGCATCGGTAAGTAGGGCCTGCTTCGCGGCCATGCGCGCACAGCAACAGGGGCTGACCTGGCCCGGGGGGCCGATTTTAGCACCCGCCTTTCCGGAGATGGAGTTCCAAAAAGGCACCGGCTTCTTGGAAAGGGGGTACAATCTCCTCCGCAGGCCCGAGATCCAGCCCAACTTTTCCGCCTTTCTGCGGAGATACGGCCAGCGCCTTTTCCGGCTCGATGACTTGACCGTGGCACCGCCCGAGACTGTGACCAGATTTATCCTCGACACGCCGTTGGACCTTCTTGTGTGCGGAGCGCCGCCCTTGCACGGTTGGTGGCGCCACGGTCAGGATGCTAGTCCGCCCGGAGTCGTGTGAGCGTTGCTCCCATGGCCACGACAGTCGGCGCACGAGGGTCTCGTCGAGTTTCTTGCGTACACGGGGCCCGTTGGTTGGGTCATCTGGGCTTTTGGAAGACTGACCCTTGACACTGCGGTCATCAGCCGAATGGAGCTGTTGCCCCGACCCGAGCCCGTGATGCTGTCACATATTGCATCGGGAGCTATGGCTCAGGGGCGTTATGTACCGGCTGACGGCAGGGGTTGGCCGTAGATAAAGGACGCAACCCTCCGCCGAGTTATTATAGCAGTGTGTTGTAGACTAGCCTGATGGGGTCCATGGCGGGTGCCGGCCGCAGTCATGCAAGTGGTGCAATATGGGCTGGTCACCATGATTAGGCTCGGGGCAAATAACTCGGCTTGTCATGAGTCGTTGGTTCCTCCGTCTAGAGGACCCGACTGACAGAGCTGTATGATGGGAGAACATGCAATGCGTGTCTGACCTGACTTGGATGACTGTGGCATGAAGAGCAAATGCCTTGGCGCGGCCCCGCGTGTTGGCTATGAGGGCATCGTGACTCGTGACAGCTGCAACCTTTATGCGTTGCGGCCGGGCATATGGTTGAGGTTGCGGCTCGACGGCAATTTCCGTGTCCGTGTGACAGGCGGGGTTGCCGGACCCCAAACCTCGGATCATTAGGCCGGAAGAATTGGGAAATGGCGCTCTGGGGCGATCGGAAGCCGGCCTTGCTCACTCTCGCAAGAAATTCACTTCGTCTTTTGACAAGACAATTGCCGCTGCCGTGCCGTGACGCTGAAGATGTGCTGTGGGCGTGGGAGTGCAGATGCTAGCCCAAAACGGTTAGTGGTGGGGCTGTTGCGCCTCGAGCAAAAGCCCGTCGGCGCACCGAGCACGAGCAATCCTTCCCTCTCCGGCCGTTGCTCGTCGACTTGCCTCTCCTCTCTACACACGATCTCGACGGGCGACGACAATCACCACAGCTCAGCGCCTGCATCGCCTGCGTCGCTGCATCGTCGCATCGTCCGCATTGCCAGCATCGCCTCCTGGCCACTTCGCACGCCCAACTTGGAGTCCAATACATCCATTCCCGGCCCCGTCCAGCCCTGCTGCAGGCACCACGACTGACGCACGCACGCCACACCTTTTCGTCTGCTGCTTCGCGCTGATAGCCCGTCTCCCGTAATCGCCTATTCATCTCCGCTTCGTCGACGACTGGTGCCCGCAATGGCTTCCGACTTTCCCTACGTGAACAAGATGACCCCCGAGGGCTACGTTTTTCCGTCTCAAAGGCTGCGCCGAACTTGCGGCGCCGATAAAACCCCCTTGGTTCTGGTTGCTTGTGGTTCATGTGAGTGTTGACACGTCGTGAAACTAGCCGTGGCGGACACGGCAACAACCATCCCCTTCGTTGCTCGAGCACGAGTCTTTTGCTAATACCTGCCAATAGTCTCTCCCGTCACATTCCTCCATCTGCGCATGTTTCCCATGGCGCGCGACCATGCTCGTGGTGAAGGTGTGTCCCACACCCGACTTGTTCGAAGCCTCTGGGAGATCCTCGCCAGAGCGTGTCACTGACCAGGATGGCAACGGCAACAGGGTTCGACGTCGTTGGGGGCTATCTCTCACCGGTGTCAGACGCCTACAAGAAAAAGGGTCTTATTCCCGCGCACCACCGCATCCGGATGTGCGAGCTCGCCGCCGAGAATTCGTCTAAGTGGTTAATGGTGGACCCGTGGGAGGCTCAAAGCCCAACATACATCCCTACCGCCCGGGTGCTGGACCATTTTGACTACGAGATCAACCACGTCATGGGAGGCATCGAATGCACCGATGGCACTCGCAAACCGGCCAAGATCGTCTTACTCGCCGGCGCGGACCTGATCCAGAGTTTCGGATCCCCCATCTGGTAGGTAGTCATGCTTCCCAATCGGAGGATCTAGCGTTGTTGCGCTCGCTAACAGCTGCCGCAGGGAATCCAAAGACATAGACCACATCTTGGGCAACTTTGGCGCCTTTGTCATCGAGCGGGCCGGGACCGAGCTTGACTCGGCGCTGGCAGCGTTGAAGCAATGGGAGAAAAACATACACATTATTCGGCAGGTCCGTCTGCCTGGCTGCGTTGCATCATTTTTTTTTTTTTTTGTAAATTCATCTTGCCACGGCTAATACTTGACCGCAGGTTGTATCAAACGACATTAGCTCCACCAAGGTCCGATTACTTTTACGTCGGTCCATGTCTATTGATTACTTGTTGGTCGCCACCGCTGAAGCCAGACCGGAATCTGTACTGATTGTTCTTTGCCCAGAATTCCCGACGACGTCATCAATTACATATACGAGCATAATTTATACCGCGAGGTGGACCTCGCCAATCCCAGCAATGGGAAGAATGAGGCCCCCGCGGGAACTTGTACCAGCTGACGGGAGATGTTGTCAGAGGGCTTCTCGCGAGACATGTTTGCGATTTACACTGCACGACAAGTCTGATATGGAATGGGTCATTAAATGGTGTACATTCAACAATTGCCCGTGGCTTTCCACGTCGGTCGAGGCGTCTTGGGAACATTAATCAACGAGGTGTCAGTTTCTCGGGACAGGGCGAGAACGTCTTTGTTTTGCGTCATCTTTTGTCATTTCCGTGTTTTTTTACATGTACGCAGACGCAGCGAAGCAGTGGTTGGGTGACAGAAGAGGCCGGTCTACGCGGTGGCGTAGTGTTCATAAAGGGCATCAACAAGAGGGTTGAAGCCGAGAAACATGACGAGGAGGACCTCGTCCAAGATTATGAGGTAACCATGCGTCATCTGCAGGCGTTTGTCACCAGGAAGTCGAGTTGGTATAGAGCTCAGGGATGGGGTCTCTTGGGACTGATGACATGACAGGCCACAACTAGGCAGAGGATTGCCATGATGCGATGAACATGTGCTGCAAACACTCGCCGTGGAGAATGGTGCAGATGCGTTTCAGAGTGGTCATAGCCAGGCACGATGAATGAGGTTTGCCTGACAATTCCGCGCACGCAAAGGAGGCCGCAACTGTCCTGCCGTCGATGAGCTGGCACCACCACCAGCCACTACAAGAAGCGCATTTTGATCGCAGCCGGAACCTGGGGGGCTGGACACCAAATCGGCCAGAGCGGTCAGGGCAGGAGATGTTAGAGTTTGGAACGACTACAGGAATGCCACGAGGTTCGCAGCAAAGCCTGCCCAGTGCAGTAGAACAAAGAGACGAGATGAGAACTGCCACTAGCCGTCTATTGTTATTCAAACGCAGCGTGGATATAGACGCTACAGCCAGAGAAAGCAGCAGCAAGGTCTACGGAAAGGCAGCAGTACAGAGATTTGGTGGAAGATGGTGCACTCATCCTCGGCAGCTCAGCTACTTGCCCACAGCTACGTAGTACACAAAGCCTGTTTCGGCAGACCTGCGCCGTACTCGGTGGCGATTTGACAGGTCTGTAGGCCGTCTTCCGTCTGCTAACTCTTTGTCGAGTTGTCCCTGTCCCGTCTCGTTGAGGAATTCTTGGCCCCGATGGCAATACATGTCTGTACTTTTGCGCGGGATATCGCGCGCCCTACTGATTGTTGGCTGAGTGCTTTTCAGGATGGGAAGTCCTGACATGTTTTAGAAGAGCTGCTGAAAGCTGGAATGGTTGTAGCGTGAGGATACTTTCAGGGTAGTCGTGTTCTTAAATGTGTAAACCTGGCTTCTTCAAGCAGCTGTCTGTGGTAGCGGTACTTGGCGCGCCGCTATTAGGCATGGCACTGTAGTTGCGTGCCTCTCTGGTGAGCCTAGCTAGCGTCTTCCCGCGATCTTTACTAGATTTATAGTTGTAGTTGTGGTCATACAGTAGTGGGACTACCAGGTCAAGGGATGCAGATGCAGCGGTTTCCCGGCGAGAAAAGCCACGCAGCCAGCGCCGTGCCCTGCGTGTGCTCCATGGCGCGAGGCCGCGTGCCCTTCAAGAACAGGCTCCTGCACGAGAAGCACGGGCCTGTTGTCCGCGTGGCCCCCGACGAGCTGAGCTTCAACGCGGCGCGGGCGTGGGAGGACATCTACGGCTCCGAGCCGTCGGGTCACACCCGGCTGCCACGGGGTCCCAGCCATCTCGGCTCCGTCGATCCGCTCAACGGCGTGTACCCGCTGTCCGCCGGGGTCGTACGCCTTCTCCGAGAGGGCGCTGCGCGACGGCGAGGAGCAGGTCCAAGGCCATGTGGGCAGGCTCGTGAACTTGGCATTGGTATCGAGCATGTCTGTCACACGGTCAACCACCGAGATGGACCAACCAGGCAACGTGACACGACCTGATTACGAGGTCGCGATAGGAGCCTGAGCTCGCGAGCCCAAAACGGCGCACTGTACGAGGCGTCGCCGATGCCCCGGGGAATCAGGCGGGTGCTGCTCCTGTACATCCAGAGGCCTTGGGACTCAGAATCATGCGGGGACTTTTCGAGCCAAAGCTGATGACTAGCTTGAAACAGAACGAGGCCATTCCATACGTTCCGCCGTCACAGGTAGGTGGCTGCTGTTGCTGTCGTAGCACCGCCATGGCAACTTGGTACTCCCCAGCACTCGGCCTATGTTGATGCTGGAACCCGACTGCAACTCCATATGGCTGCTGGGCACGAAGCCATGCCATCGACACGACAACGTCAGGATCCTCGAGGGACGTTTTGGTTCAACCGTTGACAAGGCCCGACTTTCGCTGACCGAGGACAAAATACATGTCATCAAGGCAATTCCCGGCAACAGGTCCTGCTGCGGCCCGTATGCCGGGCAAATATCAATTCGGGCAATGGCATTCACGAGTCCCGACGCCCGTTTTACCCCTGCAAGGCAGCGACATGTCATGTTGGCTTGAAGTAGCATCTAATTCTGCCAACGTCAGAGAGTCGACTCAAACAGTGCTGCAGCCTTTTGGAGAAAAATCAATGTACATGCCGAGTCTCCAGTCATAAAGACAGCTCTGTTTTGCCCGCCATGACGTTGCCGCCCATCACAAAGCACATCAAGAGGTCATTCCGCATCTTCCGTCTTCAAAAGCATAAGTCGCCATGTCCCGAAATCTCGCGACTCGACAGCTGGACACACGTTTCTCAAATACGCGCCCGCAACTGCGCCAGCCTGTCCCAATCACCCTGCGAGAAGGGAACGTACTCGTTCGACCCGGCCGGCAGCCAGAACAACGCGTCGTCCTTGCCATCGGGGACCTTGGTGCCCAGCGCCCGCGGATCAACGCCTTCGAGCCGTAGCGACACCTTGTTATGCTTGTGATTGGCGGTGCTCATACTGCCGAGCCCTCGTCTTACTCGGATGAAGACGGGCACGGCATAAGCAGGCAGCTCCTTGCGGAGCAGCGCCGCCACGCTCGCCCAGTCGAAACTGCGCGGGTCCCCGTCCCTCAAGGCCAGAGCTGCGCAGCCCGCCCGGCCGTCGTGCGAGGGGATCTTGACGCCGTAGACGTTGGCCTCTGCTATTTGGGGATGCGTGCCCAGGACCTGGGTGACTTCTGTGGTGGACACGTTTTCTCCCTTCCATCGATATGTATCTCCTACAAGACGGCGTGAGCAAGTTGTTCAGTCGCGTACGTCCGACTAGGTGCGTACCAAGCCGGTCCATGAAATACCAATAGCCGTCCCCATCCCGGCGAAGCGCGTCGCCTGTTCGCCAATACAGGTCGCCCTTCTCGAAGACGTCTTGAAGGAGCTTTTGCCTGGTCGCCTCCTCCGAGCCAAAGTAGCCCGCCCAGTCGTCCCTCGACGTCAGCCTCGCCAGCAGTTCCCTGCCTTGCTCGTACGGTAACCGCCTGGCAAAGCCCGTCTCTGGTGATCGCCACACATCACCCGTCTCTGGGTCAACGTGTACGGGGACCAGCACTTTGTGGTATTGTCTGCGGAGAAGCCAGCCGTGGTGGCCGACGGCTCCGGAGCCAAGTCCGCTTCGAAATTGGTTCGTCATAAACACGACGCCTTCCGTGCTGCCGAAGAACTCACCAATCTCAGCGACACCGAAGCGGCTCTGCATATGCCGAGCGGTCAATCGAGCCGTGCTGTTTGCTTGCAAAGAAGAGGGCAAGGGGGTCGCCGTGGACATACCTGAAACGTTTGCCACAGCTCGGGGCTGAGTCCATTGCCCCAAGCAAGACGTATCCGGTGACTCTTGTCGTTCGGGGACGGTGGAGCGGCCAGCAGGTAGCGCACGAGCTCGCCAACTGCCCAAGTCAGCTTCTCACGGCGGCGCAAGTTGGTCATACACGACGTACCGTAGACAAAGACTGTGGCCTTGCTGTCCACACAGTCCTGCCAGAACCGAGACAGCGAGAACTTGGGCGCCAGCGCAACAGACGTTCCGGTCATCATGTCTTCCATGGCCCCTATCCCTCCGGTTCCATGGTATAAAGGAATACAATAGTAACTCTTGTCACCTCCCGGCCCAGGCTCCTGTCCATGCAGTCTCGGGTATACAGACGCCCTCATGTACAGCCGTTGAACGGCCAGGGGGGAAGCCTTTGGCATGCCGGTCGTTCCGCTCAACACGCCAACAGACATCTCGGTCAGCCACGGTCTTGTGCCCGCGCGTCCAAGGGGCTGCAGGAGTCGACATACCTGGTGTACATCAAAGCGAAGGGCAGAACCCTCCCAGTGTCCTCGAAACAAGCCGTGACGGGCCGGGTGGCTGGATTCTGGCTGATCTTGTCTTTCAAGCCGTCCGACAGCACGACGGGCTCGACGCCAGTGCTGCGGAGGTCCGCTCCAGACGCCTGGATCCGCGACACGCAGTCCGGGGCGCTGTCGTAGATCAAGACCTTTGTGCCTGAAACCTTGACGCAGTGAAGCAGCGCGCCGGATGCGAGGTTGTAGTTGATCAGCGCCGGGGCAGCCCCTATGGACAAGAGTCCCAGCCATATAAAGAGGAACTCGGGCGAGTTGTACATGTACAGGCCCACGTACTGGAAGGCCATGACGCCCAGCGATTGGAAATAGTGGCCATACTGGGACGCGCGTTGGTACGTCTCTGCCCAAGTGTAGACTCCTTGCCGGGACCAGATGCACTCATCGTTTGGTTGTCGAAGCGCAGCAGCCTCGAATAAGAAGTACACTGACGCCTTTTTCGCCCTGACTGGTGAAGCTTTAGTATTTTCAGTCCGCAACGGTCGGACGGGCATCTCTTACCAGCGGCATCAAAGTTTCTCATTCCCTGTCGGGTACGCCTCAGACACTGCCAGTCCTTGGAAATATGCAATTTGGCATCCAGGTAGGCCGTCATGGCGGTAATTCCTCCCGCGGCGGCCAAAACACCGGCTGGCACTTCGAATTGTTCGTGGGGTTAGCCAAGATGAAGTGCAGTTGGACGTTGAAACACCAAGTCATCGACAGGGTTAGGGTTTGCGTACTCGGAGACATGGTCACACCTTGGTTGCACAGCCGGGCCCGTGAATGAATGAGCGGCACAGAGGCTTTGCTGCCGTCAGTTCGTCGGCTCTTGTGCGAATTTGTAGCACAGCAGACTGAAGAGGGCCGCAAGGGAGATGGAAAGTCGGGTTTGCGTTGAGGTTACGTGGCAGTTGGAACGATGTGACTGTGGTTCCCAAGTCGGCAGAACGGACTTTTCAACCTGGTCTCGAGACGGTGTTTTCAACCCCGAGCGGCTCCGGGAGGGGGAACCCGTAGATAGCGCTGTGTCACTCGTCCCATATACTAGTAATCACCATCAGACGTAGAACGTGTGGGGAGGTGTGGCGGCCGCAGTGAAGGCGTATAAAACACGGGATACCTTGGTAGGTCTTGGCCTGCCCGAATTGCTCCGCTCCAATCATCACGACTCTCAGGCTCGCCGGGGATGCTTCCGAGTCTTGCGCCACATGAGCCTGAGCTGATCAAGCTAAGGCTCGGCATGTCGGTTGTCAAAAAGTAATCAAGTTTATAATTGATTCAAGCTTAACGTAAACGTGCCAATAGGTGCAGGTCAAAGTAGCAAGTTGCGACGGACCAAGAGTGCAAGCGCGGGAAAAGGGTTAGGGTTGCTGCAAGACTTTGCCGACCATCGGCCAGACCGAGAGGAAGAAACTTGATTGGTGGTGCCGTGCAACATCCACCCCCGCCATCGGCCGACTTCGAAAACCCCCCCACCATTGACTTGCCCCGCCAAAATTCTTTAAAGCCAATGCCAATGCGTGAGTCAACTTCGAACAACTGATCTCCAGGCAAAAACAGTCCAAAATCGTCCTCCATTCGGGAACAGCTCTCTCCTCGGCGTCCCCCTTTCTCTTCTTCATCCTCCTCGACTGCGATTTTCGACACATACGTATACCCCGACATCATGGCAGTCGCGAACGCCAGGGAGAGGTTCGATCTCATTCGGGAGAACCTCGCGGAAGTCCTCAACCCAGAAATCATTCAAGAGATTCTCGACAAGGGGGGGCACCCAAAGATTTACTGGGGTTTGTACAGTTCCTCCCATACACTCTCCAGTCTTGAGAAGAAATGCTCATGCGCCTCCTCCTTCTCCTAAACTAGGCACTGCCACCACCGGTCGCCCTCATTGTGGCTATTTCGTGCCCGCCATCAAGATCGCCCAGTTCCTCGCCGCGGGGTGCGATGTCAAGATTCTCTTCGCCGACATTCATGCAATCCTCGACAACTTGAAAGCCCCTAGGGAGCTTGTCGAGCAGCGCGTCCGCTTCTACGAGTATGTCATCACCGCTATGCTGGAAGCTATCGGCGTGTCGACCGAGAAATTGCGGTTCGTCAAGGGGAGCTCTTACCAGTTGAAGTCTGATTATGTCATGGACATGCTCAGTCTGTCAGCGTTGGTTTCAGAGCACGACGTCAAGAAGGCCGGCTCCGAGATTGTCAAGCAGACTGCCAACCCCCCTGCCAGCTGTACATTGTATCCTATTCTGCAGGTGCTGGACGAGCAGTACCTGGATGTTGACGCGCAGTTTGGCGGTATGGACCAGAGAAAACTGTTCACGGCGGCCAAGAAGTGGCTACCCAAGCTCAATTACAAGGAAGTACGTGTACACCGCCACCACCAGCCCGTGGGCCAGCCGCGCCAAGCACCTGTTGCTGACTTTATCTCGAGCGTGCACATTTGCTCAACCCCATGGTACCTGGTCTTCATGGCGGCAAGATGAGCTCGAGCGATCAAGGTGAGCACTCGACCCAGCCGCGTACGCCCAGTCCACCACGAGCTTACAAGAACACAGATAGCAAGATTGATCTTCTGGACCCCCCAGAAGTTGTCGCCAAGAAGATCCAGAAAGCCGTTGCTCTGCCACGGGTTGTTGACGAAAACGGTGTGCTTTCGTTTGTTGAGTTCGTACTGTTGCCAGCCTCTGGTCTAAAGGGTGAAAAGAGATCGTTTACGGTAGCCCGTGAGCAAGATGGCCTGGAACCTCTGGTTTACGACAATATTGCTCAGATACAGGACGACTACAGAAATGACGTGGTATGTCTAACTCTTTCGCTGCGCAAACCTCCCATGCCTACGTCACCATATACGGCTCGAGCCGCAGAACAGATGCTGACCCGAGAAACTGCAGCTTACCCCGCAAATACTGAAACCCGCGGTCGCCAAGGCTCTGAACCAGCTTCTTGCCCCCATACAGGAGGCTTTCCAGAATTCCAAGGACTGGCAGGACGCTGCTGTCAAGGCTTACCCGCCGCCAGTGAAGGAGAAGAAGGTCAGGAACAAGGGCTCACGCTACCCTGGTAAGACTTCGGGTGCTGCCGGTGATGCCGCTGTTCAGGCCGATGGGATTGTCCGTGGAGAGGTGGATAGCGTTGCGGCTGCGGCTGCAGTTGAAAAGTTGAGCGTGTGAGGGAGGTCATGTGTTGCGGAATATTAGATGCGTACTTGTAGGTACCGATTGCTTGTCAGGCCAGGCGAGCAGTGTGAAGCAGTTGCTCAATCACGCAGCTAGACCACACAGCATTAATCAAAGACGGCTTTTATGATCACGTCTTTATTGTCCGAAGTACGGAGTACGTACTGATGTGCAACCGTCTGCCGTCTCCCACCAGACCCCACTATTACCCAACCAATTTCCTTGGCAGAGTGGATCTTCCTCCACCAGATTCACGCACGTCTACGGAGTTATCCCCATCAACTCTCCATCTGCCGTCACAACACAGCATCTTCCTCCATCGCAGCGCGGGAAAGCTGTGGCATGACAAGTGCTGCGGCAGAGTGCCTGTTTTGCATCTTGATCCATCAACCAAAACCATGGCTCCCGTGGCCTCATCTCTGCAGAGAGCACAAGTTCCAGTTCGCCGGGCATTGTGCAGCGCGCCCACCGCCGTCCGATCTTTTGCCACCGTCCCCTCGCCTAGCGACTCGGCCAAAGCCCCCAAACCCAGGCGCAAGACCTACTTCAAAGATACGGATCTCGCATCCTTCTCCGACTTCATCGCCACCTCGTCCCCAGCCCAGCAGCTCTCCACGTCCGAGGCCTACTCTCTCCGGACCGCCGAGGTCGGACCAGCCGGCAAGAAGAGAACAATCACCCGACTGCCCGAGTGGCTCAAGACGCCCATTCCCGCCGGCAACGACAACTTCAAGAAGATCAAGAGTGACTTGCGAGGCCTGGGCCTCCACACAGTGTGCGAGGAGGCACGATGCCCCAACATCTCCGAGTGCTGGGGCGGTTCAGACAAGAGCGCCGCCACCGCGACCATTATGCTCATGGGCGACACGTGCACGCGAGGATGTCGCTTCTGCAGCGTCAAGACGAACAGGGCCCCTGCGCCGCTGGACCCCCACGAGCCGGAACATACTGCGGAGGCCCTCGCGCGATGGGGGCTGGGCTATGTCGTCTTGACGAGCGTCGACCGAGATGACCTGGCCGACGGGGGTGCCAGACACTTTGCCGAGACGATCCGCAAGATCAAGCAGAAGCGGTCGTCACTGCTGGTGGAGGCGCTGACGGGCGACTTCATGGGCGATCTGGACATGGTCAAGATGGTGGCCGAGAGCGGACTCGACGTTTATGCGCACAACGTCGAGACCGTGGAGGCTCTGACCCCGTACGTGCGTGACCGCAGGGCCACGTTCCGACAGAGTCTGAATGTCCTGAGGCACGTCAAGGATGTGCGTGGCGAGGAGGGCGTCATTACCAAGACCAGCATCATGCTCGGTCTCGGCGAGCAGGAGCACGAGGTTGTGGATGCTCTGAGGGGTGCGTGCGAAATCCCTTTTTTTTTTTTTTTTTACGCGCAACCACTAACAGTCCTTTGTAGAGCTCAGAAAAGCAGGCGTCGACGTCGTCACCTTTGGCCAGTACATGCGCCCCACGAAGCGCCATCTCAAGGTCGAGAAGTACATCACCCCCGACGAGTTTGAAATGTGGCGCCAGCGAGCCCTGGATATGGGTTTCCTCTACTGTGCGAGCGGGCCCCTTGTGCGCTCTTCCTACAAGGCCGGCGAGGCCTTCATCGAGAATGTCCTGCGCAAGAGAGCCGGCGAGAAGGGCATGGCGTCACCCACGGCCGAGGAGAGCATTGCCAAAACAGTGGCTATGGATGCTGAGACGCGATGATTTTGGGTAATGGGATAAATGGCGGGTGGGAATGCATCTCAGATGAGGGAGTCGGAAGAAAATGTATACATCGGCGGCAAGGGTTCGCATACGTTGCGATTTCGATGACTGCAGCCGCGTTTCGTAAAAGGGGTCGACCTGCTACACCACAAATGAATATTGGGAGCGCACGTCACAGCTAGATAGTTGCTTCTTTTCCTTACAGACACACATGGACAGACTTATTTTGATTGCCGTATAGCATGCTATATATTCCCTATTAGTTTTTAATAAGAGAATATATAGTATGCTATAGGGAAATTAATATATTTAATGAGTCTATCTGTGTGTCTCTAAGGAAAAGAAGCAGCCATCTAGCTGTGACCTGCGGTCACAGTATTTAGATGTGGTGCTGCAGGTCGACCCCTTTTATGGAACGCGGCCGCAGTCATCGATATCGCAACAGCATAGATGGCGTTTTTCTTCTTGTTGCGGGGAGTACTTGACAGTAGAGGCAGGGCATTCAACAATGAACAGTGGCCTTTCGCAAGATGAACACAAGTCTCATGCACCATGCACGTCGGTGCGTAGCGAGGTCTGAGATCAGACTAAGTAAGAGCGTGCTGCGTGAATGGCCTGTATTCCGTGAGGCTGGAGCAAATATGGCGACGCCACCAAAAAACGTTATTGCAAGGCTCGATCGGGTATCAATCCGCCTACTGTCGCCTACTTGTCTTCCCACAGTCCCCTCAGCGCAGTCAGCGCAATGAACAGCGCCTCCTCCGTCCGAATCGTCCGGCTGCCCTGCCCCGGCAGCACATTCACCCACTGGTCAAACAGCTCCTTTGTCCTGGCGCCCTGGGCGTCCATCTTTGCCAGCTCCTCGTCGTTCATGGACGCAAACTCCAGCCCGCGCGGTCCGCCAAACACAACGAGCAGGTGCTTGAAATGAAGGGGTTTCGAGGACGAGAGGGCCTTGGAGACGGGAATTCCGCGCTCCGAAGTGCCAATGCTCAAGTCGTAGCCGCCCTCGTACGGGCTCTCGGTGAAGACTGAGCTGAGAGAAGGGCATTTGCGAACAGTGTACCCCCAGTAGTAGCCGCCTTCTGTCCGGGGGACTTGGGGATTCACGCACTGGGGGTGCTTGGATTGGTCGTCGGGGAAGAGGAGCGTGAGCCGCGTCTTGGGCGGGATGTCTTCTTCGATTTCGACGGGCTCGTCGAGCCCAACCTCCACGAGGGTGCCGCTCCCTGTGCTGGTTTTTCCGGGTATGGTGACGCCCTCGCGGTAGGAGATCCATTCTTTGGGGTTGGGGTGGTGAGGCATGTCGAGGCTGGGGAGGAGCGCGGTCAGGCGGAGGTTCGGGTGTAGTGGGAAGAGGGCCTTGCGCATGAACGGCGGCGCTTCGAGGAACGAGAGGACGTGTGTGAGGAAGTGGGCTGGGTCGGTGTCGCCCGTGTACCCGGCCGTGTCTGTCTGTCGCGGACGGGGGGAGGCTGGTGAGTCGTCGAATACCACGACTTCATCGACGGAGAAGACGGCGAGGGCGCGGGCGATTCGTCCTGGGATGGACATGCGTTGGTCTGCGGTCGCCAGGCTGGGAGCGTGTTGTTAGTGTTTTCAGCTTTCACGTGGGCAGAGTATCGGGGAAACTGGCTGGCTTACTTGGTCAGGATGCTGGTCGGGATGGCGACGGATATCGTCCAATCTCTGCCGCCTGGGGTGGGAGTGAAGCTGGCGGAGGGCTTGAATGAAGTTCTATCCTGGTGGCCATTGTGGGCCGTCTTGCGCTTCTAGTTGTCCGGTCAGGTTTCAGTGCCGTTTGCGCATTGATGATGTGCACTTACTTTATTTTTTCGCTCGTGAAAGGACATGTCGGCTTATTTTTTCTAAAGCCGTGGTTGCTGTGGAAGCTGAGATCCCCGGTCGGTGAGGGTGAATTTTGGAAAAGTCGAGACAGCTCAATAGGTCCGGCAGAAAACAGCCAACTACGGGCCACCGCCTGCCGATCCTGGCTTCACGCCACCTGTTGGTTGGTCACCCTGGTTCTGGAGAGGGCATCACGTTATCCATTTCTCCATCCTCCATCTCGTCCTTCATCTCACCGCAGGCTTTACATACTCACTCACTGTGAACATCATGAGTGGTCTTGTTGAAATCAAGTCTCCTTCCGAGTGGAAGACTCTGCTCTCCAGCACCTCCGTAGTCGTCGCCGACTGTACGACTCCCGCCCCGCCCGTTCCTCTGCGGCGTAGGGTCTATCCGAAGGGCTAACTAATTCATGATAGTCTACGCCGACTGGTGCGGGCCGTGCAAAATGATCGCACCTCACTTTCAGCGCCTCGCAAGCCAGCACTCTTCCCCCAAGAAGGTTGCCTTTGCCAAAGTCAACGTCGACTCTCAACCCGAAGTCGCCAAGGAGAACCGCGTGTCTGCTATGCCCACCTTCAAAGTCTTCCACAACGGCAACTGCATCGAGACCATCCAAGGGGCCAACCCAGCCGCTCTCTCAGAGGCCATTGCCAAGGCAGTTCAGCTCGCCGGCGGCGGTAAATCTGCCGATGGGCTATTCAAGACTCCCGGTCGGACTCTGGGGGGAGGCGCACGTTCCGCGGCGTCGGCGGGCGGCTTCAACTACAGCAGCCTGTTGAACGCCTTGATCGCCTTCGTTGGCCTGTACCTGGTGTCTCTGTTTTCGGCACGTAACCAAAAGGAGGACTAGTCGTAAAAGGCAGTGAAGTTGCTGACTAGGGGTGTTATATAGTTCGACGCGCAAAGGGCTGCTGAGCAGTCCCGGTTCAACATTCATAAAGCGCCGGAGAGACCTGCCCCTCCGCGCGCGTCGCCAGGAGCTTCCGGGGCCGGGGCTGGATCGGGTGCGAGAGCTCCGGGGGGTACGGCCCATCCGCAGCAGAGGGCCACGTTTAAGACGTTGGCTGATCTGTGATTGAGGCGGACAAGCGTGAGCGGTTCTAGTTTTTGACAAGGCGTTTGGGGATATGATGGTACTTCTCCATGCACTCAGAATGCGAAAGAAATGGCTATGGGACAGACCCGATGTGAAAACTAAGTGCTGCTTCAACTTCCAGGCTATTTCGTTGAAGCAGGTGAATAACCACAACGGGATGAAAGAATATCTGACCATGCAAGTTGTGTCGTCGTCGCGGGCTAAACTTTTATATACTTTACTTTCTCCGTGTATATTTGGGGATAGGTAAAATATATCTTATCAGGTCCTCTATTGGATTCAACAACAACGCCTCGCAGGCGAGTGCACCAACCTGGAGCCGCAGCTCGCTATCAAACTCGAAATACAACAGCCTTGTAGCACTCCATACGTAGTCCCTGGCAAGGCTCAATTTCTCAAACTCCAACAATTCCAAATCGTTTTTCTGCAATTGGCAGTATCTTGCTATGAAACTACGTTTCGCAACCGTTTGAACTACGTACCCAATCATGCGACCAGCATTACAAAGTATCGCGATCACGTGATGACGCGATGAATGAAAAATCCCCAAGCTTCATCCCTACGCGCCTCTCTCCCGCAGTATAGCATGCTACAAAAAATGCTGTCATACCGAGGCATTCGACATGCACACACTAAATGTGTCCATGTCACGTCGCTGTCTTTAAGAAATCCCTCTTCAAATGCATCATTCGTCCTGTCGTCAAGGGGCTCGGTTTCAAATGTCCATGGCAGCTGCGCCTTTTGCAAAGCTCCCGCCGGGCGAAATTTTTCTGTCTCCAGATTGCTGCGAGAAACGCAATCGACAAGACCTGAAACAATAGCCGGGGTAGATATCGAACAGGTAGTGCGGGATGCAAAGCAACGGTTTCGTGACACATTACCGCCAGGCTACCTCAACGACAAAGAGTACGCGCTGTACGAACGACTCTATGGACCGCCCCTGCGAGAAACTGGGCCAGAAGACGTCGGAATCGATACTCATGCGGACATGGGGCACGTCTCTCCACGGCCGGACGACAAGGGCACCCTACTACGACAGCTTGACTGTGGCAAGTTTGAAGAGGTGACCTACAAAATCGACCAACGAATACAGCACATAGAGGAGTCGCATGACGCGGATGCGGAATATCCTTGCACTCCAGGAAGCGAAACGGTTGAAAAGCGTCCTGGGTATGTGGATGTTATCGCTCGAAGCCAGAGGGAACATGATGCTCTGAAGAGACTGGCTGAAGACTTCGAGGCCGCTCAGAACAGCAGAGTCCTGAAAGAGGATGAGGGCGCGGGAACAGAGCAAGAGCATATGGAGCAGGGCGAGAGCTCTTCCTGGCCACCGGAAGAGGAACAAGTCTCTGGCGAGCGGGAACTGGGAGAAACTAGACGATTTCATCAATACACTCTGGAGGGCAGGTTTCACGGCAGCCCCGTTGAAATCCCCCTCCCCAGAGACGAATTTATACTGCCTATCCGGGAACTTCTCGAGAGAAGTCACTTGAAGCATGTCAAACAAGCCGCGGAGGCAGCCTTTGGCGGGCCAGGACTCCCCACCTCGCCCTCCACGCCCGAAGGACGAAAGAACGGCTTGATGGGAGGAGTTGGGCTCCCGCCTGACCAACGACAGATGTCTGAAATCGAAGCAGATGCGTTCCTCGCAGGCTATCTACCACCAGCGTACGCTTCGGTCATGTCGATTTTACGAGAAGTTCGAAGACGAGTAGGCGGTGGATGGATACAGTCCCGCCTCAAGCAGGGCCAACAAGGCTGTTTCAGCGTCTTGGATGCCGGTGCTGGCGGTGCAGGCTTAGTAGCTTGGGAGCAAGTCGTCAAGGCCGAGTGGTGCTTGCTGAAGGAGAAAGGCGAGGTCATCGGGCCGCGACCAACGGGCAGGAAGACAGTCGTTGCCGCGTCAGATCGATTAAGGCACCGCCTCAAGCACTTTTTACACGACACAACATTTCTGCCGCGGCTGCCCGACTACGAACACTCGGGCGAAATGCAAGGCGAACATCTTGACGCCGGAGCCAAGCCACAGACCCGAAAGAGCTTTGACATTATCATTGCTTCGCATTTGTTCCTCAAGGAGAAGCAGGATCACTACAGACAGGCGATTCTGAACAATCTGTGGAGTCTACTTGACAAGAATGGCGGCATTCTGATCGTCCTCGAAAAAGCCCATCCCAGGGGCTTCGAGGCGGTAGCTCACGTTCGGGACACCGTACTGAACCAGTTCCTCCTCCCAGAGTCTGGAGAGGCCAAGATTAGCGCCGAAGATCTCAACCCAGCATATCATCGGGAACTCGAGACAGGTCACATCGTCGCACCATGCTCCAACCACGGCCCATGTCCCATGTACCAGGAACCCGGGCAGAGCAAGGGCCGCAAGGATTACTGCCGCTTCAATCAACGCTTCGTACAGCCATCATTCTACAGTCAGATGCTGGGAAAGCACGCGAACAACCAGGGCGAAGTCGAGTTCAGCTACGTTGCGATCCAGCGAGGCTCGCCCAGGAGCAGCCATCTCGCGGGGCCGGAAGCCACGGCGCTGGCATTCCAAGGCTACGAAAAATCACAGGAAAGGCCTGACATGCAAACACTGCCGCGGCTTGTTCTGCCGCCGCTGAAGCGCAAAGGCCACGTCACACTGGATGTCTGCACGGCAGAAGGGAAGATTGAGCGGTGGACAGTGCCCAAGAGCTTCAGCAAGCTCGCCTACCACGATGCGAGAAAGTCGAGATGGGGAGACTTGTGGGCACTAGGGGCAAAGACAAGAGTGGCGCGCAACGTGAGGGCTGGCGTCGGCAAAGACGATGGAGGGAAGCGTGCGGCGGCGGCCGACAAAAAGAAGCGTCGCAAGGTCGAGGTTGCCATGGACAACGGGCGACTGGCGGCGACGGAGAAGCATGCGCCCAAGGACCGGCGGCCCAAGAGCAAGGCTGCCAAGCAGCGCGACCTGATGAAGGAGCTGTTTGATGCCGAGGCCAGAGAAGAGGCACAGCTGGACAGGGAGCTCGACGAGGAGGCCGAAGCAGAGCTGGAAGAGGCGGAGAGACGGGCACAACTCTGACAAAATCTCTCTGTGCAACAACCTGTACAAGAAGGCCTTGCAATAAAGGGCACTGGAAATAGATGTTGCTCCAAAGGGCAACACGTGACAAACTACCGAATGGCATGGTGGAAAATTGAGAACAAGCATCTTCGAGGACGAGAAACTGCAGATGAGACAAGGATAAGAATGAGAATGCCCATCAACGACCCCCGCCGGCCCGCACACAAGTCGTCTGCCAGAGTTCATAATCCTCAGCGCATGATTGGTCCGATGGGGCAGGGCTTCCGGGGGTAGCCCTATGGCGTCACATCAGGCGCAGATTTGGCAAGCCAAAAAAATGGGGGCATCGCGGGAGTCGGCCAAATGTGCCGACCACGGAGTAGGAGGCAAGAAACATTTCTGATGAGACGGGCAAGTCTGGTTTCAAGCTCGAAAAGTTTCCCGGGCCATCGGGCCGAAAGCTTCATGTCAAATCATCCGCGTGGTCACTTGGGAAGGGGGCAAAAGAAGAAAAACAACAAGAAAAAACGAGGCCTCAAAACATGAACACACCAGTCGCCATGGCTGGCCACAACACGATGCTCGCAGGCATCTACTGCACCGACAACATCCACCTGGTCATCGGGACGAACCCGCTCGCGGCGGCGCGGTGCGCTACATCCCTCGCCGCGGGCGCCCACCCCGTGCTCGTGGCCCCGGCCGCGGCAGAATTGCACTGCAACCTGCAGACCAAGATCGAGCAGGGCCTGGTGCGGTGGCACCAAAAGACGATTGACGAGGCGGACCTGTTCTCCCTGGGCCGGGACGAGGTCGGCCGCACCGTCGACGCCGTCTTCGTGGCCTCGGGGCCGAGAGAGCCTCTGGCGGCGCGCATCTCCGAGGCGTGCCGGCGCAACCGCATCCCCGTCAACGTCGTCGACGCGCCGCACCTCAGCACCTTCAGCCTGCTGTCGACGCACACCGACGGCCCGCTGCAGGTCGGCGTCACCACCAACGGCCGCGGCTGCAAGCTCGCCTCGCGCGTGAGGCGCGAAGTCGCCTCCTGCTTGCCCCCGGGACTGGGCGCCGCCTGCACCCGCCTGGGCGAGCTGCGGCGCCGCATCATCCAGCAAGACGCCGACCGCCATGACGACCGCCACCACGCCCTGGCCCCCGTCTCGGCCGGCGACCTCGACGACTCGCTCGGCCAGAGCGCCCTCTTCAACACCCTCGTGCCCGCGGCAAACGACGCCGACGACGACGACGACGACGCCCGCTCCCGCACCCGCCGCATGCGCTGGCTCGCCCAGATGTGCGAGTACTGGCCGCTGAAGCGCCTGGCCGCCGTCACCGACGGCGACATGGACAAGCTGCTCCTCGCCTACTCCTCGCCGCCGGTCCGTCTCCCCGAGCCCGGGCCAGCCACAAAGCGTCCCAGGGGAAGAATCATCCTGGCCGGCGCGGGACCGGGCCACCCCTCCCTGCTCACGTCGGCGACGCTCCACGCCATCCAGACGGCCGACCTCGTCCTGGCAGACAAGCTCGTGCCCTCGGGCGTGCTGGACCTGGTCCCGCGCCGCACCGCCGTCCAAATCGCCCGCAAGTTCCCCGGCAACGCCGACAAGGCCCAGCAGGAGCTCCTCGAGACGGCCCTGGCGGCCGTCGAGTCGGGCAGGACGGTCCTGCGCCTCAAGCAGGGCGACCCGTTCATATACGGCCGCGGCGGCGAGGAGGTGGCCTTCTTCCGGGCCCGCCGGCTCGGGCACAGGGTGACGGTGCTGCCGGGGGTGACGAGCGCCCTGAGCGCGCCGCTGCTCGCGGGCATCCCCCCGACGCAGCGCGGCGTCGCGGACCAGGTGCTCCTGTGCACGGGGACGGGGAGGGACGGCCGCCCGCCCCAGCCGCCCGAGTACGTGGCCGGCCGGACGGTGGTGTTTCTCATGGCGCTCCATCGCGTCGCCGGCCTGGCGGCGGAGCTGACTGGCGGCGACGGCAGCCGCGCGCCGTGGCCGCCGGGGACGCCGTGCGCCGTCGTCGAGAGGGCCAGCTGTCCCGACCAGCGCGTCATCCGCACCACGCTGCGGCACGTCGTCGAGGCCGTCGAGGCCGAGGGCAGCCGCCCGCCCGGCCTGCTTGTCGCGGGGGCCGCGTGCGAGGCGCTGTCGCCGTCGCCGTCTGCACTCGACAGCCCGCCGCCCGCGTGGGTCGTCGAGGAGGGCTTCCACGGGCTCGACCTCGACGCCGACGAGGAGCAGTGGACCGCCAGTCTGCAGGCCGCCGCTGTGGGGGGCGGTTCTTGAAACACAACACGCGCTCGGGGGCTGTTTGTTTTTTTCGTATTTCATCACCGTCGACACTGGGCGTCTTGGCCGATAGCGGGCTTGCTGCTTGCTGCGTTCATTGCATGTCATGTATGTATGTATACCTTGGGAGTCGGGACTCGGCACTCCTTGGACTTGGACTTGGAAGTTGGGCGTGACACGCACACACCTGGGCATCCGACATTCTGTGGAGAATGAATGTATCCTCGGTGCCTGGGCTATTTGAGCATTGCGTAATCGGGACCTGGCCTGGCTTGTGGCTGGTGTCAAAATGACAAGGTTGTATCCTTTGTACTGCGAAACCCTGAACGGGGACTGCTCCCCTCGCCACGGGCTCTGCACGGCTCCCAAGAGCTGTTTCTATTTCCGATGGCGTCTTGTGCCGCCGACAACATTTCAATGTACAAGTCTATGAAACCGTTTCTACAGATGGATGGTTCTTCTCTTTCCTCTGCTGCTAGAACTTGGCAGACACACAAATGCCGTTCCCCTTTGTGCATGTTTCTCTCGAGAATATATACTGCCGAATATTTGAAAGAATGGCGTGCGCCTTCTCAACCCTCCAAGAAGCCGCCGCCGCCGCCGCCGCCGAGAACCCTGCGTACCGACAGGTCACCATGTAAAGCTTTCCTCGATAAAGTCGACCACGGTCTCGCCCTGGACCGCCCGCACAGCACCTCGCACGTCGTCTGCGAGAGCGCCGGGTCCGCAGACCGTCACCGCCATGGCTCCGACTTGCTCTTGGACCTCTTTTGAGAGCAGCAGCGGGATGTTTGGTCGGCCGGGAAACATCTTGACGGTGGAGCTGCTGGTCATGACGTCGCGGGCGTTCTGCGGACGAGTCACAAACACCTGGATGCGAAGGATATCCTTGCGGTTCGGTATCCGCAGGACACGGTCCATGAATGGACGCACCCATTCCAGAGATTCGTACTCTCGGATGATCCACACCAGGGTCACTCGTCGGGTAGCTACCGTTGCTGCGTTGTAGCCCTCTAGGTGGTGCCTGAGGTAGGACATTTGATGCGTGATGCCGGTGGAGCCGGCAAAGAGCAAGAGATGTCCGTACGAGTCGAGGTTGTGATGTCCGGCATAGGGCCCTTCCATGGCCGCTCTGATTGTGATACCCCCAGGTGACCTTTGGGCCTTGTTGAAGAGCTGTCGCGTGAGCCCAGTCTGTGCTCCAATGACAAATGACACAGAGGTCGTGGCGCGTTTCTTGTCCATGCCCCCGTAAAGAGGCTCCTCCTTTTCGGAAATAGGCAGCGAGTACGCGGCGGAATGGTCGACCCAGGCGACAGAAAACGGATGGCTCTCCCAGCATCTGATGCCTGAAAAGCGCAGGTAGGCGTGGGTGCCGGGCTCGATGTTCTTGTATCGTGGAAGATGTAGCGTGACACGGGTCACCTCACCGGGCATGGCTTCACAAAAGGCATCGGTGAAGCCCTTGTTTGACCAATTGTCGTACACAAGTCGAAAAAATCGAGCAAACCGATCCGCAAACCACAAGGCCATGATGCACATGATCCACGACAGCTGCGGCAGGCCACCGGGCAGAGAAGCGGTTGCACAGTGAATCCAGGTACAAGCGAAGATGACGAGTGCGAGCAGGATGTGGAGGTTGAGAAACGTTTCGTAAAAGGCGTGGCGAAGAGGCGAGACGGAGGCGATGAGCAAAACAACCAGGGCAAGCGTACCTACGAAACCAGACGCTATAAACGGCGCGCCCAACGCGTCTTGGAAAACGCCCTTCCAGCCTATATCGGCTACTGCTGGAATGGCCCATGCGATGGTGTGGATGACGGCCTCTAGAACAACAATGCGGCCCATCCAACGGTGCAAGAGGTTGTATGTGTCAAAGCTGATTTTGAGCATCGGTATCAAGGGGTTGTTGCGACCTGCGAAGATAATCAGTGGCACCATGTTGACAACAGCCAAGGTGCCCGAGCGGCCTCGCAGCTCTGCACAAAGGGAGTACTTGTTCTCAATTGACCATTTGAGCACAAACATGTAGGCAACATTGCTTCCGAGGTAGCACAAAATGACCAACATGTGAAGGCGCGACGGCAGGGTGCCCACGTTGACGGCGGACGAGAGCTTGAACTCGCGGTTGTGTCGCTTATTCCACAGAGGCGCGTAGGTGAGGTGCTTCTTGAGGCCAGGCATCCAGCTCCACTGCGAGGTTTTCCAGTAGCCTTGCTTCTCTCGCGGAGTCGACATGGCTGATACTTGTCGGAGCTTTGCCCACAGAATCTCCATGATGCGAATGGCCAGCACTGCAAGGCCGGCGAGGCCCAATGTCCACCAGAGAACATCACGAAAAAATAGGTTCATAGGCTGGTCGACGCCATTTAGCGCGGTGTAAAAAGGGGCAATGGTTGAACTGGGCTGTACCTCTCCAGATCCATGCGATGCTGCCCTTGACTCCAAAGTCTGGGTTGCGTCCATCTCTCTCAAGTGCAAAGCGTGGCGAGCCAGCGCCAGCGGAAGCCCGGGGGGAGGGGAGGAGGAGGAAGGGGAATCGGAAGCGTCGAGGGACAAGGAGAATAGAAGAAAAGGGAGGGTGGTGGGTGGTTCCCAAAGACGGTGTAGAGAATGTGAATGGGCAGATGCAAAGAATGTACGGAAGAAGCCTGCCTCTCGCGTGATGCCGCGCCCCGTCGCTCCAAGAATGCTACGGATAAAAAGGGCAGTCCGCCGCTCACAAAAAGGCTGATCGAGGCTCTTTATGTAGGCACGTCGGTTCGCATCATGCATATGTGATGGGAACGGACGAGCGGGAACGAGAGTAGCGCGCAAGGCGATTCACGGCGAGACGAGGCGTCGCTTGGACGTTTCGGTCGGACGCCGGCACCAAACTTCCAGCGGCGGCGGGAAATGGGAAACGACGGAAGGAGCGAAGAGGAGACGGCGGCACGGACCTGCCAGCCGCGCCCGTGTAGAAGAAAAGTTGCAAGGCAAGTGAGCGACTGAGTGACTGAGCCGTGGATCCGAAACCGAGAAGCCCTGGCCCAAAGGTGAGGTGAACGTGAGGGGGCAGCTGGGGGAAGTGAGGCCAAGGCCGATGTTGAGGGTAAACAAGAAGCAAGGGGGTGCTGGCATGTGGCGGAATTCTCCGCGCGAAACCGCAGCAGACTTCTGGGACCGGACTCCAGATGAAAGTTCCAGTTCCTGGGTTCGTCTGGCGCACTCCGGCAGATGGCCTGCGGCGCAAGAGGCGAAACGATGGCGTCGGATAGCGTGTGTCGATCCAAGTGTCGTCAGCCACGAGATAGGATGGGCAAAACGGTGTACGATGCGCGTGCCGGAACGACGAGTTGATGAGAAGGGGCAGTAGATGCGGTCAAGGTCTTGGGTTTTTTTCTTTTTCCTTTTTGCTTTTTTTTTCCTTTTCCGTAAACAAGTATTCCGTCGAGCTCAGGCAGGCGAGAGGCGAGTTTCAAGCAGCGTCGGGCCGCTGGTCAGTGGTGAGAAGGGGATGCGGATGCAACAGACAGTCAATAGGGCAACAGGGTACGTAGCACGGAGATTGCAATGTCAGAGGCTGTCAAGCACTGCCGACGACGATTGAAGCCAGAGCCCAAATGGCCGTCGATATTGCCCTTGTCCAACCCAATGTAAGAGATAGCGTCCGAATGTCTGGTGACGCCAAGTGCGTGGATCAGAATGAAGCAAACGACACTAGGCTTGCGTCCAGCCGTGCAGAGAAATGCCAGGGTCGGTGGATGAGTCTGAGACGAACGCGGGAGCCAAAACCTGCTAAGGAATGTAGACTGAAGACTGTCGAGGAGAAATAGGGCAAATCCGCCCACAGCGTCGAAAGCACAAATGCGGTCGCTGGGCTGGACTTGACGGAAGGGAAAAAAAGAAAATAAGGGGGAGAAAGACCCCATGGGCAGGAAACCCGGAAATCAAGAAGATGAAGAAGATGGGCGATGCTACTCAGTCGCATATGAAGACAAAAAAAAAAGCAAGGCAAGGCAAAACGTCGGGTGCTCAAAGAGAAGATGGCCTGTCCAACAACAACAAGGGCAATCAATACGAGGTCATCTACTCCGTACGGACCAGCAGTCCTACCAGTCCTGCCCCAGCTGCCCTTGAACATGCCAGGTACTGTATGGATGGGCAGGGCGGGCAGGGATAAAGAGGCTCGACGAACGAACATGCCATCATCCAACATAGCCTTCTGCACCAAAGTCAAGCCAGGTTGTTGCCGTCATGCCAGCAGCAGACAATGGACGTGTCAGGATGCAGTCGATCCAAGGAAGGACAGACGATGCCAGGGGTTCCAAAGGGAGGGCCATGGAGCGTTGGGTGCCACGAGCATTTCGTCGCCGTCAAAAAGGTCATCCGTGTTGGTGTTCATTGGCAACGTCACCGTCTGTTTGATGAAATTCACAAGCGAGCGAGGGCCAACAAATTGAGCGCGCACAGACCAGCCGGAAGAGGGTGTTGAAGACTTCACCAGCCCCTGGGCACCATTGTCTTGTCCATCATCATGGCCGGTTTCTTTGCCCTCTTGCTTCTCTTTTACCGTTTATCCTTTTCGCCGTTGACCATGCCCGCATGCACGTCTTTTGTTCGTTGGCCTTTGCAACGTTTCGTCGAAGCGCCACGGGAACCGTCATGGCTGTCGATTGTCCGCGTGCATACGCCACCATTTCGGCGGCTGCAGCTATGTTCGGCAGGCAGCTCGTCAATGGCCAGTCAATGGCCACGCTCCAATGGCCGTGGTCTTGGTGGCTGGCGAGTGCCTGGCCAAGGCCGTCGCTGACTGGCTGCCCCGTCTGCCCAATCTGCGCCAGCTGCTCACCCCAATTCTTGAAACCGCCCCCATGCAGCCGCTTCCCGTCCCAGCCTGTCAGGGGCAGGGGCAGGGCCAGCCACCACTGACCAGGCAGCCAGAACAGAGGGCAGGAGCGATGGAGGGAAGGCGGGGCCATCCATGCAGGGGAGCGTCTGGTACCAAAAGAATCGACATCGCCTCCATCCAGCCCTTCATTCGCCAGCCTCTTGCAGGCACAAGGCACACAGACGTGGCCGTCTCCTCGTCATCCCGTCTTAATTCCAGTCATCCGCCGTCCTCAAACCACCTGAAGCTATGGAAATGAAGTCCCCCATCCGCCGGCCTTTGCCGTGGATCCGACGAGCCATCGCTCGCCAGTCGCCGCAGTTCCAGGCCTATATCCATCTCCTTCATGGCTGAGGCAGAGTCCACACCAACATGGTCGGGAATCGTGATCCGTGGAACCCCATCGCCAAACCGAGTCACCATCGTGCGATGGAACTGCGATTGTTCCGAGTACACGCAGGAGTAATAGCAACGACGTATCAATCCGCATGGCCCTGATTAAACCAGGCCCCCGAATTTGGCTCACCACCACACTCCGTCCAGTCGATCCGACACCTTCTTGGCGAAATCATTTCAACCATGTTCCATGCCCGCTTTTCCGACGGGGCAACGAATTCATTCTCGACATGGCGCGCTGTCGGCGAATGGTATTTCCCAACGTTCAGTTCGCCGGCTCCCATGTCTGAGATCCTTGGGTCTTCGGGATACTTCCGCTAATTGCTCCCTTTGAACAGTTCCGCGCAGGGCAGCGCATGTAGGGACGGAAGCTAGTGTTCATGACTGGCAGGTACCACCCTTGGACATTTTTGCCAAGGCAACTACTAATATTACTAGTAACTCGTCACATGGATCGTTGCGTCCGCCAAAGGGCAGTGCAGGGTAGAGTTACGCCAAGAATATTGTTTTTCGCTTTTCATTTCGTGCTCAGAGGGTCTCTTTTGGCGCTCATCCCTTGAGCTTTCTATTTGTGGCGGAATATTTGATCCATGCAAGCGGCGAAGCAGGCTCCAATGATTCCTGTCAAGATTCTGTTGTCCTTCTAATGAGAGCACGGCTTGGCTCATCCCTGTGGCATGTGGAAGCAGCTGTCAACGGGCCGACTCGCTGCTTGCAGGATGTTGATTGTCGTCACACTAAAAATTGGGCGTGGCCCACGCCACATAGTTTTTGTGTGTTATTAGTAACTATCCTTTATTCGCTATGCGACAATGGTTGGTCATGCAACAATGGGGCTAAGCCAGAGCCTAAAGGCCACGTTTCTCCTCAAACAATATATCAATGAAGGAACGTTGTGGTGCAGAGTGCGGGAAACACTCCCCTTGATGTCCTCGACACCTCATCAAGTCAGACCACAGCTGGAATAATCTGACGCCGACGCGCAAGTATGACGGCACACTCGACGTTGAAATGGCGAAGGCGCTCATTGCTCATCGCACAGCCACATGAACATGCCCAGCCACGGCGGGGCCTGCGAGTGATTGGCCCGGCCCCCGCACGTCTCAGCCTCAGGCACTGACGATTTGTCCCGTGAGCGACGCAGCCGATCGTGCGCCGCAAATTTCCAGGCCGCGGACCCGGCATCACGAGCTGCGGGAGAACAACTTGTCGCAACCCCCATTGAGCTCGACAAGATGGGCGCCAACGCGTCGAAGCAAGAGGCCAATGGCCAGTACAAGTGGAAGGCGTCAGTCCAACGCGACAAAATCCCCTGCTACCCCAAAGTCGCTGCTAACTCTTGTCTTTTCCAAAAAACCAGCTCCGGGCCCCCTAGCGTCTCTGTCGAAGTTCTCGACTCATTCAAGTCCAGCCCAGAGGTACGGGTTGCAATTGCCTGATGTCGCTCCTCCCCGATCTGCCGTATCTGCCGTCATCCCGTCATCCGTCATCCGTCATCCGTCATCCCGTCAAATCCACAAATCGCCACATGTGTCAATGCCGTCGTCCGCTAACAGAGATGCCGCTCGCCGCCGTCCCCCACCCCAGACCGACGCCTCCCGTGCCAGGTTGATCGAACAGCATATCCAGGCGCGCGTGGCCGAAGAGCTCAAGAAGCTGCAGGACAAGGAATCCGAGGCTCTGGGTGCTGCCCACGACAAGATTGCGTCGTCGGGAGGCAGCGACGACAACGAGCCAAGCAGCTTCTCGCTCGGCAAGGAGGTCGACGAGCTGCGGCGCAAGCTGGAGGGGAGAAGAAACGTCCGCCAACTACCAGAGGGCGTCGAGAGGGCTCGCGGCGCAGTGGTTCGGTGCCTGAGGGAGCACGACCGTCGGCCCCTGGATTGCTGGCAGGAGGTGGAGGACTTCAAGGCCGAGGTGAGGAAGCTGGAGAGGACTTGGGTCGACAGGGTCACGTCATGAAACTGGGTGCTGGGGTTTCTTTGCAAGCATGCCATGCGGACGAGAGAGGTGGTGGTAATGATGATTTTTTTTTTTTTTTTTTGGTGAAGATTCACTGAATCGGCACCAGCTGCCAGCCGCCTGTGGGGGTTACGAGATGGGAAGCAAGTAGAGGAAAGGCTAGCCGTGTACATTACCGCCTTGGAGAAGGGGCGTAGAGAATAAAGATGTACAAACCGGTTGTGTTGAACTCGTCCTGTACGGAGTACATTGTGGCTGATGTCGTCGACTAGGCGAGTCGCCTACTCGGGCAACTTGGGTCCTTGCGGCCGAATTGTCTGCTGATCTTGTACAGGAGCCATGTGCACGTTTATACATTGTGGGTGGCTTGACCAATGCATTATACAGCGGGCTTATATTGCCATTGTCTGCTGATCTAGTACAGTACCCTGTACACGCATATTTGTTATTGATGCCTTGACCAATGTATTATACAGCAACCCCGATATTGTCGTGTGACAACAAGCCCGTCGACATCTGCCGCCGCAACCGCTTCTGTCCCCAGAAGGGCCTAAGCTAAACCAAGTCCAAGATGATGCCTTGATACAAGTCGTCGGCATTGTCGTCGGCATTGTCCCCGGCACCAACCGCGGCTCTCGCGCTCGCATCCTTCCTCCGCAGCAGCCCTTCGGCTCGCATCCTCTCCCTCCTCGCCGCGGCATCCTCCCACTCGGGCCCGCCAGTCCCCAAGCTAGCCAAATCGTCCCTGAATGCGCTGCGAAACCTCTCAATCCGCCTTGTATTCTCTTCGAACCGCTCGTTCCCAATGTCCATCAGCGTCCGGAGGTACGAAGCAGACACCAGCGCACACCGTCTCCCATCGACCTCGCACCCGATCAGAGACTCGAACCCCAGCCCCATCGACCGAACGGCGACCATCGGCCCCGTGGTCCGCGAATCCCCCGACGTCAGACTGACAGCCCCCGACTCCCGAAAGCCAGCCTGCAAAGCCGATCGCAGCAGAAGCTGTGCGTGCGCAAGAGAAGCCGTAAGCACATGCAGGATCTTGTGGTTTCCCCAAGAATAAAATCTCAACGTAAGCTCATTGCTCGCTAGCACGTACGCCGGGTCCGGCACAAAGTCGTCCTCACCATGGGTTCAAACTTGAAGTGAATCAGCCTTCCGCCCCGGCACCCCTGTGGTCCCGGGACCTCGCCGTCCTCGAGCCCAAGGCTGCGCAGCCAGTCCTGGCCGTCGACCGCGTCGTGCGACACGTACAGCCAGGTTCCGCCCCCTCCCTTGCCCCCGACGCCGGTCGAGGTTGCCCTTTCGCCCTCGAGGAAGACGCTGACTCGGCCCGCGCAGCTGCTGGTCGTGACGAAGCCATCGGCGCAGTTGATCTCGTCTATCAAGGGGCGGATGCCGCTGTCGACGCTGCCCTTGGGCGAGAGGTCTGCGTACTCGGCGTCCGGCGCCGCGAGCTGCTGCAGGATCCTGGTCTTTTTGGCGGTGAAGGCTTGTGGCGGCCTGGGGAGCCGCCGCTGCTGCATTTGTCGGGCGGTGTAGAGGTGTCCAGTAGACAGGAGCCCCTCCTCCTGTTTGTTTTGTTGCTGCTCGTGATCTTCACGCTGCGCAGCCAAGGAAAAAAAGAAAAGAAGAGAAGGGCATCTGGTGCTGTCTGTCTATCGGCCAATCAGGTTGCGGCGCGGGGGTGGACAGAGTTACTTGACATGACGCGGGGGGGGAGAAGGGGGTTCTCAACCTCAACTTGGACATGGCGGGTGGCTGGCGCATCAAAAACGGTAGAATTTTTTCTATTTTATTACTACTTCTTCCTTGTCGTGCCAACTACCTGCTGTGCACGTATACAGAGTACGTCCCCTCTGGTCGAAACGTCTATCCACGCACGCTGACGCCGACGCCGACGCTGACGCAGACGCAGACGATGACGCCGTGCCAGACAAGATGCACCCCGACATGTTGTTTTGAAGACGAAGACGGAAAGCAGAAAACGGAGAAAATGAAAACATTGCCATTCATTCAGGCGCAGGACTTGCCACACTGGTTGTCAAACACCCCCAAACTCCTTGCGTACAGGAAAAAATAAAATAAAATAAAAACAGGGCCATGGAATCGTCACGGGAGATACATCTTTGGCTCGCCGCACAGCACCAGCACACACGACTTCTCGCGAGCATGTGTGGAGACACGTGGTGATTCACGAGACGGTAGCGAGCTGCTTTTCTTCCGTCTCGGCGAGGAACTGGGCGTATCTGGATTTCTTGTTGTGGATGCCGCACTCGGTCTTGGACTTGCCCTTCCAGCGGCCGGCGCGCTCGTCCTCGCCCTCCTTGACGGGCGAGGTGGAGTGCCAGTCGCCGACGGACTTGTAGCCGCGGTCGAGGAGCGCGTTGTAGGGCACCTTGTGCTCCTTGACGTAGTCGCTGACCTGGGCAAAGGACCACGTGGCCATGGGGTTGATCTTGATGACGCCTCGCTCCTCGTCGAGCTCGATGACGGGGATGGAGCCGCGCGCGGCGCCCTGCGAGCGACGGCGCCCGTTGAGGACCGCCGCGACCCCGAGCTCCTGGTATGCGCGCTCGAGGGGCTCGACCTTGACGATCCAGTCGTACATGTCGTCGGCCGTGTTCCACAGCTCCCGGCCGTACGTCGCCTCAAACTGCTCCGCCGTGTCGATGCCGTCGGGCTTGAAGACGTTGATGGGCACGTTGGGGTAGCGGGCCCTTACGCGGTCCAGCAGCTCGTGCGTCTCCCTGAAGTGGTGCAGCGTGTCGAGGAAGATGAGCTGGACCGGCTTGGACTCGGGGTTCTCGTCCTGGATCCTGGAGAGCATGTCCATGGTGGCGAGGCCGGTGAGGCCAAACGCCGTCGACTGGAACAGGTTGGGGAACAGGATCTTGCAGAAGCGCAGAATGTCCATGGGGTGCATGGGCTCCATTTGCCTGTTGAGGTATTCGACGTGGGCCTTTGTCAGCGAGACTTCTGGCCGCGAGGGCTCCTCGGCCGAGTAGTCGGACTGCCCTGAGGCGTATCCTGATTCGGGCTCGGCCTTTTCGTCAACGAAGGACGACCGAGGCGCGGCTTCTGACATGACTGACGGCATGCTGGGAGCGCTGCTGGTGCGGCGTTGGATGGAACCGAGTGTTTCCGCGGCGGACGACGGACGAGGGGGAGCAGCAAGAGGGACACGCAGAAGCCGTGGTTTGTGTCTGGTGGTGAACAATGGGCCTGGCCGAGAGACGAGTGCCCGTCCGTATCTTTTGCTCTGGTATTTCTGCCTCTTCCTTTGCTGAAACTCGAATACCAAGCTGTGGAGACTACAAGAATGACTCTGACGCTGACGAATGGACAGTAATCACGACACCGCCTTGTATAGATGGGATGAAGGGGAAAACCAGAAGACGGGCACACCGATATGGGAGGAAGGAGTCTCGAGGTGGATTAAGTCGGAGAAAGTGTGTGAGTTCAAACGGCGGACGAAGAGGGAGACAATTGTCTATTCGGCCCTGACTAATTGCCTACTTGTGCATTGACAATGGTTTTCCAAAACACACACATCCATGCCCTTTCCGAGAACCTTTTCCGTCCCAGGTGGCCGTCCACCGCCGATGGTTTGCCTGGCGGCCCCAAGGGATAGCAGATTGCGTCTGGGAGCGATCACGACATCGACGCCATTGCTTCCGCGATGTGAGCGGCGAAATGTGATTGGCTGGCGGGCCGGCGGGATTTGCCTGGACCCATGTACCGAGTACTTGGTCAAGCACGCCATCACCACGCAAAACGGAGGTTTCCTTTACCGAATGGGTCCCCCGGTTCTTTTTTTCTGGGGTGGATGAGAAATGGCGGCTCTTCGCAATGATCTCATCGTCGAGGGATGAGAAGGGGGGCCAAGTAAACACGCTGTGCTGACAATTCCACCGCAACGTGGTTTTCTTTTATTTTCCCGCCTCGCAGCGCATGGACTTGGTGGCCCGCGGCAACGTTGAGCGTTTGCAACATTCGACCAGGGACTCACCTCACGCCGCCAAGGCTCGCTGACATGTGCCGATGTTCCGAACCAAATTAAACTTAGCTAGACGGTATGAACTTACGCATTGTAAAAATCAATAGATGGCGCTTGGTGGAAATAAACCGCGAGTCCATAATTTCTTCAATTCCGCCGTCACGCCGAATGCCTCGCTATATAATAATACCAGATTTTGGACCAATCAAGTGTCGGGGAGACGAGAAACTAGGCCTCGGCTGGTCGGCGCTGGTGCGGCAGTCGGCGCATGGCACCGAGCGCCGCGAAGTTGCACGGGCGACCTTTTCTGCACGAGCGACAACCCTAACCCTTGGACACCTGGACATGACGTTGCTGTCAAGCTCAGCGGTGGGGCGTCCGCTCAAGTGCCAAGCCGGGCCAAGCAAATTTGAGACAAGGAGGCACTTGCTTGACTTACTCACCAGGTGCCGCCACAGTATTTTGCTCACGAGGCACAGTCATCATTCAATTGCCTCCTTCTGAGCTTTCAAGTTGCCCTTCCTCCAGCGAGCACATCTCGGACCCCAGCCGTGCAAAAAGGCAGCAGCATCATTGGCCCTGCCATCGGGACGCTTGCGAACAGAAGAGAAGACAACTCGGCTTGACGAGCTGCGCCGCCGACGACGCGCACACGCAAACATACTCAACACCTTTTGGCCTGGTTGTGTTTTCCCCCGCCTCACCGCGAATCCAGCAGAGCTCAACCATGGCTGAATCCGGCCGACGCAAACCGTCCGCGGAGCGTCCGCAGATGGACAGGATGCGCCGCAGCAGCTCCTACTTGAGCGACCACCAGCAGTACAGACCGCCAAAGCCAGAAACGTACCACGGCATCGACGAGCTGGTTGAGGGAGGACGCCCGTCGCCCTTGGCCTCCTCTCCCAAGACCTTGCTGCCCTTCCGAGGCGTGCCCCAGGACGGTATGCCCGCGACCATAGTAGAGAGCGGAGTGAGCCACGGCCTGTCGCATCCCAACTGCGCGCCGCCGGCTGGACACAAGTCGGATCGCCTGGTGGCCACCTTATTCTACAGGGGCTCTTCATCTTCTTCCTCTGCTGCCGGCTCTCCGTCTGCTTCCACGAGATCGGCTGGCCTGCCGGAGAGCAACGACGCGCTGCCGCCCAACATGGCGCCCACGAGCAACATGGACGAGTTCCCGCTGGAGCCTCCGACCCAGGAATCGGAGCAGCTGGACCACATCTACGGCTCGTACATCTCGCCACTCTGCATAGCGTCCTTCCTGCACCTCATGTCGACCTTTCCTCAGTCCCGGGGAGCCGGGGAACCGCACTCGTCACACCGCTGCCTCGACAACCCCGAGACACCGCGCATTGTAGAGCTCACACTCTCGCCAACCCCAACGCCTGACTGTCTCAGTCTGTCTGACCTGCGGAAGCACGAGATGATTTACCGTTTCGAGCAGGAGTGGAGCGTGGACGTTGTGCTGCAGCCAGACCTCGTCTGGCGTAGACACCCTCGCTTGGTCGTCTTTGACATGGACAGCACCCTCATCACGCAGGAAGTGATTGAGCTCATGGCCGATACCATCAAAGAACCCGCGGACCTGGCGGCCCGCGTAGCGGAGATCACTCGCCGAGCCATGATGGGCGAGCTGGAGTTTGAGGCGTCGTTCCGCGAACGGGTCGCCCTGCTCAAGGGTGTCAGTGCGACGGTGTTTGACGACCTGCGGCCTGTTGTCGACGTCACCAAGGGCGTCCCCGAGCTCATCAGGGCTCTCAAGCGACTGGGCGTCAAGACGGCGGTGCTGTCTGGCGGATTCCAACCGCTAACCGCCTGGCTGGCTGGGCAGCTGGACATCGACTACGCCTTTGCCAACGAGGTTGTCGTCGACGAGGGCAAACTGACGGGCGAAGCCAAGGGCAAGATTGTCGGCAAGGAGCGCAAGCGCGATCTCCTCGTCGAGATTGCGGCCAAGGAGGGTATTCACCTGTCACAGGCGGTGGCTGTTGGCGATGGTGCAAACGACCTGCTGATGCTGCGCGAGGCCGGGCTGGGCGTGGCGTGGAATGCGAAGCCGCGGGTGCAGATGGAGGCGGATGCGAGGTTGAATTCGGACAGTCTGCTGGACTTGCTGTACTTGTTTGGATTTACGGCTGAAGAGATACAGATGCTGTGTACGGAGGTGTGAGAAACATTCACAAAACAAAACAAAACAAAACAGCGGCCACATTTTGACGGTGGGCAGCTATTTGGGACGCGGGGGACTCGTGTCGTGGCCTAGCGTATTTTTTTTTCATTAGCATGGGTTAAGGAGGAGCCATTGTAATGCATCATCAGAAAGCAGCTTTCTTCTTCAACCTGCCGTTGTTCCCAGAGTCGGTGACGGGACGCGCAAGAATCGCAACGAAGCAGCAGCAGCAACAGAAGCAGCAGCAGCAGCGAGGCAATGACACAAAAAGAATACGTTGCCTGTTGAAACGGGGCTCATCCGGCGCCCAGCTACACATCTACCTCTACGTGGACACCCCACGGCCCATCCTTGGCCTTGTTTTGCCGGCAGCCGCGCATCCCGGGCCGCCATTTCTCAAATCTACACGGCTTCAATATACAGCGCGCCCTCCGCCCTTCTTCCCTCCCCCCTCCGCGGACTCAAGGGTATCCCTCCTTGCCCCATTTGTTGTACTTGTCGTGCAGCTCCGCGGGCAGCGTGACGTTGGGGACGACGACGACGTTGAGTGCGCTCGGGGCGTCCTTGGGCTCCTTGGAAAGGTCGCCGCCGGGGTGGTACTTGTATTTCCCTTGGCCCTCGCCCTCCCAGGGCCTGCTGGCGATGGTGACGGGGCTTTCGGACGTGGACTTTGTAGGGGAGCGGCCTGCCGGTCGGGCGGTACGGTACGTGCGTGGGTTAGCCGCGTGTGCTGCTGCTGCGTGTGTGCGCTGCCGGGACGGGGACGGGGACGGGGACGGGGCGCCCAGGCGACGTAGACATACCAAAGTAGAAGCCGGCTCCGCCGAGGGCGGCGACCATGACACCGCCGAGGATCTGGTCTCTTAGCTTGGGGGGTTTTTGTCGCGTTGGAGGAGGCCCGGAGGAGGACGCACCATAAGCTCGGGGTTACGCTTGGACTCGCTCTTGAGGTCGCCGCTGGACTGGAGGCGACGGGCGGTGGTGGTGAAGAGACGGCGGGGGATTAGGGAGGCCATTATTACTGTTCTTCTTCTTCTTTGCGGTGACGAGGGCGGATGCTGGATCGAGGTGGCGGGTTCACGGGGTCTGTGGGAATTGAGAAGCTTGATGTCTTTGGGCTCTGGGGTGAGGTGAGAGGAGGGCACGGCTTGCGAAGAATGCTATTGGCCAATTGGATGTGTCACGTGGGGGGTCACGTTAGGGCACGGTCTGGTGACGTGTGACGAGGACGTCATGGGTCCATGGCTACGGGTTCCCTTTGGCGCGTGTGTGTCAATTCGTGCTCTTGCTTGCTTGCTGCTTGGGATGGGGGATGGCGGCTGTCTTGTGCTAGGGGATGCGGTGTGGGTATGGCGCAATCGCGGTGGCATCATGGGAGGTGTGGCGAGGGCCGGCCGGCGAGTCCGGCATTGACGGGGCCGGATGATGCCGACACGATGCTGGAGGGCCCGGAGGGGGATGCCTCTGGGCCGCTACGTGTGTACCGTTCTTGTCTGTCTGGATGTTGGCAGTATGAAGGTACCGAGCACTCAAGTAAGAACCTACCTAAGTACCCGGGTAGGTACTTAAGGTACGTTAGTAATGCACTCAAGTGCCTAGGTACTTGAGTACTTGTGTTGGTCGCGGACAGTTGCGCACTAGCGCGCGCAAGGCGTTGTGCTAGACCAGATTGGACCACGACCGGTTGACCCCTTGTTCAACAACTGGTAATGCAAACGAACGACTTAATTACCTAGGTAATGCGTGGGCGCGGCCTGCGCACTGGCTGGCGCTGCTGCGGCGCGGAAAAAGGAAAAAGGACCACCATCACTCCCGCCAGACTTTCATCGCCTTGGCCTCCTTTCCCCTTCCCTTCCTCACCCACCTTGGCAGAGCCCTCCGTGACACGCCCATCGTCCATCGTCCATCGTCGCCCGTGTCGTGGCCCTTTGCATTCCTCCAGACCTAAGCCCGTCCCTTTGTCCTGTCTCTCGGCCTGCGACCGCCCGCTCCGCTCCCTTCCCTCGTCGCACTGGCCCTGGGCAAACACGACGACACGACACTTGATACGTCTCTCGTCACATCTGCTCCGCTGGTCGTCGTCGTCGCCTCGCTCCGCTCCCTTTCGATGCGCTCTTATCCAGCCAACCTTTGCATCAGGACCTATCTGGCTCCCTCAGGAAATTGCTCTCGCCCTTTTCGACGAACCTAGTTTATTCAACCCACCTCCGCTGGAATTCGGACTTTGCTGGACACCACGTATACTCCCTGAATCTGAGAGGGCGGCCTGCCTCGGATTGGAGCAATAACCACGGCCGCGCCCGCTCGGTAAACCAAGCCATCGACATTGGGCCTTTTGTGCAACGACGCGGAAGTTCGGTCATGTTTTAACGCCATCGGACGAGATCGCAAGGTAAAGAGCATCACCATCATGCGCTCCCAGGACCCGGCCGGCAGGGCCGTGTCACTAGGGGACAACGACGGCGCTCTCCCTCACGCCGGCGGGACCAGCCATCAGCGACCTGCAAGTATTGTCTCTTCACGTATGACGGACATTGCCAGCGACGATGGGGGCGAGGCAACGGCCGGGAATGCCAATCCATCGCGACCAGAAACCGCCAGGACCGGTGCTTCGTCCAAAGCTACCTGGGCGGCAGCGGCTGCGCGCAAGGCTCTGGCGCCTGGCCTTCAATCAAACAGAGCAAGTCTTGCAAGCACAAGTGCCTCGGCACCGGCACGCACACCTAGTTTGACGACGCGGAGCCATGTACCGTCGCTGACATCTGGTGCCTTCCTTCGACCCATGAGTTCCCAGAAGCTACAAGCACAGCGAGGGGCCGGCGCGAGACCTGTCCCCGTCAACCAGCAATTACGTCCGCCGCCTGCGAACCTCGATGACAATGAAACCGACATGGGCGGCAGCCTCATTGACGGAGCGAGTGGCGGCGGGAACATGCACAACATTGCCCAGCTCCAGCGCAAAGCGAGTGCAGGACAAAGCCTGCGCCCCCCGCCGTCGCGAGGGACTGAAGTGACCGACGAGGACATGTTGGATCGTTTCATTGCCAATGCGAGCCCGACCACGGCGCACTTTCCCGCCGCCAGCATGTCCGACAGTGTTCGGCCCCTGCAGGCACGAGCCGGCCAGAGCAGGGACCTGACTATAAACGTGGACAAGAGCTATAGAGACCTCGCAAACCACGCCAGCCCCGTGAGGTCGACGAAATCGTTCCGCTCAAGCTTTCTTTTACCAGCAAAGGCGGAGCAGGCGCACCCCAGCCGGCACAGGGACAGGGACACCGCAGGTGCCGAGAAGCTTTCCTCTACGGCTTCATCACCGCGATTGCCCAGGGTAGGGTCGCGCTCCGGACCTCAGCCGTCGGCAACGCGTCCGCAAGGACAGAGCCGCGGCCGTGTTCACCAATACTTTGACGGCAATACGGTGTTCTGCCTTGGCGGTAGGTGGCAGAACACCAGACACACACCCATCAATATTGCAACCGGGGCACTCATCGTCATCCCATGCGCCTTGTTCTATGGCTTTGAAGCACCCTGGCTGTGGCACAACGTCTCGCCTGCCATTCCCGTCACGTTTGCGTATCTGACCTATCTATGCCTCTCTTCCTTTGTTCATGCCTCCGTTTCAGACCCTGGTGTGAGTTGTGTTTGACGGAATCCCCCTTTGTCATTGCCGTGCGATGCTGACCGAGTACAGATTCTGCCTCGGAACCTCCATCAGTTCCCGCCAGTCTCCGACCAGGATGACCCTCTTCGGCTTGGACCACCAACGAATGACTGGACGCTGGTCAAGTCGGCCGAATCTTCGGCAGCTGCCATGGAAGTTCCGGTGAAGCACTGCCGGACTTGCAACATTTGGCGGCCGCCTCGAGCTCACCACTGCCGGCTATGCGATAATTGCGTCGAGACGCACGACCACCACTGTGTGTGGCTGAACAACTGCGTTGGCAAACGCAACTACCGCTACTTCTTTGCATTTGTCACGTCCTCCACGATTCTGGCCGCGTATCTGATTGGCACGAGCTTGACACTGATCCTCACACATATGAATCGTGCAAACATCTCGTTTGGCGAATCCATCGACCACTTTCGGGTCGCATTTGCCCTCGTCATTCTTGGAGTGGCTTTAATCGTGTACCCCGGCGGGTTGACGGGCTACCACTTATTCCTCATGGCTCGCGGGGAGACGACGCGAGAATACATCAACTCGCACAAGTTTGCAAAGAAGGAACGGTACAGGGCTTACAGCCAGGGCAACTGGCTCAAGAACCTGATGGTCGTTCTCTGCCGCCCTCGATCCCCCGCATACTATCGCTTCAAGGGCAAATATCGGCCCGGGGATCAGCGACTTGGCCAGCACTACAGCCTGCGGACACGAAAGAACCCGCAAGGCCTCGAATTAGACGTGGTGGCACCTGGCTCACGCGGATTCCAAGGGCCGGTTGCGTTGCGAGGAGAGAGCCGGGGATGAGTGACTCTTTGACAAGTGTATCCATGTCTGGCAATGACTGCATTGTTGGTGCACACATCTTGGGAGCACAGCTGTATCTTACAACCTTTTCTACTTCATTTTGTCTTTATTTGCCACAACCTTGTTTAATGGACCTAGAAAGAGGAGGTAATGGATCGCCATGGATTGTCGAGTCTGGCGAGGAGCGTGGCGGACGGGGGTGTACAAAAGAGACGTGCTGGGTACGCTTTTTTCTTCATTGTTTCTCCATTTCTTTCGTCTATTATACCCTCAGCGACCTGAGTTTCCACTATGTAAGCGGAGAGAGATATGGGGAGGAGGATGGGAAGCGGAGAGAATGTAAGTAGAATGTTTGGGAAAGGGGGCAAGCGTACCGCCACGCCGGCCGTTGGGCCTTGGAGCAGATTTCGAGTAAATACCATACCACCAGCTTTGATGTACGTTTGTATACTTCAGGATGAACTTGAGTCGAGGTGGAAAAGCGGTGGCACGTGGAAGTTGTGTGCGTGTGCACATGCACATGTACATGCACATCGACACATGGTGGCACGAGGTACACAGTTACTCGGTACGTGCCTGCGTGCTTACCGCCCGGGCAGAAAAAAAATGAAAAAATGAAAAAATGAAAAAAAAAAATTCAAATTTCAAACATTGAAAGTCGGCACATGCATGTGGGTGGATCCACTTCATGCGGCGGCCCAAACCAACGACTCGAGTGGCCTGGCGCGGCGCAGCAAGGCTTAGTATTTCTTAGCTACTCGCGGTCCGGCCGTGCAAAACCTTTACGTTTCTCCTCCATCGTTTCCTCCGCCAGGACGAGAGAGTGTGTGCTTGTGTACTGCGGCAAGTTCCGTTTGCGCTCGCTCTTGAGGTACTTGCTTGGCTGGCTACGCCGACGGGGACGACGACGACGACGACGACGACGACGACGACGGGATTAAAGACGAGACGCCACAAGATTTGAAAACCAACCAAAAGGAAAAAAAAAAGAAAAAAAAAGGGAAAAAAACAGGCATCATTTTACCGGCTTCACCTGTCGAGGCCAGGCCCACGATGCCTCACCCTGTCTCGCCGCCGACCGTCGTGTCCAAAGACGCCGCCCCTCCGCCGTCTCACGAGGACGTTTCCGGCTTCCTCAACACCATCTTCAATGCCCAGACCTCGGCCGCCTCTGTCGACGCGAGCTACGGCCTGTGCGAGCTGCTCCTCAACTCGGTCGGCTACGCGGGACTGAACCAGTACGGCGTCTTGGCCGAGATCAAAAAGGCCGCTGCCGACAAGAAGAATGGCCTCCGGAGAGAGAGCAGTCAGAACCTCCTGGGCGCCATCTTTGAGCGCTTCCCCCCGAAACAGGCCGTCTCCGAAGTCGTCTTCCTCGTCCAGGAGGACGACCTTGTTCCCTGTGCGCTGGACGCCCTGGCCGACAAGGGCGCCGTCGTGCGCGAGGCTGCTCAGTACGGCCTGGACGCGCTGTTTAATAATTTGGCCGCAGAGGCTCTCGTCACCGGCCTGCTGCCCGTCCTGGTCAAGTACTTGGACAGGAAGACGGGCAAATGGCAGGGCACGGTCGGTGCTTACAAGCTGCTCCAGAACATGGCAGACAAGGCCAAGCTCGTCATTGGCGCCACCAAGCACGAGGCTGAGGAGAAGGATGTCCTCCGCGAGGCCATGGGCTCCAAGCTTGCCGGGCTTATCCCCATTGTCGAGAGCGGCATGCACGATCTCAAGCCCGAGGTCGAGAAGCAGGCCGTCCAGACCATGAACTCCCTCACCACGCTCCTCTCCAACGACGATGTCGCGCCCCGAATCCCGCTTCTCGTCCAGACGATGCAGCACCCTTCGGCTCAGGCTACTCAAAGGGCCATCCATGCCCTCTCCCAGACCACCTTTGTGGCCATTGTCACCTCTCCCGTCTTGGCGCTCTTGACGCCTTTCCTGGAACGCTCTCTCAACTCGCCCAACACCGCCCAGGAAGTCCTGCGCCAGACCTGTGTCATCACCGAGAACCTGACCAAACTGGTCCACGACCCCATCGAAGCCAGAACTTTCCTCCCCAAGCTCTCGCCCGGCATCAAGGCTGTCGCCGATCGGGCCTCGCTTCCCGAAGTCCGTGAAGTTGCTGAGCGCGCCCTCGCCATCATGGAGAAGGCCATGGCCAACGACAAGGACGTCATTGCCCGGACTACCCTCGACGATGTCGACAAGCTCGTGGACGAGCACGTCAAGCAGCACCGTGGCGTCGCGGCCCCCAAGCAGGATATCTATCAGCTGGTGCGGCCTTATATCGGTGACATGGTCGCCACCAATGTCAACTACCGTTTCGTCAGTCGCATCGCTGCTCGCATTGCGCCTTACTTGCAGCCCCTTCTGCAGGATCCCGACGCCGCCCAGAAGATCGCCCATGGTGTTCAGCAGCACTACGTTGATGAGGACCGTGGCCGGTTCGGCGTCCCCGAGAAGGAGGATGACGGAGAGGTCGAGATTGTCAACGCCGACTTTTCACTGGCGTACGGCGGCATGTTGCTTCTCTCGCACACCAACCTGCGTCTGCTCAAGGGCCACCGCTACGGTCTGTGTGGTCGCAACGGCGCTGGAAAGTCTACTCTCATGCGATCCATTGCCAATGGCAAGCTCGAGGGGTTCCCGCCCCAGGACGTCCTCCGCACATGCTACGTCGAACACAACCAGGGCGAAGATGCCGACATCTCCATCCTCGAGTTCGTCGCAAAGGATCCCGAAATTGGACCCCAGGGCACGGAGCGCATCTCGCAAGTCTTGACCGAGTTCGGCTTCACGCCCGGTCCCGAGGGTCGCCAGGCCCAGAAGGTCGGCTCCCTCTCGGGCGGTTGGAAGATGAAGCTGGCCTTGGCCCGGGCCATGTTGAAGAGGGCCGACGTCCTGCTTCTCGACGAGCCTACCAACCACCTGGATGTGGCCAACGTTGCTTGGCTGGAGGAGTACCTCAAGTCTCACACCGACATCACCAGCTTGATTGTGTCCCACGACTCCGGATTCCTGGACAACGTCACGACGGACATCTACCACTACGAGCCCAACAAGAAGCTGGCCTGCTACAAGGGCAACCTGGCTGCCTTTGTCAAGATCCGCCCCGAAGCCAAGGCCTACTACACCCTGTCGGCGTCCAACGTGCAGTTCAAGTTCCCTCCGCCCGGGATCCTGACGGGCGTCAAGTCCATGACCCGTGCCATCATCCGCATGACCAACGTCTCGTACACGTATCCCAACGCGCCCAAGCCCTCGCTGTCAGACGTCTCGTGCCAGCTCACCCTGTCGTCTCGCGTGGCCATTATCGGCCCCAACGGCGCAGGCAAGTCGACTCTCATCAAGCTGCTCACCGGCGAAACCGTCCCCAGCTCCGGAAAGGTCGAGAAGCACCCCAACCTGCGCATCGGCTACATCAAGCAGCACGCCCTCGAACACGTCGAGATGCACCTGGAGAAGACGCCCAACCAGTACCTCCAATGGCGGTATGCCTACGGCGACGACCGAGAGGTGCACATGAAGCAGACCCGCGTCTTGTCCGACAAGGATCGCGAGCAGATGGACAGGTGGGTCGACCTGAAGGACGGCAAGTCCCCCAGACAGGTCGAATCCCTCGTCGGCCGTCAAAAGTACAAGAAGACGTTCCAGTACGAAGTGTAAGTCGACCCAACCAACCAACCCTTGCTTTCGTGCCGCTCCCGCTCCCTTCCTTGGGCTTGTGACCAACACGACGCAGGAAATGGCGCGGCCTCCTCCCCAAGCACAACACCATGATGTCGCGCGAGACCCTGACGGGGCTCGGCTTCGACAAGATGGTCCAGGAGTTCGACGACCACGAGGCCTCCCGCGAGGGCCTCGGGTACCGCGAGCTCCAGCCGTCCGTCATCTCGAGGCACTTTGAGGACCTGGGGCTGGACCCGGAAATCGCCAACCACAACGAGATCGGGTCCCTGTCGGGCGGGCAAAAGGTCAAGGTGGTGATCGCGGGGGCCATGTGGAACAACCCGCACCTGCTGGTGCTCGACGAGCCGACCAACTTCCTGGACCGCGACTCGCTGGGCGGGCTGGCCGTGGCCATACGCGAGTTCCGCGGCGGCGTCATCCTCATCTCGCACAACGAGGAGTTTGTGGGCGCCCTGTGCTCGGAGCAGTGGCGCGTCAGCGAGGGCCGCGTCGCGCAGCGCGCCGCCGCCGCCGTCGCCCTCGACCGCTTCGAGGACTCGCCCTCGCGCCCGGGCAGCGCCGTCGCCAGCAGCACCGCCGCCAGCTCCGTCGTCAGCAGCGCCGTCAACTCGGGCGTCGAGGACAACGGCGCCGACATGAAGTTCCGCGCTCGCAGGAAGAAGAAGATGACGAAGCGCGAGCTCAAGGAGCGCGAGGTCCGCCGCCGCCTGCGCCACATTGACTGGCTCAACAGCCCCAAGGGCACGCCGCATCCTCCCGACACCGACGACGAGGAGGAGTAGTCAGTCGCTGGTGGTCGACCGTTGCTTCGGTCGGGGCGCGCCTGTCTTGTCTTGTCCCGTCCCGTCCCGTCCCGTCCCGTCCCGTCCTGTCCTTTTCGTCCCTTTCGTCCCTTTCGTCCCTTTCGTCCCTTTCGTCCCTTTCGTCCCGCCGCATTGCGTACCTTGGAAACAAACAGTAGACGCGTATAGACGAGTAAACCCCATTGGGGGGGGGAATAGATGGCGTTTTTGCATGGAACGCGGCCGCAGTTGCGGTTTGTTGCGCTCGCACTAGATATTCTGATAGACTCAAATGCCATCTCGTCGTGCATTCACGTGCGCGACTGCCACGGCGCCCCTGACTTTGTACACGGAGTGAATTCAGGCCCTATCCTGTCTATGCTTTATATACTATACTTGCTTGCGAGCACTCCCACGCGAGCACTCCCATTATGTACCCTCTTGATCTTCACCACCACCCACCGCACGGACTGGCCTGGCGCATCGATGCGCGGAAGCACTGCGTGTTTGACGACCAGCGAGCACACTCTGACCTGCCATCCACGCGTGTCCGAGGACGTGCAATAAGTAGCATGCGACTCGACGTGGTGGGGAAACGGCTAGATTATTGCAAAGGGTAGAAAGTCGAGTCGATGGCGCATCGGTCAACGCGCCGTGTGGGTATTCAGACAATCCAGACAAAAGATGAACAATAAAAAAAAAAAAAAGGCTCGAAAACTCCAATCCGTCTATGATGGCTATGCAATGGGACAAAAAAAAGGAAAAAAGTCAGCAACGGTTTTCGCAATGCCCCCCTGCCCCCGGTGAATGTCACGTGGTGGAGGGAAGAGAGAAAAGAGCAGCCAAAAAAATAAAATTATATGTGAATAAGTGAAGAGACAAAATAATGAAAAGACACTCGTCGACAGTATCCGCCCACATTCACCATGAAAACGTCATCAGGGCTGGGTTCAGCGCCAACGGCAGCAGGAAGTGACTCGCGGCGACGGTGGCCATGGGCAGGATGGCGACAAAGTCGGTGATGCGCCAGTCGTGAGGCACAAACGGCGCGACGGCCATGATGATCATGCCGGCAGTGGCCAGGAGCGAAAACAAAATGGAGAACTTGAACTGTTGGACAGTAACACGTTAGCAGCTTTCTTCCTCGGGTCTGTTGCTTCCTCCCGCTCAAGTAGTGAGAAATTCATGCGTCTGTGTCACCGACAATGGGCTCGGCCGGTGGGATGTGGCACTTCGATATTGCCAACGAGGCTTCCTTTTCTGGGACCACGGACTCCTTCCGAGAAATCCTTTACGACAATCCCCCACTTGGGCCGGGCACCGACGGAACGAAAAGATCCTCTCTCTCTCTCTCTCTCTCCCCACATCAGAACTCACCTTCTTCAAAACTTTGGGAACCTCGATGAAAAAGTTGGAAAATTCCGCCTCCTTGCTCGTGGCCCCCCAGGTCATGTTGATCTCAAACATGTGAGCCAGCAGCGCTTGACTAACGTGCAGCGACAGGCCACCCAAGAAGATTGCCAGCATAATGGTCCACTTGAAGTTCTCAATCAGCGCGTAAAGAATGCTGCGCTCGCCGACACGATACCGCATCACTGCCAGAGCGACATTGCCGAGGCCGTTGAAGACGATGATGATGGAGAACCACACCTTCCAGGAGTCGACATAGTACTTGTCCAGGTACCCGTTGAACCAGCCCATGAGGAAGTAGTTGACGGTCGTCATGACCCAGGCCGCGCCAATGGCATAGTACGTTCCTATGTACGACACAACCGTGATCTTGGAGGTAAAACGAATGTTGGAAAAGAGGAACCGGCGGAACAGAGGGGTAAAGGGGCCGCGCCAGAGCCAAGTGCGGATGGGGTGGAAGAGCAGTTCATTGCAGCCGTAGGCGTACTTTTCCCATCGCGCAAGCTCGTCATACACGGTCAGCGACACGCCCTCCTTGAAGCCCTCACCAGCCCACGCGGCAAGACGGATGATGTAGCCATTGCACTGCAGGCGGAGCGACATATCAAAATCTTCAGACACGTGGCTCTCGGACCAGAATTTGTCATAGCCGTCCTCATCTCGGTAGGAAACCTGCTGAATGGCAGACCACCGGAGAATGGCATTGTGGCCGACAAACGGAGCAACGTCACCGTTGGACACGGTGTATCGGATGGCCGAGTAGATGAGGTTGGTGAAGAATGTGATGCCGTTCTCGAAATAGGTGTGCACAACTTGCATCACACCAGATGAAAACTGCATGATACCGACGTCTGGAGACTGTTCCATTTCGGAGACAGCGTCCAGGAAGCAATCAGCAGGGACACGCGTATCCGAGTCGATGAGGAGAATGTAATCGCCAACACGAATGTTGCCATCCGCCCAGGCACGGCCGTCCTCGACCAGGACTTCCTTGAGAGCTTGTTCATAAGCTTGTGCCTCGTCGTGCTGACTCCACTCATGGGGCCGGTTGATGGCCTGCAGTTTCTCCTCGACCTTGCAAGAAATCATGAGAGCATAGTTCATATTGGAGGCCTTCTTGAACTTGCCCCTGCGCAGGAAGCCGTTCTCGCCATGCTTGGGACGCGCGACCCAGCCAATGCTATTGTCCGCGTAAAATTCGATACGGGCACGGCGATCCTCCTCTGAAATGAGCTGCAGACCGTCGTCATTAACAAACATGTTGGCTGACCCGCCCTGAAGTTCATAGGTCGACATGGCCTGCTTGATGGACTTGACGGTGGGGATGATGACGCCTTGCAGACCCTCCTTGTAGACAGGGCACTGGATCGTGATGTGAGGCAGCACCAGCGTCTGCAGGCGGGGCGGAGGTCGTGCCGAGTAAAATTTGGAGTTGATGGTGAGCTGCCGGATGGGACCGAAGATCTGAGCCAAGCAACCGACGATGACCTGGGCGAAGAAGAGAGTGAAGAAGATTTGGATGGGGAACAAGGCCACGAGTGCCAAACGAATATAGCTGCCATCGACGGAGACTTCGATGGCCAGCTCGCGCCAGGCGGCCCCAAGAGAGACGGTCACGAGTATGAGTGTCAGTGACACCAAGACTGAGTTCTGGAGGTGGATGGGTCGCTTTTCGGGCTTGACTTCGCCGCTCTCTTCATCAATCTCGGCCTCGACGACGTGGCCGCCCCTCTTTTCGTCCTCTTCGTCATCCGTATTGCCCGCCTTCCACACAATTTCCATGAGCTCAGACTCAATGGCTTTGGCACGCGAAATGAGGTGGAGCGGATCATCATCCCAGACAACCAGCAGACCCTCGGAAGCGACAAAGGCAGCGAATTGATGTTTGCGCGCACGCGGAAGATCCTCGATTGTGGGCAGGATTTGCACCCGCAAGCCGTTCATCAGTGGCACATCGACAGCGTCGGGGGACCACTGCAGGAAAGTCTTGATAACCCGAGAGTTGACCGTCATGGCTGACTGCACATTCATGGCGGAGCAGGCCAGGGCGAACGGCGAGCTTCCAAGTTGAGGAGGGCAGGCCATGTAGTGGCCTCGCACCTTTCTAAGAAGAACACCCTCAATCTCACCCGATCCATCACTGACCCAGAGTTGGGAGCATTGTTGCTGATACAGGTAGTTCACCATGACCTCATGCTTAATGTCGTCCAGGAACATGGAGCTCCCTGCTGTTGACGGCGTGGATCGACCAGACATGGATTGCGGCCTCGAGTGGAAGCGATACGTGGGGGGCTGAAGTTCCATGTCATTTCTGTTGATTTGTAAAGAAGCCGGTCGCTTCTCTGACAAGGCAGAAGACTGTTGACTCCGGCTGGGCCTGGAAGCCGGTCGACCTGGTTGAGAAGGAGCAGGTTCCGACTTATTACCAGCCTTGAAGTAGCTGGCAAGACCCATGGTGGGCTTTTGACCCGAAACTCGAGTTGTGTGAAGTTCAGTCTCGAACAGGTTTATGTTTTGTTTCGCAGAGAAGGACGCAACTAGTGATGAATGGTGAAACCAAGACGTTCGGCACTGGGGTCGGCTCGAAGCAAAATGCTTTGTCGTTTTGCTGGATTCATTCAACACACTTGGATCATGTGTACAAACAGTCGGCCACCAGCAGATGTCGAAGTAACGAAGACGGAGACGCAGAAATTATGTCCTCCGACGAAAATTCAAGGCAGCGAAGGGTGTGGAAGGGGTAGCGAATGTTTTCGATGCGGCTCTGTTACAGAGAGGGATGGTCGCGGTGGAACGAGAGTGAGGGACGCGAATCGTCGACCAAATGTACCCAGGCTGGGGCAGGACTGGAGGCTGGCAGCTCAGCAAACCGCAAGCTGCCAGCAATGAGGGACGGGAGAGGGGACGATATTAAAAGAAAAGAGGGACGGTGAGCGCTGATGATGGTCTGGAAGTCAACCCGGGATCCAGGCCAGGCCGCGCGAGAGAGGTGGGTATGGACTTACAAGATCGGTGGCTCCTGTGCGATCTCTCGTCGCGACTGGGAGCCCAGATAAGCACAGGGGGGAGTGTGTCTCTCGTCAAGGCTCCCCGAAAGACTGGACTCGTCCCGAGGACCAACGACCAAGGACGGAGAGAGAGGGCGGACACTTCCGGGGTTGGTTGTCTAGTTCCGACTACAGAAGACCCTGATAGAGAGGTCGAGCAAACGGGGTTCGGTCAGAGCAAGAGAGCGAGGAAGCATGGAAGCAAGGGACGGCCTGTCATCTTGATGTCGGCAAGACGGATCCGCCGGCCAGGAGGAGTATATCTTTGCCTCTGCTCGTCCCTCAGCATGGCGCTTGTGAAAGAGGTGTGCAGAGCGAGAAAGCGACGCTTACATGGACCGGCGAGGCGGCAGGCTACACTGATGTGCGGTGAGAATCGACGGAGCCCGAGAGCCCTGCTGCCTGCTGGTGCCTCGGTGTCATGGTGGCCAGGGAGAATGAAACCAGAGTCAGTGGTGAAGCTGCTAGACAATGCATCGTGTCCTGCAACACCCGCTCGGGGACTCACTTGGGGCGAAGGGAAAGAGCCAGAGGGGGCGTGTGAGGGGGGGCAAGGGACAGAGACGAGGTCCAAGGGCCACCCCGTCCCCGGTCCACCCACGTTTTTCCCGGGGGTGGACCACAGACCGCACACCCCTGCTCGGGGCTTCGGTCTTGGGGGGCAGCAGCGACTGAGAGATGGGATCCCAAATTTTGCGTGTCCCAGCGGCGCTGAAGACTCGTCCTCGTCATCGCCGTTTGCCCGTGGCTTTGCGGCTTGCCCCGGCCACAGCCACAGCCGTTGCCGTTGCCATGATTGGGGCAGACTCTTGGGCCCCAGGCCCTACAGGAATCGGGTGCCGTCCCAGAGAGCGAGCGTCTGGTCACTCGGCTCGAAAATACGTAGGTCTCGCCGCCACGGGCTGGCAAGTCGAGTCTCGAGATGCCAACGCCTGGTGGATGGATGGATGGATGGATGGATGGACACACGCCTGGCCGCCGCGGTTTATCGGTCAAATGAGAAAAGGGAGGCCATTGTCTTGTGGGCTTGGAGCGCTTCGCAGGCGCCGGCAGCAGCGCACTCCTGGCACTACACCTCATTTGCACGCGCCGTTCACGTCGCCGGCGTAGGCAAACCATGGGGCGCTTGGGCGACAGGGACGGCGCTGATTCGAGTTCCCACGTCGCCACAGGAGCTCTGACAGAAAGTAATCTAAAACCGGGTGAGAATCTGGGCCGGAGCCGTCCGTCCAGGAACTCCCGCAGCTCACTGCTGCTAATGAGCCTGAGTGGGGTGGCTTGGGCGGGATTTGTCACGGCTGCTGCTCCGTCGGCGGCGGCGTGCTCGGTAAAAGCGGCCATGCACGCTTTTCCCACCTGAGCATCCAGGGACTAGGGCCACCGTTCCTCGGCTGTCCCTGGAAGTTCCAGATGGAGCCCCGCCGCCCGTCTGTGGCGCAAACGCTTGCACCATACATGTCGACAATTTTATTTCCAGCCTCTCGTCTTGCCTGGCTCGACACGGCGCAGCGACCCTCGCCTCGACGTTTCGTCGTCCGCCGACGCAGCGCGCACGCAGGCACCCACTCGACTCCGTTATAGCCTGGCTTGTTGTTTGTTGTTGCCCTTTGTTCGCCATCTTCTGGAAACAGCCCTGTCTTTGACAGGAGACTTGGGCACCTCGCATCACCCACTTTCTTTCCTTCACCGTCAACAAAAGCGTCTTGACAGGCAAACAGACACCGGCCTGTAGCTGCTTATTCCAGCATCGAACTGACTGCTGCCAACTCGGTCCGCTTGCTCCAGCATCCCACCAAAAAGGGGGGGGGGGGCGGCCCTACCTATCCGTATCCTTCCATGTCCTGCCCTACCGGCTGGCTTTTGCTGCAAAACGCCGATCCGGCCGCATTTCCAAGCCTGCCGATAAGGTTCAGTCAAAGCCACTGGCGGGCTGAAACCTGCATGCCATGATCGGAATCCAGACGGACAATAAGAGAATGCGTCCCGACAATAATGACGCTATTGCTGCCGGCCAGACGTGACAGTCACTGCGGTCCGCATCTTCCGTCTTCACAGCACTGAAATTTGGACCGGTGGCATGGCGAAACGAAGGCTGGGTGGTGCCAGGACCGTTTGAAGTGTGCCGTTCCAAACGCCTGACCCGTTCGTGTGGCGCCGCCGCTAGAGATCGGTGGCATAATAAGAGACAAAGGGCACAGGGACTGCCCTCGCGCACGCTCGAGGCCCTCGTCGCTTCCCACTTCCTTGGATGTATCATGTATCCAAACTGTATTGGATTCAAGACATCAACCATGACCAAAAGATTCGAATCAATTGCGAAGTCCTCGTTTTGGCGGCGATCGGAACCGTACTTCCAGCGTGCGGCTGTCTTGATTTCTGACGCAATACGACAAGCTGCAGGGCAATCAGTCGCCGGTGTTCAGGGTTCTGAAGACCACAGCAGGAGAAAGTGCTTTTGGGGAGAAGGGGGGGCGTGAGAGACGTTGCAAGGATCGGCATGGGCGTGAGTCATCGGGCCGCTACGTACCAATCCTATTTTTGGGCTCGTATTGCTGCACGTTGCCGCCTCAGTGCACGAGCTGCTTCCTGAACCTGAAGCCGGGGGCCCTTTGTCTGGGCGGCGCGAACAACAATGAATGAGCGTTCTGTGACGGTTGGGGAGGGGCGTGTTGTCTGCACCCGAAATTCTTCACTTGGCTTCGACGGCGAAGGAGACCAGTTGCTCGTATCAAAGAAGCAACTTCAAGCTGGTCACTGTGTTTCCAGGCGGACCCTCTTCGAAGACAGCCAGTACTCCGTACATGCGCTGCGACCCCAAGGTACACGGCAGGCCTGCGCCTCTAGACTACTTGTCGTCCCACCGACTCTGTACTGTTTCCAGAGTCGGATTTCAAAGTAGGCATCATCTTTGACGGTGAGTGAAACCATTGAAACTACCACTGACGGCCTGCGAACTTCAGGGTGAAACAATTCCGCAGTGCTGCTTCGTACTAGTGCTAAAGATATATGAGCACGGCCACGACCGCCGACGCTATGGGCTGTCTGTCCGCTGTTCCTATTTGGCACGGTCCACGATTGTTCGCACAAGCCCTGTGTGTGAGGTTGACCCACGGCCAAGGACAGCGGGAGAAAGCTGGACCCGTGCACTTATCACTTTGCTACCAACACACGGCGGCGAAAAAAGAAACAAAAAGAAATATAACAGACTTTGGCTGGTTGTTCGACTTGGCTTGGATGACGATTTCCGACATGTACAGCACAGTGGATCGGCCAAAAACTGCCATTGTGACACGGGCCAGAGGGCTCCGTCGGGAATATCGCCAACTGCCAGAGATGACGATTGGTGAGGTGTCAGGGCTGCTGGGTTTGGTAATTCACCGGGTGGAATGCTGGCCAAGGCCTTGTACAACCAAGACACGATTGGGACACTGCAAGGCAGGGAGGGTTGGGTGGAAGGGGTGGGGGGGATGCGAGGCTGCTGAGCAGTAGCCATAGCCATGATGTATTGAACGGTGAGGCTCTGGCTGCAATTTCGCCCCCCGGCCGCGTCGTGGGAATAGGTTTTGCCCAAGAGACGCACTGGAATTACTCGGTACGACTCGATGAGCCGGTCCCCTTGGTCGCCACGGTCGGGTCAGTCGACACTCACTCGCGAGTCGCTTTGGCAGCCCGAGGCCGGGGACAATGACCATGTCTATGTCTGGTGCTTCTCTGTCGCGATGCATGTCGACAACGACGAGTCACGATGGCGGTGTTGCCAGGCTTTGCGCGGCTTAAAATGATGCAAGTCGAGTGTCAGCTGCTGCAACTTGCGGCGCTTTACCAAGACGGCCTGCCAGATGGAGACTAACATCATGATTCATGACACGAGATGGAGGATCCGGAACGCCGTCATTACGGGGAATAAATCCGTCATGAAATATGACATTTCGCCCGTTATCAGGTCCGTCCGAATCTGAAGGTGAGCATGTCGCAACGGCCCTGGCCGATTGGTTCGCCCTTGGCGCGTTATCTCTGTCTCCTGGACAGATTGGACGGATCAACAAGCAGCAGCAGTGCGGAGATACTCCTCGTCGTCTTTGGCACCTGCCAACCTGCCTTGTCGATGAGGGGGCAGATGCAGTACCTGGCATTCGAGGTCGTGTCCGACCCTTTTCCTTTTTTCCTTTTTGCCCGCCTGCCCGCCTGCCTGCCTGCCTGCCTGCCTGCCTGCCTGCCTGCCTGCCTGGCGTCGTCCAGGTCCGCAGCGCAGCTGAAATGCGCCCACCGCATCAAAGGTCCCCCCCCCTCCCGAACGTGTGGTAAGTTGGTAGTTAACTAGCAGCAACTTTGGCAGGCCAGCTACTCCGTTCCCCGTACAGCTGGCCGGTGGAGCCCTCGGTGAGCGATCCCCTCGATCCAGACGCCTGGAGGCTGGATGCGTGGCACCCGCCGCCGGCCCGGACGGCCGCCCAGTTACGCGACTAATACTAATCTCGGCTTTCCTGGCTGCCAAATGACACTCGTGGCGCACAGCGTGCGGCGTGCTCCTGCTGTCCCGGAACTTGGTAACTGCACGACGGCTTCGGCCCTACAGTAGCCAACGCGTGCGTTGCGTGCTTGCGGAGCAGACGAGTGCCCTGGCGGGAAGGGCCGTGGCTGTACTGTACTTCACACTTTCATTTGCTTTGCGCCGCCCTCTAGGGCTCAGTGGCGGGCTTCTCTTCTGGCACTGGCTACCATCTACGGAGTGTCGGCGTGTGCTGTTGCAGCCGTCACCACCGGACTTGACTGCTGCAGTGCACAGGCTAGAGCAGACAGCGGCGTCGGGCGGTGCTACCAGTACGTGGGACCGAAGATGAATCAGGCGCAAAAACGATGCAGTACAGTGACGAGTGATGCCGTTGCAAACGATCCTAGACGAAATGTGAATTACGTATCCCGCTCCGCTCAAGTCTATATGATATTACCAATGCTCCCTGACAAAGGGAAGAAGTGACGTGCGTCACATGTTAAAAAAAAAAAAAAGAGAGAGAGAGAAGAAGGAAAGAGAAAATCGAATCACATGTACAGCCCCCCAAAGACGACGTGGCCCACCACCGCCGCGGTGGTAAATTACACAATTACAACTCCTCGCCGCCATCGCACTGCTTCATCATCAAGACGCGACTGACCTCGAGCTGGGGCTGCTTCCACGTCGCCTGCCACGTGTCTCTGGCGTTCCAAAAGTCCTTGCGCGCGCCGGGCGACCGGTCGAGCCACGGCTTGCCCGACTTGCCGTCCTCGAACCAGCCGTTGGTGCCGCCGACGGCCAGGTTGATGATGAGGTAAAACTCCTGGTCAAACGGCGTGTTGGCCCGGCCCGTCTCGCTCCACGAGTTCCTCAGCCGCGTGCCGTTGGACGTGGCGTCGGGGAAGCCGCCGCGGTTCCAGAGCGGCTTGTCAAAGTTGGTGTAGAGCACCTGCAGCAGCCGGCTGTTGACGTAGGTGAAGAGGTACTTTTGGGACCACTCGAGGCCGTACGTGTTGAAGCCGCTGCTGTACGTCGTGTGCAGCGCCTGCCGCTTGTTGTTGGTCTTCCACCAGGCGTCGTTGGCGGGGTCGGGGCCCCAGTGGAGGGCCGACGAGACGATGTTGTTGCCGCCCTGCTCGTAGGTCCAATTATTGCCGCGCGACTCCATAATGTCAATCTCCCCGGACGCGGGCCACGGCCCGTACGTGTCCTTGACGGGCATCATCCAGATGGCCGGCCAGAGCCAGTCGCCCTCGGGCAGCTTGGCCGTCACCTCGACGCGGCCGTACTTGAGCCGGGCGCCCTTGATGGTGTTGATGCGGCCCGACTTGGTGGGCGGCACGACGCTCGAGTTGCCGGCCGTGGTGTTGGTGGCGGCCACGCAGCTGTGCCAGTCCTTGGAGGTGCAGGTCCCGTCCTTGAGCAGGTCGATGACGTTGTCCTTTTCCACCTTTTTGGCATCCTGGAGCGTGGCCTTGATCACCAGGTTGCCGTTCTGGATAAAGACGTTTTCGTCGCCCCCGGTGGTCTGTTCGAACTCGCCGTTGCTGGGGATGCGTGTCAGCGGGCAAGCCAAGCCAAGCCAAGCCAAGGCTCGCGGGGTGCAAGATAAACAAGGGGCCGGCACTCACCCGAAGCCGCCGACTTGGACCTCCTTGGTCCAGACGTCGGTGTTGAAGCCGCCGGCGAAATTTTCGTCCAACAGAGGGCAGTACTTGTGGTGGACGACGTTGCGAAGGCCGTCCCAGACCAGAAACCCAGAAATGCCCAAGCCTATCAGGATGCCGAGGATTGGCAGGATGGTAACCCACTTCTCCTTGGGATCCTTCTTCTCCAACCAAGGCTTCTCAACCTCCCCCTTCTTCACTCGCCTAGAATGGAAGTAGAGCTGGGAATTGACCCCATATCGAGGCCCCATGACGCTCGAGGAGCCGAAGCTGGACGCCGGCCTTGACGCATCGGGGCTAGTAAACGGATTCGTGCTTCTCCCGGGGCGGTTCAAGGATGCCGCGTCGTTGTCGCCGAACGGGTTGCGGCCGCTGTCTGTGTTTGGGGTTCCGGACCGGACTGGCGTGGGATTGACGGTGGTTGTCACAGACGGTACTGGATGGCCGTAGTAGCCGTGGCTGTACGGGTCTTGCTCCATGGCGAGCCAAACCGTGAGGGCGCCGGGACGCGAAAGCTAGGGACGAGAGGAGCAAGTCACGAAGAGATGACGAGACAATCAAAACTCAGACAAGAGAAGAGAAGAGAAGAGAAGACGAGACGGGCTCAGGGGCCGCCCGACAGAGGACACGGGGCGGCACCGCGGGATGTCTGGTCGTGGGTCCCAGAGGCCGAGGTGGTGATGCTCGAGCTCGATGTCCTCGTCAGTCAAGATAGGGCGAGAGGCTCTGTGGTACCGGGGTGTCAGTGACGAGACCGTTGGTTGTCGACCCCCGATGGGCTACAGGAACGAAGCAGGCGAAGAAGAGTTGCAAGGCCACGGATTGCAGACGAGCGAGCGGGCGGGACATGATGGAAGAACAAAAGACTGTGTGAGCCGCAGACCAGACCAGAGAGACGGACAGATGGCACGGAGTACGGAGTACATCTCACTGCGCTCTGGGACCCACTGGCGCACCGCTGAGTGCTGACGCCTGGGCCGACAAGGGTGGTCCGCCCGTGGTCGGTCAGCTCGCCGGCTCGCAGTCCCAGTCCTAGTCCCCGTCCCAGTCCGCCAGTTCGCCCGAGCAGCGCGCTGGGGTCCCTGTCAAGTCAAGACACTTCCAGACGACGAACTGCACTGTCTGCTGGGCAGCTCGCGGTGGATCTCCATCGGGGAAGGAAGGAAGGGGGCCCCCGGCTCGCGCTCCGCCTGCCAGCACTCGAGAGTCTAATAAAAACATTGAACTCGTCTGTCGTTTGATTACTTCTAGATTGCTCAGCGTCTCGGTTTGAACGAGCGAGGCTCGGGCCAGCGTGCCCCTGTCGCCGGGCCTGAAAGTTAGTCTCTCGTGATCCTCCATACAGATACAGATCCGTCCATGCCTGCGGCCTTTCCCTGGCCCTGAGCAATCCGGGTTTCTGTAAAACTCAATTTTTGCGTTTTTGTTTCCCCCTTTCCACAATTTTCGCGTCTCCGTCTCTGCCCATGCCGTCGACCGACCCGACCGTGGCCTGCGGGCGCGGGAGCAATAAATATACTGCAATCAATCCTGGCAGCTTCCAAGGCTCGCACGATGCCTCCCAAAGCTTCGGCTCGACCCGGTCCCCCGGCCCTTGAATCTGCATCGTCGGCCGTCGCCGTCCCATGCACGGCACGGCGCAGCCTGCTCACTACGTATCATCGAGTCCATCTCGGCCATCGAGGACACACGCAAGGCGAGCCAGCTGGCTCTTCCCTGCTGCCATTTCTGCGCGGCCTCGTCCTCGTCCTCGTGTTCCAAGCCAGGCTCGGCGCATGTAGAGATGAATATCTGTACGACTGGCCGACCCTGACCGTGCGTACGATACGGTCAGCACCATCCTCCCCTCTTTGGCTTTGGCTGGCCGGCGGCAACGCGCCGTCTCTGCCAAGCCGAGCACCCCCGGCGCTTCCGTCGGGTATGATTTCCCGGGCAAGTGCCACGCACCTGGTACCCAAGCACACAGTACGTAGCCCTCCCGCCACCGCTCCTCCTCGGCATGTGGTGGTCAGACGGGGGCGCGTCATTGAATACTTGGTTAGTATATTATTGTTTTCAAGTACTCCGTACTCCGAAGTACGTATGTTCAGATACCGCACGCCGTCGGGACTCTGGGCTCCATCACATCTGAGACTGGTCGTCAGTTGCGACACTGACACATGCAAGTTTTAAACAACTACTTGTGCGTAGGTCCCTTGCGTGCGGACCCGTCCTTGCTGTCTCTCTCCCCTGAGTCCTGACTGAGTCCTTGCACCGTTTTTCCTTTTCCCTTTTCCTCCCCATCTCTTTGCTGTTGTGGTGGTGCGATGACGGCCAAGGACGGACGAGCTAGCTTTTGCACGAGCCACTCCGTGCTCCATACCCACGTCCCTGCCCAGGCACCCCAGCCACTTAGATGCTCCCGTGCCCGTTTAGTCGTCTTCCCGAGCAAGGTTAGTTTTGAGTTCGTCTTGGGTCTTGGGGGTGGGGCAGCAGCAGCAGCAGCAGCAGCAGCAGCAGCAGCAGGCAGGGTGAAGAAACGGAGCGGAAGAGGGCATCGCAAAAGCGGCAGCCAGTGTGGCTGATGGCCGATCGAGGAGTGTGCGTGTGCTTGTGTGTGGCTTTGCCCACGATCCCCTCCCACCCCTGACCCCGCGGCCACGCTAGAGACACGCCCCCTGCCGCTTCGACGAGGGCCCCGTTGCCGTCTGCAGCTCGCCAGAAGGGAAGGCGCTCAGAAACGACGTGGAGCGTCCGCATGTCGTGCGAACCATGGGAACGAGCATCTTGGGACCGGGCCTGCGAGCTGCAGAGCTGCATCACCACCGGGCACGCCGCCGTGCCCTCCAGCACCAGCTCGTTGGAGGCTGAGCCACGGCCGGCCGGCTCTGTGTGTCGTCTCAGGTCCGTCTGTCTGTCCTGGTGGGTGCTTGCAGAGCACAACGTGTCCGGGACGCTTCTCCCCGTCGTCCACGGGCCCGCGGTGTCCTGCAATATTTATTACGTACATGGACAGATCAGCCGGCATGCATCATCCATCCATCCATCCATACCATACCGTACGGCTCACGAGCCAGCGGCGCCCATACAGGCAGGCAGGCAGGCAGGCAGGGCCAAGCGAGGCCTCGATTCGCTCTCGCGCACGGCAGCGTCTTCAGCTCGAGGCAATATTGCGACTTTGCGCGCCCCCGCCCTCGTTCAACGCGACTGCTGATGTTTGCGCTGCAGCATCGCGGAATCACACCACCACTCGCATGTGTACGTGGCACAGTAAGCGTGCTGTTGGGCTGCCAGCCAAGAGCTGTCGTTGCTGTTGTCGTTGGTGTGTCGGCATCATGGTTCTTGTCCGTGTCCGACTTGTCGTGCATATGCGGCCGCCAGAAGGAAAAGAGAAGAAAGCCGAAGGAGAGCTTCAAGGTATCAAGGTAAATGGCGGGAACCAAGCACGTGATGGCAATGGCGCCGACACATGGCCAAATACTACATACGTACTTTACTCCCGAATGGATGGCATCGGCACATGGCCATGAAAGCTAAACTTGGTGCGACTCTGCTTTTCCCCTTTGCCTTTGTCCCGGCCCCTTGGTTCGCAAACGCTGGGCCGGCACGTACGAAACAGAGTTCGCCGACATGGGCCCAGATACGAAGAGGTTTCCAAAATCCTTCCCCCTCTACGGTGTAGCACACGGTCTCGCGGCCGGCCGTCAACACCACCACGTCCACGTCAACTCTGACACGAGCACGCACATACGCACGAAAAACGAAAAAAAAAAAAAAACAAAGAGGGTAGCTAGTCCGGCATCACCGGGGTCCAAGTCCAGCGCAACTTGTTCGATAGTACTCCGTACGTATGCCAAGTTTATCCACCCGCCTGCGGACAGGACAGGGGCCTCCATCAGGTCCAGACGGCCCAGCGGACTCAGGCGAGCCATCATCTGATTGATACCTTGACGGCGATCCCTCTAGCCCGTCTTGGCCATTGCGAAAATCTCTCTTTTCCATGCAACAAACAGGGTGCAGAGTACACCAACAACCCAGGACGACAGCGCAGTGCGCAGTAACCACAAAGCACAGCATGCCAGCCAACCCGGTTCAATACCGTGGCCGCCATGGACAACCCATCCACGCGTGTCTTCTCTTGCCCATTACCCTGGCACCGAGATTGCGAAACCTGGGGGTGTGCACGTAAACTGAAGAAAATCAAACGGCCTACATGCAAGACCGTACGTCACCCATTGTCCATCACAGCCCCGATTGACCGTGAATAGGCTACGCGTCAGTGCCCTCCTGCATCGCTCTCCACCAGAGGCATCAGGCTTGAAAAAAAAAAGAGGCATATGCGTATACTCCGGTCCGGCAGGCGCGTCCGCGTCCGCCGACTCCCCGCCAAGCCGCGACGCGGGAGGGGAGCCGGGGAGGGCCGGGCCCGCGATTTACGGGGCCGGCAAACCCACCCGGAGGGGCCCGGCGCTTACGGAGGACCCATGCATGCACAGCGGCGCTACGCCTCCACGGCCATGTGCTCCGTACATCACCATGCGTCTGAAGCCCTTCCCATCGCAGCCTGCCATGGAAAGGATTCGGCATGACCACCGCCCGCTAACGAGACGCCCCTCTTCTTCCCAGCGTCCCGGTTTCTGCGGCCAGCAATCACAACGGCACGAGAGACGAAGCGTGGCGACGGCGCGAGGGCTGACTGACGACTTGACGGGGGCGGGAGCCCTCGTATTCCAGCAGCCACGTCGCATGCTGCTGCCGGCGCTGCCGCGCGACTTGTTGGGGCAACCCCGTGGCGGCGCGGGGGCTGAACGTGGGCTTTTTTCCTCTTCGTGTCGTCCTGTCGCCTGTCGCACCAGACCGGACGATCGAGAGGGGGGCGGGGGAGGGGTTACGCCCGGCGGCGGCTTTTCTTTTTCCTCTCTTCGCTCTTCCCTCTTTTCCTTGCCTGCGCTCCCAAGTCGAGGGCGGGGAGGCCCTGGGCCCGACGCTGCGAGAGGTACGGAGCAGCTTGTGGTGGCGGAATGGAGCATGCGTCGTGGTGCATGCACGCCCTGGCCGCCTGGTGGTTTGGTACTCGGTACGGCTGGACGTTTTCGGGGTCGTCTGCCCGGTCACGGTCACGCCCACGCCTGGGCATGCGGGCAGGCGGCCGTGTCTCCTGTCTGCTCTGCTCTGCCCTGCCCTGCCCTGCTCTGCCCTGCATGGGCGGGCGGGCGGGCGAGAATACGAGGAATAATCATGCAGCTATTACACTTACGACTGATCCTGCACTACTTGTTGAATTTCATCCGGCAGATGCGTCAGGATAGTCTCCTATTCTTCTGGGGACGCGGGCGTGCGCGGAAAAGGCATGGAACTTTGGAGACGCCGAGCACAGGGTACGGGGGACCAGCCAGTTCCAATGCTGAAGCGCGCGCGTGCGTGCATGCATCCACGGCCGGCGGTTACGCCCGTCGACTGGTCCCGTGACCGCCGGCGTCGGTCTGCGTCACCGACGCGCCGGCCGGTTTCTCGCGCGAGCTGCTCGTACGGTGGCGCTCGGGAACGGTGGACGGTGGACGGTGGACGGCGGCTGGCCGGCCGACTGCGACTGCGACTGCGACTGCTTCTTGCCCAGTACTCACTCACTTGCATGCACATGGCTGGCGGCTGGCGGCTGGCGTCTCTGCTCTCGCCATCACATCGAGCTGCTTGTTTCATGTTTTTGTAACTTGGCCGCCGTCGCTTGCCACATGCGATGGCTGCTGGGATGGCGTCGCGCACCGGCCAGCGCTCGACGCCTCCATGCTCGGACTGTCTTGTCACAACTTGCTGTTGCGGACCGGACTTGGCCTGGCTGATGGCGGCGCCGGACTGATATTCCCTCTTTGTTTTCGGTCCTTTGTCTCGGCGCCATCCCCCCCCTTCCTCTCGGAGCCTTCGGATATTGGTGCATTCCCGGGGCCCCGGCAGCGTAGCGGAATAGAACGCTCTTTTTCTTCTTCACTCTTCTCTTCCGCTTTCCCCCCTCCAGCCAGCCAGCCAGACTGACGCTGCTCCTGCCCAGTCCATCGCCACAATGTTGCTCCCTGCCAAGTTCGCGCTGAGCTTGGCCGTCTTGGCCGCCGGTTCGCTGGCAGGCCAGGACAACGAGGACCTTGGCTCCGTGCTGGCCGGGAACGAGGACCTGACCCAGTTCTACGGATTGATCAAGGTACGTGTGGCAGCGCGCCCTCTCCTCCCCTCCCCGGCGTGTCTTGCGCCGCACGACATGTACGGCCGGCTGACGTGGAAATGTGCGCGCCTTGGGGCCGGCAGAAATATCCAGACGTCCTGCTGGAGCTTCCGAGCAACGACGGAGTGACGGTAAGACGGGCGGCCATGGGCCTCGGGCGCAGGCACCGCGGCAATCGGCGATCAGGGCGGTCGATGATCATGATGCTAACGTTTGGCCCAGATTGTCGCGCCGTCGGACAAGGCCATGGCAAACATTGCCTACACGGCGCTCCAGCCGCTCTGGGACCCCGAGGACAGGGACAAGACGATGCCCATCCTGCAGTACCACATCCTCGGCGGCGCAGTCTCCGTGGCCGCCCTCAAGGTCGGCCCGACGTACCTCGAGACCAGCCGGCTCACGAGCCCGGCCCTGACAAACGTCACGGCGGGCCAGGGCGTGCTCGTCAGCAAGCAGCGCGACGCCGTCGTCCTGACCAGCGGCCAGGGAGCGCGCTGCTCCGTGGTCCAGGCCGACATCCCCTTCGCCGGCGGCCTGGTGCAGGTCGTGGACAACCTGCTGGTGCCGCCGACGCGCGTGGCCGCCATGGCCGACGCCTTCCGGCTCACGTCGTGCCTGGGGTCGCTGCACGCGGCGCGCATGATGCCCGACGCCGCCGACCGCAAGAACGTGACCATCCTGGCGCCCCACGACGACGCGTACAGCATCGTCGGCGGCACGCTGCGCCGCCTCGACGCCCGCGCCCTCGCCCGCGTCATGGGCTATCACATCATCCCCGGCCAGGTCCTGTCCTTGGCGCGCCTCGCCGACGGCTCCCGCCACGCCACCCTCGCCGTCGGCGCGCGCGTCGCCGTCCGCCAGCACGCCAACAGCAAGTTTGTCGACGCCGCCCGCATCGTCCAGCCCGACATCCTCATCGCCAACGGCGTCATGCACATCATCGGCAGTGTCCTGAACCCGGACGCTGCCGCCGACGCCGCCGTCCCGGACCCCCGCCTCGCCACGCAGGCGCCCGTCTTTGCCGTGTCGACCGTCTCGGGCGTCTTTGCGAGCGCCTTGCCGTGCACGGCCGACTGTCCGGCGAGCACGACGGCGAGCGGGAGCGCTGGCGGCGGCGGTCCGTCAGAGGCCGCGCCCGCGACCACGACCTCCGCGACCGCGACCGCCGGCCCGTCGCTGAGAAGCCGTACTTCTCATGCCGCCGCGCCGAGGTGCACCGCGCACTTGGTCGTTGCCGCCGTCGGCATGGTTGGTCTGGGGGCCGGCGTGGCCTGGATGTAACGAGCAGCCCGTCTGGGTGCGTCGAGGACGAAGCCGGACGTTATATGGACGGGCGTCGGTGCGAGGTGAGCGCACCGAACCGTTTCTCAGATTTGCTGCCGGGGGCCGACGTTGTGTTTCGAGAGGCGGTCCGTTGCCAGACTAGGGCACGAGGCTCCGACTCGGTTTTATTACATATATTCTCCTTCTTTGTGGGCGGACTCGAGGTGTTGGCCGTGCAGGGCGTGTGACGAAACGTCTGCACCACACACAGGTCAGCGGAAACTTGTCACGACGCGCCTGGACGCAGAGTGCAAGACCGGCTTGCGTCTTTCCATGTCGGCCGAGCCGTCAAGCTCAGAGGCCAGCGAGATTGGAACGCGTCAAGAGGGGTCCAAGACAACAAGAGAGAGAGACTCAGGCGCGAGGGACGCAAGCAGCAGCCAGGCGCCCAAGGTGAAGTGCTTCAGGACCCCGGTGTGCGAGAAGCTGCCCACTGTCTGTTGTCGGTGAGCAAGCACAACGATTGCATTATTTACCCCCGTGGTCCAAAGTAGGCACATTTACCGAGAGGCCAGGTCTTCCTCTGGTAGCAGCACGAGCGAGGTGAAACGTGATGCATCATGGTATTTGGGCTGAGTGGCACGTGAAATGCTATTTGTGCGTGTATGTTGGGCCTTTAAACAGGGTCATTGAGAAATTACTGCATCCATCATCACTCTTTGGGTGCAATCGCGTACTTCAGCCGAGGCAGGGCAGGCAACATGACATGACCAAAGTAGACTGTCCATACCTCCCGAGAGCAAGAAGCTGCAACGCAGACCATGCTCATAAACCTTGAGAAACGTCGTCATCGCCAACTGATTGTGAAATAGATTTGGACATCCACGGCTGATCTACCAAGACGCCCGCCCCAACCCGGCCCCGGGGGGGGGGGATTGACTGCACGAAGGACCTGAACGCGGGCGACCTTTTTCCTTTCTTCTTCCTTTTTTTTTTCGGTTCATAATTCCGCATCCACCGCACAACACCACACTCCGCCAAGTCATCATCGGTGGCTCCTCGGACTTCGAGACCGGCTTCGGCCTCTGTAGCTGTCATAACTGCGGCTGCGTCGTCTGTCATCGACGTCATCGAACCTTCCCGCGACATTACCAACCCCACCTCGTCGCCGCGGCCCGGGTGATCTCGAACGAGAACGAGAAGAGTAGGAAGCGTTGGATCTGCTGCGGTATCGAACACCTCCGCCGCCACGGGAAGGAGGGCCTCCTGGAGACCTGGACGGCGAGCGCGACAAAGGTCTGTACACGTCCGATCTGGGGCCGTATCGGCTAGATGGCGAGCCTCGACGACGGCCGCCGCCAGCATTAAATCCTCCTCCACGCCCGGGAGGACCGTTGCCGCCTCGGGGGCCTGACATGGGAATTCGAGGATCAATGTTGGCGCCCCGGCGGGCTGTCGGGGGCGGCGGTGAGAGCTTCCGCCGTGGCAGGACAATAGACACGTTTATGGTGGCCCCGTCAACTTGAGCTTCGTGCATGTGTGAGATTGCGGCTTCTGCATCGGCTTCGTGATCGAATAGGATGTATGCGGTCCCTCGGTTTGTCCCAACTGTACAAGCAAATTAGTGCCAGTTCGGCAAGAGGTTTCCCGCACGAAAAAGGAAGCAAGCGGAAACGCGTACAAGTTCTGTTCATGGGGAGGTCTAGATCCTTGATGGGGCCAAACTGGCCAAACAACTCGTACAGGTGATCTTCGTTAATGTTCTTGGACAAGCGTTCCACGACAATCTGCAGACTAGGTTAGCATGCCGGTTCCAGTAAACAGACGTGCGACGCGTTTCCGAGCCGACCTTTGTGCTTCTCGCCAACGGAGACTCAGTGACCTCTCTGCTATCCCTTACACGGTCTCGACTCCAGCCTTGACCGTCGCTTCCGTATCGTCCATTGCGACGAGGAGGCGGGGTCATGGACCGCGAGGGACTGCGCGAGCCGTAGCGTCGTCGTCGGGGAGAGCGCGAATCGCCAGAGCGGTACGACACGGAGCGCGTGAGGGATCTCTGACGGCCCCGCGAGGGGGATCGAGAACGCGATGCCATGGCACTTGACGTGGAGAGCAGGGCACTTGTTGATAAAGTACACGATGGAAGGGGCTGAAGCTTTTGTCGACGGTGGATCTTGCCATTGGTCGCTGGTGCGGTCATCTGCTCGCAGCTGTCGAGACCGCGCCCAAACCCGCGTTTGGCAGCTGCAAGGCGCCCTCACGTGACCACGGTAACGGCACTCACCTTGCCGAGTGAATTTTCCTCAACGTACGGAGCACAACCACTGCATCCCTCATTATCTCGTTGATCCCACGCCCATGTTTGTGAGTGCGGTTTGAAGATCCATAACTGCGCTCAGCCAATGGACGACTCCATAACCCTCGTACGCGACATTAAGTCCGGACTGTCGACTTGGCGTTGGTACGAGATGGAACAGAACTACGCTGCGGAACAGCGGTTCGTGCTGCCACAATTTTCACGTCTTTATCCTCCCAGTCTTTGTTGACGGGAAATTCCCCATGGTTACTAGGTTTCGCGCATCTGACTCTGTGAATATTATAGCTCGTCACGTTGTCGTCTAGTCAATAACAAATACATCGAAGTCGCCTAGATGTTATTGATGCGTCGAGTGAAACGAGGTGATTTGGCATTTCTCTGTCTTGGAACTATCAACACACACTGGACTCGACTCCGAGTCAAGGCATCTACCTTCGGCAATTAGATCAAGAAGCTCATGTCCTCGATGCACTCTGCAGCCCGACGGCGCAGCCATATTGTGTGGTGGAGCCACATGGGCATTAGTGGGTGCTGTCCAAGATGCGCAGATTGCTCTTGCAAGCCTCCTCATCTCGACCTCTCCGTCGCTCCACCCGACCTTGTCGATTCTGTCGCATAGGGTGGTTAGGTGGCACAAACAAAATAGCGTGGCGTGGCCACGCCGTTTGTTGGTGTGACAGATTCCTTCCCTGTCGCTTGCCGTCATAGATCATGATTTCTTTGGTCGTGCCGATCCTGTTGCTGCGCCGATACAGGTTCCGTTTCGAAGTCGCAGCTGTCTGTCGCACCAAAGAACGGGTGCCACACCACAGTATTTTGGGTGGTAAGTTATGCCGCCTTAATTCTACGCGACAGCAGCTTCGAGTCCTTGATGCACGCCTCATCCTATTTAGCCGCCGCCGCCGCCGCCCAGCCAATGCCGTGACAGTCCCGCATCCTCGGGCTATATGGCTCTTTATGCAACGCTCAACTATGCGCGACATGTACAAATCCACCATGAGCTGCCAACAGACCAAGAAGCACTTGCCTCTTCTACAGAAAACACTACTGCTTGTCCACTTATATTTTTTCGCCTGGAAGCGCGACAAAGATGCTCCACGGGTCACGGCACAGCTCTTATGGTAGTGGACTATCTCTAGCTGTCTCTTAATGCTCAAGACTGAAGGTATCTCGACTGCTTGCAATGCCGTGCAGGCGTTGGTGGGGCGGCCAAGCCTTTCCCACGAGGGAATTGTTCAGGAGCAACGTGTGGGTTTCCAGCACCGCATTCAAATGATATCTGAGAAACCATGACGATTCACACTTTGTATACGTGCGCAAATGGTCATATTGCTAGTTTGAGAGGCGGTGGCCAGTCGGCGTCCCGTCCCGCGTGACTGCCGCCGGTCCCCATATCTAAATACAACTTATCTACCTAAGCGCAACATGGTCCAGCTCAGAATCATCTGATTTCTCCAGCATCATCACGGCGGGAAATTTGGACCAAACCGGACCCGTCAGGGCGAGTCTTGCAACCACCGCGTCAGTTAATGTGAACCAAAGCGGGCTCGTCAGTTGCAGTCTTGGCACCGTCACGTCGGTTGATGTGAACCAAAGCGGGCTCGTCAGTTGCAGTCTCGGCACCGTCACGTCGGTTGATGTGAACCAAAGCGGGCTCGTCAGGTGCAGTCTCGGCACCGTCACGTCGGTTGATGTGCACCAGATCCGACTCGTTTGCTTCCTCTTCTGGCTGGGCCCGGACATGGAAGTTGTTGGAGATGAATTCAGAAAAGTCGTTTGTACCGTCGCTTCCGGGAGAGTCTGCCCGCGGTGCAAGCTCGTCAGGACCTGGCGAGTACAGTGCCATGAAATCGCCCATGTCAGGTGCTGACTCAGCCGGCTCCCAGAGGACGGGTCCTTCTTGGCCGTAGCCGCCAGAAGTCGCCTGCTGAGACTGACTCAGGCCATCGTCCAAGCCAGGTCCGAATCCATTGGGTTCCCCGAAGCCGAGCTCTTGTAGGCCATTGTTGCCGGGAGACTCTAGCTGAGGTTGACTCGGGCCATCGTTCAAGCTAGGTCCGAATCCAATGGGTTCCCCGGAGCCGAGCCCTTGTAGGCCATTGTTGCCGGGAGACTCTAGCTGAGGTTGACTCGGACCATCGTTCAAGCTAGGTCCGAATCCAATGGGTTTCCCGAAGCTGGGCTCTTGCAGGCCATTGTCGCCGGGAGACTCTAGCTGAGGTTGACTCGGGCCATCGTTCAAGCCAGGTCCGAATCCAATGGGTTTCCCGGAGCCGAGCCCTTGTAGGCCATTGTTGCCGGGAGACTCTAGCTGAGGTTGACTCGGGCCATCGTTCAAGCCAGGTTCGGATCCAATGGGTCTCAAGACGCCGCCGGGATTTTGTGGGGCTCCTGAGTTCTCGCCAAGGGGACGTAGGCTATTGTCTCCGGGTGAGTCTGGCAACGGCATAGACTGAGGACGTGGTGGGTTTTGTTCCGGGCCATGAACGGAGCCGGGTCTGGGCTTGGTGGGTCCGCCGGGGCCGGGTCGCCCCGGACGGCCGTTGTCATCTCCTTCGTTTGGAAATCCAGGGCCTTGTACTCCATTCGGGGGTTGAGGGCCGTCACCTGGAAGTTGGGGGCCGTCACTCCCTCCGGTTGGAACTGGAGGGCTTTGTCCACCGGTCGGACCTTGAGAATCTTGTCCACCGATTGGACCTTGAGGGCCTTGTCCACCGATTGGACCTTGAGAATCTTGTCCACCGAACGGACCTTGAGGGCCTTGTCCACCGGTCGGACCTTGAGGGCTTTGTCCGCCGGTCGGACCTTGAGGATCTTGTCCACCGGTCGGACCTTGAGAATCTTGTCCACCGATCGGACCTTGAGGGCCTTGTCCACCGGTCGGACCCAGAGGGCCTTGTCCGCCATCTGGGGATCCCCCCGGAGTTGGGTTGATGTTAGGAACCGGTTTATTTTCCAGACGACTCATGGCTACCTTGCGCATTTCCTTCAATTGACCTGAATTGAATGCATACATGGCGCTAAAACTACAAGACAGCGTCAAGTTAGTCAGTCGTCTCTTCAATAAACGCTCCGGAGAAAGGGGGAAACATACACCGCCTCGGGTTCCATGATGTTTCTAACACCTCCACCGAGCTGACGTTTTTGATTGCCTCCCAAATGTGCCATGCCGAGTGTGTGAGCCAGCTCATGTGCAGCTGTTATCGAAGATCCCTCTAAAGCTCCGCCCTTGTCGCCGCCGCCTTGACGTCTTAGAAGACGGCCGAGGAAGCTTTCCGATAGTCCTCGAGCGCGGTTTCTTCCTCCTGAACAGAATTCATTGTAGCCGGGCAGAGTGTCCATGGCTACGGCGGCTCCGTCCTTCCTCTGTATGGACGCGGCAATGTCCATGCCGGAAGTTGGCATAAGAGCCACGCCCTTGACGCCTGCGCCTTGGTTCGTATCCACGTACAAAATATGGGCGTCGCCCACGTTGCCAAGGTAGATCTTTTCTTTCAACGAATCTATGTCGTTTTCATTTACCAAGCCGGAAGAGCACCGCGGATCCTCGACATGGGTGATCTTTGTGAGCTTGAATGTTATTGACCCTTGGAAGGCCACGTTTATCCTCTCAATCTCGTCCTGACCTGACTTGTCCTTCACGCGGCATATCAGTATGGATGTCTTCAGCCATTCCCCTCGCGTGTGCTCTGTATCTGTAACGGAGGCTTACCGGAGGGAACTTGCCGCATCTGCTGGGGCAGAAGTAGATATAAGTGCCCATGGTGATGTTTTTTCCATCGTCATTGACTCCTTGTCCCTCACCGGGCGAGCCTTGCCCGGGGCCTAGCTGGCGCTCCGTCAGGCTGATCTCCCGGGCACCGCAGCGATGCTCGGCCCCGTCTCTTACAGCTAGGGGGCTGGCTACGGAAGCCGAAGCCATCAGGCCAAGGAGGAAAGCGAGCGACATCACCATGATGACTGCTTCAAGCTATGTGCGGGCAAAGGATATAAGGATATACAGGTGTGGTTCAGCTCGGGCTTGAGAGAAAAATGGATGAACGAAGAAGAAGAGAAGGAAGAAGAGAAGGAAAGGAAAAGAAAAAAGAAAGGACCATAAAACAGATCAGACGAGAAAATAGGGAGAGACAGAACACGGTTCTTTGGACCGAAGGGTTCTGAGTCGAGCGTTCTCATGGCCAGACAAGAGACGGGCTTCTTTAATACAAAATATCGGCGTGACAGGAGAAGGACCCAAGTGCCATAGGGTCCAAGGTCATGCAGAGGGAGAAGGATCATCCATGCTACCTACACACTATTTACTGTCCGGGCATCTCATCTTGTCGGACATGTCAGTGAAAGCGCCAGGGCGCAGCCGCCCAGCAAGTTCTTGGCTTTGCCGACCCCCTCGTGGCTGAGGGAATGTCGAAAAGACCCATCTCGAGGTTTCAAGATTGACAGGAGTGACCTGGTCTCGGGTGGCTGATATAGGGTGGGATAGCGCGAAATTTATGCCTCTTGTGAGTACGCCCTGTTCGCGTGAGGAGAGGACAAGGAGCAGAAGCAGAAGCAGAGGCAGAGGAAGACGCTTCAGCTATTCCCGGGGGCCAGGGACCGCTGCCGGCACAGGCACAGTCTTGGAGATGCCGCAGTCTCGACGCCGGCGGCTATGCCTCCATCTCAGATGTCCCTGCTGCTGTCAAAGGAAAAAGGGGGCTGGTGGCGTCGTCGGAGAAAATATCACTGAACAAGCTTGTGGGTACGCGGGCACAAGGATTGATATTAAGCCGTAACAAAGTCTCCGGAAACCATGTACATGATATTAAACGCAAACCGTGCAGGGCGGGGGACCCCGTTCCGCCACGGTTACGCAATTCGGCGGGCAAATCGACGGGCGTGGAACTCAGTGTACCGTTGGAAACACGGGGCCGGAAATGAATCGAGACAGAGGGCGAGCTGGAGCTGGAGCTGGAGCTGGAGCTTCATGCACGCAACCGAAGGCGCATGATGCGGCCGGCTGGCTGCAACCACACGAGTCAACAAGTCTGAAACAAAACAGCAGAGCGGAAGGTGGCGGGCAATTACCAAAAGACCAACTGGTCCTGGCCGTAATGTGCCCTCGAGGGAAAAATGTCGCGACACGACACTCAAGCAGCCGGGTTTCAGATCTGGCCTGATCATTGTGGTTGACTGGTCTTGATGGATTGCTCCTGCCGAATGCGGTTGGTCTGACATGGCCTTTGCCTTGGCGAGGCGAGCGCTTACCTACCCCAACGTGCGCGTCGTGGCTCCACTCCAGTTCACGTGCTCTGGAGCCCAGGCTGGGTGCTGGGTCCCAGGTCCGGGGCTCCTTTGTGCTTCTTGACTCTGCATCATGGCGCGCCCCTTTATCCAACGCACTGACGGGCGAGTCATCTGGATTCTGGGCCTCGGGGCTCGATTCAACAGAAGCGCCGTGCAACGCGGCGTCGACGAGTTGGTCATGCCTTGCACTCGGCCCGTTGACGTGTTCCGTGGCTCCGGGCGGACGGACCGGGACATCATGATTCGGCGACATCATCACCATCGCCTAGCTCGTTTCATGGGGTCCCGCCATGGATTATGCGTCGAAGCTACTCCGTGCCGGCGCCACGTCGTCTCGACTCTCAACAATGCACCGGCCGGCTGACGAACACTGCTGCTCAGCCTCAGGCCTAGGCGTTTCGTGCACGACTCTCTAGCCAACCGTGGCTCCACCTTGGAGTTGCGGTTGACTCGCCGAGTTTGTTCAAGCATGGAGGCATCAAGTTTCAAGACGGTGAAGCTGGTCGCATCTGATTGGCCCGAGAGGCAAGAGCCGAGGCTATCAACCAACCACCAAGTTACAACTCACAACCCACCTGGGACCTATCGCAGCACCCAGCGACTCGAATAAAGGCCACACGGCGACGCAATCACGAGCCGTTTCGACTGTTGAACCGACTTCTTGCTCCAAGCCCGCTTACTCCGGCTCTGGCCATGGTAATGAAAGCGAGGCGGCAAGGTTCAGCTTTGCTTGCACCTGGCCAACGCTCAACGGAGCACCATGCACAAGCCAAGCCAGAGACAGACAAGATACAAGAAGACGCAAAATACTATTCAATACAAGTAGAACAGCTACAGTCTCCTTGTTTGCACAACACAGCAACTGTGATCAGACAGAGCACCCCGTGTTCCCCCAGCCCGCGTGTGCAGAAGCCTATACATGCGCAGTCACGGTTTCTCACTTCAGCAACAGGTTAACAGGGCTCTCCGCAAGCTTGGCTGACCAAACCAAGACTTGCAACACGGTAGACCACAGCTCCGACTTGCCCGCCTCTGCCGGGTTCTTCTCGCTTCCTTTGTCACACGGCCACGAGACACGTCCCAAGCGGACTTGCTGCCTCAACCAGACGTTTCCGCCATGTCGTCCTTGCGAAAATCCAAGGCTCCCGCTGAAGTGTGTTTATCAGATTTGACTTGAGCTGCTGCTCCAGACACTCTGTTGAGTCCTCGCCACAGCCTTGAGGTGTGACACTCAGGGCGGGCCTAAGCAGCTAGACAAGAGACCGCACCTTCGCTCATGCTCGCGGGCCCAGATGTCTATCCAGCGTCTGATGAAATCCCCCGTGCCAGGCATAAATACCCACGGCAGCCACGTCCTCGCTGGTCGCCGGCAGCCCAGTCGACGCGAAAATCAAAACGCCTCCAAAATGCTTCTAAAAAAGCCCAGGCTATATGCGTCCACGGCCGACCTCGATCCCGGCCCAACGCCTCGGCTTCTGATGAAAATACAGAAGGAAAAAAAAAAAAAACCCCCTCTCGCTTTTGATCCATGCAGAATTTAAACTTGGAAAAATCAGATGGTGAAATACAGGGACGCCGTGATTGGCTCCTTGGCACCGGTTTTCGTCTACTCTCGGCTTCTCGGCATGTTGTTGTGCTGTTATTTTTGGTTCGACTTTGCGAATGACCGCGGCTGGCCATGCTCGGCTGTTGTTCGAGCATCTTTCTCGAATCTCTGGGGATCCATTGCTAGCCAACTGGCTAGCAGGTCGTGGGCTTTTTTTCCCAGACGGTGATACTAGTCTACACCTTGGGGAAGCTGCCTAGGAATTAGGCAAACACGCAAATAAGTAAAGACGTGTTGCACGTCGGACGAGGCGAGTGCAATCCGTGACCCTCTTGACGCGTCCTGTCCTGGCTCGAGATGGCCCGCGGTGAGGAAGGCAACGGCGATATTCCTAGCTGGAGGGATCGTTGAAAGGGGGGCTTCTTCGGTGGGTGCCAGTTTGGAGGTCCAACGGGCCGGATCTCCTTGAAGCCGTACACAGTTCCCTGGTACGGCGTCTTTGGCGCCAGGGAGAGACGTTCAATTTGAATCCCTCGGTCTCGTGTCCCTGGTTCTTGTAAAGCTGCACACGCTGATTGTCCAACGCGTCACGGCGAGTCGGCGTCATTCCGGGCAGCGGTGAGGGCTCCACGGGTCTGGCGTGACCTTTTTCCTTGCAGGGAGGGGGAGAGAGAGAGGAAGGGGATAGATGAGGAAATAGCACACAGGGTCGTGGATCATGCTCGTACTGTTCATCAGTTCGCCCCTCAGTCACGCGTTGCGTGTCGCGAGAGGCAACAATACTCCCCCCTGACCCCCCGCCCAATGGCCCAGTTGATGAGCCGTGGCGATTAATAGATTGTCACGCCCGTCAGATGAGCCACACAGGTGGCGTGGTGGGTGAGCTTGGCGAAGAAGGCCTCGACCAAACTCACAATGAGGCCGTCCTCGGAGCCCATGAGCACCTGGCCGCCTGTCCGCTGCGAGCGGTACTCGTGGAGGACTCTGTGGCCATGCTTGAGGAGGCGTATGGCGGCAATAATTTCGCCCCGGATCATCTGCTCGGTCAGCCGGTGTGTTTTGTAAAGCACGTGCGCTCGGCCCATGACGGACACGTCTAGGCAGGCCGCTTACCTCGATGGTGACGAAGACGACGCACGAAAGGAGGTGGGAGAGGGGGTGTTTCGGGGTCCGCTGGATGTCGAGAGCGGCCTTGATGGCCATGTTGTGGTGGTGCAGGGCGTATATGCCCAGGTTGTGCCTGTCCACGGCTCCCTGGCCGCCGCCCGGGTCGACGGGATTGAGAAAGAGCTCGTGGTACGACGACAGGGAGATGAGGGCGTGCCAGATGCCGGGCTCTGCGTGGGCGATGCGGAGGATCCTCGTCGTCCACAGCTCCTCGACGAAGAACTCGGAGACATGGGCCAGCGTTCGCTCGCGGAACATCTGACCGGCTCGGAGCTCGTCCTGGGACGGCGGCGGCAGAGGGCACGACGACAGCGGCATCGCCCGGCTCGACGGGGACGCGGCCTGGGCGGCGTAGCCGTCGCATCTGCGGCCGGTCGAGGTGCCTGTGCCGTGTGGGTTTGGCTGGTTAGCTGGTGTTTCTGCAACGAGGCCGCTTTGCGTGTGTTGCGGCCGAGGATGGAATGGGGCATGCCGTCTCACATCGCGAGCAGAACGGCCGCGCCTCGTCGCACTTGATTCTCCGCGCTGGATTCACGGCGTCAGCATCTATCCGTCTATCCGTCTATCCATCCATCCTCCCCTCGGCTGCCGGGAGGGAGGGGGCGGGGGAAGCGCCAACCTCTACGTCGCCGTGTTAGCATCCGCTTGCCAAGCCGCAAAGAGCGACGATATACCCCGACTTACTTGCATGTTTGGCATCCCGTCCTGACCTTGGGGGCCTTGGCACGCTTCCTCTGACCGGGCTTGACGCGAGTCATGGTGTGGTGATGCAGCGGGACAACGAGGAAGCGGAGAGTCCACGGACAAAGGAAAGGGCGGAAGAAAAGAAAAAAGAAAAAAAGAAGACGACAAGAGGGCTGGCTGGTGGTGATGACGCTTCAAGCGACATATACGCATGGGTGAGCGACAGGCCCGTGGAGATATAGCCGATTCGATTCAATGCATCGTCTCCGTATCCCGTCCTATACTTCTCCAACACCAACATGCCATCTCTCAGCAGGGCTGATGATGCTATATGAATGAACCCGTGGCCGGTCTATACGATGAAACGAATCACATCTGCCGTGTCTCCACAGACCCTCCAGTGTCCACTACTCATCTTGCGGCGCCCATGTCTGCTCGCACTAAGTCGTCTGTTGTTTCACATAGGCCATGTTGGAAAGGCTAGAAGAAAATGGGCTATTCCACCGGGGCTTAGGCTTCGCGACTAACTGCCTACGTCACAGGCAAGCTAGGCGTACTAGACACATGGATGGATGGCTTCTTTGGGACCATGGAACCTTTGAATTTTTGAACTTGCTCCCTAGGGATGGGATAGCCAGTAGCCACGACCGGCGGGCTGGTTCTCGCACTCGCCCCAGCGCCGGGCTAAGGGATTCAACCAGACGGTAGGCCCAGTGTTTCGTCAGGGCTCCTTGTCTCGGGGGCACGTTGGCCCGTTGGCCCGGGACTCGAGTGCGACTCTGTTGTAACTTGTGAGCCGGCATCTGGTATCTCCATGCGCGCTGCGACCCGGGGCCAGCCGCATCCGTAGTGTACATGCGCAGCGGGCAGACTTCCCGCCTCGAATCAAATGCCAACTGCCAAACGTCAGAGGCACGGAGGCCCCTTGCCTTGTCGCTTGGCACGATTGCGCTGCCGTCGCCCCGAGGCTCGTGAGTCGTGAGTCGTGGGCGTCAACGCGACGCAGCAGAGGGCCGTGAAGCCGGCGGGAACTCAGATGAACCTGCTCGAGGCAGTAGTACATGGCCTGTGCTGCGTAGAAGACTGTAGTCTGTGGACATGGTTCAACCTGCGTCTTGTTTCTTTTATCCTTGCCGACGCTCCCTTGTTTGTGACTATTTCCAACGAGGAACCCTGGCCACGGGTCAGGGTTAGGGTTCGCGATAGGCAGTAGCCACTTGCTAGCTGCAACACAAACCGGCAAGCGTCGCTCGCCTCGCCCTGTTACTACGTAGCGCCAAGTCGATGGTTCAGACAAATGATATCGGCATATTTTGCCCAATTTCCCTCGGACGGTACCTAAGCCATTTAGAGGCATCTGCACGGCGTCCTAGGCCCCCCTGCTTGAGCAAGATACGTCAATACTTGGGGCTAGGCACGACTTTATACTGGGCAGGGGTCTGGTCGGTGGTAATGGAGAAGAGAGACCCTCGGGACCTGAATTATAACCACGAAAAAGGCACACGTACCACAACAAAACCGTGTCCACCCCGCCGGAGTGGCGCTCTTTTGTCAACGGGGCTATCGGCGTCGAGCCATCTCCGCACGATTTCCCCAAAGCAGTTAGGGAAGCAAAGGCCTACTCCGGATGGCGTTGCCGATGAATTGCTGGGGACTCCGCTGGGGACTCCGCTGCTCTCCTCTGAGTGAGTCCTCTCCCATGTGTTTTGATCGTTGCGCAGCCATGAGCCTACGCCCGAATCGGCAGGCCAGTAATAACTCACCAGTCCACGCTCCATGTCTGCTTGTTTGTTGGACTTTACACAGCCCCGATTGCCACCGTAGTGATCTTCTTTTGCTTCTTCCTTTTCGGTTTTCCCAGACGCGTCTAGCGACGGTAGGCCTCGGACGTGGCCACGGTCGTGCCCCGGCCGCAGTTGGGGGGAAAGAGACCATGTACGGCCTCCCCCATGATTTGATTGCTCAATTACGGCGTAGTCCGAACTGAAATACCGCCGCCGGTGAGTTATGGGGCCGCGTCGTTAAAGTTTGCCTTGTGCCGTGGTACGGCACGGCTTGTCCTTCTAGCTTCCCGCCGCGCCATGCATGCAGCCCACGCTTGTGTCGCAGCGAGCGGCGTTTACGCGCCAATTCAAGTCCCAAGTCCCAAGTGAAATTGCACGGACTGTGCCATTGCCCCGGCCGCGTACACGATACGTGCTTGGGCACGTGGCACCCGCGAGAGCACGGGTCCCGGCGACTCGCTGCCCTCTTCGCCACCGACCCCAGCATCGATCGCTTTGTGCCGAGAACCAACGCCATCGGGTATTTCTGCCTCACCTGATTGCTCCGTCTTCTCCCGGGTCCGTCTGTCCCCGCCAGCCAAGTTCCCACCTTGTCCGTTCTTCCGACGGTAAATAAGTTGGACTCCCGTGGCGGCTGCGTCGCCTCCCGGCGCCTACACGTGCCGAACCCAATAATAGCGCGACCGGGCTCACGAATTGCCTGCTTGTTTTCCTCCGCTCCCCCCGATTGCTAGGCCCAGTTCAGCCCAGCACTGAGACTGAGACGACTTGGTGCGTTGGTCCAGTCCAACGATGCCGCTTTGGCCAGGGACTTCGCGTAGCATCGAGCGAGTGCCGTCGTCGCTCTATGCCTTGTACAGACGTATTTGCAAGCCTATCAATGATGACGTGGCTCTCGCTCGATTTCTCTTCACCTGTAGAGTGCCATCTGCTACTCGTCTATTAGATGGCGAGGCCCCAGCGAGCCTTTAGTAGCGGGGCGGGCCACGAGTATACCGTGTCGTAGTTACCTAGTAGTCGCTCCGTACTTGCTCTCCACGTCAACATGGACCATGGTCGAGTCCCAGGCTTCATCCGGCAACGTGCCGACATGACGCCCTCGCCTGCGCTGCGACAACACCTCGAGGCCGAGCCGAGCCTCACAGACCTAGCCCCAAATGCCGGCAGGAGAAAACCGGCCAGAAAAAAGTGCAACAAGTCCCTTTGCGGCGTGCACAAGGCCCGCCGCCAGGAGTCGCGTTCGAGTCCGTGGATGCGTCGTGTTTTGCCGCCGGCGCCGCGTTGCCGTCCTAAGCAGAGGCAGGCAGGCAGTGACTGACGAGCGGGCTGCTCCTTGACTCGGCTGGACTTGCTGCACGGGGTTCATTGTACCAAGGGCTCAGTCGCAGCGTGTGTGAGGGAGGGCTCACAGCAAAAGACTCAATCCACGTAGTCAATATCCGTGTGGTCTCGAGGTCGTTGGTTCTCCCGTCGAAGGGACCCCAGATGTCAGCGTGTAGCCTTGGCCTGGGTGACTGAGGCTGATGCCTCAGGCTTTCGTGCCAAGCTGTTTAGAGCCAGAGTGCATCGCAGCTCTTGAGTCTTGACCGCAAGTTCTGTGCAACGTTCTATTTCATTTATTCATCGTTTACTAGCTGCCACCGGCCACGGCTGCCGCGGCGAGTTCCTGCGAGTGCCAGTCGTGTGGCCAAACGTGGCCGTTTCCAGAATCGCAGCTTGCCGTGCTTCAGCGGCGATTCATGCCATGGCTCGGCGCTGCCAAAACGCTGTGAGCTTGGCAAGTTCCGTATTACACGGAACTCATGGTCAGAAGCCCCAACCACATGACTTGGCTGCAGTGCAGAAAGGTTGCAGCTATCACGCATTATAATGCCCTTATAGCCTAACATATCTTAACCCTTTTGTGCCTTACTTATCTAGTCAGGTTACACACAGGTAATCTTCTTGTATCTTGTTGGCCAGGTCCTTTAGATTAAGTAACCAAGCATCTTTAAGACTAATATGCGCTAAGCTCTAGTCATAGAAACCAGTCCTCTCTGCAGGACGTTCATGCTTCGAAGCCGCAAAAGTTAAAAGTTGTGGCGTGGATTACATGCCCATGCCGCCAAGAGCCATGTTTGCTTGGCATGGATGGCCATAAATGTAAGACGAGGTGGGACAGCGCGTGTCATCTTGAGCAATCCTGAGGTGTCGTCATGCAAGTAGTATCATGACAGGCCACATAATGAGGGCCAGTCACGAAGATTAGAGCTTGGAGCGAAGACTCACATGAGCATATGATATCGCACACTGTCGAGGTTCTGAATTCCTCACTCTGAAGGACTAGACTAGCAAGAGCTATGTACAAGAAGAGGCCTCCTGCGTGTGTAAGCCTAGCATAGATGACGGAAGGCATTATATTAGGGGTTAATGCTATGTGCCTTTGTTGTGTTCCAGTCGCTGACTCGCCTCAAGCCACGATCAATTTTTCCACCCACAATACTCCACACATTAACCTTCGTAGCTGCGAATAAATACAGCTGGCTGCTTTCCTCAAATATTGGCAACACATGCCACCAAAAGTGAATGCTTGACCTGAGCTATCCTACCTCTTTATCCCTTTACAACCTATGAGCCCCTATCTGTACAATGATACACAACGTCGCCATTACATCGGCCGCTCTGTTTGCCGTCTTGGCATCAGCAGCAGCAACTATTGACAAGAGGATTGTCGGCGGAGTGGCTGCTAAGGAGGGTGAATTCCGATACATAGTTGCCATTTATGACGAGAAAGGCGACCGTTTTTGTGCAGGCACTTTGTTGAATGAGAGGTCTGTTGTTACTGCTGCTCATTGCGTTGACAAAGCTCATCATGTAAAGGCAGGAACCCTGGTAAGTTTACTTTGGTTTTTGTCACCGTTATTTCCGTCGCCCCTACGAGCCCTGGTGCCTTAGGTGCAAAGTGATGGAATCTTTACCAGCGGCAGGAGGCTAACAAATCTGCAGAATCATAAGGCCTGCGGGGTGACTGTAAAGGTTGCATCGGGAAAGAAGCACCCAAATTACAAAAGCAACGCTCTCCATGACATTGGCATGTTGAAACTAGTTTCTGCGATTCAAGAGAGCGATAGGATTGTCTTTGCAAAACCGTCTCCAAAAGGTCCCATTCCCCTGGCCAGTTCTACTGCAATAGTTGCCGGCTGGTAAGTGCTATTCAGGCTAGCACGACAGAATGTGCTGAGAAACAAGATGACCAACTAGCTAGCAAGGGGCCTGACAATCCCATTCGACGGGACTCCTAATCACTCGGCTTCTGATCATCTTCGCAAGGTCGTCGTTCCAGTCCATCCGGGTGATGACTGTGCAAAGACGGACGAAAACCTGCCGAGATTCGGCAGCCAGGTTGTCAAAGACGCATACAACAACTCATTGGTGTGTGCTGGTGGCGAGGGAAAGAACATGTGCTATACGGACAGTAGCGGCCCTCTTATTAGTCCGGAAACGGGAGAGTTGATCGGTATTGCGTCGCGGATGCAATGGAGCGAAGGATCTGCGTGCAACAAGTCTCCCTCGGTATATACTAGCGTTGGCTACTATACCGACTTTATCAACGAAAATCTCTAGTTATCCAAGGTGTGCACATGAGCCTCGATATTTGACATCAGCCATCCAACTAACTAGACGCAACTAAGCCTAGGAATCAGCTTCTAAAAAGCTAGGCTAGCAGCCTACGTTGAACCCGGCAGCGGGTGCAGATGTATTGCAGTTATTGTATGCCGGCTGGAACGTCTTGTTCCCGTGATGCCTTTGTTGGTGTCGTGTAATGTAACAAGGGCTGGTCTTGGAGACCAGGGCTTGGAGCGAATGGCTCATTTTCACACGTAATATCGTGGGGTCTCAAAAGTACTTGGTTATTCAATCTGATAGACCCGATCATTGAGGGCTTTATATACATGATGGTGCTTGCGTGCGTAACCTGAGTAGGCAACAAAGGGGTGATGCCCTTTGTGCCTTATTGCCTTGATGCCTTAGTGTCTGAGCCCACTGGCGGCCTATGAGGGCATCGTGATAGCTGCAGCCTTTGTGCATTGCAGCTAGTCATGTGCTTGAGGTTTTTCCGTGTAACATGTAACGCTTTTCCTGGCCTGACGCCTAACATTATAGGCTACTCAAGTAGATTATACTGTCTATCAATTCACCGACTCGTTACATTTGCTGTGTCATTACGAGTACCAATCTTGTCTTCTCTTGAGACTATTGATTGCATAGCACTTGATTGACCGTTTTTATCATCATGCCCCGGACTTGAGTCTTATTGCACTCATCTAGAGCGTCTACAAAGCACGACGCCGAGGACGTTCTGAGCCGCCGCGCAGCCCGTTCAGGACGCCAAATCTACATGCAATCCGTCTGCCATTATCTAGTTACTCATAATCTTCTTCAAGAAAGGTCTGGTAATGACGGACGATTGAGGCTGCAGATGACCGGACTATTCTTGTTACACAATGTAGTTGGTCTATATCCCCGACAACCCTAACCCTAGACCTTGCCTATTTTAAGATTGTGTCTCCACCTATTAATAGGTCCACCACCAATCACTAATGGCTCACCTCTAGTCACACTGGGAAATGGACGTGGGCCACGTCTACGGTCGCACATCAGCTCGCATTTGCAAACGCTGCCACTGCAATTTTCTGATTTTTACATTTATAAAAGTGTAGAGTTATATATACATTAAATACCCTAGAAAGCTGCTTAGCTATATAACTACTATATCTACTTCTTAAGTTAGGCGCAGAAAACTCTCTAATAGAAAGAAAAACTCTACATACTTCTCTTTATCTTACCTCTAAGCTAGCTCTAGCTTAGTGCTAGCTAGAAGCTGCTTATTTTCTATATATATAAAGTTATTACTAGCTTAGCTAGCTATATTCTAAGAGGTATAATACCTTTATAATTCTTATTTACTTCTAGCTTTATACTAAGGCTTCTATATACTTACTTTACTATTTTTCTACTTTAGTATTTTTTCTTACTAAAGATATATCTTTTCTATATAATATATAACTTCTATCTCTATCTCTTAAGTATACTAGCTTAGTTCTAGCTTAATGCTTAATTATAGCTATATATATTTTATATTTAGCTATAACAGTATATATTTGTTATAGTCTGAGCTATCCTCGACCTTAAAGATGCGATGCGATGCATTGGGATAGGGGACATAGCCTGTGGCCTATATAGTGCCAGATTGAGCGAGCTTGGGTAGCTTGTTCATTACGTACTCTTTTAGCTCAATAGCCAAGGGTCCGGCACACCACCGGGATGACTGCGGCTGGCACCCGCTATGGCCCAATAGGGCCAGTCTATTACACTCTCTTAATTTCCTTTCTTTTTTTCTCTCTTTTTTAAGCCTCTTATCTATAATATATATATTTTTTTGCGTTAAGTGTTAAGGACTAGCCTCATAGGCAATTGCATATAAGTATTACTAGTATTAACTATAAACTTAGAGAGAAAAGAGAGAAAAAGAGAAAGTTCTCTGCTCTCTTTTTTTATGCTATTATATATATATAAGTTTTAATATATATATTAATAAGTATTTAATAAGTCTAATAAAGTACTAATATAGTGCTTTATATATACTTAAGCTATAAGCTTAAGTCTATTATATACTCTTCTTTTTATAGTTGTAAGTATGTATATTTAGTTATCAGTAGATATAACTGTAGAGGTAGCCACACATGACTGGGCGACCACTAGAGGATCTGCCTGCGTCCGGGCAGTACATAATTCCACCAGTGTACTTCTGGCAACCACATCGAAACTGGACCTTTCTTCGTCCACACATGTGGGAAAGAAGGGTGTTGTGAGATTAATCTGACTGAAAAGACAAGCTGATTAACTGCTGACAGGCTAAAATACTAGCCAGAAGAAATATTGGGGTGGCGTGAAGAAACTGATCAAGGTCGTTTGCTTCTGCTGTATACTTATATGAGCCGTAGTGCTCTGTAGCCGTATCAAAGATTCACAGGGCGGACAGAGGATCATCGATTTTGATAGAAAGCAAGCTGATTTCCGTTAACGCTAGTCCCGTTGTGGCGACGAGGTTTGTGGCGAAGGACCGACATGCTACTACGTACCTTTTCATTTCTTTTCAAGCCTACTACTAGAAGCTTGACCTGTTCATCAAATAAATTGCCATTGTTGGCCATCACCAGTGGAACCATACTGCAGACGCTCATCTTCCGAACCTTCAGAATGGAACCTCTGGAAGCCGACGCTACTACACCCTCTTTTTGCATGCTGGAACTGTCAGTGCATGGCGACGACGTTATTTACGCGTTCTTGTACGACGGTACCCGATTCATTGTCACCATTACAGCGGAAAAGCTGGAAGGCGAAGGGGAGCTTCTACATCGATTTAATAGCTTCAGAGAGGCCCTCGATGACCCCGACAACATGTTTCTCTTCGAGGAATGGGTTCTGGGTGCCTTGGACGATTTCATACGCCAAGCAGCCCCTACTCGGACGGCTGACGCCTCGAAAACCAACACACTTCTCGAGTACTTTTCCCCGCCGACTTTTGCATTTTAGCTCGTCAACAAGGAAGGCCACCTTTGCGCCATCCAAGATTGCGATGATCCTGACATGCACGGTGATATGAGTCCTCGAACTCAAATCGTCGACTCCCTGGTGGACTTCTCGGGTTCACACTGTGTTGATCCGGAAGAAGTCATTATTCGGTCTACCCTTCCACCCGTTCCAGTCATTTCAGCGTCGAAACTTGAGCGAGTGACTGATGGTTTACGTCCTGAGGAATTGAGTGATGTGCCAGAGAAAGTACGGCGGACTGGAACCAATGAGGTGTTCTTCTTCAAAGCCGGTTTTAGGGAACACGGCCATCTACGAGAGCTGGAAATGCTTTCAAAGATCAATTTCAGTAGCTATTCAGATCCGTTCTTGCGAACATCGAGACTTGTTGGGCTTGTTGTGTGGAATGATGGTGTGTCATGCTTGATGGGGTTTCTCCTGGAATATGTCGAGGGAGAAACCCTCACGTTGCGAATAAGAAATGCTTCTGCAGCAAGAAAAAGTGGATGCGTCAGATGGAAGCAACAGTGAAGCGACTGCACTAACTCGGTGTAGTTTGGGGGGACGCAAAACCAGACAACGTCATAATAAATGCAGAAGGAGACGCAATTGTTGTGGATTTTGGAGGGGGTTATACTCCTGGGTATATTGACAAGGAGCTTCAACAACATTCCGGGGAGCTTTGATGGGCTTGAGGCAGAGGTTTGGTTTGCGAAGTTTAGGTTGTCTGTCGCGGCTCAGTATGTCCAAGGCGGTATGGTATGGCAGTATTTTTTGGAGCAGGCAATAACCAATAAGGGGACACCGGATTGCCAAAAGCCGGTTGATAGTTTTAACATACGTGGATTTAAATGGCCGCGAGGTTCGTTTGTACTTTCCCCTTCTCGCTCACCGTCGCGCAGATCCGTAATACCGTTCTCGTAGCAAGGCCTCTACTCTAGTAAGTATATCTCTACTAACTTAAGTAGCTATAAAGTCACTATAAGTCTTGAGCGCGTTGATGAGAGCTCTTTTTTGAGCGTGTTGACGAGAGCTCTTTTTTAAGCGCGTTAACAAGAGCTCTTTTTTGAGCGTGTTGACAAGAGCCCTATATTAAATCTAATTAACAAGCTTATAAGGCAGCAAAGAAATAATAATCTCTTAATATACACTTTATAATATCTTTACATATAATTTTATAGTAAATTTAATTAAAGGTATAAGCTCTATAATAGTTGCATCTTAATAATAGTTGCCTTATAATAATAAAAAAAGCCTTACAAAAAATATTATTATAGCGCTAGTTTACTGTACTACTATTATACCTAAAAGATATAACTAGATATATATATTAATTACTTTAGATAGCTATAGAGCTATATAACTAGTATATCTACTTTTTATATTAAACTTAGAAAACTCTCTAACTAGAAAGAAAAACTTAAACTACTACTAATTTTACTTTCTAAGCTAGCTTTAGCTTTATACTAGCTAGAAGCTACTTATTTTCTATATATATATAGTTATTACTAGCTTTACTAGCTGTATTTTATAAAGGCAAAAGACTTTAATAAGTCTAACTTATCTTTAGTTTTATGCTAAGGCTTTTTTATATTTATCTTGCTATTTATTTTTTTCTTTACTTTCTTTTTATTTTCTCTTACTAGTAATATAGTCTCTCTTAGTATAGTATAATATTTATCTCTTTCTTAGAGATAAGCTAGCTTAGCTTTAGCTTATTATATAACTACTATTATAAATATTTAGTAATTAGCTATAATAGCTTATATATTTAAATCTACTTTACTTTTATTTTATATATAAAATACTTCTTAGCTTTATAGCTAGCTATAGCTAGTATAGCTACTATACTAAACTTAAGCTTTTATTAACTATAAAGCTAGCTAAACTCTCTTTAACTTTCTTCTCTTTTTTCTTTCTCTTTTAAGCCTCTTACTCTTAATGTATGCTAATTCTTGCTGTAATATGCCCTATAGATATAACTAGATAAGTAATTAAAGCACTTAAATAGCTAGAATAATAGAAAATTTAGCTTAGAAGTATATATATTAAGTAAAAATACTAAATTATACTTTTAAGTAATTTAAAGCCTACTTAAAGCAGTACTATTAAATAATTATATAATATAAATACCTTTGTATTTAATTAAGGGCAATTTACTGCTATATATTTATACTAAGAATATACTGCAGAGCATGGCAGCAGGACCGCTAGCCCAAAATCAGAGCGTGGTGGGGATCCTGCGCACCTAGCAAAAAATTGACCATTACTCTGTTTCATCTCAGTCATGAATCGCTGGGTACAACTCGACTCGTCGTCTTTGCAAGGTCCTGTAATCTCCCCCAATGCCACTGGACACGTGGCCATTGCCCATGGAACACGAATTCTGGTGACGAAAGGGCCGTGTGTTCACGAGACCCAGGGCTGAAGGCTGCTGCACATAGAAGCCTCCGGCTACAAGGGCCTTTCGAAAACCAAGGACCTTCAGTTCCAAAGGGTGTTTGATATATGCGAACCGAGCCAAAGTGCTCCAAGCCCTCAGACGGGCCCTCGTCACAGCCGACGTGACTCGGCGAGACCAAGGACTTTAGGACTATACGATGTGGTCTGTGAATTTCAGTCTTTTGCTCCTGGCCCTAATATCGCTCGCCATCGTGATCCAGCCCTTGTTACAGCTATTGGCGCAAAAGAGTGCATTCACGACAACGTGGGATTGACGCAGCATCAAGGCCAGCAGAAACAATTCCACGGCTACGCTGCGTGTGCTCAAGTGCGACAGCAGCAAGCCGTGACGTGGATCTGCGCAAGAGGACGACAAGTGCAGCACCGGCACCAGCACCTCGTAAGCTTCCATGGAACACGGGATGGCGCGTCGTCCTGGGGGCTTCAGCATCGCGCAGGATACAAGATCCCACGTCTAGGAAGGAAGCAGAACGGAGGAAGACAAAGGAAGAGCAGGCTTGACCAAAGTTCAGTAGAGCTTCGCATTCAGCCAAGAAGCCACACGCTGCCGGGTAGGACGGTCCAGTGATGACTACCTACTCGAGGGACCGTCCTCAGCTTCGTCAGCTATTACCAGACAGCTCAATCAGGCTTTTTACCAGCTCGTGACAATTCTGACCGGTCTCGTGACAGTTCTGCTGTCCTCGGAGACGGGGGCCGCACGCGGACAGGTGCCTGGTGCCAAACGTACGCCGCAGCATGAACCGTCGTGCAAGGTCGATTCGCCGACTACTTGACACGGTGCAACCACCGTCTCGCACCCCACGAGACGCATTTGACCCCCCACACAAGATGTGCACTTGTCCGAGACGAGATCCTCGTCCAAGAGAGGCGGCGTGTGTCAGATCGAGAGTGCTGGCTGCAGGCTCCATGGGCCGAGCCCTGCTCTACTTGATACATTGACACGCGGCATGCAGAAGTTGCCAGATTGCGTGAAGCCGTACGCGTCTGTGCTGGCAAGCTCGCCAGGCTTCTAAAGCTGCCGTCGTCGCGGAGAGAGCTCTCGGCTCCGCACGTGCAGCCCGTTGTGAGCCCGCCCGCAAGGCGGTACTTGCAGCAGACAGCATCGTCGTGGTTCAGGATTGGGGGGAGCGACAACGATGAGGACCAGTTGGCTGGGATGCTGGTCAGTACTAGGGGTATTGGGAACCTGTGAAACGGGCACGTGGTGGTCAGAAAGTTACCAAGACGTCACAGCTTTGGGCCACTCAAGGTCGTCACAAGCGAATTATCCGAGGCGCCATGGGCTACAAGGAAATGAATATGATACCTCAATTATACTGTTTGCAACGCCAAACCCTGAATCAAACACATAGACCTGTTCTGCTCTCACCCAGCTATGCCGTAGCCAGTAATCAGGCGGCCGGCACTCGCAAAGGACGCGTGCTATGCCACGCTCCAGAGACGAGGCAGAATGGACAGACCGAGACTGAACGAACCATCCCAGCCCAGACGAACCAATTCTATCGTGCTCAGAATAAACACTTACAGCGTCGACGACTCCAGTGACTGAGCCATCGCAAATTCCGCTGCCATCGCACATAACAAGTTCCATTGCGTTGGAGTCTAGACCATCACTTCGTTTGCTAGACCCTGTACCCAAAAGTAAAGACCGTAATCAACGACGAGTGGCGACAACTGAGGAAACATGTTAGAGAGGAGGAGTTTCCTGTACCGAATGGGGCAGGAAACGGCCACGTACCAGAAGGAATGATGATAACAAGCAAGAGGATAATGACACCAGCGATCAAACAGATGCGCATCTTCATGTCTTTCCACCACATCTGTTTGCGAACCCTGTTGGCACCGCGGCGGAATTGCTGGGACGAATCTGCCAGACCGGCGGTCTGGTGCTCCATGCTATGAAGTTTGTCACCTCGCCCGGCAATATCTTCCAGGTTTGTTTTCATCGTTGCTTGAGTTTCGCGTATTCCCTGTCAACGTCGTATTAGCATAAAACTCGCCCAGTTGAATTAGTCCACAAGTGATGAATTCTCATCCGGCTGTGTTGGCATTTCCGCCATGACCAAGCACAATCGAAGACAACTGCCAAGCCTACAGAAGTCATCTCATAGCACCAGCGCCAAGCGAGGTGAAATGAAGACCATTTTCTTCAATACCATGGTACCTCAGCCACGACGGGCAGTCGAGGCTTAATTTCGCTGGTGCATGGGTCATTGCTGAGCTTTGTTGCTTCCGCTTCACGAGATCGGGTATGCGCCACGTAAGCCGCAGCCCCTTGAAAAACAGCATGTTGATGGCATCGAGTGACGAACGCAAAGAATAGTTTCTACCAGTGACGCGTGCACCAATACTTAGGGAACCTACTTCTTTGATTTCTTGAATTTTGGCATCTTGCGCACTACCTTCGTAGTTGTTTCCGGCGTTGGATGGCCGCACATCATGAGAGCTGTAATGGCCACCTTGCCCGTAGGAGAGGTTGTTGGACATTGTGGGGAGGTCGAAACTATTTGCTCGGTCGGCGGATGAACAGGATTCTCGGCAACGTCAAAAGACCCTACGATCGGACTGAAGAAGCGCGTTGGAAATTTGATGACGACGATGTCGATGGATGAGCAGCGTTGGAAGGGAAACTTGGTCAAGCGTGGAGGAGTCGGATGTGTCAAGTGAGGAATGAGACTAGACTCTTCGTTGGCGGAGGCAAGAAAGGCGGCCCCCCCCTGGTTGACGAGGCGAAGCGCCCTTCTGACACGCTGACGCTTGCATTACCGTAGACGGAGGCGACGGAGCCACTCGTTCCGGCTCTCCCTGCAAAAAAAGGCTCTACAAACCACTTCTTTCTGGGTCTTCATTGGCTTTGTCACTTGGACACGCGCCACTGTGCTGTTCGTGGAACTTTGTCCAAGTGCATTCTAGAGCATCTCTGTTCATTTCCAGAAGGGGCCTCGAATATCAAGGCAAAGGCGATCTAGGTAGGTGCACCAGCAGAACACAACATGGAAGCCTTGTTTGTGTAGGTGGTTGACGCGTTTCCCATTGCATTATTTTTGCTTTGTTGAGCTCGCGCTCTGAGTCCATAACATACACTCGTCCCAGCGACACCGCAGGGACCCGTTCTGCACAGTGTACACAGCACGGAGAACAGCCAACCACACTGGCGAACCTGCAGCGCCAGGCGTCATGTGTCAGGTTGACACAAGCGATCACGTGACTCGTGCAGCCACAAAGCATCTTCCATTCTTCCGAGAGCCTGCTTGACTGCCCACGTCGAAAGCCTCAGCCAACGTGTACCTGCATAGCATAGTGGGCATCAGCTCAATATCGAGTCGTACCTATTTGGCTTGCTTGAGACTTGAGAGGGGTCTTCGCAAGGGCGTTTCAGAAGGGCACGGCGAAACAAGGACGAACGGCAAAAGTCAATGTAAGGGTGGCGCACATGGAAAACACGTACGGCCGGCTCAAAGGCTAGATTGAAAGCAAGCAACGGATTCCAAGGCGTTGCTAGCCTTTCATGTCCAAGGTTTTCTGGCTTCCGTACGCCGATTGGCAAGTGTCTTGGGACCTATGCACGTAGTAAGTAGGTGGCAGGACAGTGTAGGTTTGGCCTTGGTGCCCATGTCGTGTACGAGTTGGTTGGCTGGTCAACAACTCCTACCCGGGCACTTGTGTCTTTCAAGGCTTGGTTGATAGCCTTCCTCCAGCGTTGATGGCACGATTAATAACCTTTCTGAAAGGTTTTTGTGTCCTGATAAGGAGACGGCGATCACACTGTTTAGCAGCTTCTGCGCGGGACAAGACATTTATCTATACGGCACCCGAATGTCTCTGTGCTACGGGAGTGAGGGTGGCTGCGAGTTGGGAAGCTGTGACTGACGATGTTGTACTGAGTTTGGGGCGGTTGAACAGCCGAGTAGGCCAGACGGCCTACATGGTATTGGACTAGCACACCGAAATCATCGGGCGATGCTGCAAAATCAGCTTGACGTGTGAGGGTTTCCGAACGATTGCGAACAGACCTCAACGCCATGTCTGGTGGTGTGGCTGTGATTTACGTGATCACCAACTGCGCAACCAACTACGTAAGTACCAAGGTAGGTAAGTACCTGGCACCTAAGTACCTACCTAAGAGGTACGTTACCTACTTACCTGTCCGCCTGGCGCCCGACGATCTATTTTTACTTCCCTGTGATTGACAGAGGCTGGTTATTGGTTGCCGTCTGGCATATCTCGGGACAGCAAGGGGTTGCCCATGAGTGCGTCAGAATCTCACGTCGTGACATCTTGGCAAGCCGTCTGCCAAGTTGCTCCGTATGCCTGGCCATATCAATCACGACGGACGGCACCTGCACATGGGCGCTTGCAGCGGGCTGGTGGGGTCAGCCGGCGTCACCGGCTGTGTGTGGAGGGAATTGGGCCGCCAGACGCTGGTAAGCAGTTGGTGGTGCGGAGTGCGGAGTGCGGAGTGCTTGCTTCTAGTGCCTCATTACTCCGTACCATTAGTACGGACGGATGTCAAGAGGGGCCATCTTACTTAAGTACTTTAGGCTCGCGGAACTGCGCCGCCATGCAGACTTCGTCAACTGCATGCACGTCATGGCATGGCCTGGAGCCCGATGCTGGTTTCTGGCATTCGCAGCCCACGTCCACGCCCACATGTGCACACCGGTTACGGAGTACATGTTCAATGATCATGTTCTCACCTGAGGCGGAAGTCGCTTGGCCACTCACTCCTTCCTGTCTTCCAACTATCCACCAAGGTACACTTGGAGGTAAAGTACGTAGGTAGTGCCAACACAACGGACTCGACTCGTTCCCTTCATTACTCGAGACGACAGGCAGCCTTCTTCCTTTTTCCATGCACGAGGACAACACCGAGCTGCCCAACCTAGAAATCTTCCTCCTCCGGGACGCTGGCTGCATGTGCATTCTTGCTCCTACCAAACCAGACTTTGCAAAGTCACTTGCCGTTGCCCAACCCCGACATCGTACCGCCGAGCTTCCCGTGCTTCCTCGATCCCATCCTCAGCTTCTAAACTTGCCTTGGTCAAACAGTAGCACCACCGCATTGAGCGCTCAAGACACACGCCGTTCACTTTGGCTGTCGCCTGAAGCATTCAATCGTCCCTAGCAAACAAACGAATTCTCTCGCTCACCTTTGTCTCTGTTCCTCGGCCGCACCCCCATCCCGCCAATGCATTGACCGACTGCAGGCCAGCTTCAACTCCGTCTCCTGGCCTTCGACTCGTACGACACAAAAACGTTGACGCCCTTCGCCCCACTCACACATATTGCCAACCGGCTTTGTGTGCGTCCTATTCCATCCAGGCCGCACCGGATGTATTAAGCTTGAAATTCGGTCATTGCTCGCCAGCCATTTCAGTCCTCGCAGCATCTAGTATCCTTGCCGTCAGTGCTTCATTCCGTCGTCGAGAGTGCCGCCTCGGCTCTTTTGCCGCCATTCTTACTCCCGTCATCCAACAATCTTAACCAATGCTCAATTCTCTTCAAGTGCCCGGTTGCTAGGTGTTTCTGCGCCGGCACCAGCTTGTCCGGTGTTGAACGCCGCCTGCAACCGACGTGGTTCTCATCGCCCCATGATCCATCCCACTTTTCTCACGGCCCAGTCTCGACGTACAGTCAACTTTGCCAGCATGCTGGCCACGACAATGCTGCTGCTGGCTGGTCCTCTTGCATCCGCATACGAGCTAGACGTCGATTCAACAGGTTTGTATACCCATGCTCCTCTCTTGCTCTACATTACCCTTGCGCGTGCGTGCCTTGAAAAGAGCATCACCTCGTCTAATTCCTGGCCGACACAGCTTCCATCCTATCCGTGGCCAAGCAAATGGCCGCGGACCTCATCACATTCTACAATGGCGATAAACCAGGAGGAACACCCGGTCTTCTTCCGCAGCCTTACTACTGAACGTCAAAGTCCACGAGGCCCCTTGTGCAATATAGTTGTGTGCAGGACACGCTTCTCTTGATCCTGCTTATATCTGACATGTTCCAGGGTGGGAGGCCGGTGCCATGATGGGCTCTCTAATAGACTACTGGTATTACTCTGGCGACGATCAGTACAACAAGCTTGTGGAACAGGCACTGTTGTTCCAAGTCGGCGACACCAATGATTACATGCCCCGAAACCAGACATTGACGGAAGGAAACGATGACCAGGGATTTTGGGGGTTGGCTGTCATGAGTGCTGCCGAATACAAATTTCCCGACCCGCCACCGAATGAGCCCCAGTGGCTGGCGCTTGCCCAGGCTGTATTCAACACTCAAGCTGGTCGATGGGATACCGAGCATTGCAACGGAGGTCTGCGATGGCAAATTTTCAAGTGGAATCAAGGCTTTGACTACAAAAACTCCATTTCGCAGGCTTGCTTCTTCGCGCTTGGTGCAAGACTTGCCCTATACACTGGCAACAACTCGTATGCCGAATGGGCCGAAAAGTCTTGGGATTGGATGGTGGGCGTTGGATTTATTGACAAGTACTGGCGTGTTATTGACGGAGCCCACATTGGTACTAACTGCACCGATCACGTCCCCTATCAGTTTTCTTACAATGCTGGCGGTTTTATCCTCGGCGCCGCCGCCATGTACAACTATACAGAAAAGCCTGTTTGGAAAGAGAGGCTGGACAATTTGCTCAGCGCGAGCAAAGTCTTCTTTACTGGGCCAGACAAAAATATCATGACAGAAGTCGCATGCGAGCCCGTGGACCGCTGCAACTTGGACCAACAGTCGTTCAAGGCATACCTCAGTCGCTGGTTTGCCGCAATCACCAAATGGGCACCTCATACTTACGACTTTGTCATGCCGTATCTGCGGGCGTCAGCCGTCGCTGCAGCCAAGCAATGCGTTGGTGGTACGAACAAGCGCATGTGTGGCCTCAAATGGAACCAGGACAAATACGACGGCTCGACTGGTGTTGGCCAGCAGATGGCAGCAATGGAAGTGACACTTGCATGTCTGATCAAAGATAGTCCTGCTCCGGTTAGCAATGGCAATGGCGGCACCAGCAAAGGCAACCCAGGCCTCGGCGGAGGCGATATGGGACGGGACGAGCCTCGTCCCCCAGATTACAAGCGAATTACCGCTGGTGATCAAGCCGGAGCCGCTATTTTAACCACCGCCCTCCTCATGGCTCTAGTGTTTGGTCTTGGATGGATTTGCGTCGATGAAACATCGGACAAGTCTCCCCTAGAGCAATTGAAAGGCTTCCGAAAGTCTACAACGGCAGCGGTCGTCGCGGCAGCAGGTGCTGCTGCACGTAGGTCAATGAAGGAGAAGGGCGGCGTCATAATCAATTCGACTAGCAAGAGAAGCTCGACCTCCAGTGTAGTCGAGCATAACCAGGCTATAGAGGCTGCAGCCGTGACAATCGGTCACGTTCGCGGTGAGAGTGCGGGGACGCAACGAAGATTGTCTAATATGCCAATCGGTTGGCCGCGCAGGAGCTCAAAGGTAGCGAGTGATCCGGATCCTTGGCTTGACACTCCAAAACTCCCTTCACCTACATGGCCAGGGACCGGAAATTGAAGTCGACGTACTTGGTGCTTTTGATGGGAGATCATAACTTGGGGGACTGGCGTTGGTTTTGGCAAGACATACGAAGCGGGAATTTTATATGAGACACGACAATGTGGCGTCAAGGTCATGGACTGAACATAGTGTTTGCCAGATAGAATCACGACACACTTATACGCACGGTGTGTGTAGTATAAACACGATACAGAGTCTATTAATCCCAACCGCGTAACATTCCACCATGTAGATGACGACCTCGCCGTACCGTTCAAACCCGGCCGGAACCTCAACCTTCAATCCCGGTCCAACACACGCTCCGACTCCCTGCTCATAAAATTATCCCGGAGCCGATGGGCGCAAACCCACAGGCCAATGCCGTGAACGGAGTAGAGCCCTTGTCGTCGTCAACCTCCCCTTCCCTCAGTCACGTCCACCGCTTGCAAGTGTCGGTCGGCGTTTTAGCTGAAGCCTACGGCGCGGACCTGGTCCTCGATGGCTCTCTTGGAAAGCAGCGCCGCTGCAACTCGGGATTCTGGATCCCATTCAAGGGACGGGACCGCCCCCGATACATACGTCACATGAGAACTGTCAGTCGTGAGATTCCCGGCTATTGCTATTGGGGCTACCAAAATTGCTATTGGGGCTACCGCCCCACCTAGATTTCAGACCTACACCCTTAGATGCCACACCCCTCTATACATTTTTACATATAACGCCCTGGCAACACAGCGATTATCACAAAAATAGCAGCACACAACAAAAAAAAAAACGTTACATGCTGCAGCTGCAGATGCTGTATAAGGCAGCCTTCTTGCAACAACATAATATTGCTAAAAACACTAAAATATAGATTAAAATAACAGTTAACAGCTTACTTAATTGCCTTAACTAAGCTCTTAAAGTTGCTGCTGCTGCTACTAAGTTAATCTAAGCATCTATTAATCTGCAATACAAGCAGACCTTGCAGAGCAAGCTGTAAGTTAATAACGCCGCTAAAGACTTAACATTCTATCTATATAGCAATTAGATAACTATATAAATAACAGCTAAAGTAGATTAATTAAGGGACAGGCAATTAAGCTAGATATTAAGGAAATTATCCCTTAAATACAGCTAGAAGAGCAGCAGCAGCTTTAATAAATAACTCCTTAGGAGCTAAGGCAGCAGCTATAACAGCCCTAGAATAATTAATAGGCCGGAAAGTAAATATATTAAACAAAAACACTAGAAATTGCATTTTTAAGCAAATTAGAGCCTGCCTATGCTGGCGCTGTTAAAAAATTCACTAATATTAATTAACTACTTTTACATTTAATTAAGAGCGGCTGCAACTATATAGGTGTATGTAAAAATGTATATAGAGGTGTGGGAAGCTAGCCACTAGACCGAATTTGGATGGTAGTGGGGCGATAGTAGCCCCAATAGCAATTTTGGTAGCCCCAATAGCAATAGCCAGATTCCCGGCGCCGATGGGCCAATTACCAAATCGAGACGGCCGGGCGGAGGTCCGTCGCCCCACTTCCCACTTCGCCGGGAGACCGGGGCGCATTCCCACGCAGGCTCACTCCGTACCCTGCCTGGGCTTGGGAATGGTGCGGGGTTGGGATGTTGCTGTGTGCCGAGTTGAGTTGCGCTGGGACCCGAGCACGGCACACACCCCTCCTCCCTCCGCAGCGGAAGTGTTCTACCCGGCATGCGTCAATCTTTCTGGATGTTTTTGGATATTGCAGTTGGCGAGGCGCACCGTCTGGTTTTTGCTTTTTTTCTCCTGCAGACGTTGCGGATTGATGATGACGTGGCAGGGGAGCTGGCTGTAAACTTTAACTGCGGATGCCAAGGGGCCAGATTACAAGTTTGAATTTCATTGACAATGACTCGCGCGTGCGAGGTGCGAGGTGTGAGGCCAGTTGTCTCTAGTAGTTGATCCATTCCGAGGCCGGCCGACGCCGGTGTGGACCCTCGATGGGTCGGGACAACTGATCTTGAATTTTGCACGACAAGACTTGTTCTCGTTTCTACAAAACGCCAACCAGACTTGCTATTCATTCTGTTGTAGCCTTTGTCGTCTCACGGGTTGCCGGTACCGATAGTGAGTTGATTGCGGTGCACATCGCATCCTTGGTCGGTCCCGGGTAGGTTCAACATCGTGTGCCCCAGAATTTCACCCCTCGCGGCGACTCGTGGGCGATTACGACGCACGTTTCCCCTTGCCAAGTTAGCCGGTCCAACATCACTTCCGCATCAACATCCAGTCTGTCCTGTGCTCCGTCAATGACACTCCGGCACGGCAGGTAGCCAGCTCTTTGGGGTCGACAAACATGGCCCCGGCAAACAGACTCGACACAGACCAGCCCAAGGCGAAGCGCGGCGACGGCGCATCACTCCTCTCTCCCGTCGCATACGACGACGACGCGGCGTCCCTGCATTCCCGGAGCGACCAAGACACAGACAGCGATGACGACCAGCTGCAGCTGCGGGCGCGGAACAGCCGTGAGCTGCGCGCCGCCGACAGCATTGTCTTGATGGAAGAGGAGGAACTTGACCGTTTGGTCACTTCGTCCCGGCGGCAACAGGAGCGCCAACGACGGGGCTCCGGACTGTCTGTTCCCGGTGCCTTGAATATATTTGCCCGTCGAGGGAGCTCGTCGCAGTTGTCGTCGCCCAGCGCTTCCACGGAGAACCTGGTGCTGGAGAAGCGAGAGGCCAGGCGGGCCCGAAGAAAGCAGAACAAGACCAGGTTAATCGAGGACGCCCGCCACGGCGAGGACGGCGAATTGATGTACGAGATGGAAGAGGGCGGCATGAAAGAGGGCAGTTCCACCGGCGACAGCAGCGAACGAGAAGACAGTGGAGAGGCGGACCGACGGCGACTGAATCTCGTGGCACAGGCGAGGAACAGCCGCGGCCGCAGCTGGCGGAGATGGATCTTTTTGCATTCACTCATCGCCGTCGGCTTTTCCATCCTCGTCCTGGTTGCGTGGAAGCTGTCGAGGACTGGGCGGAGCGGACCGCCCAAGCAGCCCCTGGTCAGCAACGGAACAGCTCTCTTCGCGCCAACCACAATCATTCTCAGCCTGGACGGCTTCCGGGCTGATTTCCTGCAGAGAGGACTGACGCCCGCGCTCGGCGCCCTGGTCAGGGAGGGCGTCTCGCCGCAGTACATGACGCCGTCCTTTCCGTCCCTCACGTTCCCCAACCACTACACCTTGGCAACGGGGCTGCACCCCGAGTCGCACGGCATCGTCGGCAACACGTTTTGGGATCCAGACCTGAAGGCCGAATTCTACTACACAGACCCGGCACGGAGCCTGGACGCCAAGTGGTGGGGGGGCGAGCCCTTCTGGGTGACGGCCGAGAAGCAGGGGATTCGCGCCGCGGTGCACATGTGGCCCGGCAGCGAGGCCGCCATCCAAGGCACCTTTGCCAGCATCGTCGATAAATTCAACGGCAACGAGCCGCTGGACCGCAAGGTCTCCAGAATACTGGGCTTCCTCGACATGCCGGGCCAGGAGAGGCCGGCTGTCGACGCGAGGCGTTCACGACCGCAGCTGATCGCGGCGTACGTGCCCAACGTCGACACCGACGGCCACAAGTACGGCCCCAACAGCACGGAAATCAGGTCGACCATTCGGTCCGTCGACGCCATGGTCAACGAGCTCCTCGAGGGCCTCGAGGCCCGCAACCTCACCCACATCGTCAACGTCATCGTCGTGTCTGACCACGGCATGGCCACCACGGACACTTCTCGAGTGCTTCAGCTCGAGGACCTGGTAGACCCGGCCGACACCGAGCACACCGACGGCTGGCCACTGTACGGTCTGCGGCCCAAGGACGACGGAGACACGCGGCGACTCTACGACCAGCTCAAGCACAAGGCCGCGTCTCAACCCGGCTTCGACGTCTACCTCCGCGACGTCGACATGCCGGAAAGATATCACTTCTCGCACAACCGCCGCATCGCGCCGCTGTGGATCGTGCCCTGGACGGGATGGGCCATTTCCACCAGGGACGAGTTCGTGGTCAAGGAAGCCCAGGAGAAGGGCCTCGTGTACCACCCTCGCGGCCTGCACGGCTACGATAACGAACAGCCCCTGATGAGGGCCATTTTCATCGCCCGAGGACCAGCGTTTCCGCACCCGGCGAATAGCAGGGTCCGACATTTCCGTAAGCTGACTTCCCCTTCCCCTCCCCCTTGCTCGGTGTCGTTTCGTTTTACTGTTCTCCCCCCTCCGCTCTCTGCAGGAGGCGGCATTGCTGACGAGGCTCTTTTCGCGCCAGAAAACCTCGAAGTGTACAACATTGTGTGCGACTCTCTGGGCCTGGAGCCGCGGCCTAACAACGGAACGCTGCGACTGCCGCTCGGACCAGTCGGCAGCCACGACGACGCGAAGCCCCAGGAAGTACCGCAAGATCCGCCGCCAGCCCAGCCTACCGAGTTTGTCCATCCTGAGCGGCCGACCAAGCCCAAGCCCAAGCCCGAGCCCTCTGCGCCGGCGATTGGCGTTGATCCGCCGCCGGCTGACGCCCATCAGCCCACGCGGCCGACGAAACCTAAAGCATCATCTTCGTCCTCATCCTCATCATCATCATCATCATCGCCTTCTTCCTCCTCAGCCTTGGTAGCTGATGACGACGAGCCAAAACGGCCGACGAGGCCTCCTACGCCGCCCACCACCACCACACAAGTCCCCCCGGCGGAAGCCACAACGGGCCACGGAGACAGGGAGGGCCGGCAGACGCCCGACAAGGCAAAGGGCCTGTGGGAGTGGATCAAGAAGGCGGCGGAGGGGGTTTGGGGTACAATCGCGGGCTCTGGGTAGCGTGCACACGTAGAAATGCTCATGTTCGTTTTCCATTGATGCGAGGAGCCTGTGCGAAACAAACGTCTGCCTGCACTGGTCTGGTCTAGAAACTCTAAACTCCCAAGTCCCGTCTTCTCCTGACACGTCCAAAGACTCCAAAGATGCGGCATCCGACATCCGACATGCGCCCTTGGCGAGAGTCCCTCGCAGACAATGCCGCCCTTCCGACATATAGGCTCTGCTGCGTCATCCACTCTACAAAGGCATCTCGACTGCGATGCCTGAGGGAATATGGTTCAGCCCCAAGTTGCCATCTGGGCATCCGTGCCAAGGTTCCTCCGAGGCTGGCCCATTCGCCGTCGTGGTGGTTGGGGCCTGTTTCGACGGTGCCGTATAAGCCAAAGGGTTGTATTGATCCCCTCCTTTCCCCCAAACGCACGCAGTAACCAGTGACCAGTAACCAGGGGACCGCCCTTTTACGAACACACACACGCCAGACGACCCCGTCTACACGAAACTACTCGGCGATTGCGGCAGGAGCCGTGGGGACCTTGTCGAGGCAGTGTTGCTGATCAAACTCGCTCTGGCCCTCCTCCAGCGCCTTGATGAGGCTCTTGGCGACGCTCCGTGCAACGTTTCGAGCGACGGCGGGGACCTTGGAAATCGTGCAGTCGATGAGAGCCTTGCTGTGGACGTTGATGTCGGCGGTTATTTTGCGGACGAGAGGGCAGTGGCCGCCGTTTTCGACGTCGGCCTTCCTGGCCTTGCAGTCGGCGAGCAGCCTCCTGCCCTTGAAGTCGAGGTCCTTGACGGGGGCCCGGAGGCCCATGGCGTCGTGCAGGGCCAGGCCGGGCTGGGCGTCGACGGTCGCCCTTCCCTTCTGCAGCGTCTGTATGACGGCCTGGGCGGCCTCCTCGACCGCCGTGGTGCTGTTGGTGTAGGCTCGGATCTGGGCGTCGAGGTCGTCGACCACCCTGCCGACGTCGTTCATGACACCGGCGATTGCCTTGATGTCACGCCCGGCAAGGTAGCCGGCGGGCTGGGCGACGCCGGCGGCGACGCTGGTGGCCAGACAGGTGACTGCAAGGAGCTTCATGTTGGACGTGAAGCTCGGGAGGAGAATGGGGAATTTGTTTTCGGTGGACAATCTACAACAGTCGGTGTGACTGGAGGTTGGGTTTGGCTGTCTCGTCTCGGTTGCTTGAACAGCGCGGAAGGTTCTTCCAGTCCAGAAAGGAGACAAATCGTCACGGAGACCGGGCTTCGGGGAGTCTGGGTCCACCGTGGGCTTTTATACCTGACGGGAGGGCATCCTGCGATCGATGATCACTTTACATGGCGCCGCTAGGGAGTCCAGAAGCTCTGAGGTGGACTGACGGGCGGGGAAGGCCAACGATCCAAGAAGCACGGGCGGCTTCGAGGCTGAGCAAACAGCTTGGATATGGATACGCTTTCTCACGCCGTCATCAAAGGCTTCTGAGGAGCCCGCGTGGGTGCTGCCCCGTGTTGAACAGGTTGGCGTGGTTCTTTTTTTTTTTTTTACCCTCACCCAGGGCGGCCCTCGAAAGCTTGCATCACGGCAAGAGCTAGCGGTACTGTCCTGCGACCGGGCCGTGACAGATGGCCACGAGTGCTCGCTCTTATCGGGCGAGGACTGAGAGAGGGCGGCACGTCAAAGTCTATGATACCGTCGTCCCGCTGGCTCGGAGCTAGATCGAGACGAGGCGGGAGATGGCTTCGGGCCGACGGCCGTATTGCTCACTTAGCTAGTCCCAAATTCTCCTTGGGCCTGAAGCCCCCTCCTTGTTTCTGAAGGATGGCGTCTGCTCAATGGTGGAAATAGTCATGCAAGCTGTGGCGACGACAGGTCCTTGGTGGAGTTTCCAGAGTGGTGATTCGGTCACCGAGCGCCGGGCGCCAGGTTAAGTTTGCTTGTGCCTGTAGCAGAGACTGTCGGGCGCATGCAGAGCAAAGATGGAGGCGTCTTCCGGAGGCTTACGGTTCGCACGATGCTGGCAGACTGAGGGCGTGGCGTCGTCCATGATTGACTGGCCTTTGCTGCATTTGGTCCAGCCGCGATCCTAGAGACTCGAATCTGGAGCCATTCAAGGTTTCGGTGCATCAATATCGCCTGGCGTCTTTCGTGGGTGCCGCGAGGCCATGGCGGCTTCTCGCTCCTTGTTCCAGGATAGTCGAGCGGAAAGCGGTCCTTGGGGTCGGGTGCCTCGGGGTGAGTACGGCGGTGTCCAGAGTTGGCGCTCGAAAGCCGTCAGCAGCTGTCGAATGCGCCTCGTGGAGAACCGACTCCTCGTCAAAAGCTTCATGTTTTTAAGCGTGTGGGAGCCAGAGCCAGGAGGACAGATTGTTGTTGACGACGCACCTCGATGCCACCCACGTGGCTCGTCCAAAAGGGGCAAAGCGCCGTGCCAGCGAGACCTCGCTTACACTCTTTCAAGAGGTCATCAGTTCTGGACAGAAAAAGTACATACTGCTCTGTGCGGGTAAAGCCGCATGGAATCCACACTCGCCATCTTGTGTGTCGAGTTTCAAGCTTGGCTAGTCGGAGAAAGTGAAGCCGCCGCCTGCGCTGTCTGGGAGAGCAGCAACTCCGTCGACTTGGCCAACACATTTCCCGACCTTGTAACTGTGCTCAAGCACCTACGTAGGCACTTGGAACCTGGCAACCTGTTCATGCGGCTTTTGCTGCATTACTAGCAGCTCTCGACCCCTTGTTGTCGTACTTCTCGTGGCTAGTGCTGTAAATGAGAGCATGTGTTGGGGATAGGATGAATCAAAGCCGTAAACCATGTATAATGCGTACGAATGCGCGAGATGAAATACGTACTATCACAACATGGTGAATTTGTTTGAAGGTGGAGAATCCAGAATCTGGAATACAACTCGGCAACATTTTGTCCTTCCAACTCTGTCCACTGTTGCCGAGTTGTAATTTCAATTTTCCAGATTCTGGATTCTTCACCTTCAAACATGACAAGCGAGGACCTCACCCTGGGCGCCGAGCGCCCCACATTCCTTGGACAGCCCACCAATCATCATCACACCAGGACGCGTCGCACCCCGTCGGCCCAATCTGACGCGCCGCCAATCGATAAGAATTTCCGAGAAATTAATAACCCGTCGCTTGTGTCGTGGCAGCGCACTGCCCATCGCGAGGACGACATCGCATCCCCGCCGCTCGACCAGTCAACTGCTTCAACGAGGCCTGGGCTCCGTTCGTTCGTTCGCTCCCCTTCCCCAACCCTTTCCTTTTGTGCCTCACTTCGTCCCTGAATTTTTCTCCGTACCAATCCAGCTTTTCCCGCGACGTGTCGGGGTGGTGCTGGGTTCCACAGCTCGCCTCGTTGTCCAAAGCGCACGGATGCCTGCGTCTCACTTGCCTGGCTTGCAGGACTTCAGGGGTGGATATGGCAGATGCATCAATCATGGATAATAGAATTGGAGAGGCCATGGAGGAGTTGACCGTACAGCAGGTCATACTCAGCTCCCTACAAGACCAGGTCTGGGACGGCATCGAGGAGGAGCGGGCCCAAGTACTTGGCGATATTGAGCGACTGAAGCGTCTCGTCAAGAGGCTGGAACGAGAGGCACGCGCATACGCCGACCATCAAGATGGTGAGTCTTGTCGCCATTCGCATTTGCGTCGCTGGATACCACCAACAAGCCCTGACACCTGGTGACGTCGCTGTTGCACGACCTAACTCTGGTTCTTTAGATGTTTCTCGCTCGACATCGCAGAAGCAATCTCCATCCGAATCTCCATCCGGCTCATCAAACAGTGAGGACCTTTTTTTTTTACTTTCTTTTTTCTTCTTCCTTTTCCAAGGTCTTCTACCTTTGTTGTTACATCCCAGAACCGTCTCCGAAACCGAGTCCGTGAATTCATTCACGGTCCACGCAGTCGACCGACCCATGTAAAATGCCGGTCATGTTTCACTAGGACACTCGACGAACTCTGGGTGTACTCCAGGTTGTGGGCCACGGGACTCAAATTTGCACTTCACTTGCCTGCATTTCAACCAGAGCCTGACCTTGGCCGGCCGTTACGAAGTGATCGTCTGTCGGTGACTCCCGTGCCAGCTGCATGATTTGGCAAGTGCCCGAGAACAACCGCAGTCAAAGTAGTGCACAACCTGCACTCCGTAACACAGCAGATGCAAACCTTGGCCTCACGTATATATGGCTCCTGCGGCTCCTGCATCTCCGTGGAAATCCCTTTCCGCATTTCTAACCGATGACTTTACAGAACATCCACGCCCTCAACATCGAACGCCCGTCGTGACGGCCGGGCGCTCCATCAAGATGGATACCCTTCCCGGTGATCACGACATTTGGGGCAGCCCATCTTCAGTATCTTTGCCAAGCAGAAAGAGGGATATTCGGGCCACTGATGCTTTTACCATGGATGGGCAGAACAAGTCTCGGCGCACTACTCCTACTCCCGGAGGCAACCATCCCTCAACCCCTTCCAGATATAACGACTCCGAGCTCTTTGATATTATTGATCTCACTGGGTATCCCTTCGCCCATAGCCACGCAGTCACTTGCTCATTTGCTGACAATGATAGCGACGACGTCGACTTCGATTCCACCTTAATCGCCGAACAAATCCGGGAGCAACAGCGCCGAGAACAGGAAAACCGAGACAGGAAAATGGCCATGGAACTTGGGAGCCTGCCCTCCCCGCTCATACCAACCTCCAACATCAACTCACTCGAACCAGACGCTTTTTCAAGGATCATGGCTACAGAGCGAGCAAACACAAGAGGGCCGACAGGATGGAACTGGCAGTCTTCACCGCCACCCAGCACTCAAACACCGGCGCCGCCTACAGATAGGAAGGGAGCCTCAGTCCCAGGGTCGTATGATCCGAACTGGGACAGCCCAAGCCCGTGGGATAGACCTCCAGTGCCCACACTGCGCAGCAATGGATTTAAAGATGTTGGCATGAACTCGCCTGGTGGAAATGGCTCGAATTCTTCGTGGTCTAACGCTCCGCTGAATTCACCGTTTACTAGTATGAGAAATCAGCTTTCGAACCCGGCGCTCACAAATGCCTTCCAGCCTCACTCGCTGTCACGACATGTGTCAAACGGGATATCATGGCTGCCGAAAAATAATGGCTCTGCTGTTGCAAACGTCATCGAACAGACCAGCATGTTTGATTTCACAAATGGGCTAGACGCATTTGGCAATCCACTGCCTAGTCGTTTGACAAATGTGCTTGGTGACGATGACGAGTCACCTATGACGGGAAAGGAGCTGGATGACTTGCTGGGGAATATTCGCCCCGACGTAGATATTCCTGAGAGTAATCGCGGGATTGGTCCCCCAGGGCTGAAGTTCCCCCTTTATCGCCACCAGGAAGTTGCGCTTACTTGGATGAAACAAATGGAAGAGGGGACTAACAAGGGCGGCATCCTGGCCGACGACATGGGATTAGGCAAGACGATTTCCACCTTATCTCTTATGCTTGCCAACCAATCCAACTGTCGTCCAAAGGTAAGTTGGGTATAGTCTTATCTAAACGCACCTCACTTACACGCGCTGCAGACCAACTTGATTATTGGCCCTCTTTCGTTGGTCCGACAATGGGAAGAGGAACTACAAAAGAAGACGAAGCTTGCGCACAGATTCTCCGTGTTTCTGTATCATGGCAGAAAAACGACCACGGATGAACTTCTCAAGTACGACGTTGTGCTCACCACCTATGGCACTTTGGCGCAGGAACTCAAGCGCCGCGAGAAGTTCATTGAAGAAAATAAAGATAGGAACATCAACTTCAATGATAAGTCTTGTACGGCTAGATTTCCGCTGCTACACCCAGAGAAAGCTGTCTTTCACCGCGTCATCCTGGACGAAGCACAATGCATCAAGAATAGGAATACGCAAACGGCAAAAGCTTGCCACAGCTTGAGGGCTACCTATAGGTGGTGTTTGACCGGCACCCCAATGATGAATGGGATTCTCGAGCTCTATTCCCTCTTGAAGTTTCTACGTATAAAGCCGTATAATGCATGGGAGAACTTCCGTCGGGTACGCAACCAAGTGCAATCAAGTCGGAGTGTGGACCTGACACCTGGAGCTAACATCTGCATAGACTTTTGGTGTATTGTTCGGCCAGAGAGGCGACCCTAAGAGTATTGCCATGAGCAAGCTTCGAGCACTGCTCAAAGCAATTATGCTACGCCGAAAGAAGGACTCGATGCTAGACGGCAAGCCGATATTGGAACTTCCCCCGAAGAGCGAGCATATCGTGTATGCGGAGCTATCCGTCGACGAGCAACACTTCTACAAACAACTCGAGCAGAAGTCCCAAGTGGTTTTCAGCAAGTACCTCCGGGAGGGGAGTGTCGGAAAGAATTATTCAAGCATTCTTGTGCTGTTGCTCCGACTTAGACAAGCATGCTGTCATCCCCACCTCAACCTGGACGTCGACGATGCAGTCAATCCTGTCAGCGGTGCTGATGTGGAAAATCTGGTCAAGGAACTGGATGCATCTATCGTAGAGAGGATCAAGGGTGTCGAAGCGTTTGAGTGCCCCATTTGCTACGATGCAGTACAGTGTCCAACATTCTTCATCCCCTGCGGTCACGATAGTTGCAACGACTGTCTGTCCCGGCTTGTCGACAATGCCATCTCGCAGAACCTCCACGAAGGCAGCGAAAGCGACAAGGCTAAGTGCCCTGTGTGCCGAGGCGTCTTTGAACCACGGAAATGTTTCACTTATGACATGTTCAAGAAAGTCCACATGCCAGAGACCGTGGAACAATCAACCAAGGTGGGACCAGAGTACGATGACTCCAGCGAAGATGAAGAGGGTGATTTTGAAGACGGGTATTCCGCGGATGAGATTGACAGCCAAGGGAACCTCAAAGGATTCATCGTCTACGACGACGACGAGCTCGCCGACATCGACGACCTGAAAAAGGAGGTCTCCACCCCTGACACCCAAGCGCAAAAAAGGACCAGGAAGACTACAACCAAAGGCAAGGGGAATGGAAAGGGGAAGGGGAAGGGGAAGGACAAGGGCAAGGGCAAAGACAAGAAACCAGACGTGAAGCCCTCCATGCTCAAGAGCCTCCGCTTGGAGGCAGTCAAGAACCGCCAAGCATACAAGCGATATATGCGGTACCTACGCAGGACGTGGATGCCAGCAGCCAAAGTCACCGAATGCATGAAGCTGCTCAAACAGATACAAGAAACGGGCGAAAAGACAATCATATTCTCCCAGTGGACGCTGCTCCTGGACCTCCTGGAAGTGGCCATGTGGCACGAGCAGTTCCCCAACAAGCCGCTTCGGTACGACGGCAGCATGTCTGGGGACGAACGCAGCGCTGCAGCTAAGAACTTCAGAGACCGGCCCCAGCACGATGTCATGCTCGTGTCCCTGCGCGCGGGCAACGCGGGCCTCAACCTGACGGTCGCTACTCGCGTCATCATCATGGATCCCTTCTGGAACCCGTACATTGAGATGCAGGCCATTGACCGGACCTACCGCATAGGACAGCAGAAGGAGGTGGAGGTGTATAGAATCCTGACCAAGGAAACAGTAGAAGACCGCATCGTCGCGCTGCAGGAGAAGAAGAAGGAGATTGTGGAGGCGGCGCTCGACGAGACGGAGAGCATGAAGATAGGCCGTCTGGGCGTCGACGAGCTCAAGTTTTTGTTTAATGCGCACTGAGGACGCTGCCGCCACTTTTTTTGGCCTTTCTTTTTTTCTTTTTCTTTTGCCACAACGGGGTGGCTGTGTTGCGTGCCACGGCGTGAATCGGGATTGTGGATATCAAGCGTGGGAAGTTTGCGACTTGGCTTGAATGCGGAATGGACCATATGGACTACGATTATCTTACATTGCTACAGACTAGACTGCATGAGCTTACGTAGATCAATACACGGCTTAGTGCGAGTGTCGCGGCTGCTGGGACGCGAATAGAATGGAAATTTATTGCATTGGGTATATCTATCCTCATGTACATGGCGCTGCCGTGCCGTGCTCCTTGGTTCCCGGCCTCAAGGCGTTCCTGGCGCCCCGGGTACGCGACTGCCGGGGCGAGTCGAACGGCAGAACGGTTCGGCGGCGGACGGCCTGTGGCCTTGCTAGGGCCTAGACCTGCTCGTTTCGCGGGCGACCAGGTCGTCTAGGTTTTGGGGCTCGCTGTCCAGATGGGCCGAGTCCGAGTACGAGTACGTCCACGACTCGGGCCCCCGGTTGGGGCTGCCCGCAAAGCTGCTCGTGAGGACTAGCGCGACGGGGTGCTCGTCGATGGAGAATTGGAGGACGCGGGCGTCGTCCTCCGGGTCGCGGATAGACGTGCCGCTGTGTATCCAGGGAACCGGGTCCGGGGCCGCGCACAGGGACTGGAAGAAGTGGAGGGTGACGGCGCGCTCGGTGGCGGTGCGGATGTAGCTGAAGAGGGCGTTGGTGTCGGAGTAGCCCTCTGCGTAGGGGGCGCACGTGTCCCGCAGGGGAGAGGAGGGGGCCAGGGCGACGTGGTAGAACGTCGTGGTGACGGGGAAGAGGAACGTGCGGCCGCGGACGGTGAGCGACGTGTCGGGGAGGATGGCGAGCGCCACGTTGAACTCGACGGGCTGGAGCATGTTTCGGATGAGGGATTGCGCGCCGGCCGGCTGGTTGGGGCCCTGGGCCGAGTGGTCGGCGGCGGAGAGCTGCGCCGTCCTGAGGGTGAGTGAGGCGGGGAGGCCGGCCTTTTGGAGGGCCTTGGAGACGGAGCCCAAGTAGGTTGTGCAGGAGAGGATGGCGCGGTTGGACGCCATGCGGGCGATGACGGGGCGGAGGAGGGCGTACACTTGCTGGCCTCGGGAGCGGGAGATGTGCGGCGGTATGGGGCGGATCCGCATGAGTTCGTTGTATCGGTGGGCGTAGCTGAGGAGGACGTGGAGGGAGATGAAGATTGTTTCGGCGACGGAGTTGTTGGGCAGGGAGCCGTCGCTTGCGGGACACGACTCGAGCGGTAGCAGCTCGAGGATGATCTTGGAGCGGCTGTCCACGGAGCACGTCAGTGTCGAGCCTTCTGGTCGGACGTCGTATGCCGCCAAGGTGCGTGCTTCGCGCGTCAGCTCGTGCCAGAGCTCCTGGGAGAAGATGGTGTTTCGGGCCTCGAGGATACGCGACTCCAACGACGTGTCGTCGTGGCGGCGGCGGCGCGGGACCGACCGGCCGACCACCTTGCCGTCCTGTTCGTATGTGACCACGAGCCCCTCTGACACGCCTCCCAGCCGTCCGAGGTCGAGCTCTACTGAGCCGCTGTCGCCCCTTCTCATGGGTGCGAGGCCGTTGCTTTTGAACTCGGGGGACGCTTGGAGACGGTCAGCAAATGTAGCAGAGCAGTCCTAGGATTGAGCCGACTCACCTTCGGAGAAGCCAAACTTTACCCCCAGGGTATGGCGTTCATGCGGCACCCTGCAAATAGACCAGCCGGCCTTCTTGACTGCCATGACGTCTTCCCAGTATTTGCTCTCGGCTTCGACCTCTCGTTGTAGGAACCTGCCAGCTTCGTCGGCGGCGTCCCGAGCCTGGTTGATCTGCATGAGTGTCCAGCCGGTGGCGACTTCTTCCTCATCCCTTTCCTTGTCGGGATTCAATATCGGTTCGTCGAGTTTGTCGGCGCCCAGGGTTCCAATGCCCACCATTTCTCGTAGCTGCTGAGAAAGGGTCAAGCCAGCCTGGGTTGGGCTCTGCTTTGATAAGAGCAGGGAGAGGGAGTCGAGGGTGAGCATGGCGGTGTTGCCGGCAATCCTACGCGCCGACGTTAGCTCTGTATTTTGGAAAAGGCCCCCGGGGACGTGTCTGGCATCTAATCTACACACTCAATATTCCTCAAGACCTCCATGCGCACGACGGCGGCGTCTTTGACAGGGTCCTCGTCACGGCCTGGGTCGGACACGTCGACTTCGTCTTGGTCCGAGTCGCCCCCACTGACGACTTCTCCGGATTTGATCTCATCCTGAAGTTTAGCCTCTGTCACATCGCGAAAGCCGCCGGGCTGTGCATTGACGCGCGCGATAAACTCGGCGAGGTTCTTGGGGGCCCTGTCGGCGACGGGGAAGGGTCGCAAGGACAACGGAGGTCCGTCGGGCGAAGTCATGGCCTGCGTCACCTCGATGGTCTGGAGCAGATGAGGCAGAACATCCGGGAAAACAGCCGGCGGGCATTAGGAGGAGTTGGCCGGCCTGGATGACGGCGGTTGATGTGCGTGTACCTGTATCGCGAGCTCGGATTGGGGCGGGGAGGATGAGCCACACTGGCACAGCAGCCACAGCCACACGAGGGGAGAAGCTGTGGCTGGTGGCGAACAGCTCTCTGAAGCATTCACTGTGGCCATGATCCAATTGACGCTGCTGTCCAGGAACCAGTCGACGTCCATCGTCAACCAGCACAAGCAGTGAAACATGAGATGATTTTTTTCTCTCAATCTGCTGACCTCTGCGTAATAAGACCTGCTGAGGCCGCCCGGAGTGGTGGGACGTGCCGCACCCGTTAGGGGTCGAAGGCCAGCCAGCTCCTGCACCATGGCAGCAGGGATGATGAGTGAGGGAACCAATTGTCGGTTTGGTCCTTCACGTCGCAGCGAGTTGGTCAAGCACACGTCAGTGAGCGGCTGCATTCACGAGTTTCAGCATTTTGCTGCCTGTTTCACGGGCCAAGGCCCATGGCTGGTGACTCATGAGCCGAGACTCTGGGCACGACTCCCTCAACTTGTGTGCGGGAAATGGCGTCAGCGCGTCAGTGTTGAAGCGTGTTAAGCCTGGATAAAGGGTGTTGAAGAGGCTGGAAAACATAGAGAAAAGACGAGGAAGGGAAGAGCAGAGCGAAAAATGGCAATAGAGCAGCAGACAAGATAGAAAAAAAAAAAAAAACTGATTCGAACCCCCCTTGATGTGCAACTAGTGGCGCCATCAAATGACGATGCACCACCAGACTGATGCGCCGTCAGCGAATCGTCACTGACCGGGATTCCTGGGCCTCTTTCCTCTGGCCTCTCACGACGACGCAAAGCTGCCTGCTTCTGTAATGGAGTTGACAACTTGATTGACAAGGACGAGCCGTCTTCTATCTTGGGCAAGTTGATACGAGCTCCATTGCCGAGCGCCCCTCCTTGGCCCTTTTTGCCCTCAACTCGGCCTCGCGCCTTTTCCCACCTTCGACTGACCAAACCTCGACCTCTGCCAAGCAGCCCTTCGACGTCAACTTTCTTTCGCCTCCCTGCTGGCCGACCTGCCATGGCCCGGTGCTCATGAATGCCTGGCGCGTCTCACCTCGCACTCTTTGCTAGACCTATCGATACCCTGCTTGCGCCACTGCGAAATATCCTCCTCGCCCTCTGGCGGACCCTCCTCATCCGTCTCAGCCCGCCGCCTGCTGCGACGTCGACCCTGACCAGTCCGCCACCGACACGCTCCCCAGCCATGGCTGCTCCGAGGAAGAAGATTGCCGTCATGACCTCCGGGGGCGATTCCCCGGGCATGAACGGCGTTGTTCGGGCTGTTGTGCGGACAGCCATCCACATGGATTGTGACGCCTATGCCGTCTACGAGGGATACGAAGGCTTGGTGCGCGGAGGCGACTTCATCAGGAAGATGGAATGGCACCATGTTCGAGGATGGCTCTCCGAGGGAGGCACGCTCATCGGAACTGCTCGATGCATGGCTTTCTACGAGCGACCCGGTCGGTTGACGGCCGCCAAAAACATGGTCTTGAACGGCATCGACGCCCTGATTATCTGCGGCGGCGATGGCTCCCTCACTGGCGCTGACAGATTCCGCTCCGAATGGCCGTCATTGCTCGACGAGTTGGTGACAAAGGGCGAGCTCTCCGACGACCAGGTCGCCCCGTACCAGCACCTCAACATTGTCGGCATCGTCGGTTCCATTGACAACGACCTCTCCGGCACCGACGCCACCATTGGCTGCTACTCCGCCCTGTCCCGGATCTGCGAAATGGTCGACTACATCGAGGCCACCGCCTCGTCCCACTCTCGCGCCTTCGTCATTGAGGTCATGGGACGACACTGCGGGTGGCTAGCCCTTTTGGCAGGAGTCGCGACAGGCGCAGACTTTGTCTTTATCCCCGAGCGTCCTCAGGAGCACGACTGGAGAAGAGACATGCGTTTGGTTGTCAATAGACATCGTAAGCTTGGCAAGCGCAAGACCATTGTCATCGTCGCCGAGGGCGCTCGTGACAAGGACGGGAACAAGATTGTCCCCGAGGAGATCAAGGACCTTCTCGCCGACAAGGCGGAGGGCGGTCTTGGACTCGACACTCGCATCACTACTCTGGGCCATGTTCAGCGCGGCGGTACGGCCGTCGCCTACGACCGCGTGCTCTCTACGCTTCAGGGTGTGGAGGCCGTCCACGCCGTCCTGGAAGCCACCCCCGACACTGAGACTTGCTTCATTGCCATGAACGAGAACAAGATTGTGCGCAAGCCGCTGATGAAGGCTGTCCGGGAAACCCAAGAGCTGGCCAAGGCTGTCGATGCAAAAGATTTCGACAAGGCCATGTCACTGCGTGATGCCGAGTTCGCCGACCAGTATAATTCGTATATAACAACTACGAACGTCATGATTGACGACCACAAGCTACCCCACAAGCATGTGAGTGCTGAAAGTAGACACGACCCTTGGAATGTGCAAAATACTGACGCGGCATCTCATGACGTAGCGCATGAAGGTTGGCTTCATCAACGTCGGTGCGCCAGCCGGCGGGATGAACGCAGCGGTGCGAGCAGCCGTTGCATACTGCATCGGTCGGGGACACGAGCCCATTGCCATCCATAACGGATTTGCAGGCTTTGCACGTCACCACGACGACAAGCCGCTGGGCTCTGTCCGACCCTTTGACTGGCTCGAAGTAGACGGCTGGGCGAGCAAGGGCGGCTCCGAGATTGGAACGAACCGTGAGCTGCCGGAAGAATCCGGCATGGAGCTCATTGCCAACCTGATTGAGCAGTACGAATTCGACGCTCTCTTCATCATTGGCGGCTTCGAGGCCTTTCACTCCGTGGCGCAGCTGCGGAGAGCCCGGGACGAGTATCCCTCACTGTGCATCCCCATCTGTCTCTTGCCGGCGACCATCTCCAACAACGTCCCGGGCACCGAATACTCTCTTGGATCTGACACGTGCCTGAACGAGCTCGTGAGTTACTGCGACAAAATCAAGCAGTCTGCGTCCGCCACGCGCCGGCGGGTTTTCGTCATCGAGACGCAGGGCGGCCGCTGCGGGTACATTGCCACGCTCAGCGGACTGAGCGTTGGGGCCTCGGCGGTCTACATCCCCGAGGAGGGCATCAGTCTCTCCATGCTGAACGCCGACGTCAACCACCTCAAGAATGTGTTCAAGAACGACCGCGGGCAGTCCCGCGCGGGCCGCCTCATTCTGGTCAACGAAAAGGCGAGCAAAGTGTACGATGCCAAGCTCATTGCCCACATCATCCGCGAGGAGGCTCACGACCGGTTTGAAAGCCGTGAAAGCATCCCCGGGCATGTCCAGCAGGGCGGTGTCCCGTCGCCCATGGACCGCTGCCGGGCGGTAAGATTGGCCATCAAGTGTATTCAGCACCTGGAGGACTTTGGCTGCAAGGCTCACAACCGCGTCAAGAAGGACCCCAACAGCACGTCAGTGATTGGCATCCAGGGGTCGGAGGTTGTGTTCACGGCGGTGAAGGCGCTGGAGGAGCAGGGGACGGACTGGCCCAACAGACGGCCCCGGGCTGCGCACTGGCTCGAGGTTCGTGACGTGGTGGACATGCTGGGCGGCCGACCCGACTATCCTAGACCGGAGAGGAGCCTGACGGGACTGATTGCCAAGGACACCAAGAGAGGCCTTGTGTGATGGAGTCCAAGGCGTCGGATCAAGCGTGTTTGGTGACCTGATTTCAAAGCCCTAAAGGAAACAACTCGCCTCAACTTTTCTCCTTCTCTCTTTTTTTTTGTGACCTTGCACCTGTCTTCCCTGCCATTGGCGCTGTTGCAAGGCTGGTGGTGTAGTAATGGGTTACTCTTCATGATGGGCAGTAGAGTTGGGGAGTATCAAAAACAGCAAGATATACCTATCGGCAAGGCACTGCACGGCGTGACGTGTAGTTTTGAACAGGTGGACGAACGGCAGAGTAGTCGTTCCGCGACGCAGGGACTCCAATGGGCTGTCCGTCCGTCCGCCTGCCTGCCTGGTCCAGTAAGTGCTTGAGTAGACGGCCTGGGGCGGACGCAGTCGGTAGTTACTTTGGAGGTGCAAATCGTCCAGCGCGGCGCTGTCAGCGCTGTCAGATGTTTGCGGGCCGGGCTGGGGGGGGCTGGTGACACGGCCACACGGTTGACGCCCCAGGCGGCCAAGTGTCAGGTCAGGTCAGGCGGCGACGTCTGGACGCACACGCACCGGTCGTGAAATAAATACGTCATGGGGGCGGACACAAGCCGTCAGCACGTTGCTGTGCTGTGAGCTCTGGGCACCTGGGGAACGGCCAACCTTCCGGGCATCAAGGCGCTGATGCTCCGTCAGGGGCAGATGGCAGCGGTCGGGACTTGGCGTACTCGGTCACCTATAGTCAGGTGCCTGGTACCGAGTACTAAGTGCCTAGGTACCTAGCACAGAGTGGGCAGGCGGGTGGTCACGCACGCAGCCGTTGGCGGCGGGAAGGCAGCGACAGGCGTCAGTCAAGGGTCCAGTGATTGGGCAGACTGGTGACAATGACTCCCACCAAGGACTCCGAGGCGGGAGTGCTCATCTGGCCGCGCATCTCCATGTCCATTCCATAATCCTGCGGCTGAGTCCTCTTCTCCTCCCCCTCCTCCTCCTTCTCCTCCTCATGCTCACAACGTCATCGTCACCCTCTCGCTCGTCCGACGTAAGCGTCAACATTGTTGCCGCGTTCAATGTCTGCTACTTAAGCGTTGGGCCGTCCCGCTCCGCCGCCCGCCAGCCCCACTCGGTCCGCTCCTGCGCCCCTCGCGCCTGACGACGTCGACGTTGAGCTTTTCTCACGCCTCTCGACTCGTCTGCCTGACTTGAGGCTTCTGGTCCAGCCACCTTATTTTCTTTCCTTCTTTTTTCCTGTCCAAGCAGAGCAAGCAAGGCCAGCAGAGCCATCTTCATCCAGCTCTCTGCCATCTGCTCTTGTTCACTCCGATACGGGCGAGCCGGTCTTGCTTTGCTGCTTCTGCCCCGGACGACCTGAACTGAAGAGTGAGTGGCCTCCCTCGGCCACGATTCGTTCCGACGAGGCGTCAGCCGTTGGAGCTTGATACGCCTCGACCGACAATCCATCTGTCCCCAACGGCTTTGAGTCCTGAGCTCGCATACTCCTGCGTCACGACAATTTGTATTCTTTTCGGACCATTTTCTTTTTTTTCCTTGCTCTGTCGGCCAGCGAGTCTTCCTCTCCGCAGAACATCTACCCCTCACCATTTTGAAACATCGACCCCTCCACGTCCAATCCTCCAGAACAAAGGGGAAAAAGAGGTCGTCGTCCAAACAGCCCCAAACCGCCACCATGTCGCAACGTGGCGCCAGGATGACCGATTTCGAGGAAAGGGACTTCTACCCTGCTCCTCGTCGGTCCAGCGCGCGCTTCGAAGAATCTGACCGCCGTGCCTCGAGGGTCATGACACGAAGCCCTCCCCGACGACAGGAGGAACTTGACGTGCGTTTCCGCGAGAGAGAGTCGGACCGCGGCATCTCGTTCCTGCGAGATGACGCTCGAAGGTCCGAGCCTGGACAAATGGTCCTTCGTAAGCGGGACGTGGAAACCTGGGACGTCCACCGGAGCCCTAGTCCACCCCCCAGAGTGCGCGAGCAGCGCATCGTCCACAGACCGAGAAGCGAGTCGCCGCGCTATCGTGAAGTCGAGCGCGAGCGCTCAAGGACGAGGGTGACCAGGAGGAGGAGCCCTAGTCCGGCCGTGCGTTTTGTAGAGCGGCGGAGGAGCCCGAGCCCCGCTCTGAGAGAGCATATTCGCACGCGCATAGTAGAGAGAGAGAAGGAGAGGGAGCCGAGTCCCAGTCCCAGTCCCAGTCCGCCGCCGGTGATTCGGGGACCGACCATTGAGAGGGAGGTTATTACGCATTACACTGACGTCGATCATGGTAATAGCCCCATGTGTGCTGGGTCGGAACATGGCCAATTCTAGCAACTAACTCATTCTTGCAGGCGTCGTTCGGGCAAGGCCTCCCTCACCACGACCGCCCACGCACCGCGAACGCGAAACCGACATCGACATCTCCCTGTCCAAGGGCAAAACCGGGGTCGACGTCGACATCCGCCGCTCCACCAGCCGTCATCGGAGCCGCAGCCGCGAACGCCGCTCCCACTACCACGACGACGAGCTCGTTGTCCGCGACGGCCTGGACCGTCTCCGCCTCGACGACGGGCGCCGCTCCCACCGCCGCTCCCGCTCCGCCGCGCCCGTGACGTCCCCCGTCGACGAGGAGGCCGAGTTCATCACGGGCAAGATTGATTCGCGGGGCCGCATGGGCGAAGCATGGCACGGACACACCAAGGACTGGACCATTGTCGACGTCCCCCCCGGCACAGAGAGGGTTCGCATGGACGGCGTGGGCGGGGCCAGCACCGAGACAAACTGGTCCAAGTACAGCGGTGTGCGAAGGACGACATTTATCCCCGAGCGAGACGGACAGCTGGTCAGCGTGCCACGAGAGCCGTCTCCCCGCCCGGCGGCCGGCAGGGAGCACACCAGCGTCACCGTGTACGACCGCAACCGCGAGATCGACGTCGACGTCGACATTGACCGGCGATCCGGCAAGCCGAAGCTCGCGCCGCCTCCCACGCGCGACATGTGGACGGAGATCACCAAAGACCTGGTCTGCAGGGAGGCGATTGAGCAGATGGGATACGCGTACGAGGAGACCAAGTGGTTCTTTTACATTATGGAGTATCTGTCATATGTGAGTTTTTATGGTCTTGCTCCCAATCCACCCTTGGCCTCTCCCGCCCTGCCCTGGCCATCAGGCAAAGAGCGCTAACACGGGACGAACATTGTGCAGGACGAGGTCCTCCAGCTCACAGAGCTGACGGAACGGATCCGACGCCACCGCCGTTACTACAAGGAGGTTGGGTGGGAGCGTGACCACCGAGACGACTGGCATCGGTACCGGCGCCACCGTCGTCCTCACTACGAGTGGGATGACGAGCGCGTCAGGGAGCGCGAGGTGATTTATGACAGCCGTGGGCCGGCGAGGGGATACTTTCGCTAGGACAGGGGCGTCGGAGGAAGCGCAGATGGGAGGGGAGACTGGGCACGTTGCTGGAGGCCGAGGTGGGCGGCTATTTATTTTTGACGATTTCACGATGCATAACTTGGGACGGCGCAGCTAGGGTAACTACTCGGTAAACTGACGGTATCCATGGTGAACACTGAACACGGCTCGTCTTGCGCCCGGCGGGCATTTGTGCATGTGCGCAAGGGAGGGACATTTGGAGGCAAGTAAAGTGGCGCACCAGGATTCTTATCACGCATGTGTAGACTATATGGGTCGCACAAAGAAGTCGAGAAAAAGAAAAGGGAGACGGCCAAGGCAGAGCAGTGTGTGACGTTGCCTCGGAGTACCAAGTACCAACGAAATCTTGTAATTTCGCACCCCGTACGGCGTATTGTGACCGGTTGCCGTGGAAGCAGCGGGGTCTGTCTGGCTGGTTGAATGACTCCGTCCTGGTTACGGAGCACCAGCTATAACTGCAACACCAACTCAGTAGGGGTAACAAACGGAGCAAGGACCCTGCAACTTCAAGCAAGATGCAGATAGCAGCAGCCGCCAGTGACCAGGCCGCCGACGAGGCTCGCACGAGTTGTCGTCCCTAGCGCACAAGTCACACGTGTCTCGTCTGTGCGGCGTACGCGTGGGAAACGCCGGGCGGGCGGGCGCGGGCACGGCCGGTGATCCGAAACCCTGATGCCATGGATCATGGGCGGGAACAATGACGCACTATTTACGGAGTACGGAGCAGGAGGACTCAGGACTCAGGAGGGCGCACAGTGTCCGTGGTGACGTTATTTTGGGTCCGGTGTGACGGGGCGACGCGCGCGTGTGTGACGATGAAAAAAAATAAAAAATACCCCCGAGTGGGCGGTGAGCGGGACAAGAAAAAATCGGTGGACCGTCGTGCTGTGCTGGGAGCTAGCTGCTGGACTGGACTGGGTGGTTGCACGGTGGGACGGACGCTGCTCGCACGGGGTTTTTTTTTTTTTTTTTTTCTTTTTTTCTCTTTTCACCAACGAGCGTGGCGGGTTGGGGCTGCTGGCGCCGCTGGTGGAATTCTTGGGAGGTTTCCGGCGAGAAGGAGTGTTTAGATTGATTGATGAGATGGATAGGACGGGCATGGGCATGGACGTGCAAGTTGTCTGTCTGGTCTGGTGTATAGCCGACCCCGCCTTTGGACTTTGGTCTTTGGCTGTCTGGCTCTTCTCCCTGCTTCTCTTTTTTGGTTTTTCTCCAACATGCTAGGCTGGACAGGTTGACTTGCTCTGTAGGGAGACGGAGGACGGGGTAGCGCAATGGTCGAATTTGAACTCGAAGGAATCAGGGGGCCCTCGACGATGCCGGCGGCATACGGAGTACACGGCCACCCCAGGTCCAGGAAGGATCCAAGGGGCAATGCCGGCGTCCACACATGTCCACCCGACCCGAGGTGCTCATTCGCGCGACAGGACGACAGGGGATTGACTGCCGGTTGGTGGCCGGCCAGCGTGCCCAGCATGTCATGCCGGTGCAGACCTGGAGGCGCCGTGCGGTGTTTGGCCGTGGGCAATGGTTGTAAATAACTACCCGTCGCAGAGCGTCCGTTTTGCATGCGTTTGAAGTATTACCACTTAGGTCCAAGTACGGAGACGTCGAGTCCATGCGCTGGCTGCAGACCGCCTTGTGCCAGTTGTTCAAGTGCTTGGATTTACCGTCGACTCGGGCACTGCGTACCTAGGTCTGGTGCAGGCTGATCGACGGCAGGGACCGAGTGGACGGTCAACTGATGCAGCTGGCGGGCCAGACCAGTCGACAGTGGTCGCCCGCCCTCTGCGCTGCCTTCCTACAGCGGTGTGCTCCCCCCCTTCCCCCCTGGGCACCCGTGTGTTTTCGATGTTGGTGCTGAGCACGCTCGCTCTGCTCTACTGTTGACCCGCTCCAAGTACGCAGCACCTAGGCACCTAAGGTAGGTACATGTCTACCTCGTACTGTGGATGCCTGAGTACTCCGTACCTTGTCAAGCAAGGTGCAGAACTTGTGTCGACTGATACCAGGTACCTGCCTACCGCAGTTACAAGAAGGTAGGAGGTACCTTGTAGCTTTTGACCTGCACGTTGGTCGGCCCTCCAAACTCTGACCGTTCTGATTCTCGTCCTCCCGACTCCCATCTTCATCCAATCCTTTAATCGCATCTCTTCTTTCTCTTCCCCCCCCCTGCGCCGTCTTTACAGGGCACATTCCAAGGCTACAAACGAGTCTGTCAGACTTACACTCGGCTTCCCGACCATATTACGCTCTTGTTGATTGCATCCCACCAGGACCATCCACCGAGTAGGGCCCCCCGCAATCGCCAGCCAGGTTCGCTCGCCCTGCCCTGCTCTGCTACGCACTTCTCTGGCCGCTGACGTTGAACGTTGCCTCGACCGAGAAGAGGAGAGAGAAGGAGGAACGTTGGGAAGGACAAGAAGGAAAAGAAAGGAAAAAGAAAAGGGGGACAGTTCAGTTCTGCCAGGCCTGCATACCAACCAGCACGCGGCCGTCCATCACCACTTGCACCCTCCACCTCCCAAGTCCACCACTTTTGAGGGCAGAAAAAAAAATAGAAGCCCCCCCACCCGCCGCGTTTTGGGGGTCTCCGCCTTTGCCTACTCACACGTGCGACACTGTGGCCGGCCCTTTGACCTCGTTTGAAACATAAAACTACAATATTCAACACCACGAGAAGCCGCATGACGAGACGCCCTGCCACCTGCAATCATGTCGAGCTCAGAGATCAATCAGGTGCTCGCCAACTCGCTGTCTCCGGGTACGTTTTACTCCGTCTGCGTCGGATTCCCCTGCGTCCTAGCATCCTAAGCTGGCCCCTCGCTCGCCCCAACATCCTTCTGCATTCCCTGAAGCCCAGCGAGCCCTTGTTTGCGTCGGCCTGGCTTTGTGGCTCCTGGCTACTGTCTGCTGGACCCAAAGACGTGATTCCCAACCCTGCTAACCGAGTTCCTTGCTCAGACGCGAACCTGCGAAATGCTGCCGAGCAGCAGCTGAACCAGGCCGCGGAGAGTAACTTCGTAAGTTTGCTGGATGCCTCCCACCTGGTCCCCCTTTGCCCCTTCTCGAGCTTCGTGCCTCGCCCCGGCTTGCTCCTGCTGACTGGACCTTGCTCGCCCTGCTTCAATATAGCCGCTCTACCTGGCGACCCTGGTACAAGAACTTGCCAACGAACAAGCCGACCCGCCCATCCGAGTCGCCGCCGGCTTGGCCCTGAAGAACGCCTTCACAGCCCGCGACTATGAGCGTCTGCAAGAACTTCAAACCAAATGGCTGCAGCAGACTGACGAGGACACCAAGACGCGCGTCAAGCAACTCACCCTGCAAACGCTCTCTTCCAACACCGCCCAGGCCGGCAATGCTGCTGCCCAAGTCATCTCTTCTATTGCTGCCATCGAGCTGCCTCGCAACCAGTGGAGTGACTTGATGCCCTTCTTGGTCAAAAACGTTACGGACGGCGCCGATCACCAGAAACAGGCCTCCTTGACTACCATCGGTTACATCTGTGAAAGCTCCTACTCGGAACTTCGGGTTGCCCTCGTCTCTCACTCAAACGCCATCCTGACTGCCGTGGTTCAGGGAGCCAGAAAAGAAGAGTCCAACAATGAGGTTCGGTTGGCCGCCATCACCGCCCTCGGCGACTCGTTGGAGTTCGTTAGCAGCAACTTCAAGCATGAGGGAGAGCGGAACTACATCATGCAGGTGGTCTGCGAGGCCACTCAGGCCGAGGACTCGCGCATCCAACAGGGAGCCTTTGGCTGTCTGAACAGAATCATGGCACTGTACTACGACAACATGCGCTTCTACATGGAGAAGGCCCTGTTCGGCCTGACTATTCTGGGCATGAAGTCTGACGACGAGGACGTTGCCAAGCTTGCTGTCGAATTCTGGAGTACCGTCTGCGAGGAGGAGATCAACATTGAATACGACAATGCTCAGGTTGAGCGATCAGACCAGATGCGCAACTTCTACAACTTTGCACGCGTTGCCGCCAACGAGGTCGTCCCCGTGCTGTTGTCGCTGCTCACGAAACAGGACGAGGACGCCACCGATGACGAGTACAACATCTCCCGCGCTGCTTATCAGTGCCTGCAGCTCTACTCGCAGGCCGTTGGTGCTAGCATCATCACCCCAGTCTTGCAGTTTGTCGAGGCAAACCTGCGCTCCGAGGATTGGCACTTCCGCGACGCTGCTGTCTCGGCTTTTGGCGCCATCATGGAGGGTCCGGATGAGAAGGTCCTGGATCCCATCGTCAAACAGGCTCTTCCCATCTTGATCACCATGATGGATGATCAGTCTTTTCAGGTCAGGGACTCGACGGCTTTCACTCTGGGGCGCGTTACGGATGCGTGTGCAGAGGCCATCGATCCGGTCCAGCAACTCCCTACTCTCATCGAGTCGTTGTTCAAGGGTCTCATGAGCAACGCCAAGATGGCGCCTTCGTGCTGCTGGGCTCTCATGAACCTGGCTGAACGATTCGCCGGCGATGACGGGGCTGCTTCCAACCCCGTGACGCCTCATTTCAACCAGGCGGTCAGCTCATTGCTCGACGTCACGGCCAGACAGGACGCCGAGACTTATGTGCGCACCGCCGCCTACGAGGTGCTCAACGTCTTCGTGCAAAGCTCTGCTTCGGACAGTCTGCAGGCCATTGCGTCGCTGTCCGACGTCATCATCAAGCGTCTTGAGGAGACTGTTCCGCTGCAGTCACAGGTTGTCAGCGTAGAGGACAAGATTACCCTCGAGGAGATGCAAAACAGCCTGTGCACAGTTTTGCAGGCCATTGTCATTCGACTTGACAAGGACATCGCGCCTCAAGCCGACCGCATCATGCAGATCTTGCTCCAAATTCTAAACAGCGTCGGAGGCAAGTCCAGCGTCCCCGAGGCTGTTTTCGGAACAATCTCTGCCCTCTCCACGACAATGGAGGAGGACTTTATCAAGTACATGGATGCCTTTGCTCCTTTCCTCTACAATGCTCTGGGAAACCAGGAGGAGCCCAGTCTTTGCTCCATGGCTATTGGTCTGGTCAGTGATATTACTCGCTCCATGGGAGAGCGCAGCCAACCTTTCTGCGACAACTTCATGAACTACCTCCTCAACAATCTAAGAGTATGTACACCTGTCTCACCCTCCACACGTACTACTCTCGCAGCTGACCTTGTTCATTAGAGTACTTCTCTCTCCAACCAGTTCAAGCCGGCTATTCTTCAATGCTTTGGCGACATTGCCGGTGCCATTACTGGGCACTTTGAGACATATCTATCTGTGGTAGCTCAGGTTCTGGAGCAGGCAGCAACCGTCACTGCTGCACCCGACGGCCCCATTGAGATGGTTGACTACGTTATTTCTCTACGTGAAGGTATCATGGATGCCTGGGGAGGCATCATTGGTGCTATGAAGTCCAGCAACAAGAGTAGGTGACCGGCCCCTAGCCATCCGCGGCCTACTCGCATCGCTGTGTGTTGACCTTTTCCCAGCGCAAACTCTTCAGCAATACGTCCCCGCCATCTTCAACTTGCTTGGCCAGATTGCCAACGACACCATTCGAAGCGAGGGGCTGCTGCGCGCGAGCATGGGTGTTATTGGGTATGCCGTAATTGTTGTTTTCTTTTCGCTCGCGGACAGTAGCTAACACGGGTCGCAGTGATCTCGCCGACGCCTATCCCAACGGTGAGCTGGTGGACGCGTTCCGTCAGGAGTGGTTGACTGCTATGATCAAGGAGACCAAGACCAACCGCGAATTCAAGCCGCAAACCATTGAGACTGCTCGCTGGGCACGGGAGCAAGTCAAGCGTCAGCTTGGAGGTGCTCAAACCGTCATGTCTTGAGCGTCTCCAGTGGCCGAACCTGTACGAGGAGTCTTGAATCACGGACCAAGAGTCAAGACTCCCCTTGCATTGTCTTTGCGATGCCACCTTGGTCTGGACGACTCTGAAAGACATCGAATGGTCCCCGCCACGGCGCCCGCGGCACCACCATTATTCCTTCAACGCCACCCAGACACATCGCACAACACGATTCCCACGACTGTTTCACGTGTACATAAACCCCCCTCCCCCCACCAGGACACTTCAGTAATCTAAATACCCTTTTCATCAATACTACGACACTGAAACCCCCCCCTTTCCCCCATGCCCTCAAATGCCGTAAAAAAAAACTCCAATTCCCCTTTCCACCTCACAACCCCCAACACACACATTGCCTCATTACACATCTTTTGTTTAATCATCTCACAAAGTACTGCGAAGGGATAGAGAAGTCATGTAAAGCCCCGCCTGGAATTTTTTCTTAAAAAAAATAGCGGCGGCACGTTATAAAGTCATGTAGAGAGGAACAGGGAGTACAGGCGGCAGGTTTCTACTCGTTGATGAAATTCTTTTTCCATTTCATTTTTCTTTTCTTCTCCTCGGGCCAAGATGTTGGCCTTTTTTTTTTTTCACTCTGTATGCTCTTTTTTCCTTTCGATTGCGTTTTCTTGTTTCATCTCATTTGCGCCAGACGCCCTTCAAGTGAATGGGATCTCTCTAGAGCATACAGGCAAAGCCGGATCTGGGACTACAGCATCATCAGCCAGAAAAGAGGGAGAGACAGAGTGACGTTTGTGGACGGGATATGAAGATTCTATATAGGGGATGTGCTGTTGAGCGACATGGCGGGGCTGTGGAAATGCAGAGCGCATGATTTGATTTGCCCGGCTGGGTAGTCGGTGAGCGTGTGCTGGTGGTATTAGACTTAGTATCAAGTGATGCTTGTCGAGGCGCAGGCTGCGCGGACAGTTCAATAAGAATAGTTGGTCCATTCTCATCGTTGTCGCGTGCCTATTTGTGCTTTTTACAAACGTTTTGCAGTCACGGCCGTTTGCCCATTGTGGTGCCACTGTACGTGTGCAGAGGCCACTTGCGTGCGTCGCATCTATATGGGTCCAAAGACGAGCTCAAGTGTAGATTGCATGGTTACTAGGTAGGCAGGCTTGCATGTTTCTTGGGCGTACCCTCTGGTACATTGAATATAAAGTCGTGGAGCTCGACATCCTGCCCGCCCCTGCCTTCGTCCTGGCTAACCACGTCCTTTATTGCATCGCGTCCAGCCAAGGACTGCAGTTCATCCAAGCAGACGTCGGCCCGTCAATGTAAAACTGCAATTCGCCCTCGAACCCATCCGTTCCAGGGCCAAGTAGTTGCGGATAAAAGTCGCCCGCGCCGTAGTGGGTAGCCGGCGGCCCCGGGTGGTGCGAGTCAAAGGCCTCAATGAGCATGCCTAGGCCGTCCATGTTTTGGCGGCCCATTGGGCTCTGCATGTACATGTTGTGGGAGCTCCGTTGGACTCCTGCGTGGGCGGGCTGGAGATGGTCAGGACACGCGTGTGGCGACATCGTTGCTGGAAGGGAAGCGTTTGGGTAGCCGTGTGGTTGATGGAGCTGTGGCGGTTGGATTTGTTGTTGCGGAGGAGGAGAGGGCAACTGGTGACCGTTGTTGACGGGGTTGGAAGGGGCGTTTTGGGAAGGCAGTGATCCGATGGATGATGCCGACGGCAGTTCGTGCTGGGTTCTTGGCCGCGGCGGAACGTTTGCTTCTGGCAGCGTTGTTGGGGGAGGCGGCGGTTGATGTCGAACCGGTCTCGAGGGGGGAAACAGGGGCGGCAGCTGTCGTATAAAACGAGGAATGGGATCTTTCCCGTCGTCCATGCTTCCTTCGTTGCCAAACGTGGCCGATTGCGGGTCGAGGGAGAACTTCTCGAGGGCTTCCACCCAGCGTGCTGCCAGGGGCCATACTTCTCGGCATTCTTTCAGGATGTTGATTGTTCTTTGAAGCATCATTGGCCCATCGCGAACGAGGGCTTTGTCTTGACATACTGTTGGATTTGGTGTTGGCTTGTACATTTGCAAATCGAAGGCGAGTGAGGGAGGGAGGGGAAAGACTTACTCGTTGGATATTTGCAGAGGTAGGTTGAGAATAAGCCGCAACTGTACACGCAAAATGCGGCAATTTGTGCGCCGACACTCTCGTCTGGAGATCGGTTGGTGAATTGGGCGTCGATTTGTTCGTACAGATATCGCACGTTGGCGAAGATTTCGTCGGACATGGACGTGAAGAAGGCTTGTTTTGTGTGATCCTTTTCATCTGGTTTAATGATACTGCACGATCATTGTCAATCTGTAAAACACATTGGGAAGAGGCGAAAAAAAAAAGTTACATGGAGAGAGACAGCAACTTACTCTATCAGATATGGTCTGCGAAGAACAATATTGGACAACCGCGTCATCATTGTCACACACAAATAGGCCAACTCTTGACTTTCCGCCTTGTACCGTTTGAGAAGATGGGTGCTCCATCCATGTTGCCGGGGTAAATTCTGTTCCCACTCCCTTATTTTTCTGGCCGTTTGCGAAAATTCACTTGCTGGATCCCAAGGGCGCGGGCTTCTGCTGAATCTGACAGCACGTCGTCCGACGAGACCCCACCAAGAATGAACTTGCATCAAAGTCGCGAAGAGCGACCGGTTGGGGTCTCGTATCAGTTTGGGGTTGTCCATAGCAGGTGGTGTCCCTTCCAAAGCAGCTCGCGATCTTGGCTCATGTCCATTTGCAAAGTCCTCTTCGTCGCAGGGCAAAAGCGTGGTGATGTCACATGCGGATAGCGACACGGGGGACAAGGGTCCCGAATGCAAATTGTCTTGGCTGTATAACATCCACTAACAAATTAATTAGCTGTCATGTCAGGGAGGATCAAGTGTCAAGCGTTAGTCAGCTCAAGGTCAGGGTCTCACAAGTGTTCGCCTTGCCGATTCGGCACGTATGATGAGTTCGGGTGTCGGGTTCGAAACGTGATATGTTTCCTCTCGCTGGAGCTGCATGAGAATGGCCATTCGGATTGCAATGCCCATATTGATCTTTGGTAACCCGGATCAGCATTCGGGGGTGGAATGTTAGGAGAATGGTCAGTTACTTACATAACTCTTGTTGCGCTCTCCACTGCCTTGCTGGGCAATGCTCAACAAGTAAAAGGCTTGGCATCTTTCCAGCGTAGGTTCCTGGTAAACCTCTTCAAACGCAATCGACGATGCTCTATCCATAAAGTACTCGGCAGCTTTGACGCCGTTTCCGTATCTTACTTTGAAGGCGGGACTGAGTCGAGCTGAAATACTGAGAATGCTCATGAGCAGAAATAGGCTAGTTGAGCGCAAGTCCTTGCGCAGGCGCTCCGGGTACTGCTCCTTGGGAATAAAACCAAGTTGAAAATATTGTTTTGTGAAGAGGTTAACGCCGTCTATGATCTCTTCGAGAGGGGGAAGGTTCTCCCAATTATCAGCCTGTCGTTGTTGTTGAGCCGCATGTGAGCCTTCTCCAGCGGAGCGGCGTGGTCTGAAACTAGTCGAGCTACTTCTGGTGGCCTTGTCTGCTCTTGTGCGAGGGTGCCGATACTCACGATCCAAATCAGGTTGTCCTCTGACCGGAAAGATGCTGTGTCAAGAGAGCGGATGTTATTAGAGTCCAGAATTTGGCACGGCCATTTGGCGCAAGTGTAGCTCACCATTCTTCCGGGGGTATGCCCGCCTCATGACAGGACTTGCATGGAGGCTTGCCCTTGTCGTGAACGCATTTGCTTCTCATCCGTCGACATCTGTATACTAATGTTAACGTCTGTCTGTACATAAGTAAAAAAAAAATGACCTTGGTCCGACCTTCGGCATGCGATTGGAGATCGGCGCTTGATTGTCGGTGCTGGGCCTTGGCTGGCAGCAGAAGCTCCGCTATCTACGCTCAGAGGACTTCCTGCGGAGCCCGGGGCAGCTGGATTAGAATTTGAAGAATTCAATGGTACAGCCGGAGACAAGTTGCTCATGCCAAACGTATAGGTATGATTCGCCCCAGCCGGGTCCATCTCCTTTGCCGGAGATCCAGCCGAGGACCGGCAGGAAGTCTCGTGGGTAAAGTGGTGCTCAGCGTAGTGTACAGGAAGTCCGTTGGGCGGATTGGCTTCAGATAACAACAGGAAAATGCCTCGAAGGTCTATTTGCCTGTCCGCGGCGTGTTGGATTCTATCTCGGATCCAGAAGCCTCAAGTCTCGAGGCAAATCGGTCTGACCCGGTAGAGTCGGCGAGCACTCGTGAGGTATCAATGGATTCTTGCCCTTCAACTTGGAATTTCGTGCAGCATATCTTTGGCACTGCACCAGGAGGCACATCCCGAGTGGGTATTCGGGGAAGCCAAGCCAGGTGCGGCCTCTCTGTTATTCAGGTTGCAGACAGCAATGAGACGAAGGAATGGCGCCGAGATTCCTCTATGCCCTAGCAATGACGTGATGATCCTCCAGCCTCTTCTGTTTCGATTGGAATCGTCCCTGCTGCGGCCGTACTGCTCTGCTGATTCTCGGCGGAAGGTCATCCGTATGTGCTTAATTGGATAAAACTCTTGGTCAGGACGCCGGGGACTGCTGGGCTTTTTCTTCACCACCAGTTTTGGCGTGCGGAGGCTAAGACCCGCCGTCAAAGCTGTCAAGAATTCGCCTGGCTTGGTACAAGGCTACAATAGCGAAATCTGCAAGATGCGGTCGAAAAGCAGTGCTAGTTGACGCTAGCCTGTCTAGGATAGTCCTTATGTCACAGTTGAATTGCGGCGCCATTGTCCCGTCTGACAGGCTTCGTCGAGCTCGCAGTTTATTTGTGTTCATGTTGGTCCGGGGTCGCGTCCCAGCATCGTTCAGCCACAGTCTGTCTACGGAGTTGTAACTTATGAAACACTCCTTACAATACAATAGCCATACGGAGAACTCCGCACAGTTGAGGGGAAAAAGCAGTTATTTGGCTAGGTACCCGGCTCATCATGCGTCATACTATCATGATGTGTCTAGGTACGCTATATTATCGCAGTTAGTTATAACTGCTCCGTAAAAGAGTACTCCGACCTTGCCAGCAAATAAAGATGACGTACCAAGAGACCGTAAATAAAAATCGGAGCCAGTTATTATGACCCAAACCCTCAGGTTTCGAGCAAGTGCTGGCCCGCAGGCCGCCGAGGTGCTTCAGCGCTCAGCCAGTGAGACATCTCTGACGCTACCACGGGTCAACTGGTTAGTTTTGAGATACTGTCTGGTTGCAGTTTGGGTGCTTAGTCCAGCCTAAGCACGGCATTTCGTGGCTGTCCTTGGCAGGCCAGCCACCGCTTTGTTCGCTGGGGTTGGGCGCCCGCCACTTGTTCCGAATCCTAGCCTACCGGGGCTGTTAACTAATAACTCGAGTGTCTTCTGTCGTCTCGCCCGCGCAGCCTTGGGACAGCTTCGATGCTTCTGGGCGTTGGCGCGGACCCTCTGATGAACAGTGTCCAACGCCACTATTTCCTGCATTGCGACCCCTCCGCCGAGCAGGATCGCCCGGTCTTGAGTGACTACCCAAATGTCGTACACACATGCCTCTTCGCCTGCCGGGACGTAGGCTTGGAGATGAACCGAGGGCTCGGAATCATCTCAGATGCACCAATGAACCTGAAACCCAGATCGAGGGTAATGTGATGACAAGTTCCTGTGCCCTCAAGCCCTCGAGCGGGCCGCGGAGTCGAGCCCTATGTCCATTGTTCTCAAAACGACCCCACTACTCGGCTTGGTTGGCGATGCCGTGCTCCGTTCCCCCTTTAACCAGAGTCCAGGTCAGGGCAACCTTGCCCATATCATGCGTGATGCGCGGATCGATTGATGTGGCTTGCTCTGGGCAAGCGTGGCCCGGAACACTGGGCTGGTTCAAACCTGTGCCGTCCATCATCAGACGGCAGATGGCGAAGAGAAATTGAGAGCTGCACATACCTCGGCAGCGTCATCCAGCCGTCCCACGTCCGGGGAGTATCAATCAGATTACTCCGTAACACGAGAGAGAACAGCTGGAATAGAGTTGGGTGGTGGGTCAATTGACGCTGTCATGGAAAAAGTACTCCGTATCCGAGCACCAATCTCATGGAGATTGGACGACGGAAATTGTTCAGCCAGGCATCCGAGCACACACAATTTGACCGCTCGGTCCGTAGACTGAAGTGAAGGGCAGGTGCGATCCGAGTCCCATGTCAAGGGCAGGTACTTTGGTAGGCAGGTACCTAGGTACCCAGTACTCAGGTACTGTTGACGCTCGCTCGCATTCTCTCCCGGCATCAGTACAGATAAAAAGTGCTGCGCCTACCTGAGTACCTTGTTATAATTCCAAACAAAGATTGCGAGCTCAAACAATCTAGTTTGCCTTTGCCGTGCCGCTATCCGGAGCTTTGCATGGTGTTGTGGCGTTGGGGAACTTGGGGTGATCCCGTAGCGCACCCATACCGCCTGCCTCGCCACATCACCACGATGACGGAAAAATTCGCGTTGGGGCTTGGGCCAAGGCCGCGCGACGACCCCACGACGACTCCATGGCCATTGCGCATCTCAAATCTCAATAGGCGACAGATAGCGTCTAGATCTCAGTGACTGAGTACACAGAAGGAAGGAGAAAGAAGGAGAAAAAGAAACCAAATCACAAGTGATTGATCCTCCACCCACCCCTCTTCTACTCTTCAGCGCTGACACTACAATGCAGTCTGGTAGTAACCATTGTAGCCAATCTATCCAACTCCTTTCCCCCCAAGACAGCGTCCAACTGCAACGTCTCGCTGCAAGTATATTATGGCAGCCCTCACAACCATCTCCCTGCCATCGTTGCAGAAAATAGCGTCTGGCAAAGTCCGCGATCTCTTCAGCCTCCCTGACCCCGATGCTCTGCTCTTCGTCGCATCAGACCGTCTTTCCGCCTTTGACGTCGTCATGGCCAACGGTGTCCCGAACAAGGGAGCCATCCTGACGCTCATGTCGGCACACTGGTTCCGCGTGCTGTCTGAGCGTATCCCCAATCTCCGCACACACTTCATAAGCCTAGACATTCCTGAGGGTATTTCTCCCGAGGAGGCCAGCGCCATCAAAAACCGCAGCATGCAGGTGCGTAAGCTGGACGTTCTGAAAATTGAAGCCATTGTCCGAGGATACATTACTGGGGGTGCCTGGAAGGAGTATCAGGCCAAGGGGACTGTTCACGGTCTCGCCATGCCCCAGGGCATGCAGCTTTCTCAGAAATTCCCTCGCGCCATCTACACGCCTAGCACAAAAGCAGATGCCGGCGCGCACGATGAAAACATTCATCCTGACGATGCGTGGAAGGAGATTGGTGACAAGGAGACTGCCAAAAAGGTTGAGGAGCTGGCGTTGGAGATTTACAACACCGCTGCTGCGTATGCGGAAGAACGGGGGATCATTATCGCCGACACCAAGTTCGAGTTTGCGAGGGACACCGACGGCAACATTTATCTTGTGGATGAGGTCCTCACGCCTGACAGCTCGCGGTTCTGGCCCAAGGATAGATACGAGCTTGGAAAGGAGCAGGACAGCTTCGATAAGCAGTTTGTAAGGAATTGGCTGATCAGGGAGGGGCTGAAGGCCAAGGAGGGAGTGGCACTTCCGGAGGATATTTGTGTTGCCACTGAGGAGAGATACAAAGACGCGTTTTATCTATTGACGGGTACCAAGTTTGAAGATGCGGCCGAGAAATAGCAATCGCGGCGAGCAAATCAACTTTCTTGTAGTAATGATTTCTAATAGCATAAAAATTTTCCAAGTACTTATATGCTAGTACCAAAATAGGGGCTTGCATTCTTCTTTCAGCGCTATACAAATCACGATGTTGCTCACCCACGATTATACTGTTTTTGCAGGTATTCTTTCTCCTTATCGGTCCTTATTGCAAAATAGTCTTTTTAATCCTAGACTCAGTTAGCACTCTCATCCAGAGGCGCATCTTGGTCAATCCTGTTGAGCGAAGTGAAGAGAAGTTGTTACCTCTTAATGCCTTCCTTCACAACATCCGGCTCCTGAGTATAAACCATCCTAAACCAGCCCGGCCTGAGCGAATGTTCCTCCCTAGGATGCAAAAACACCCCATTTCCCAACAGCTTCTTTGCCAGGGCAAACTCGGCATTCGGCTCGCCATCCAAGTCGGTCGGCAGATACGGCGACAAGTCAATCCACAAAAAGAATCCCGCGTTGCTCCCCGGCAGATATTCCACGCCAATGTCCTTTAGCCCCAAAGTGGCAACGCCATAGGCTTCCTTCAACTTGACTCGGTTGAGTTCCACGAACTCGCGGCACCATTTCCGATCTTCCAGCATGGCGGCGCCAATGGCGAGACTGGGCCCGGCCGGGTTGTGGAAGCGGATGACTCCCCGAATAGCGGCATCGACGGCTCTGCTGCGAGTGATAATGGCGCCAATGCGGAGGCCTGCGGAGCCAAAGTCCTTGCTGAAACCGTAGGTTACGTGGAGGCGTTCGGTGTCGATGAGGCCCTCGGGATCAATGGCAAGGATGGATGTGAACTCAGTGGCGGAAGGGTCGCCCGAGTCAAATGTTGAGCAGGCGTAGATCTCGTCACTTATGAGGTGGACGCAGTGGCGCTGGCAGAATTTCATAAGGGCGACGAGGGTGTTTCGGGGGTAGTCAGGCTTGTCGCAACCGTTGGCAAGACTGGCCAGCGCAAGTTGAACCGCAAGACCCTCCAGGAAGTCGACATCCCCAGGGCGTGCGAGAAGATTCTTGATCCTGGAGCCCCTCTTGCTTTACGACTTCAGGGAAACCTCCTATACGGAGTGTCCCGCGTCTTTTCTCATCAGTGCAACTATGTTCTTGCGGATGCCGGGAAGACCCAGTCCGACATGATGACCTTCTTCCGCTCCATGAAAACAAGCGAGACTGATGAAAAGGCCGGAAAGACCAGGTAAGAATCTAGCATCTATGATATCCCTCATGCCAGCAAAACGAGTACAACTCAGTGTAACGAATCAAAGACGGCAGCACATCACACTCCAAGATGACCCCAGCTTCGATCCCATGGCGATGCTTCCAGGGTTGGACAAGTTGCTCAACCCTGAAACCCTCTTCAACTTGACGTCAACTCAAGAGTCGGCCGCCAAGTACTCGCAGATGTCACCGCTTGTCAACGGCAGTGCGGCCAGTGCGGCTACCAGTCGCCGCTCAAGCTTCATCGGCTTGGATCTTCCTCCATCCTCGCACTCCGTGGGAAGCTACCAACTCCCTTTTGAACTTGGCCGTCATTGTTCTCCATTCAATAAAGGCATCCCTGAATCAGAAAACATACCCAAAATGACTCCGTTCATAGAAAATGACTTTGATCCAATTTGCGGCGTCGGCCTTGATTTTGATGCTGATGGCAACTTGATCGGTATGCTCGACGACGAGCCTGAGCTGCCACCACTGCGTGGCACAAGTCCCGATCCTCTCCACGAGGCAGGTGTCACAATGCCGGGAATTCAGAATATAGTGCATCAGGATGATTCAAACTTGGTTGAAGAGCCCATTCTTGATTTTGGTGAAGCGGCACTGCCGGATGCAGAGCTGTTCGCTGCTCCCCCAGCCGTCGAGGAACGCAACACTGACGCACCAACACTGACCACAGAGACCACAGGAAGCAACAGAGTCGTAGCGCCCTGCAGGTCTTCTCATCGCCGCAAGTTTCAAGAAATGCTTGACCAAGATCCTCGGGTTCCACGAGGCGAGTTTCGAAGTTGGACCGAGAACTACGCAACGAACATGCTCGCCGCTCGGAACAGAATCAAAGCCACGACACAAGCAAAAGCTAAACAGAACGCACTCGAAATTCTCTACTTGAAGGGCCTGGGACATGTGGGAAACTTCCAGAAAGTCTTTGGCGTCGATCACCCGTTGGCACTCGACTTCGCTGGCACGACTCTCAAGGCCCATTTACTGGGCCTCAGTGTAGACGACATCGAGGATGTTAATCCGAAGAAGGGCAGACGCCGCAAGTCGCCCGAAGCATTTGTACACGACGACGACGACAGAAATAACACCAGAAACGTACGACGTCGCATAGAAGATGAGTTGGCGAGAGGAGAAACCCCCGCGTTTACAGACGGCCTCGATCTCGCTCACGACACAGCCCCAGAGCTCGGCCTGGAGGCCGGCGCAGCGCTCGAAGATAGACACTCGTCTTCCTTGATGCCCTGGAGCCGCCAAGGATCAGCAGCCCCTGGGTCAGCTAGCCGCACCGCGCCGGGAAGTGCCCAGAAGTTCGCCACGGCTCCCAGTCCCCTCCACGGTCGAGCAAGTCTCGTCGGTTCCATCGACAGACGGAGCGATCCTATCGAAGGCTCCCTCGGAGAGCTCGCCGTCTTCGACTCCCAGCTGTCTTCAATAGAGCGCGAGTCAGGCCTGCTACCGCTGGACTTTGATGCGGCAAACGACACTCTACCATCTACCCAAGGGTTGGACACCTCCAGCCAACGGTTCCTGGCCTACGTCGCAAATCAAATCCTCGGGGACGGCGTCCCCCGAGCCCGTGGCGCCCAGGAGAAACATTGGATTGATTTCGACATCCTTGCCAACCCGGACATTCACACCAAGGCCATTGCCGCACAAGCCTTCGTCCATGTACTCTCGCTCGCGACGAAAAATATCATTGCTGTCGAGCAAGATGGCATCGAGGACAAGGTACCCTTTGGCGCTCTTCGCGTCGGGCTTACAGACCTCGTCCTTAACGCGGCTGCTGTGATTGCTGAGTGATTCAGTTATGGCAATGCCAATGGAACTTATATTCGAGCCGACCTCGCATCCGCAGTATACTCTATGTAGAACCGCCACTGGTTTCTGATTAAGGTGCAGGGAATTTTCGAGTCACCTTGAAAAATTTTCTTTCATCATCTCTGACTTTTTTTGTTGGCCCTCCCGAGTTAGCTCGATATATCCTTTTATTACCGCTGTTCTCTACATGGGCAGTCTGGTCGTATCACTAATTTGGCGAACGGTTAATTTTCGTTAATTTTGGGACTCGGACAATGTTGGCGAATTGCTTCTCGTGGCAAGAATTCATCATGCGAATGGAGAATTGGGCGTTTTGTCGTTCACTGTTGAGGTTTTTCTATTCAACTATATGCCATGGCAAGGTGCGACTCGTGGATGGGACCGCACACCATAGGAAGGCAGAGTTGGCGTCTCATCTGGCTTTCTTTCCCGATTCGCTGGGCAATATTCACATATTTACATCGGGGTGGGAAAGGACTGCTGGTGGCACAGGAGGTTACTCAGTTACGTGGATCCATAGGCAGTAAGCTATCTTAGCTATTAAATGCATCATCGTCGTCATCATTTACGCCTTCCCTATCATCAAACTTCATGTAATTGTTTTCATCATCCCCACCGACAAATTGCCATGCCATGCTCACGTACCTTAGGGTAGAGTCATTGAAAGCCAAATCGGGCGTCATCCAGTCAAATGTTCCAATATTGTCGTCCGCAGCAAAGGAACCTGTACCAGCGACTTGTTCAAAGTGCATTCGCCAGAGACATTCTGGCGTTTCAGATGAGTACACGCTCAGGAACGACAAGAGTGCATTGTAGAGTAGGCACTTGGAACTTGGGCCAGCAATTGTGCTCAGATACACGATAGCTGGCATTTCATCTTGTTAGCAAGACCTTCTCGAAAAAAACTCCTCGAAATCATGAGCGATGAGATTGTGCAATCAGGTTGTCAGAGATAAGAATCGTCATTGTAGTTCAGACAATGTAGATAAGTATTCATTTGATTTGGCTCATCCGAACGCAAAGAAATACATCGAGAAAAAAAAAATACTCACATTGCCCGGCTGGACATTCACCAGTATCACTGGAATGAACCAAAGCATAGGTGGGAAACTCAGAGACAGAGCCATCACCAGCAGAGATGGAGCCTACAGGAAACGCTACAACTGCTGCGCAAGGTGTTGGGGCACTGTCCACGATGACTTTGAACATATTTGACAAGGGCGAGTTAACAATGGCGATGAGTCTGCTGACAGTGACATTGTCGGTCGAAGTCTTCTTAGTGCTATGGATCAAAGCCTTGGACTTGACTGTCGTGCCATTGGTTAGGGAAACCTCTATATTGGTGTCGGCATCCGACTCCTCAGTACGCTGCACCCCGGAGACGCCGGTCCCCAACATGTAGATTGCACCGCCAACAGCACCAGCACGACAACCTACCTGGGCCACTTCGGACAACCCGCCCCATTTGGGATACACGGCGGCGAATCCTGCCCCGAATACCCCCATGGAGGTAAGATGGCGATGAATGGCGGCCAATCCATCGCCTACCGAAATTTTGCCATCTTGGGAGAGAGTCAAGGTGACGACGTAGGACTGCAAGTCGCCGTCTAATTTGAACTCCCTTTCCAGAAACTCACTCAAAAGTTGTGATTCACTCGGTTTCCACAGCTCAGTCTTCGATTCAGAATTGTAATCGAGAACAAACTTGAGAAATTTCATCAATGAGCGCTTTGCACGAGCTGGAATAGTAGTATTGGCAAAGACGTCCTCTCTGGTGGACGGTATTCGGCTGAGCGTCGGCTTCGAGGATTCCCCAGCTGCCTCGTAAATGAACAAAGACCCGACGGAAAGAAACTCGATCTGCCGAAAGGCCTTCGATGATACCAATTGGCTGACAAGCTCGGATCGGGCATGTATTAGCTGTGGAGCTAGAGGAATGCTGTACGATCGCGAAGCCGCAAGGCCGTCCGTTCCTTTGGTAATTTGCGCTCCAGTGAACGGACGAGTGGCATCCGGACCACTGTGTCTCGCAGCCCAGCCATCTGCATCCTGAAGGCTCAGCGCAGCTTCAGCACCGCCATAGTATTCGTTGGGGTCGACGTGGAGCACTTTTTTGCCCGACCGCGAAAGCGCTCTTTTGCAGATGGTCAGCAACAAGGCCTAAAGTCAGTCAGACTGATTTGGGAGGTTGAAAAGCATTTCCAATGGAATCCAAGAAGCTTACAGGGCCAAAAGGGACTGCTGAAGCCCTGTGCCGCTGATCACTACATCCCACTGTGTGTCTGAGAGGGATTCCATGGTGTGGAGGATGAAAAAGAGGTTGGCATTAGATTAGGAGGTTGAAACATTTTGTTTGCAGACCGGATGGATGGTTTTTGCATGCCGACTCATGAGTGGTGGGGCTTGGTCGTATTAGGCTTAGTGGCTCGGTCTTGGAGCCTACTTGTCAATTCTGACTGCTCGCTTGTTTCTTTTCTCTCCTTTTTCAATTCACCCGCTCGCTTTCAAGGCCCAATGCGTTGTGTACCGCTGTGTATGTCGCATTGCGCGTCAAGAATTCTCGCAATTTTTATGAGAGTGGTAGATTAATTTGTCGACCGGTATCTACTGCCCTAGAATAACGTCTGAAAGGGTAGTTCGAATGGTTGACACATGTCGAATCACTGTCCATAGCCACCTTGGTAACGAGGCATATTTACGTCGACGATTTTTATTTCACTGAAGTATTCAGTGCAAGCCAGATGGGTATCATTCATGTTCTGCATACAATATGTATCTAGTTGCCAGTTATTGCAGCTGTGACGTCTTTCCACCTCTGGCTTGCCAATTTCAGAAGACTCTTTGATCTGAGGAGTTCTGGTGAAAGTACGACACCCCCATGCTTGGATATGGAGAGTATCCTCATGGCCTCTTCTTGGCAATCTACTACTATTGTGATGCTTTCATCGCACAGTGATTCTTCGAGTCTGTCAGGGTCAACCAAAAGCCAGAACTTCCCGTCAGTCGGTCTATCCGTCTCCTTGCCGGTAAATACGGCCGCCGTGCATGCAACGGGCATGCCCGTAATCGTAAGCGGCTTCGGGTCCTTTCTTGTGCAGAGAACCATGTCACGGTCGGAATCGTAGCGTCCTCGAGGAAGTCTGGTGTCCTTCAATGCAGCGAGTGCCGCAGCCCAGGCAGCATCAAATGGATTTCCGTCGAAGGAAATAAAGAATATGTCAATGTAGAGTACCCAGTATGCGGCCACGTATCTATCTCCGTTTTGTTCAACAGCATCTTTGTCTTCGTCCATCAAATCGTCGTCGTCCTCGTCATTGTCGTCATCGGCAACCACTTGTTCCGCTGGACGGGTATGCCATATCCGCAGATCCTCTGGTTGGACCAATTTGGAGTCATGGAGAAGAGTATATATCCTGGTGCTGAGGGTTTGGGCCAGCGTCGTAGGAGGCCCTCCTGGTAGAAATTGGGGCGAAGATCCCGTGGCCAATTCAATGTTTGGCACAAGCAGGTCATAATCTCGAAGTTCTCTTTCGTTGGAGGCACGGTAGTTGGGAATGTGTTGTGTCAAGATGGTTTCGCCGCGAACGCCACAGATGACGGTCGTATCTCCCATGCGAACTAGAGAACTGCCGTGCGGGTGTGACAAGCTTGAGAGGTTGACGGTCGTCGGACGAACTTCATCTGGGGCGCGACCATTGCTTCGCGCGGGCGCAACATGGTCGTCGGAAGGCTCGAGGTTGGCAAGAAGATATGGATGAGGTGAGAGTTTTGCGAATGTGGCACGCGAAAGACCTGCGTCAGGTGCCATGAGGGGAGAGCTGAGCGTCGTATACGAAGGAGCGCTTTCGGAAGTAGATTTGTATGCAGAGAAAGACGCAATACAGAGCTTTTGGGACACAAAAAATGCTATTGAAAGATACGAGCTTGCTTTGTGAAGCTGACGATGGCGAAAAAAAGTTGACCGCAGCCTCGCGGGGAAGATTGAATTGAAAGCAGCCGCCAATGAGCAGGGGCCCCGGTTTGCCTGCCCCACCAAAGCTTCTCGGGGGGCGCTGAGAGTCTCAGACGAGTGTCTTGGTCTCCAACATTAGAGGTTGACAAGTTTGGTAACCTCGCCTTTCACGAGTTCATTGGCCGCCATGCAACCAAGAAAATCGACACATTGCCAAAAGGCATAGCTGTGAATGTTGAAACACAGACGCTACCGCCTCCGGTCGTTTCCAATGCCAATATTAAATATGGAGTGGAGTCTGATACTCCGTACTCTGATACTGCGGAGCACGTTTTATTTTTCACCAAGAGATGTCGCATCGGCATCGATTGAATGGACCCAACAGCCAACAGTGAGCAGCCTTTTGTCCGTCCAGGGACCTGATCTGCACGAATATCTTGGGATGTTGGGGCCGAGCCGTTTGGCGCGACTTGTGTGGTGATGCATCTGGAATCTGGATGCACAGAGGAAGAAACTTCAACGCGCAGCGACATTGGCCGCTGCTGGAGGATAGGATGCATTTGTGAATTATGGTCGAGAAGAATGGAGTGGCTGGACAGACACACGAATGAGGGCGCGATCAGCGAGGTTGCAACGGAGTACGGTTCGGAGTTATCCTGCTACCTGTGACGCCAGACAAAGCTCCTCGGGAATGGCACCACGATTCAACAAGTGTTTCGCTGAGTGCTTGGTCCCTGGCAACCGTTACCCCATCCCTCAGGCTAGCGAATGAGACGCTGCTCATTAGCGCCCGTCCCGCGCGAGGTCGCTGCACCTTCCCTGTGGCGTGTGGTCCACAATTGCTGTCTGCCAAATCATGGTGCAGAACCTGTCGACTAGCCCATTAACAGCCACCGGCGGTCCCCAACATCGAACGTCGAACCAGACATTGATCCCGCGCCCCAGAATCGTCGATCAAGAAACCATTACGGATACTCCGTACCTAACGTTACTCTCTCCAGGCACCCTGTCTTGTCCATCCGTACGGAAGTCCCAATGGCCATTTCCAGCCCTCTTTCGACCAGTCACTGCCGGACTCGGCCCGCCTCTCAGTACTCCGTACTCCGTACTCCTTGCTGAAGTTCTCCGTACTGGGTGGCACTTCGCTGCCCCTACCAAGTCTTTGATGGAGGATTGAACTCGATGAGTCGATGAGGGCAATGGAAAAGGTATGCCATCGCCTGCATCATCAGCTGGCCACTGACTGATCCATTAGAACCTCCCGAGCGTCCTCACGCTTCCGTCATCAGTAACTACATATCAGCTCTCAGAACATACAACGCCATTCCCCGCCGGGCGAGCATACTGGTTGTTGTGCCCAAGCCCAGCCGGGTGACGATGCATGTCACACAGTCTCGCCAGACTGTGTCTCCCTGCCATGGCCCATGGGTGACTATCTGCGAGGCCCATATCTCCAACCAGCCAATCCGGGGCCCTGATCTGCCGCCAGGCCCTGTGAAAGAACGTGGCCACAGACAGACCTTTTCACACAGCAGCTACTTCCGTGCCATGCCCACGGTCCCAATCGTTCGGTCCTCCTGTTCGTCATCGTCACCCTGTACAAACATGTCAGAGCATTCGTCTTGCATTTTTCTCCACCCTTTCAATGCGAGGGAGTTATTTCTTCAATGATCCCATGTCTGCTGCAGTGGCTGTCGGCCGCCATCCTATTGATTTGTGATTTATATCACGGTACGGAGTACCCTGGCCCCGTTTTCTGCCAGACTTCGCTGAATCGGATCTCCTACTTTTCTTTTCATCGTCTTAGCTGCCACATACTCCTGCGCTTCTCCTGTCGCTGTCGAAACTCGCCACTGCAATCAATGGGATATGAGACCCTTCCCGAGTCTACTACCTCTTGTGTCGTGTAAGCCGACTTCACGAGCTGGTGTTCAAACACCAAAACACTGTCTATTGTCACAACAGAGGACGAGAACCTCTGCTCTACCCCTATGTTGATTTGACTACCCCACCGGTCTGCGCTCTGTCGCTGATATTGTTTGACTTGTTGCATTCAAACAATACCCTCAGGAGCTTCATACGCAGGTCGAAATGGCTCCAAGCTTCCAAACTTTATCAATCCGGGATGCGACCGCTCAGGTTGGCCGCCCCTTGTCGCACCTTGCAAAACGCATCAATATTCCTTCAACACCAACAAGCCCGCCGGGCCTGTTACAAGCGAATGCTGTCGATCCCTGGAGACAATCTGGCAAATATGGGCTAGGATGGACATACTTCGCCCTGAGCTTGTTGGCATGTGTCCTCATAGTCCGTATTTGGCATTACTGGCAGGACAAAATCCGCCAGGCCATTTACAAGCAAGAGGTTGAGGACCAGTACCGGAATCTGTATCACATCGCAGCCGACTATGCCTTCGCCGCACAAACCGGTCAGTCACAACAATTCTTTCCCGACGGGCCCAGCCTGGGAAACAAACCGTTCAGGCCCAAGGCCCATTTCTCGTCTGTGGGTATTGTCAACGATACTCTGGCTCTGTTCAGATGGGTCTTCTACCGTCCCATCCCAGACATTGTATGGGGGAAGAATCGCCTTACGTTTTCATCTCTGGCCGTGTTGGCCTGCGGCTTTATTACCCTGGTCTTTGTCACTCTGTACTGCTTCCTCCAACAGCCGTTGTACTGGGAGAGTATCAGGTTCGGCTCACCACCAGTAGCAATCCGATCAGGGGTGCTCGCAGTCGCCATGACACCCTGGATCATCGTGACTAGTATGAAAGCAAATATCCTTACCCTGATCATTGGCATTGGACCAGACCGTCTCAACGTGTTCCATCGATGGTTGGGTTATATTTGTCTGTTCCTATCGCTCGTTCACATGATTCCCTTCTACATTCAACCTGTTTGGGAAGATGAGGGGATGACTGCTTTCAACCAATTGTTCCCTGACGGCAGTGGCGTGATATACGGGACTGGAATTGCCTGCCTTGTACCGTTGGTTTGGCTTTGTGTGGCATCACTTCCTTGGATCCGACGAGTTGCTTACGAGATCTTTGTCATTCTCCATGTGCCAGCCGGTGTTGTATATGTTGGCCTCCTATTCTGGCACACGAAGAACGCTCTCCTGACCTGGGACTACCTCTATGCTACTATTGCCATATGGGCGCTTGCCTACATTATGCGCGTTTTCAAACTTAACTGGCTGAAGCCGTGGCGCAACGCCTTCATGGTTGGCGACGAAGCTGCCGTTTCTCTCATTGCCGAAAACGCCATCAAAATCACGATTCCTACTCAGATGAGATGGAAGCCTGGCCAATACGTGTATCTTCGAATGCCCTGTATATCTCTTCTGGACAATCACCCCTTTACCATTTCGTCTCTTTGCAGCGAGGACTTTCCTTCCGAGTACGGCGAGAATTACCGGGATTGTGTTCTTGTTTTCAAGCCATTCAAGGGCTTCACGCGCAAGGTCTTAGATACAGCTATTGCTAACGGACCGTTTCACACTTATCGAGCCTTCTTGGACGGGCCTTACGGCGGCATGCGCCGGGAACTTGCGGCCTTTGACACCTGTATCCTAATCGCCGGCGGCAGCGGAATCACTTCGTTAATGTCGCAGCTCCTCAACCTTATTAAACGTATGCGCGATGGTAAAGCAATAACCAGAAAAGTTGTCGTCCTTTGGGCATTTAAGAGATTCGAAGCTATGGATTGGTTTCGAGAAGAACTTCGGATATGTCGGGAAGCAGCACCCCCGGAGAGTGTCACCTGCAAGTTCTTTGTCACCAGAGCCGTTGACCACCGCAACGTTGGCGAAATAACTGCTCCTATTGATGGGCATAACTCACGAGTCCTCGACCATACGTCGCTTGACAAGGTGGACGGATTTGTGGCTGGTATTGCTCCCAAGCATGACTCGGTCCTCATCCAAGCCGAGGCTGGAGGTAATCCTGAGAAAGAGCGTGAGCTCCGTGAGGAAAACAAGGATCGCATCACTGCTCTTCCGCCGCAAAAGTATCTCCAACCGTACCAACACCCTCAGGTTGTCCCGCCCTTGAATCGCCTTGGACCCAATGGGTACCCCGAAGATAAGAAGGAACTCGACGTCAAACAACCGGAAGAATTCCACAGCCCGCCCCTTGATAATGAAACCCCTCCACACTTTGACTACTCTCCCCTCAATCCCAACAAACCTACTGTCGATATCTCGAAGGTCCAAGGGCCATATCCTGTACGTGCTCCCGAGCTCGCCCATATGCGGCACGCTACCATTTTGGAGGGTGCCAGGAAACTGCCGACATGTACTGTTGGTCCGCCAGCAGAGGGTGGCTTTGGTCTTCCCAAAATCACGACTCAGTTCCGAAAGGATTTGACGAGATCAGCCACCCCTCCGCAGGAAATCGACGGCGGCTGGTCAATGGAGTACGGCCGCCCTGATCTGGGACAGATTCTCAAGGAGTGGGCGACAGGCGGCGCGGATGGACGGGGCATTTTAGGGAGAAGAACAGCCGTGTTTGTTTGTGGCCCTCCCTCGATGAGAGTAGGCGTAGCGAATACGGTGGCGAGATTGCAGGCAGAGATTTGGGGGGATGATGAGCTTGAGGAAATTTTTCTCCACGCTGAGAACTATGCCTTGTAAAATGGCAGTGTCCATGGTAGCAATGCCATGAGGTCAGATGTGCATGTACATATGATGTCCACCTAACGCTTGATGATTTTAGTATGCGTGTTGGAGGAGTACATACGATGCTTAACTTGACTGCGGTAGGCAGTTTCTAATGTGTTAATATTGCACCATATCAAAGCCGCTCCATTGTGCGTGAAACATGCTTTGGTCTAGTGGAAACTCGCACCGAGCGAGAAACCTGCTCGGCATCATCGCAACCCAAGCCAAAAGAGCCGACGGCGATTACCCACGGATTACGAACCACCCAATGCAAAATATCAATCGAAGCTGCGTGTTCCGGCACACAAAGACCATGAATTAGTGGAACAGAGCCCAATAAAATAGGCAATGGACAAGACCTGCAAGCGGATCCTGCCAAACACCAAAGGGCCGCCGACGCGCCTTGGAGTAGCATGGGCACCTTGATGGCCAGTACACCATGGCCTCGTGGGAACCTTTGTCGACAGTTTGGTGGCAATATATTCTTGTTGTCTCTCTTTTTATTTTCTTCTTGCTCATCTCCAGTCGAGTCTCCTTTGAGCTCTATATTTCTGATCTTTTAATTTTGAATTTTACATTTGGCTATTGATCCTTGAGGCAGCTCAACATACAACCAACCATATCTTTGCAACAAGCTACGAAAATGTGCCCGGAACGAGACATGGACAAGATCGCTACAGGTTGGCAAATCGCCATGGTGTACTCGAAAGAGCGCTTAAAACGAGTATACGAGTGGGAGAATGACCAGCTGGAAGAAGCTGCCAAGGGGGGGATACTGGTCTTGGAGACTGTGTGCTTATTTGTGCATGCATGTATCAAGCACGGCCAATATCAGTACGTTTGTGCCTTGTCCTTGCTCAGACTGCCGTGGCCGCTGGGCTGAAGCTGATGTTTCCCAGATTGCCGTTTGAGTTCTGGAGAGTTCTACATGCCGAGTACGGCATCGTGGTGTATCCCTCCGCCCTGACGGAGGACATCGACGTGCACGGCTTAGGAGTCGACGTTACATTTATGGATGCTTATTGCGGGCACATAGGTTGGTTTGCGTTCCCTCGGAGTCAGCTTCGGCACCTTCACGGCTACTCACATTGCAAAGTCATGTACGGCAGATGTTGCGGCTCGGACCCGCCCCCGTGTCCGATGCAGTTTCTCAGAGAACCGCCGCCGGTGTACTCCAAGTAATAGGAGGAGAGACGTGAAGGAAGTATCTAGGCCATGCGGGGACGGGTCACGCCGCAATGGGTTCAAGATGGTGGACGGCGTTTACGGTGAAGAAGTGCTTTGCGGCTGCAGGGCTTGCGGTGCGCGAGGACACGCCAGATGCATTTTGCTTTGCTTTTGATTAGCTGGTACGGCGTCAATAGAGTGCGAATTGGTGGCTGTTCAGCAACGACAGCAGTGCTGAATCACGATTCCGCCTTCTCGCCCGTTGCTCCATCTCTGTTCGCCCTCCAAACGCCTTCCTCGCCTTCAAACTCCTCCCTCTTCCACACCTCGACCCTGGACTTGCATTCCTCAAGAGCCTCCTCGCCGGCTAGCCAAGCGGATTGCCTGTGCGGCGACGATACCGCGATCAAGATGCTCTCTTCGCCGATGGGTACCGTTCCCAGCCGGTGAACCATAGCTATACCCTTCAGGCCGTGCTTTTTTGATACCTCCTTGGCGATGGCCAGCATCGTCCTCAGGGCAAGTTTGTTGTATGCTGTGTATGTGAGTTCTCTGACGGGCTTGCCGGCAAAGTTGTCTCTTGTTGTTCCTGCTCAAGGGTTAGACGGTCATTTCGGGGTTGCGCTGACGAGTCTGCTGAGTGGTGATGATACCTGCGAAGAGGACTATGGCGCCGGCGGCCGGGTTGCGGACTCGGTCCATCAAGGCTTGGACGTCGAGGTGGTCTCTGGTTAGGGCAGCATAACAGTCTTGTGAGAAGAGTTCCCATACATCGTCGTCCTGGGATGCCATTGTGGCGTCGGTGTGGGTTGGACAGGGACGGAATGATGGCGAGAATAAATGAGCCAGACTAGAAGCTAGAAATTAAACCAGTAATAGAGTAGTAAAACGAGAGATAAGCCGCAAAGAGTCCACCACTCTGCCGTTTGATCTTTACCGGAACGTTGCGAATGACGGGACAAGGGTCGCGGTGATGGATGACTAATATTTTCAACAAGCCACGCTTACGCTTCTCCATTGGATGTTCAACCCGAGTGTCAACCAAACACCACTGACCGTTCCGCTTCTACATTTTACGTTTCTCACTACTACATCTTCGCGCCACTTCCCAGTATCGTGCACACATTGCCGTTATGCGTGCCAATTATCACGCACCTTCTCCCGACCGAGGGCGGCATCGAAACGACCACGACAACATGGGAGCCTCGCGATGCAGAGGCGGAGACGGAGACGGCCAAGCCCGGCAGGACGACCATTATCGATCGCGTCATGGTAAAGACATGATCCGCGCCTTGTGTGGAGACTGATACAGCCTTCAAGCCTCTTGTCACGGAGCTTTTTGTATCAAGACTAGACAAGTTTTTGTTCGCTAACTTACCCACGGGGCGTCGAGACTATTCCAGGTCTCCTACAAGGCACAACTTCTACGACGACCAATCGCAGAAAGCACTACAGCGGCATCGCCAAGACCTGGGCGGCGGAAGGGATTATGATCGCTGTTACGGTGGTTCAGATGATGGGTACAGAAGACGAGACCGGAGCCCACGTCATCGACCAAGACAGTTGGATAATCGAGATCATCACTACGATGACATGTACGACGATGGGAACCGTGGTGAAGGCGGACATCGGGGACGGTATGACGACGACGAGCCTAGGGACGGCGAGCATGCTCACAATGGTGGCCGCAGAGAAAGATCTCGTAGTCCTTGCGGCGGCCATTACAGAAGTCGATCCCGGAGCCGGACGCGAGATGCTGGGAAACCTACAGATACAGTGATCCTCGAGGGACTGCCGTACAGTGTGTCGTCTGCAGAGGTGTGTGAGAGCGATTGTGGTGGTTGTTGTTGTTGGCGGGGGCGGTTTCCAAACATGTCCTACGGGTGGGCCGAAACTGATGGGGATTTGATAGCTTCGCGACAGCCTTCTGGCCAATTCGATCGCGGCCGAATTTCCGTCCATCGATGTGAGGGTTTCATCTTCAAGAGGTCAGGCAGGTCCAGCGATTGGTGTTGTTCCGATACGTATTATGGCTAACTCGCCAGCAGGAAACCGCCGGGCATTTGTTCAGTTTGAAGACGTGGATCAAGCAACTGCTTTCGTTAAAGAGCATTTCCCAAAAATTCTTATTGAGCTCCAGCATTCGACTGATGACGCACCAGACGGCAAGTTTGAAGCATACATCCACTATGCCCGGAACCGAGATGACGGTGAAACCCGGCAGGTTCGAGCTGCCGACTGGGCCTGCCCTCAAGTGTGTAATCCTGTTTGGCACTGCATGCCGGAAAGATGATCTGACTCTCCATAGTGTGACTTTTTGAACTTTTCTACAAGAGCAAGGTGCAAAATATGCGGCACGCAGCCACCCGGTGAGAATGAGTCGCTCAATTTTCAATAAAGGTCCAAAGCTAACCGTTATCCCAGCGAACAACTGGGAACAAAGCCTGACAGGTGCGGCTGATGTCGCTGACGGTGCCGACGCCGTGTCGCAGATCTTGGTGGTTTATCCGCTGGCATCTTTCGTGACCGAGGACATGCTCGCGAAAGATCTCAAACTCCTAGAAAAGTCGGAAGAACCGAAAAGCTCTGCCAACGGGCCGACCAAGTTAAAGTCAACCGCCCCAGGGGCCGATGTCTCTCGATACGGAGCCAAGCCCGAGTCACTGCACCGCGTGTTTCTCATGCGTGAGGTTACGTCGGGAGAGAGCTTTAAATACGGCTTCGCTGAGTTCTGGACCCTCGAGGATGCGGCGGCGGCAGTGACCAAGTTTCGCATGTCCCGCTCCTTCACTGTTGCCGGCTGTGCCGTCACCGTTGCCCCGACACATATGGGCGTCTTTCTACCGGAGGAGCGCGAAATCGTGCCAAACATCGAGCACATGTCGTTTAATCCGCTCTTCAACCCCTCCCTCCGCGTGCGATACCGGGACACGCACGTATTCCCGAGTCAACTGGTCGTCACGCCCCAACGACCGGCCGAGGCCAACCTCAACGCCGCCAAGTCCGCCGAGGACGAACAGGGCGACAAGAAGCAGAAGAAGCGCAGAGCGGAAGGAAGCCTAGCCGCGTCCGCGGCCAAGAAGGCAGTCCCCATGGCAGGCCAAATGGCCGTCTGGCAGCGGAAACACGACGAGCTCCGTGGCGTCGAAGAAGGTGGCGACGCACCAAACGGCCCTCCCGACCCAGCAACCAAGTCGGGCCCGATCAAGATCTCACTGTCAAACGCTACCAAATTCGGGGCGCCTTCGGCAGCCCTCACGTCCGCAGGGCACCCTTCGCCACGCGAGAAGTCGCCAAGCGCCCAGGCCCCTCCGCCACCAAGCCCACCCCAACACGGGCCCGGGAGCCCTCGGGAGGAGGAGACGTACACGGACAAGGAAAGACTCATGTGCCTCATCTGCATGCGCAAGTACAAGTCCCTCGACGAGGTCAACATCCACGAGAAATCGCGCAACCACAGGTCCGCGATGCAAGACGACGACAAGGTCAAGGCAGCCCTGCCGCGACTTGCCACGCGCGACAAGCGCCATCGACAGGACCCCCAGGTCCCCCAGTACCGCGACAGGGCCAAGGAACGCCGCGACATATACAACCAACCCGACCGACCTGCTCAGCCGTCCAAGCCCAGGAGCGAACCGAAGAAGGCGCCCGAGGAAACGAAGCCGGCCGCGGCAGTCGCGTCAAAGGGGGCAGGCATGCTCGCCAAGATGGGCTGGACTACGGGCGTCGGCCTGGGCGCAAACAGCGACGGCCGCACAGAGGCGATCTCCACCAACGCCTACCAGGAAGGCGTAGGGTTGGGTGCCGAGGGCGGCAATCTAGGTGATGCGGCCGAGCTGGCGGAGCGCAAGACAAAGGGCTCCTACTCGGACTATCTGACCACGGTGCAGGACAAGGCGAGGGAGAGATACAATCAGATGAACTGATGCAACCATCTGTACTGTAGTGTACAAAACCACACAAATCACGGGACTGCTTCAGGATGTAGGCCGTCATCTGGTGTCGGTGGTTGATGGGCGGCTTTTCATAGACGAGGCTATTTACAAAAACCATGTCTGCGGCTGCTCTAGAAAGGGGTATCCAACTAAAACTCGACATGAATGATTATATATGAGCTGTACATTGTTGCATCTGGCCATGGCCAGTGGCCCCTACCCAGCTCTGATCATCATTATTGTATGTACGGGCGTGAGAAAAAGAGCAAGAGCCACAAAGCTCTCCGTTACACGGCTGAGAAGGCGACAGCTGCGCCCAGGACGAGGACGGCGGCGACGGAGGAGGGGACATTACGGCCAGAGGCGCTGTCTTGTCTCACCTCGGGCCCCGGCCCTGATAATGTCTCGGTTAGCTGGTGTCCGGCGTGTCCGAGTGAGTCGACAAGGTGGGAGGACACTAACCGTCGGAGCCCGTGACGTTGGGGAGGCTCTTGGCACCCTTTTGAATCTCGACGACGTTGGAGCCGGTGGCGTTTACGTTGGACTGGGCCAGGCCAACCTGCCTGTTGGCCAGGTCGTAGGCGACGTAGGCGGAGCGCAGGAAGGTGTCGCCCAGCAGGTAGAAGCGGTCGCTCCTGACGCCGTACGCCCTGGAGCCGCCGAGGCCGAAGAGGCAGACGCGGCCCCAGCCCCTCAGGACGGGGGGCGCGTCGCCGCCCTTCAGGATCTGCTGCGCTTCCTCGGGGAGGTTGTCGACGGCCATGTCTGCGATGGGGACGTTGATGGTCTTGCCGCCGAACCCGAAGCTGAGGCCGGCGCCCTTGCCCTTGCCGCCCTTCCAAGCGCAGTCGATGAGGGGGGTCGCAGGCCCGCCCTGAGCCTGGAGGGTGACGACGCCGAACTTGTCCTGGATGGGGTTGGCTATGGAGTCCGGCACGAGGCAGATGGTGGAGCCCGAGTCCAGGATGGCGACGGACTCGGGGGCCACGGGGGGCACCTTGACGCCTGTGGCAGATAGCGACTTGATGGCGATCGCGTACGAGGTGACGTTTGTGCCGCGGTCGTTGGGCATGGGCCTCAGCGGGAGACTGGCGAGGCTGCCGAGATATTTGGCTGAGTCGATGCCGCCGAACAGGATGGTGCCAGACTGGGCATCGATGCCGTTCTGCCCGTCACGTTAGCAAGCTGAAGCAGGTAGGTGCACGGCGGGCAGTGATTTGTGATTTTGAACAGGTCTGCTCCGTCCTTGCGCGGGCGGGGCAAGGCCGGTCGAGGCAAGCCGAGGCAAGCAGCGGCAGACGCACCAGGTATAGACTGAAGCTTGGATGGGCAATGATGCCCTGGTCAACCATGTTGTCGACGATGGTAGGGTACTTGTTGGAGGTGGCGACATTGGCGCTGAAGCCCAGGCCCACGATGCCAGTGGCCCGGCTGGACGACAGGGCAAGGCCCAGCTGTTGGTTGGTGATTTCGTGACCGTCAATGGTGACGGTGTCGTTGAAGTAGTCGCCCGTGATCTGTTGGTCGTCGAGGTAGGTGATGTCGAAGCCGCCTTCATCGACGAGGCTGAACGTCTTGCTGTCTTCGGGCTTGACTGGCCATCAGGTTAGTCTTCCCGTGAGAGCTCGCTCAGTCAGATATGTGGCCGTTGCCTCTGCCCGTGGGACGTACAAGTAGCCGTGCAGTAGCCCGACTGTGACTGGGCGGCGGCGCTCCTGCAGTAGCGAGTCTGGGGCGAGTTCATCCATGTATCACTACTGCCGGTGTCGAGCTGGAACTTGAGGCTCTGGCCAGGCGTGCCAATGGAGAAGTCGACATAGTATCCGGCGGCAGTGATGTTGTTGAGAGCAGTCAGCTCGGCGGTGCCGTTGTCAGTGGCACGACGGGAAATGGCGCGGGCAAGCGTCTTGTAATGCTCTGGACTGGGGCCTCTTCGCTGGAGAGGAACCGAAAGCGTGCCACCAGAGACCGTCGTGACGGTGCCCAAGACGAAGACGACGAAGACGACGCGGAGGAGCGAAGAAGGCATGGTGTTGCCAGGACCAGTCACGGCAAAAGGAAAAGGCCAGCTTCAACAGCCGCGGGAGACGGACGAGCGAATCGACGGTTTGAAATACAAGCAGGAGCCGAAGCGAGAGAAAACGAGAGGTAGGAAGAGATTCCAACCCGACGCGCGGACCACACAAAAAACAGCTTACGCAGCTCAGCCGCCTGGGAGTTTGTTGTTGTTTTGTTTGGGCGGAGGCGAGGCGGCACCGGCACCGGCACCGGCACCGGCCATCTTCCATACCCGGGTGACGATGGGATGACAGGCCCTGGCCGATTGGTTATAACGAGGCGAGACCCGAAAAAAGCAGTGGCTGCGCTGCACATTGTGTGGTGAGCCGTACTCGGTCCTCGCTCTGCAGTGCGACGCGACATCCAGACAATGACGACAACCATTGATGGCGTCAAGTTGTTGGATCGGCTTGCCCAGACCTGAGGCTGGGACCGGGGCTGGGCTCAGCCCATCTCCTGGCGGCGGGGCGAGGGGCGAGGGGCGAGGCGGCGGCCCCACGAACCCGAACGAACCCTGGAAGGCGCGGCCTGCCACCTGCCTAATCAAGCCGCCATCCACCGCACAGTCTTTCTTCTCATCCGTTCTAAATTCATGCAACTACTTAAGTATAGAATCTAATTGGTGTCGACTCATATCCAACGGGCCATGCAAACCCTTGGCCCGGTACATTTTTTGCACGTACCTCTTCTTGCTTGGTTTTATAACTTGCTCCCCTCGGACTCGTCGTGAGCTAATCGCACAACGCCCTAAAAAGACTCAGTTAGCTTCCTACTACATGCTGTAGAGCAGGCATCGCGGACAGATAGGGTCAGACGTCGACTTGCCTCTTGCACACAAGTCGCCAGCAACGTTCCGTCCTTTGCAAAGATGCGCTGCGAGACAAATCCACGCCCATCGCCCGACCAGGGGCTCTCCATGTCCGCAAACATCCACTCGTCCACCTTGACACGGCTAGGCTCGTGAAAGTAGATGCTGTGATCCAGGCTCACCATCATGCCCAGCTTGCGGCGCGTCTTCCACTCCTCGACGGTCGATCCGAGGCCCTCAAACTCGGCCAGCTCCTTTACGCGCTTCTGGTATTCTGGTGCCATGTCGTCATAATCTTCCGGCTTAAAGGGCAGTCTCCATAGCCGGTGAACGCGTCCCACCGTGCCGATAAAGGTGCTGTCCGAGACGTACGCCAACGCATTCAAATGTGCCTGGCGACCACCAGCCTCGGAAATCTTGCCACGGCACCGCATCCACTGCTGGCATCTTTGCTCGTCGGGCCGGGCTGTCGGGTCCGAGCCGCGTGCGGCAGGCACGCCGTAGTTCTGGAAGGGCCCGCCCCTGGCCCATTCCGGCTCCCCCTGCCAGTCCACCGGCGGAGGGTACTTGGCCTCCTCCGGCATCGGGACAGCGTGACGAACCGTCCGTTCGCCGCCGGCGTCCTCGCGGACGAAGCTAATGGTCGTGGTGAAGATGCAGCGACCCCGTTGGCGTGCCTGGACGGTACGCGTGGCGAAGGAGCGCCCGTCACGGACTCGCTCGACGTGGAAGAGGATAGGTATGCTTCCCGACCCAGCCAATATGAAGTAGCAGTGGCACGAGTGAGGGTAAAAGTCGTCAGGGACTGTCTTTTGCGCCGAGGCAAGGCATTGCGCAATCACGGTGCCACCATAGACGCCCCTCGCACCGGGAGGAACCCAAGCCTTGCGGGCGTTTGTGAAGATGTCCTGCGTGTTTCCCTCATTGTTAGCACACTGCCAGTGGCGCCCGCTTGGAGATGCATGTCTTCCTTCAAAAAGCCAGCACGTGCTTTGAAAGCGCACGCCGGCAATCCGGAGCACAAGCTTGCAGGACGTACAGGGCCCAAGACTCCGACCTCTGTGACCTCCAAGACATTCTCAATCGGCGCCTTGCTCGGATCCGCAGGCGGCGGTCTCAACAGTGTCGACCGTTCCTCGCTAACCATGATATCCGTCGGTCCCTCTTTGAGGCGTGCAGTTTGGGAATCGAGATTCGGCAGGGTTGATTAATGACGGATTGGCTTCCGTCGTGGAGGGAATTACCGACAGCGCAGCACGCGACGACCAAGAGGGTCGCTCGTTGGACGTGAAGCGCCCCCAGGACCAAGAGAAGGACGTCTGGAAGCGATGCAAGAATCAGGATCAGGGAACAGCACTTGAGCACTTGGCAATGAAGAAAAATGGCCGCTTCGGCATGACAACCTGGGGGAAGGCGCGTCACCGGTGGGCGAGCAACGTCCCTTTCCCTTTTCGGCCTTTGTCCCGACTCCCGAGCCTCGGCTAGCCCGCAACCTTTGGCCGGGGGCCCGCTGGACAGGTGAGGTACTTTTAAGTAAGTACCGACTTACCATGGTACCAAGGCACCTAGACAACTACAACTCATCAGACTCTTGACCAGCTCAGGAGTCGGGACAATTTTTGACCTGTCTTCCTCAGAAACAGGGGTCACGCGTGTATAGGTACCTACGTACCCAGGTAGGTACCAAGAAATTGGTCACAACTTGCTCTTCTAGTAAGTTACTCCCGCCCCCGTCGCAGGAATCTTTTTTCGACGTCGGCAAATATAATTCAAAAGGCACAACCGACAAAACGACAGAAATGTATCTGTGTGCGTATCAAATTTTTTTCTGTGTACGCCGTATCAACGCATAGAATCCAGCTCCGCATCGCCTTTCCACCAAATGGAATAAATTTGTTGCCCATACCATACTATTTGACCCCATCAACCTCCTGTCCCCTCGCTCCCGAATCGCATAGAACCTCTAAAGTAACAATTCCGCATTCAACTCCACACATGCAATTGTGCAAGTCTTCCCCGCTGTCTATTAATTTGCATCCTCAAAGATTGGCTCCAGTCCCGCCCACGCCGTTGGGTCTCCGTTCGGCCCAGCCTTTTGGCGCTGCTGCCAGTATTTGCCGTTAAACTTCCAGTACGACTCCCCCGTAATCTCACATGTCGCCTTGCAGAACCATGCCGGCACGAACTCTTCGCCCCTGGACTCGCGGACCCTGCGGCGAGCTCGCTGTGCCTCCTCCAGTCGGTTCTTCTCGGTAGCGGCAAAGTCGTACTCGCCATCCTCCATGGCACGCTGATCGGGGCGCAGACGTGAGTCGGTCGGCGCTAACCATGGTCTGAGCTTGTCGTCGATGTGGTTGAACGTGAGCACAAAGGGCGTCAAGTTGAATGGAATGCCAGCAGGTCGAGGGTTGGCCTCCCAGATCAGATAAGCTCGGGTTGGATCGTTCATGGCACCCTTGTGCAGAGGGCCAGCGTCCTTGACTTCGTCAATAGACGCCTCGTATCCGGGCGTTAAACGTGCATATAGCTTCGAGTTCCAACGTCCGCCGAGGCTGACGCGCACGTTGCCGTCTGCATCCAGAACCTTGCCAGAAATCAAATACGCGCTCGAGGCCTTCCACCCGCGAGCCTTGAAGTCGAGGATAGCCACCTCCCCAGTGGTCCAGTTCTTAATTTCCATTGGACCGTAATTGTCCACCGTGGGGTTGCCGGTGATGATGCCAATGACCGACGAAGTGACCTTCTTCCACGTGTAGAGGTCCTCCTTTCCGCCGGCAGTAGGCCTCAGTTTCAGGAACCATGTGCCAAGAGGGTTGATATCGAATGACTTGCCATAAAACTTGGATTTGACCGCGGACTCACCCCAGTATTCCCAGTTGGGCGATTCAGCCCACGCCGCACCAATGGGAGGATGGTGGCTGACCTGTTCGATGAAGAAGCGGTAATTCTTGTCTGGTCTGACATATTCGAATGTCTCTCCAAGCAGAGGGTTGAATGGCTTGGCAACACGCCCGATTGTGGATGCATACTCGCTGGCAGCAAAGGCCGCGACGTAAATTAGGCGTTCGATTGAATCGTGGCGCTCCGCAGCCAAGTCAAGTAGGTCAGCGTACTCCATGTCCTCACCACAGCGATAAAGCAGAGACGTTGGTTCGTTGAATGATACAGGCAGGGTCATCTTGGTCATATCCTTCCCAATCATGGACTTCAGGATACCCTGTCAAACGATCCGTTAGTCATGCGCAAATCGTCAGTGGCAAGGTATTACGTTTACTCACCCAAAGGGAAATCTTGGGACGGTCATCAGCGTCCATCTTGAGTTTGTGTCGGATACCGTTTTCGTAACCCTTGAACGAAGGGCTAATGTCAATGGCGGACACGATCACACCCTTGCTCTGAGGCTCAATGGTCTCGTCATGTGGCATCTCAGCGACTTCAACTACGCCGGCGTCCACGGCATCGAAGAATTCCTCTTCGTCATTGGACTCGCTCTCTGACAGCTCACCAAGTTGGTCTAAAGCAGTTGGTCGCCGTCCAAGACTCCGAGCAGGAGATTTCGCGGCTACTTCCGCTTCTTGTTGTGGACGTTCGGTGGTGGGTGTACCGACGCCGGAAACACCACCGGCTTCCATTACTTCACGAAGGGCCTTCTTGGTCAGACGACGCTTCTCCTCTGTCTCGCCCATCCGCGCCTCGAGTTCCTCGTGTTCGCGAGCAACCTGCTGCATGCTGTCTTCCCACATGCGGCGCATGTTTACCTCGCTGTCCAGACGATACTGCCAGTAAGCGTCTCGGTCCTTGGAGATTCGAAGCAAATCACCAACAAGCCCCGTCAGGCTACGAGTCGCCGCATCATAGGTCGACAGCGCCTGAGTGACGTTCTTGTCAGACAGCGGCGTAGCGGGGCTCTGGGCGAGCTGTGTCATAATTGCCGCGTGGACCTCGGACATGGTTTCCAGTTGGATCTTTGCGGACTGAGCCGTGATGTTGAGTGCATCCTTGGTTGCCCGTGGCTCCTCGCGCACGCTCCTGTCATTTCCAAAATCGTCGTCGTCGTCGATTTCTCCCGGGACAGCTGGACCTGCATTGCCGTGTATGCGGGAGGCCTCGCCATCGGTGGCGGCATCCGCAAATTCGTCATCTTCGAGGCTGCCGACGGTGCTTGTTCTTGTCAGGTCAACCTTGGGGGGCGTCATCATATTGTGCGACGTCGCTCGGCTCGGCAGCTGTGAGGTGCTGCGTTGTAGATCTGACAGGCTCGCGCTCTCGCTGTGCACGTCTGGAAGCGAAAGTGAGCTCTGTTCGGCTTTGACGGCTTTGAGGAGCTCTGCACTGCGGGCTGCCTGTCTTTCTTCCTCCTTTGCCTGGTCCTTGGTCCACTGCACGGAGTTGTTGAGTGCCCAGAACCAGCGCTTAGCCTCGACCTCGTGGTTGGCCTTGAGGGTATACTTGACAGATGATTTTCCAATAATCTCGAACTTGGTCTTCTCGTCGGCGCTCATATTCAACTTGGCAATCTTCATATTAATTGCACCTCGGCATGCGGAACCCGCGTCGTCTTGGTGCTTGTAGTAGCTGAGCACCCCATCCTCGAGCACAAACCATCTCAACTGGTAGCCCTTTCGGTAGTTGGTCCATTTTTTCAAGTAGCCCTTCATCTCTCGGGCTTCGCGCCCAGCCATCAAGTCTGTTGCGGCAGCGCCACCGGCGCCTTGTGACGCTGCTTGGCCGAGAACGGCTTTTTCTTGAATACCTCTCTGAGCTGCAACAGCTGCGGGGGACTTTTTCAGTATGGCCTTGACACCGTCATCATGAGTGACTGACTGGGGCAACTTTCCCTTGCGGTCACGGCGGAAAGGGTCACCACCATGAAGCAAGAGAATCTGGATGAGCTGGGTATTCTTCTTTCGTGCGGCCTCATGAAGCAAGGTGCCTCCCGTTTGAACAGTGACTGGTTCTGAGGCAAATTCGGGACTGTTGATGTCCACGACAGTCTTCAGTCGAGGCTCCTCAAGTGCCTGCGCCAGCGTATCGTAGTCGCCACGGGCAATGAGCTCCTGCACCTGCTTTATCTTGGCCTCGGTGAACAGAGAGCGAGATAGCTGGAGGATTTGAAAAATTTCCGGATTTCGGGCCAGGTCGAGGGGCAGCTTGCCCTGGTGGTTGACAACCGAGTCATTGATGCCCTTCTGGTCCAACAAGAGCTTCACAACGGTCGTGCGGCCCTGGGCGGCAGCGATGTGCAGTGGTGTGTTGCCGTCTCTGTCCCTGGCGTTGACGTCGACGCTGCCGGCACTGTCCGACAGAACATATTCGATGACGGTGACTTCGGAGCACTGAATAGCGAGGTGCAGGATTGTAGTGTCTTCGAGGGGACCGGTGGTGACGGCTGCAAGCGAGGAAGTGCTGGACCTGGGCGCGTTATCAGCCGTGTCACGGATGGCCCTGGATATGGAGGCCGTATCGCCGCTTCTCAAGGCTTCAACCACCCTGAACTTGCGAACGGATTGCTCCAGGCTGGTGGCACCTTGGCTCGACGTTGGTCCGGCCTTGGCCGCCGCGACAGGCGATTGCGCAGACGGGACTCTGCTGAGCATGGCGGATGTGGTCGAGAGTTTCGAAGCGTGTCCCCGAGTGCCGGGCTGATGCGACAGCGGAGTACCAGGAGGTCCCGAGGTAGACTTTGACGTGGCCGTACCGGGCACAGACCGGCCGTCTTCCGAGCCAGACTCGTCTTCGCGGGTTTCTCTGGGTTCTCTGCGGCGAAGCAAGGAAAGAGCCGCAGAGGACCTGGACCGCTTGTGCGGGCTATGCAAGGTCAGGCGGAGCACGCGTCAGCGGTCTAATTGGAGGCTGGCTCGGCTTACCTGTCTCCAGCTTCCGACATGGCGGCAAGCGGTTGTTGTGCGTGGAACGGAGACGTAGTATGAGCAGTGGTGGTGGTGGTGGTGGTGGTGGTGGTGGTGGTGAGAGAGCGACGTCACGCCGCCACGGCCAAAGCCAAAGTAGAGGGAGGAATCAATGAGGAGTGAGGAGACGGCGAGGCCGCGGCGTTGCTTGCCGTGGCAGGGAACACGATTGATTGATTATTGACCGTGCTGTGCTGTGCTGTGCCGCATGTGCCTTGGCTTCTCTCTCTGGAGGTCGGGTGGGGAAGATTGTCCTTTGTTACCATTACTAAGGCAGTCGGCTGTCACAGGCTGTCACATATCGCAGCCATGGCGGATTGACGGGTTAACAATCGAGTCGATGCAATCAATCCGGCCATGCCCAGCGTCCGATGACGCTTCCTCGGCCGAGGAGCAGCCAACCGCGAACTACAAGGATCAACGATCAGATCGAGGAGAGCCCAGCCGAGCACCAGCCGAGGATCAGGGGGTGGCTTTCAGCCCTTCGCCATTCCCCATCCGTCAAAACGTCCAGCAAACAGACAGCCTTCCGGGTGCGACGATGCAGAACATGCAATCAAACCATGTCCATCCGCCCGCATGACTCTTGCGCCATGTAACGTGGATACGGCCGTCGCAAACCCAACGACATCCGCACCCGCCGCCGTGTGCTGCGCCGGCGACAATTGCAGACGGCTGTCGGATACAGTCTTTTCACCATTGCGTCTTGCCATACATGAAACAACAAGCGTGTCGACTTTGCAGGAGACTTGACCGAGATGGCATACATGTCGGTCAACGAAACTCTGGCGTGCTATTCATGCTACAAGCTGTCTTGGAAAGCCAGCGCAACCCAGGGGCCGCTTCAAAGACTGGGAGAGCCAAAGCAGAGAAAGAGGTACATCAACAAAGACATTGGGAAAAGAGTCCACGAGTCGCTCACTTGGTCCGTGGGAAAAAAAATTGTTTATTAATTGCACATCAACTATGCGCTTCTGAAAGACGCAACTACCCTCGACTACGGACATTCCGCAACTTACGTGGCCAGAAGCTGAGCAGCAACAACGGCGACAAGGCCCGTCAGGCCGAGAGCCAGGCCAGACGCACCGGCGGTCACGGGAGGGACGGGGACAGCAGATGGACCGACTGGAGACTTGGTCCAGGCATTGCCAATGGGACTGGCAACACCGGAACACTCGAGGCCAGCGCATCCAGCGTCCTGTTCCTTCTCGGTGGGCTTCTCGGTGGGCATGACGCCAGGGCACTCAGGGCCGATGCAGTCAGCCACCGAGGTGCCCGGGCAGCTGGGACCAGTGCAACCCTCGCCCGAAGGCTGCGGAACGGCCGTGGGGCGGAGCGAGGTTGGAAGAGAGTCTGGGGTCTGGATCTTGACGGTCTTGGTGAGGCTTGTCGTCTTGACGTTGGTCATAGGAGCAGATCCAGTGGGCTTCTCGGTGGGCATGACGCCAGGGCACTCAGGGCCGATGCAGTCAGCCACCGAGGTGCCCGGGCAGCTGGGACCAGTGCAACCCTCGCCCGAAGGCTGCGGGACGGCCGTGGGGCGGAGCGAGGTTGGAAGAGAGTCTGGGGTCTGGATCTTGCCAGTCTTGACGTTGGTCATAGGAGCAGATCCTGTGGGCTTAGGAACCTTGCCAGTCTCGGTATCCTCCACGGGGCAGACGGTAGTGTATGCTGATATGACCTCAGTGACGTAGCGTGCAGGGCAGTCTGTCACAGTAGAGGGGCATTGAGTAATGGTATACACCTTGGTGTTGTAGACGGTGCTGGTGGTCATCCTGGGAGCCTTGGTACTCGTAGGCTCGGGCGTTTGAGCAGGCTCTGTGACGGGGCACACTGTAGTGTAGAGAGCGATGGTCTGGGTCGTAACGCGGCCGAGGGTGCAGCCAGTAACGATAGACGGACACTCCGTCAAGATAAACGTAGTGGTGGTGTAGACGGTGCTCGTCGTCATTGAAATGGGCTGGCTCGTCGTCAATGAAATAGGCTGGCTCGTCTGGATGGTCTTGGCCGTTGTCGAATTGGACCAGGGAACAGAGCTAGTCTTGCCAACAGTAGCGGTGGCTGTCACATTAGACGTCTCTGTGATACACTCATCGTCGTCAAACGACATAGTCGACGGCGTGGGCGTCTCTGAGGTCGTGATATACTTATCGTCGTCGTCAAACGACATAGTCGACGGCGTGGGCGTCTCTGAGGTCGTGATATACTTATCGTCGTCGTCAAACGACATAGTCGACGGCGTGGGCGTCTCCGAGGTCGTGATACACTCGTCGTCGTCAGACTCGGTGGTGGTGGCCGTAGGGGTAGCCTGGGCCGAAGTAGACGCGGGAAACTTCCGGCAAGGATACATGACAGCCTCGGCGGCACTACCAAGGTAGGACTTGCCCATGGCGTCGGTGTTGTTCAAACCACGCGAACCTTCCCACAGGGAGACGCCGCCGAAGTTCTTGTGTTTGCTAAACTGGCAAACAAGTTCCTTCATCTTCTCAGGTTCGAGGTAGCCGGAGCCAGCACCATGCCGATGAGCGGGCAGGCCGATGAACAGCTTCGCGTCACGGCTCTTGCCCTTTGCAATGGTGTTGGCCCAGGCATGGTACGAAAACTCGTCATCCGGGGTGTTGCCGGGGATAGCATCACACACTCCGTTGTTGTAGAACTGGATAAAGAGAGCATCAAATTTGGCATTGGCGATCAAGTCGTCGTTCACGTTCCGGTTCCACTGGTTGGTGATGACGCACTGAGGCGCGGCAGTGATGAACATTGGCTTGCTCTGCTTGCGCCACCAGTCAACCATGGCAACGTAGGGCTTGTTGTCTGTCGCGGGATTGTTAGTAAACTCGGCGGGCGGGAGCACAGCATCGTCCAGCCTTCACTGGGACTCACCAAATTGGCCGGCCGGCCCCTCCAAGTCCAGGTCGAAACCATCGACAGAAACGGTCTTGCCATCGGCATCAAATGGCCGCGGGCCCTTCCAGCTGCTGTTGAAAGGGCCAAAGGCGTTATACAGGAAGTGGGCGAACTCGACGCCCTTGGCCTCGGAAGAAACAGAGTAATTGCTACCCTCCCCATACCGGCCACCAATGGACAGCAAGACCTTGACGTTCTTCGTCTGGCAATAAGGGATGTCGCGCGTAACTGAACGACATGTGCTGAGCAACTTGGTCTTCTCACCCTTCTCGTTCACGAAGACTTCAGCGCTGCAATGGGCACCGAAGTTGCTTCCCGGATAGCCACCCCCGTGCTCGGGGGAGTTGTTGATGAAGGCGAGGGTGACATAATTGACACCAGAATCACAAACATCACGAAGGCTGTACCCGGCAATTGAGCCCTACGTGACGAAAGGCAAGCATTAGCACGTTGAATGTTTGTGCGAGACACCACATGGCTTACATACCCAGTAGACATTCAAAGCCGGGCTGGCTAATGAGCCAGCCACCAGGCCAGCCAGAGGCAGAGACTTGATCATGACTTAGCCGGCGCAGACAGGTCGTGTAATGTAAGAAAGATTGCAAGTTGGCCGAAGCCTGTCAAGGAGCGTAATGATTCCGAGATTAACGAAAGGACGCAAACGAATTGCTTACAAGACGGCCGAGGACCGAGCCGTTCTTGAACCTACCAGAGACAGAATTGAGAGAGTGAGAGGGGGGGAGAAAAGAGAGAGAGACAGAGAGAGGAGGAGGCGTCGGCTCCATTTTGTCTGCTCACATCTATATCTCAATCCATGGAGGCAGCTCCTAGTGTTGAGTTTACACTTCCATTCTGGACGACGGGCTGGTATAGCCCGGGATTCGATATAACAGGCTCGCCAATTCGGCGTCACAAAACCTGTCCCCACAGAAGGAGTGCTAAAAGGCTCCAATTTTATAACTAGCCGCGAAGACCCATGGCCAGACTTTCCGTGGAGAGGTAAAAGGCACCAGAACCAGAGTACTGAGTGATGTTCAGGGACAGGCTTTGTTCTGATCGTCGGCTATCACTAGATCAGGCATGATGGAGACTGCACTATCAGTCCTGGCCAGGACTACGGCCGTCTCTCTGACCAGGTCTGCCTGCAGGAACGGATGCCACAGCAAGAAATTCTGTGGGCTTATGACGGGTGGTATTGCGGAGCAGAATCATGTCATGGCACGAGTCCTGCAATACTCCGGGCTCCATTTGATAATACTACTACTACCATACTTAAGGTACTGTGCCGGCACATGTTCCGTAGCAAAGGAGCCGAGTGGTACGGAGCAGAGGGCGGTAGTCTTGATATGGGCTGCAAGCTCTTCGACACTAGCCATACATACAAACAGCCAACCGACGACGTGTCACGCATGCAATTGTCAGTCCAGACTTGTCAAGCAGATAGATGTTGTGCGCAGGACTGAAGGATACACCTACTCCATTCACATCTTCGTCAGAGGCGGCCGTCATCGTCATGGTCGTCGTCATGGTCATCGTCATGTCATCGTGGCGGCAGCGGCGGCGGCAACGGGAGAACAACCAAATCCGAGGGCATTCGGGCAACTTGGGACGAACAAGGGAGTCGCAAGAAAAATTCGACAATTGCCAGTGCCGAATCCGGCAATCGCCGAATTGAAGTCCAGAAAGTAACTTACTCAAGTAACTACCTAGGTAAGTACTCCGTACTTAAGTACGAAGTAGTGGGCTCCGTCACCAGGTGGGCCTTTGCTACCGGTAGGCCGCTGAAATTGCTGTTAGGGTACCCCACAGGGTTAAAGCCTACTTGTACCTTAAACGTAAAAAAAAAAATGTTTGGTCAATTGATGTCAAGTATATATTTTCTCGTAAATTAACGCCGGAACAGGCGGGCTCCAAACCGCTTACAGACGCAACTCCCAGTGTTTCCGGTTCATGTGTACTTTCCGGCGTATGAATTACCATTCTGTTGCTGCTATAGCTGCTTCCCAAGCTCCCAGGGCGTGATCTATCACAGCTGCTGCGCATCATGTGTCCTTGACTCGAACAATCCCACATGGCATACGGAGTACAGTCCAAAGGTGGAACGGAGGAATTCAGACTCTACCAGGCGGGTCTCGTGTCGTCACTGGATATGGAGGACAAAGTCCAAGCCCTGCGACTGTGCACACACATGCGTCATGACGCGCCCATCCAGCTCGTGCCATGCCGAGTGCTCGGTACTGACACGACATGTTTCTCCGGTATCTGGGACGAATTAGTGCCGCGGGCCGTTGTTCCTACAAATTGCCAGGTTGAATGCCGGCTCAGTCAGCCCGAGCGAGTGTTATAATCGGGGATCCATCACCTCATGAGAAGGCGACACCAAGACAGGCAATCCATCTCCAAAACGGCTCTTGCCCACGCAAACGACAAGGTCTATCCACCCTCAACTGAGCTTGTCCTGCGTGCCAAGCAATTCAAGCGGAGCCGACAATGTCCCTTTGCGCTCATAGCTCATGGGTGTCTGGATGAAATCCTGATTTCAGCTTTGTTGGTCGCCGAAGTGTCTGCCTGCCAAGAGACGAGCACAGCAGAGCAGGGCCCGTGATCGTGATGTTTAAGCAGCCGACGTCAGGACTCGCAGCATCCCATGGCAGAGTGACGATGGCGACGATGTGCAAAGTGCCAGGCCCTACGGAGTACAGAGCAAGTGACTGCATATTATGTGTAGCGAGTCAACATCTCTGCCACGCAATCTTGTTTTCCTCCTTCACTTGCAACCTATGGGTGCTCCCTTTATTATAGTCCAACTATTTACGAGCACCCGTTAGTCGCATCTCGGGGTCACCAAGGACCCTCTTCTGTGGCTTGCCGAGTTCCCGTTTGGGTCGAATTGATGCCTCTCATTGGGGGCAGCTGCACATGCTGCCAACCTGATTTTTTTTCGATTTGCAATACTACCATTACAGTTTGGCAATCTGTATTTCTTTGCATTTACAGTAAGTTGTAAAGTGTATGTAAGGGTACAAAAAGAGAGACTGAAAAGATGAAAAGTTTCATCTTATTGGACGGTTGTACAGCCGCTTACATGCTGGTGATCTGTAAAGTTGACTGCCAGGCCGTGGCAGCGGCAAATGAGAGCGCTCTGCAATTGTCAGTACAGTTGCAACCTGTAAGTGATAGATGGCAATTAATGGGCTGTATTTTTCTGTTTCTGTTCTGTTCTCGAAGAAACTTGACGATTTTCAAGTAAATGGCATGCCGTATAAGTAGGTACGAACCCCAGGCCCTACCCTACACTTTGTGCGGAAAATGTTGGCAGCGTTTGCGGATGCGAGCTAATGTGACGGGGAGGGAGAAAGCACGGGAAGCCTCGCGAGGCCCTCGCCTCGATCGTGTGAGCTACTTCATCAAGGATTAGACCACTCAGCGTGCCGGCCTCGCCTCGGCGGGTTAGTCAAGGCCAGAAAACCCAGTATTCATTCATTCCAAGGCCAAGGATTGGAAAGGAAAAGACATTTACAGACTAGCTCGCCAGGCCATCGCGAGTATCAGCACTGTTGCAGAGGCTCGCACCTGATCCTTCTACTGTCGCGGTAAGGGCCGAACAATCCTCACCAACGGATACTACCGAGGGATGCAGTTTACTCACGTCGACACACTTCTATCAACGAGGTCGAGCTCATCCCGGACCATCAAGAAAGCTGATAATATAATACATAACAACAGGACCCCCCTTGATTTACTTGGAATGCCGCGATGCAAGCAGCTCCTTCTCCGTGGTCGTCGACTCGTACGTGCGTCTCGGCCTCGTGCAATTATTTATCGCATCTGGGATGGCGGGAATTTTTTTTGGGTGGGCTGCGCTGTCCAGGCTAGGACGACATGGCCAAGGCGGACGAGGACGAGATCGATGTTTATTATCACCGGATTCGACTCTACACGCGTCGAGAAGCATCCCCGGTTCTTAAATAACAACAAGGTCCCGTGTTGCCACTGTCACTGTGACAGCTCAGTACGCATGACTCGGGGCCCCGGGGCTCGGGGGGCTTTGTATCATCAACTCCGCATGAGCAACAATGACAAATCGTGTCTACTCTGCAGGGACGAGACGCCAGGAACATGTTTCTTGGACGTGCACGAGGCACCTTGGCGGCAGTGGAGTTGCTTCTGTTATTAGAAGGCCTCCCACGAGAGGCATCCTTTACCATACAACCGTTTGCAAGGGGGACATGATGAGCGTCCAACGTGCGTCTGGCGTCCTGCATCTTGCGTCCTGCTACTGCCCTGCACTGCACGTCTGACACATGCATCATGCATGCATGGCTTGGCCGCCGGGAAAAGGAATAACTTACACACACAAACATGTGCGTTTTTGCATTGGGACAGCGTCAGCGGAAAGAGAGATGGTTGCACCGCCTCGTGCATGACCAACAAAGATTCGCCCGGGAAACGGCAGACGAGCCACGGAGAGGCGTACGTACGTACACCGTACCGTAGTAGCCGCATGTTGCCGGAGCCACCGCCGTGTTTTCTTTGCCGCTCGAATCGGCCGAGGATGTTCTTTTGACTCTATGTCCAGTGTTTACGTGCGGACAGCCCACAGCAGGCGATGGACCGGGTCTCATTCCATCCGCCGTTGATGGCCACGACGCCATGGGCGACGGTCCCACGGGCTCATTGACGATACTCGGCACAGATTGACCGTGATGGATGGCATGCTCTTCTCCCCGGGGACGGACGCCATGGCCTGGCACAAAGTCTCTTGTCTGCGCGTGCACGAATTGATAGACGGTCAACGGCTGCTTCTGGTGCGCATGCATTGATTTGCCCTCAAGTCCCGACTCGCGGAATGGGTTCTCATGGCGACTCGATCTATGCTGCATGTCTCAGTCCCCCACACAGCGCCCGGCGCCAAGGGGTTGACACAATACCGATCGGCCGGGAGCTGATGTGACAGGTCACGCAAGAGGAGAGGATGCCATTTTGAGCTTATGCATGCAATGGTGTTCGTTTTTGTCCATGAAATGTCATAAACTGCGTGCTCGACGACCCACACAACTTCGGCATAAACACACACAGCGCCTTGGTTCATCGGCGGATGAGCGAGATGGCCTACGGAGTATGGGCAATGGCATTGCGGTTGACCTTGACCTTGACCTTGACCCTTGACCCTGACCTTGCTCTTGCTTGGTTCGTAGTTGTTGGTCGCAATGCGGTGTTGTGCTGTGCTGTGTTGTGTTGTGCTGTGCCGTGCTGTGTTGTGCTGTGCTGTGTTGTGTTGTGCGTTGTGCTGCCCGCTGCCCTCGCCTCGCCTCGCCTCCCTCCCCTCACCAGATGCGGACGCGTCACTTCAATTCTTTTTCTGTGCATAACGGCGCGCTATTATGCACCCTGCATCCCAAAATGGAACCTCCCTGCATATCTGTGCAACGCTATTGGCTGAGCATAACCCGCCAAGGGGCACCAGGCATTATTCCATTCTCCCGTCAATACGATAGTGACCAGTCACCGACTGACTAACTGGTCAATAGTCAGCGGTTACCACTTCCGTACGCCCGCGAGGGCATTTGCATCAAGTAGACGATACCAATGCCCGTCGCCCCTTCCCCTTCCATGAATGTCACCTCCTCATGGCTCGCGGAACTGCGCAAACCCTTTTGTCGCGACGTGCCAGCAAACCAACCAACCAGCCCACCCTCCCTTTACCTGCTGCTCCATGTCCATGTGTCATGGAGAAGAAGAAGGAGACATCTGACGACAAGGCCATGCACATCGCATGCGGCAGTCATGCATGCAGTCATGCGCGCGCCTCCAGAGGCACGATGCGGCATCGCCAACCCAGCCATGTGGCAAACACCATCACCACCGCCACTGCTGGAAACCCAGATATCGTCACTGACGGAGGGAATCCGCAGCATGACGCACACCACTTGGCACTTTCTTCCCTCCGTGCTGCCTGCCCACGGCGCACTCGCGTCCCATGATGGATGATGGGTGGCATGATGCCGCGGCCCAGCCTGCTCGGCGCTGAGTTGCATACCAAGCAGCGGCGAGCTTCTGCACTTCTCCCGCTCGACGAGCAGCAAGACGAGTCACGACACATTGGCAGCCGAGAAGCCAGCCTCTCTGCCCAATACCTGCGCCCGCGTTGCGGTCCCGATGCCCGTGTCTTGCCTCTCCCGCCTCCCAGCCCGAACGAGCTAGACCTGTCTGTTGTTCTACCGAGCAGTTACTTGGTGCGCCCTACTTCCGTACAGCCCCGGGAGACACCAAATCCTCGTGTCTTGTCTCGAAGGGGACCCAGGACATCTGGAATGCCCTGCTGTCCAAGGGCGCATGAGATGGCAGCGCTAGCACCACGATGTGGGTGTCTTCGCCCCACGACCTGTCTCAGCGCGTACGCTTGGGAACTTTGGTCACCCGAAAGCTTGGCTCTGTATGTTTACCAAGTCCCTGGCAGGGTTTATTTTGTTTGCTGCCAACCAGACTGACCTGTCTGTGTATGTGTGTTGGGAGCTAGGCTATAATTCCCGGCCGTGTCCGGCCACCTCCCCCGGCGCATCCTGTCCTTTTTTGAGACGGCACCGTTCGAGGGCTTAAGAATCCCTCTACGCCCATGACTCCTTCTTCCCTAGTCGACCAAGATATTGATCCCATCACACACCGCTCAGGGCAAAAGGCCAGTCGCGCTGACTCAAGCCGGTATATGCTGCGTTGCTTCATCTGACGGCATCGACACGCCAACCAGCCTGTCCAGCTGCCAGTCATGGATCGACCCTCTGGCAAGCTGATAGACCTCGCCCTCGTGTCGAAATACCACCCCGTGGCCAACTATTCCTATCCTCGCAAGGATCACACATCCACCGCTTCCGCCAAAAACAAAAACTACAGCAACGACCACGACTCCAGCAACTCGCGACATTCATCGAATGGCTCTTCCCACGGAAGGGAGTCGCTGGGCTCCGAGGGCTCCGCGCCCGGCTTGATAGAGGATCGAACCGACTCCGAGGTTTCGTTGGACGACGACTACCAGTATCATGCTCATACCGCCGAGCTGTGGGATACCTTTTGGCCGCCTCGTGTCGCCTCCAAGGTCAACCACGAGCCATTTCTCGCCCCAAACAAGCAGTACCCGGCATTGATAGCTTCTCCTCGCCCCAAGAAGCAGTACATATGTCTCGGGGAGCGAGCATCTCCGTCATGGCCCTTGGCAACCGGCTCATCGACACCGTCTCGCGCACAAACCAGGAAAGCAGCCGCCACATATTCTCCATTCCCAAAGCTGCCGTCTCTGCCTCCAACCAAAAAGCTGCCTGCCATTCCCGTGTCCAAGGACAAGAAACCTCTAAAGCCATCCAAATCATGCGGCAGCACACCAATAAGACCACCTCGTCCAGCCGAGGCCCTCCTGACCCCCTGTGTACGACACACTGCCTTTGTGCCGGTCAGTCCCGCCGTGGCCGACTACATAATCGAAGATCTCGGTCCACCTCGCGATCAACGCTCGAGCAGAATACCGGACGAGCCATCCTTGGCCCGCCGCTCCCACTGCACCATCTACACTGTTCTCTCCCAGTCGGCAACTAATCTTCCCGTTCCTGAGATCAGACCCTCCCCGACTCGTGCACCCAGGCATTTCAAGTCCCTCGCCGCGCTGCCCCTCGTACAAACCGAGCAAGTCAACCAGGAGCCTCACTCTGTCTTCGAAGACGACTCCGACTGCGAGGACGGGCAGGCGCGCAAGTTCTTCGGCTTCCAAAAGCGCTCCGACAGCTATCACAAGCGCAGAAGGGACCGCTCAAACACAACGCCATCGGCGGCCCAGAAAGGGCTCCAGACAGATGACTGTTCCCCTCTCATATCCGCCGCTGCCCACCAAAAGCGTCATGGACACGATGTTTTTGGACGCCTTCTCGGGCGGAGAAGTCGGTAATGTCGCCCATTGCGATCTAATGACTCTCTCTCTCCCTCTTTTCTCTCTTTTCTACTGTGTTTTCCGAGATGGTACGCCTTACGATGCATGCGCAGGAGTTTTGTTTCACCAAGCTGTTTCTTCATGTTTTACGCCACGATGTATAACGACCCACGAAAGTACTGCCACTTATGAACAGACTACGAGTCTCATGTCTTTTCTCCCATGATTTCTTTTTTTTTCCCCAACAATCATTACGACTATTAGTCTCTTTTTTTTTAAACGCCAGGTAGATGGCGGCACAATCAAGTAGCTAAAAGGACGGTGTTTAGCCCTCGAAGGCTCTCTCGTAATTTGTCTCAGGGATGTGTCTTTAGTTTCGGCCTTTTTTTTCTCTTTTCTTTTTTTTGTGCACTCGCCTTGGACTGAGCGCGGAGCACGGAGCACGGAGCACGGAGCACTGCGGACGCAACCACGCCCAGGCGCCTAGGTGGTTACCGTGACGATGGAGGAATGTTTGCTCATTTGTGTTTTGCATTCCTGACGAGTGCTGGTATGCAGAGTTGGCGATGGTTGTGTCGGACAACGGGGGTCGCGGTGAGACATGTCACACGCCTGTCGGGTACTACGAGTGGTCTTTGCAAGAAAGAAAGAGCCGGCGGCCACGAATAAATTCGAAGAGACAAGAATGACCAAAATCTATCGACAAGATGAGCCTCTTTTTGCTCTCGTGAAAAACTGCTGTGCGCCTTTGATTTGTAACTTACGCGGGTGAAAGACCCGCGACCCTTGCGCACCGTCGTGTGTACATACTAGTTACTTACCTGTCCGATGCGGGCTCGTTATATGGCGTCAAACATTCCAGCTGATCCGTCTGCTCGTGTGCCCGTGTGCCCGTCAATCATTATTCACTTGGCCAGACGCCACGTCCCAATGTAACCCCAGCCCCAGACCGTTTGAGACAGCAAAAAGAGGAAGAGACGCAACCTCGCCCCCCTCTAAAAACGAAAAATCAAAGGCAAAAACTCCGATGCCATGTGTTGGAAATACTACCCGTGGATTATTCATTACCGTGTCCCGTCAAGTCGTGCGTGTTGATCCCCACCCGTCATACCATCGAGGTCATGGATCGTGCCATGGCCATCTTCTCGGTGTAGCGCTTCATTCGTCGTACGCTGATGCGCTTCTCGTCGCGGCCTGCCAGGACGCCAAAGAACCAGATGCTTTCCGCGCGGGCATCCTTGCGGCCCACGCCTAGGCGGGCGGCGAGGTCCTTTCTGGACCGGACGGAGCGGAAAGCAGGGTCCTCGTAGAGGTCCCTGGCGGTGCAGAGGCTGACGAGAGACGCGATGGTGGTGACGCAGTGGGGGAGGTAGAACTGGCGGCGGCGGGGAATGAGAAGGGATGAGCAGCCGACGTAGAGGATGAGGAATGCGAGAAGAACGCCGTAGACTGGCATGCTCGGGAACATCCGAACCTCCTGCGTCGGAGTCGTGAGCGCCATGAAGAGGCCGCCGGCAAGGATCGGGATGAAGATGAAGAGCGTGGACATGAGCGACACGACGGCCACGCGCCAGTGGCCGTTTCGCAGCGCCCGCACCGATACGTGCAAGGAGAGGCAGGCGGCGTAGTCGGCCAGAATGGAGCGGCTTGCGACGGCGCCGTCGAGAGACGTCATGTCACCCCATGGTTGGAGAATACGAAGAGCTTGGTCGAGGCTCTGAAACAGCAGGAATAGGACCATGCCCAGGGTGGCTGGCAGGAAGCTGTAGAGGAAGTTGGCTGCAGAGAAGGCTGCGTCGTCTGGTCGTGCAGCCAGGAGAGGCGCGAACCCAGACTCGAGCTTTGTCTGTGGCAGGAAAGATACAATGAAGAGAGCTAGCAATAGGGTGCCGGTCACGAGGACGAGTGACACCAGTGGCATGTCTCTCAGACACCATGGTAGGTACGTGCCGCCTTCAAAGTCCAGCAGGGCAGAGGAAACCGTCAAGTGAGATCCGATGGAGTGATCGTTGCTTCGACGTTCAGATCGTGGTTCGGTGCCAACTTGTGTGCCGCAGTCTGCTGGCATCGCCGATGTCCCGATGGTGTGCCAAACACCCCCCGTCATATCTCCATTCTGCCAGTATCCCAGCCGGTCGAACCACCGCTCCCGCAGTTCGGCTCTGTAGTCGCAGTTGCGCTCATAGAGGCCCTTGCGTCGGTAGCTGCTCATTGTGTTGGTGCGATGCAGCAATGGTATCAGGTCTGCGATGGAGCGGGCATCCCAGAGAAGTCCAGTCCAGTGACCAAACCAAAACGTCATTAGTATGCAGGCAGCGACCAAGAGCGTAGCATACAGGGCGATTGATACCCAGATCAGTCCTTGGGTGGCCGACCATATCCATCGTCCTTGGCTGTCCACGTATATACACGTAAACGTTGCGCTTAGCAACGGGAGAGTGAAGTTGCCAAGCCATGTAGCTATGCCAAAGGTTTTCAACTGCCAAGGGCCCGATAGCTGTGGGAGCAAAAACGTTGTCGGATACAGGCTCCGAAACAGGGCCAAATATCGCTTTTCAGGGTCTTCATGGGCCAGAGTTGCAAATGGTACAATTCGGAGGGACGCTGCCATGATATTCTGTGCATAGATGAGGATCACTCCACCCAATGTCTGAGGCAAGATACGGAAAACAAAATATTGCCCTGAGTATATACTGCCAGGATAGGGCGTCAATCCGTCGTGCTTTTGCGAGTACACAGCGGCGAATGTCAGGGCCGCCATCATAAATGCGCATAAGGTCATTAACATTAACATTGAAAATGGTCGTAAAATTCGTGGCTTAAAAGTCAGAGGTGGATATGTACGCCCCCGGGGATCAATAGTTTGCAACATATTCGCATCTACTGGAATCCAATGGTCCGCGGAAGACGGTTTTTGAGATGCCGGAGCCGCCACAGGTAGAGTTGGCTGAGGTGTATATGAGATGCTCGAGTCTTGTGGCAGTTTGGTGGGGTCAAGTTGGCATTCGTGCAAGAGAGGTGAATGGAGCATGTCATGCGAGGACGACTGCTCACGTCTGGTGGACTCTGGCGAAGTTGCAAACCCATTGACCATAAACTTTGAGTTCCGCGGCTGGTCTTCCTCACTGTACTTCCCCAAGGGAGGTGGAGGTATGGGTATTTGGCTGGTGCTGGCGCTTCCTCTATCACGAGTTAACGCGTCGAGAGCGTATTGAATATACGGAGTGTCGTCGACGCCAGGAGTGACCTTGCCCGCAGCGAGAGCCAATTCATCCTTGAAGCTGTCCATTCGGGCAGCATTGTCGGCAGCGAACATTGCCAGCTGAGCCTCGTCAAACCGAACCGTTTGGTTTGACATTAAAGCCCTTGCGGTTGGCTGTGGCTGTCGCTCTGACTGGAATGCACCGGAGAGTCCAAATAGCCTCTCTGGACCATACAGCTCCGCAGATGAGTGGGCAGATGAAGTGGGAGAGGGTGGTTCGCGCAAAATGGTTGGTTGTGGTGACAATGACTGCGCTGACAGCGACGGAGCTTGCTGATAGTCTAGACGCTCGTGGCTATACTGAGAAGGACGCAGGCGACGGCCTGATTCCGAATCGTCGCGGATGGTGTGGGCAGAAGGGACTATTTCTCGTGGCGGAAACCAATCTAACAAGACACCAATTATCAGTCAAGCCATTAGTGAGTGTTGGAGGCCGAAAAAAACGGTAGCAGATTAGGAAATCAAGTCAAAAACGGCGTGTAGCATCGACGTACGGGGAGCTTCCACAAACTCAAAGTTTAGGTTTTGGAAGTTCATTGTCGACGCATTTCAACGCAAGCCAGGTCCACTTGGATATACCGGCCAATTGAGGCATGCAGATGCGATGGAGGATGAAAATGCATGATGCGAGAGGGACGAGACTCAGATATGGCTGGGCTTGGAGACTGAAGTTTTTTTTTTATGTGACGAGGTTGGGGGAGCGCGAAGGCAATGATAACCGCTGGACGTTGTGAACGTTGGGCAACCAGCCACCGGCCCCGCGTTTGAGGGCCGGCTCGAGGGAGCTACTCCGAGACTGACTGACTAGCCTTGGCAGGCGGCATCACCCGCGTGCCGGAGCGAATGGGCTTACCTGATGCTGTAGACGGCAAACTGTCTACATTTTAGTCCGCACGGGGAGAAAAGTCCGCGACCGGGCACCAAAATGCAATTTGATTTTGGGGTGAATCATATGTGCGTGTTGGAAAAAAAAAAAAAAGGGCGTAGACCGTCAAAATGTCATAGTAAATGAGGAAGGAACGCCTTGCCGCCTGCCTGCCTTGGCTGTGCCGTATGTACTTCGTACAAGGGCCCCTGGATCCGTCTTGTATGACCGCAGTTGCCGTTGACCCTAGTAGCGGATGGGGTGGTGGCGGGGCCGCCATTGAGGCACCCAGTTGATGCTCCAGATGCCCGACGGGAGGAGGTTGGGACGGCCTAAGGTACCTTTGGATCGTTGGGCCAGTTTAGACCTGGTGGGCATGAGGCTGGTTTGTAGCCGGTGCTTTCTTATCTACAAACAATGCCATGGCCGTAATTACGTCCATCCAGATTCCGAGCTCAAGATTTAATTTGAATTTCCTGACAAGTCCTTCAACGGCACTGTAGCACCTCCCCCCGGGCACCAAGATGCACCAAGGGTCTTCCAAGCTGGGACTAGTACCGCAGACCAGGTACAGGCACATCGTACCGGTACAGGCATCTTCAACAGTTGGTCTCTTGAGCTTCCCACTGCAGAGCGAAGCCTCCAGGCAGCAGAACAAGCTCCAAGTCTCATGTTTCTGGCAGGCCAAACTCGAGCCTCCAGAATAACCCACGCCGTACAAGAATTTCGGCCTACAGGGCTCGGCTGGATTACCAGGAAAGAGACGTCGCGTACCGCACAACAACAAGGTTCTCCGTACGGAGTAGGGAGCAGTCAATATTAAACAAGCCGGCGACAAGTCTGGCCGTATTGGCCCCGGTACCGGCATTTCAGTCCTGTGACTCGTCGGGCACACCGCGGTGGCCAACGGAGACGGCATTGGTGTTTGTTGCCCAGCCGGGTTACCACGTGACATCATCAGACCGAAGCCTGACCAAGACGGATCGCGTGCCACGTAACTATCTCGTTCAGAGCAACATGCGAGGCCTGCCAGTTGGTAGTACGTACGGAGTACTGCAAGAATCAAAGCATGGTAGCCACGAGATCTAAGAATAGAACAGGCTCAATAACGTGTGGCCTGGCATCTGGCTGCATTTGCCCGACTTTGGCGTGGCGTCATGAAGTGCGGATACGAAGCGCGAGACTGCGAATCGTCACCACGCGTGGGACGTATGCGGCCAAAAATGCCAGCGCATCTCGCCGTGCTCGGACGACGCCGGTCCTAGCCCTAAGAATGAAGAAAAGAAAATATATATACTAATAACCATCATTTGCGCCCTCTGTAATCTCTACAAAAAGGCGTGATGTACCTAGATCGACAGCATAGATTTGATTTTGTGCGTTGCCTAGATCAGCGACCAAGCAGCCATCCACATCACACGGGTTCTGCGGAGAGAAACACGTAGGCTATGTGGCAGCGGGTGTTCGACGCTTCCGCAACCATGGAACGATTAAAAAGATACCGAGTGACAAGATCGGCAAGGACCACGTCGCCTTGCAGCAAGTTATTCATTCGCCTGAACCAGGCTGACAAATCTCGACAATTGCTCCCAAGCCGGCTCGTGTCCTCGCGTCATGATCCCGTAATGATGCGCCCTCCCAAAAGGCCAGAGCGGCAATTGACCAATCCGAGCGCCACGCCGGCGCCCGCATCCGCCGTAGTCCTATTCGGGAACGGCGCCGATTACGCTTGGCTTAAGAATCGTTGGGCTGATCACCAGGTGTGAGACGGCGGCAGCAGAATGGCGACAAAGTTATCATGGACGCGTACCTGGGAGTGTAGGTAGACATCTCCGCTTTCAAATCAAACCGCACATCATTATGCGAGCGTTGTAAATCACACAGAGCCATCCATTCCCCCACGGAAGCTTCTGCCCACTTCCACACCTAACGCCGATATAACGGCGCGTCGCCAACCGTGTTTGGCATATCATCGCTTCGAGCTTTCACTCTCATCACCAGTTCGAGCAGCACGCCCACGCACAGATTCCGCAAAAACCATCCCATCGAGCTCGCGAATATCTGCACCTACACGGCTCGAATCCCCTCAAGCTCACAGGGGGAGAAGGGGGAACGACGAGAGTTTCGCGCATGCTCAAATCAGCCGCCAGCATGTCCAAATCGGCGCTGCGCAATGCCAGAATCACGCCGCACCGCTCCGGCGCCCGCGGCCACAGCGACCACGGCTGGCTAGACACGTACCACAGCTTCTCCTTCGCCGACTGGTACAACCCCAAGTTCTCACAGTTTGGGTCGCTGCGCGTCCTCAACGAGGACCGCGTCAAGGCTAGCTCGGGCTTTCCCACGCATCCGCACCGGGACTTTGAAATCTTCAGCTACCTTTTGTCCGGGGAGCTGACACACCGGGACTCCATGCTGGCCGAGGGCGACGAGGGCGAGCAGTCGGACAGGTTTTACAGGATGCGCCGGGGCGACGTGCAGTTCACCACGGGCGGAACGGGCATCGCGCACTCCGAGTTCAACGAGCACGAGACAGAGACGGCGCACTTTTTGCAGATCTGGGCTGTCCCTTGGAGGAGGGGGCTCAGCCCGCGCTACCACACGCGCACGTTTAGCGATGGGGATAAGCGCAGGGGCTTTGTCGAGATTCTGAGCCCGCTCAAGGGCGGGCCTAATGCCACGGCGCAGCAGGAGGAGGACGCGGAGCCTGTTGTTCAAGGCACCATTCCTATTCACGCGGATTTCGCCATGGGCGCGGGCATCATTGCGCCGGGGGAGACATTCCAATGGCTGGTCGGCGCGAATGCCACGGAGCAGAAGGAGAGAAAGGTTTTTGTGCACTTGCCCATGATGAAGGGGGGCAGGGCAAAGATTCGTCTGGATGGACGGGAGGACGCAGAGCTGGACGAGGGTGATGGTGCGTTTGTGGACGGGATTTTTGCCGGTAATCGGTTGGCGGTGGAGAGTATAGGGTCTGAGGAGGCAGAGGTTGTTGTTTTGGATACGGCTTAGATTTTGGGGATGCAGTACTAAATGGAATGGCAAGAGAAATGTAAAATGCAAGTGGACAAGTTGTCAAGTTTAGCATTGACTCCATGCTCGGCGGTCATGAAGTTGTATACTGAAAATGGCCTCGGAAGCGACGTGATTGGCCAGTAAGACCTCTCAAAGGTCAGCACGATCAAGTTTGATCTCATGTGCAGCGGCGGGAAACAAAGGACCCCAGCCGCCGAGTAGGGCCGAGCCGTCCATCGCTACCCGCGCGCCAAGGTCTGCCGGAAAAGGGGGATGATATCCGAAAGTGGATGTGGTTAGTAGTTATTCTTTGTTCAGTGGGAGACTGTCGCTTCTTGCGGAACGAGAGTACCGGGCTACGGCTTGACAAATTGCGAAACGCAGCCGACTGCCGGTTCCCAAGACGATGGATGAGTGACCCAGGCTGCCGGGTTGGAAAGGAGGTTGACCAAGTTTGAGGAGGTGACAATATATGCACATGTTACTGATGCGTCGACAGACGGAGCGGGAGCTTCAATGTTGGGAAGCCTGGGAAAGCAGCCCCGTTTCGACCATAGTACTCGGCTTGGAAGATGTCCCTACTAGTACTCCGTACTTGATTTGAGACGGAATGTACGGAGTCGTGCGGACCAGTGACTGTGACTGTAGATGGTCGGCGTACGGGTGATTAGGTTAATTGAGTCCAACTTGACGTTTAAACGGTAGCATTTGGCTCTTGAGATGGAGTGCCCAAGTTGAACCCGGGGTCATGATGCTTGCCATAATGATGCTTCCTTGACAAATAAATATAGAGAGAGTATGACCTTGTCATTTGGTTCCTTCGCTCGGCGTAAAATTGTGCAATGTGAGCTATACTTGCTGGACTTGGGCCAACGCGTCGGAAGAATATTGCCCACTGAATCACATTTTGTCCCGGCATTCATTCCCCCCGTCTTGGGCGGTTGATTATTTTCACCAACCTGACGAGTGCAAGCACTTTTCTTTGTTTTTGGCCTTGTTGGTTAATTTGAACAGGAAGTCGTTGGTCGTTTAACAGTACTAGGATCCGAGCACCTTGCATCCTGCAACTCTAAGAGTATGCATCAGAGGTGGCGAGCGGCATCGAATCGAGGACATCGGGTGTGCCAGCGGACCCATTCTCCTCAATGGTTTTTCTCTTCTCCTTTCCCTTTCTTTTTCGTTTGGCTGGGGCTAGGCTTGTTCGTTTAGCGGGCTGGGCGTGAAACGGACGAGTCGAGACGATGGATTGATGCCGTGGGAATAAATCAGGACTGTGTCACGTCCGTCAGGACATGGCTGGTTGAGAACGGAGGACCCGTTTTTGCGCTGCCGACATGTGGACCCCCGGTGGTGCGTTGCGCGTTGCACGAGGGCATTTTTGTACGCGGGACATGCCTGGTACATAAGCACACATTGGTCTAGAGGTACCTCGCACGTGGTAGACATTCCGGGGGACGGGGACGGCTAGCGCCGCACTTCGCGTCCAGGTCGGGTGGCGACTTGTAGGTTGTGAGGGGACTTGTGAGCCGCACAGGTACCGTCGGCACTTGACATTAGGGCCCGCGAGGCACGCCAGCTTGTCAGCCCAGGTACCGAAGGACCTGAGTACGCAATGCGGAGTAGAGGATCGGTACTGCGTACTCCGTACCTGGGCACTCAAAAACTTGCGACGGGGACGCCAACCAAGACCCTCCAGTCCCAATGGCAACGAGTGCCGGGGTTTCTGGTCGAGCCGGGCTGGGCTGCGCCTTGACATTGATCCTGGGTGTTGATCGAGTTTCCAGCCTCCCCATTTTTGGCCGCCAACAATGTCGCAGCACGTTGCCCACATTGTTCCTGGCCCCACCCCCGTCGGCCCCGACCAGCTTGACCCAGCTTGAGCAGCTTGAGGCGTCGTCGCCGCCGTCGTCTGGACATGGTCATGGTCCATGGATGGACTTTCGACCAGACACACCTTCGCTCTTCAACCCAACTTCCAATCATTCATTCCCATGGCCGCTTTTTTTTTCCCCTTTCCCTGCCACCGCATTTCGACATCACCTCACTTCGGGGTCACCTTGTGCGCCGCCATCTCTGTCCCCCAATGAACTTCTTCTTCGCTCCTCCGGGTGCCGGCACTCTTTCACCCATGACTGCATCGTCCCGACTCTTCTATTCCTAGCTTGCATTCCAGCCAATTTCTTCTCTCCCCCCCTCTTTGCTTGGGCCGGACGGACAGGCTTTCCTTTCAGCCTCTCGACATCTGAAGCTCTCCGACGTCACACTGCAGCGTCGACGCATTTTGGTCTCGCGCCAAGACCGCCCTGTACGTCGCTGCGCACTCAATGTTGCTTCTCGCGCTGGCCTTGCCTGCTCGTCGATTCCCCAATTCCGCCGACCCAATCAGCACCTAGGCGAATCGAACCTCTCAGGTCCAACGTCCAACGTCCAACATCCAACCGTCTCGCCGCCACCACGACTTGGTGGTGAGAGCTCGCCACCTTGTCTCCTTCACGCCCAGCCCCAACGGCCTCAGGAGTCTTTTCCCAGCCACCCGAGTCTCTCTTCGACGGCCCTCGCGAGACCCCCGACCACGAGCCTACGTCCCACCCGAAGCAACACCAGCAGCATTTGGCTTGGCTGCCTACACAGCAGGCATTCCAGCATCAGGACCCTGATCTTGTCTCGGACCCTGTCCAGGAGCCCGTCTCGAGACTCTCCACGCCAACGTCTTCTGTCCAACGATCCCTCCGCCGGACCCCCAGGTTTGAGTCCGCTCCGTCGCCGAGTCCAGCAAGTATCACAGAGCCACGTCAAATCCATATTGCCGCAGCCTCAATTGGCTTTTCCCCGGGTCCCGTTCCCTTTGCCAGGCCACGTCCAGACTCGTCTGTTGTTGGCTCCGGCTCTTCTCTGTCTGATGATCGAGCCCGTCTCGACCGGAGCAATTTTCAAGATCTAAAAGGGAGCCTTGACAAGGACAATTCTTCCCATATTCCTCGCTCTGAGCATCATTCGGGGCCTCACTCTCCCTCCCGCCGGGATCGGCGCGAGCCGCACCCAGTCGTCAGAGTATCTCGGAACACCCACAGTGCCATTCTTTTTGCTCTTGAAGAGGCTCTTCGGCACCCGAATCCCTTCACGCCCGACATTGTCGAGGAGTCCGCCGATATGGCGGATCTGATGGCTGCCACCCGCGAACTTCCTGCCACCTCCAATGGCAATGGCGCAGCAGCTACCCACCGCCCCACGGCCGGTCCTGCGCCGACCAGTTCACCGTCTGGGATTCGAGGGCCGAGGATGATCATGCAAGAACGAGCTGCCAGGGAGGCGAGACAGAGGGCAGAAGCCGAGCAGCTTGCTTTAGAACGAAATAGAGCCGAGCAGGAGGCACGTTTGCTGGATGAAACACGTCGAAGGAATGCCGAGCGCCGTTCTGAGCCGCAGCACTTGCACCAGCAACAATCACCACCCCGCGGCCACGGCCAAGCTACCCTGGAAGCCACACACGCCCCTAAACAATCCACAGGGCAACAAATAGCTGGGCAATTTGAACCCAACACCACCCAGCAACCCGCCAGATCACCTGTATATGTCACTTCTAGCGGCCGGCCGCGGCCCCAACACCACGCCAGTGCCCCAACAGAACCCTCGGCTCAACACGCGGAGCCTTCGAAGCCTAGAAGCTCGTTTCCACACGCCTTTGAGCGTTGGGAGACGCTCTCTGCTCATTGGGAGGGCCTCACGAGCTACTGGATAAGGAAACTGGAGCAGAACAAGGACGACACTGACCGCGATCCGTTGAGCCAACAACTCGCGCGGCAAGTTACTGACTTGTCCGCCGCTGGTGCCAACTTGTTCCATGCTGTGGTGGAGTTGCAACGACTACGCGCAAGCTCAGAGAGGAAGTTCCAACGTTGGTTCTTCGAGACCAGAGCCGAGCTGGAACGAGCCCAAGAGGTCAATGGCATGCTTGAAAAGGCACTGGAAAGAGAGCGCCGTGACCGTGAGAACGCTATTCGCGATGCCGTCGACCATGAGCGAGGCACGTCCAAGGCCCACAAACAGCTTGCTGAGATGCGCAAAGAGCTTAGCATTTCCAAGGACGAAGCGCGCAGAGCTTGGGAGGAGCTCGGACGAAGAGAGCAAGAGGAGCGAGACAGGACTCTGTCACTACAGTCAGGCCACCCCACCATTGTTGGCGGCGTACAGGTTGTCCCCATGACGCATGGCGGCGTCAGCCGGCAAGGCACTGTCCGGGAGCCCGAGGCGTACCAAGCCGAGTACGCGCAAGGCTACGGCCCTGAGCAGACACAAGCGCCGCCTTCACCAGCCTCTCCGACGACTGCCGGGCCCAGCGGCACCCATTACAGATCCCCAGAGCAAAGGCACTCGCATGCCCGAGACAAATCCGGCGGCTCAGCGGGCACATTCGGCGAAGGTGAGTACATCATTGACGCGGCAGGCAACTTTGTTCTCGACTCTCGAGGGCAGAAGATCCCCCTTGTTGCCGAACCCCCCTCTGGAGCCTCGGTTTCTGATCCAGAGGCAGACGACTACGACACGCCGGCGACGACAAATCCGCCAAGCGGCGCCCACGAACCGGCCTCGACGTCGGCGGGCGAGGGCCGGTGGTCCGGTGCTTATTCAGATCCTCAGGACTACTCTGGACAGGGATACGGTGTGCCTGGCTGGGAGACTGTCCCCCGACATCATCATCCAACGAGGCTAAGCGACGTAATCGAGGAGGAAGACGAAAGAAGCCGAACGAGCGCGAGTCAAAGCCGAGGAGGCCATTGAATGACGTTGAAGGGGCCCCAGGCTGTTCGCACGCGACACCATTCGAGGCTTCTGACGATCCTCGACGACTACGGCGGAGGTTCATTTCGAGGACACGCCAGAGTCCAATCAACAAGTTGGCAAAGCACGCACCATCGGCTGAATAATATAGGAGTGGACACTGTAACTGATTCACTCGCATTGAAACAACGCGCCCCTCTGGTATAATTTGATCCATCAGAACTCAGTACAAACTCTCCATTGTCGATACCTTTTTACTTCCCCTTTCCTGTTTATTTCTTATCCGCTTATTTTTTCCTCGTCTCAACGCCAAGAAGATGTCGTTGCTCCCCCTGTCTTGGCTGCTGTCCATCTGAGCATATTGAAGACACGTTAGATGTTTGCTTTGTACTGGAGACGGACTGGGGGGGGGGTTGGATTGCTTGTAGATACAGGGATCAGTGAATACAACCACGACCTGATGCGCGTTCTTTGTGTGCGGGCGGTCTTTCTTGTCACGGAGCGAGTGGTGTAAAGGGTTGAATGGAGGTTGGGCCTTTGGTTCATTCCCCCGGTCAAAGAGCCTGACTCTCCCACAGGGCCCTGAAGGCGCTTGCTTCCCGCTTCAACAAGGCCTCGGGCTCGCCGACCTCGACGACCCTGCCTTCGCCCATGACAACCACCAAGTCGTAGCGCCGGAGCACTTCCAATCTGTGCGCGACCTCAACCACGGTCCTGCCCTCCATGTCGTGCCAAATCGCCCTGCGCACCTCGTCGTCGGTCCTTGCGTCGACACTGCTCGTCGCCTCGTCCAGCAGCATCACGGCGCCGCGGGACAGCAGCGCCCTCGCCAGGCAGAACAGCTGCCGTTGTCCCGCCGAGAGGCCCAGCTCGCACATGTCGGCGTCGAGCCCGCCACGGCGCGCGACCGCGTCCCAGATGGCCGTCTTGCGGAGCGCGTGCTCCAGCTCCCGGTCCGCCCGGGGGCCGCACCCGGGGCTCCCGGGGTCGAGGTTGTGCCGCACCGTGCCGCGCAGCTCGATGGCGTCCTGGGGCAGCGCCGTCAGCCGAGAGCGCACCAGTTGCCGCGGGACGAGGGCCAGGTCCTGGCCGTCGAGCCGGACGCTGCCGCCCTGGATCTCGAGCAGGCGGGCGAGCGTGAGCATGAGGGACGATTTGCCGCTGCGGAAATGGCGGGTTAGATGGCGCCGTGCGCCCTTGTCCCCTGAACCTTGGCGTCGTGGAGTCTTGTCTTCCTTCTCAGAAGCTTACCTTCCGGAGCGGCCGCACACGCCGACTTTCTGGCTGGCTTTGATGCTCAGGGATATCCCCCTTAGGACGGGGTCGGTCTCATCACTTGGAGGGCATGCTTGTTAGTCGTGTTCTTTTCCCTTTCCGAGGGGGGCGGGGGGAGGGGACGAGCGACGTGCCTGTATGATGCGACGACGTTGTCTAGCTGAATGGCTCCGTATTTTGGCCATTCATCCGGTGGTACGAGGGACTCGCATTCCTTGTTCTCGTCGGGGGTGTGCTTCATGAACCATTTCAGTCGGGCGATGGCGCCGAGGGACGTCTCCAGCCGTGTCCATTGGTCGATGGCCGTTGTGAGCGTCTGGTTGAAGCCGATGAGATTGACCATGGCGAGCCCGACGGCGCCCCTTGTCGTGTGGTCGGGGATGTTGAGGGCCACGGAGACGAGGACGAGTGCCATGCCGGCCACGAAGAGGTCCAGGACAACCTGGAGCCAGCGCTGGATGCAGAACATGGTGTAGAAGGGCTTTTGGGAGGTATCGAGGCGGCGGTGGTTGTCGTGCAGGAAGGCGTTTGCCCAGCCGAAGGAGCGGATGGTCGAGAGCCCGGCGAGGGTTTCGGTGAATTGTGTGTAGAGAGGGGATTTCATCTCGAGGTCGAGGAACCGCATCTGGCGGGACGTGCGGAGGTAGTATTTCTGGATGAAGTAGAGGGCTAGGAAGCAGACGGGGACGGTGACGCCGATGTAGGATGCGCCTGAGGCGATGAGGCCTGTTTCCGCGAGGGCTCGGAGGGAGACTGCTGGGGTTAGATGAGTTGTTTGAAAAAGGAGGATTATACGCACGCAATGTGACGTTGAGAAAGGCCATGGGGAGGGCGTTGTCGATGAGCGTCATGTCTTGACTGAAGCTGGAGGGGGGTCGGTGTGTGTTAGTGTGAGATAAAGGGGGTGGCATGGGCCGGAGACGCACCGGTTGAGGGTGATGCCGCTATCTGTACCGGCGAAGAAGTGGAATGGCGCCCTTTTGTTTTTGATTTTCGGCTTGTTAGCTTGAAGAGTGCGGGTGAGGGAATCGGGGGTTTCGCTTGCTTACCGAACGACGGATCGGAGGAGAATCTCGTGAAGACGAATGGCGGATTTAGGGACGCCGATGAGCGCGTAGTAGCTGCGCCTTGTTAGCGGACAGATGAAGAAGACAGAGCCTTGTGGCTGTACCCCATGTTGAGCGCCCCGAATATGGTTGAAGCAAGGGCAAACCCGATGTAGCCGGCCATGGAGGCGTAATCCGTTGGCCCTGTGCCCTTCTGCGTCCAGAGCTTCAACCAAACCTCTGCATGGCGGATGGTGAGAACCAGGTATTGTACCAAAGGGACAGACATCTCAACTCACGCGGCATCTTGAGCATGGCTGTGTGCAAAACACTCCCAATCAGCAGCCCGACTATGGCTCCTTTGCCCAGGGACCGCACGTAGATCCTGTAGCAGTCAAGGTCGCCCGTCTGTCGACTAAGATCTGCCTCCGTCTTTCGGGCTGGACTGGCCGTTTCTTCGTGGGACATTTTGATAGTAGCTCTTTCCAGCCTTGCTTCGCTAGAGCCAGAGACGATGGTGTTGACGCTGTCGGTGACGGTGTCGCTGTCGCTGTCCGAGATGCCCCATTCCAACGGCTCGACTGAGTCAAAGCGTATCTGGTTCCGCACAATGGTCTTGTCACCGAGCATGGTAATGTGGTCGGCTGCAGAGAGAAAGTTGACTTTGTTGATTACAAACAAAAACGGGTTTAGTTTCATGTCCATCTTGCGAAAATGGGCGTGGGTGCAATCATACCGTGGTTAGTGGCCAAGATGACAGTGGCATTCAACTTTCGAGCAAGGCCGTCTCTGCCCAAGACACGTTGGAAGACGGTTTTGGAGGTTGTACTATCCAGGCCGCTGAAGACGTCGTCCATAAGGATGAGATTACGTCGGGAATATACGGCGCGAGCAAGGGCCTTGATGAAAAACATGAGTCTCTTGACGTGTGCTGTGGGTAGATCATTATCGAGGAGAAAAACTTACAACGCGTTGCTTCTGGCCGCCGCTCAGCGCTACGCCTCCAGAGCCGACAATGGTGAAATCTCGCATGGAAAACATAGAAATATCCTCGTCCAACGCACAGGCTTCGATGACGGCATACAACCACTTCTCGTCGAGGGGAGACTGCGCCACGATATTGTCCCGAATAGAGCAGTTTTGCAACCATGGTGTTTGGTCGCAGTACGCCATGGAAGACACGTTGACGATGATTCGGCCCTTTGACATGTTCGCTTCACCGGCGATGGCTTTGAGCAGTGACGACTTGCCGCATCCTACGCGGCCGACAATCATGGTCATTGTTCCTTGTGGGAATACCATGCTGATGTCTGTGAGGGCCTCAATGTTCTCGCCGACTGTAAAAGTCGCGCTTTCAATGGCCACCGCTGGCAGTGAAGGATTTGAAGCAGGGCAGCTGTCCGTTTTGAATGTTTCCAGCTCGACATTTGACGATGAATCCGCCACGCCTTCGGATGCCTCGTCTATCTGAGACAGTGCAGTAGGGAGTATGGAAGAAACAGCCGAGGAAGCCATTTCCCGCACGTCTTTCCTTTCATCCATGACGAGGAACGCCTGGAGCCGAGAGAAGCAGCCAATGGCGCCAAAGAGCTGTACGATTGAAACCAGAATGTTAAGGAGTGGTGTCGCCGCAATGTTGATGATGGAGAGGGAGGTGAATGCTTCGGCGACTTGCAGTCCTCGGTCCGCTTTGGTCCAGAAAATGGCGACGACAATGATGATGACCGGTGTCAGGTCTTCTGATGCCATGGCTAAAATAAGAGAGTCAGCACATCAATAGCGGAAACGAATCCAGGTAGCAGACGCCCAAAGGGGAGGGGGGCTCTTTACCAAGGGAATTGAGCTGAACCATGATCCATCGAAATCTGATTGACAGCTTTAGTTCGTGGATTCGTAGAGCTTGCAACGAGTCGTGGAAAAAGTTTGTGAGGCCCATCATCTTGACACCCTTGATTTGGCTCAGCATTGTCGAGACGGAGCCGACGCGCTCCTGGATGGCCTTGTTCCATTTCACCCGGGCCGGGCCCATAGCTGGGGAAATCAATGCTCCAGCGGCAGAGGTAACTAGTCAAGTCAGCAAGTCCTGGAAAAAGAGAATCCAAGGAAAAGGGGGTCTTTACAAAAGGCAGGAATAAGAATAAAGAGGCTGGGAATTCCAACGTTTCTATATAGCAGGTATATCGCCACCGGGATCTCAATGAAACTCGCCCAAATATCGTGGATGGCATCGCCAGACATGACAATAGACTCGATATCCGTGCTCATCAAGGTCACCGGTGCGGCGTCTTCGATAGAAGAGGCTTGCAGTCTGAGCGTCTTTTTGAACACCAACGAAGCAAGGCCGCCTCGGTACATTGTCAGCAGCTGATACGTCATGTGGCAATACATGGCGTTGCACACAGCAATGCCAGTATACACGAGGATAGTGGCACCAATAAGGCTCGCAACCGTATTGACGGTCTGATCCTGCTCGGGTTCGCCGATCAAGTTGACGACAGAGTTGATGAGAAAGGGCTGCGCGAATGTGAAGCCCGTGAAGAGGAGGCGGGGGATGATGCCGGCCAAGAACTGCCATTTGAATGCGAGAAAGGTGCATTTCATGAGAGCCCAGCTACCAGTTTTCGAGTCTTGGCATGTAAGTCAAGCTGTTGCTTTACCAAGATGTGATGGGGGTCTTGTACACACCTTTATCCCAAACTTTTTCAAGTTGATCCAGGAGTCTGAAGGAGTCAAACTTGTCTTCAATGACTCCAATGTCATCGATAGCAAGGACTGTCTTTGCTCCAACGAGAAGCAGAGAGTTCAACCACCAAAAAATGCCTCGGCTAATGATGCCGGCGGCGGTTTCATTGGCGGCAGCTTTATTCTCGAATACCATTTCCTTGGGGAACTCTTCAAGGACCAACAAAGTGGCCTTCGCCGTCAATGACGCCGCAAACACTCCGCCGATGGCTTTAAGACCAGCCCGGATCAAGTACGTCCTTGCGGCCGCAATGTCGAGAACGGTCGAGAGAAGAAGGTACAGATTCAGGAGAACCGACGGCCTGACGGCCTTGGAATGCTCGAGCCATGATAATGCAGAAATAACACCTGCTTCCAGGACGCCGATTATTGCTTCTGCGATGGATGTCTTTGTCCGGGAGGTACCAGGTAACGACCATAGCACGGCGAGGGTAATTTGAAGACAGAAGTAGACAGCGACAGTGGCCTACAAACGTGTTCATTAGAGAATAGACCGACTTGAGAGAAAGGTAAGTTATGACTTGGAGGAAATCGCAATCATCAGTGCGCACCTGTTTTGCCCAGAACAACTTGCGTGAGCAAATGATTGTATTACAACGTATGAGGACCGAAAGTCGTAACAGCGCAAGAGTCATGAAGATACATGATGGTAGTAATGAAAGAATGCTTTGCTCGAAAAGAATGGTAAAGTCAAAGACACCTGGTAGATTCGGGCCAAAGTAGTCATCGGTATGGGCCATTATGGACTGTTGTTTCTGCCTGTTTATGTACCACTGAGGTTTACACTCAACTAAACGTGTTATTTGAAGGTTTGGCCCACGTCATCTTCTCGTATTCCGAACTTTGCACATGGCAATCTGGTGACAGAGGGAGGAAGGCAGAAGAAAATAGCTCACGGGTCTCATCGCCATATTAGCAAACGGACAGCGATCGTCGCCGTTACGCCACATGAGTAAATCCCGCCAACGTGACGGGGTCTCCTCATATAGACCTAAACGGATTTCTTCACGGCCGGAACGAACATAACGACAGGCAACAGGGATCAAAATTGCTGTTAGACCAGGACCCAAATGGAAGCCTTCTCCGCATGTCTGCGTCAATAGACACGGGTTGAAACCCGGGGCTCACAAAGCACATCGACGGCTCTCCAACGTGCCGTGGGGCTGGGCGAATCATCCATCATCAATTATCGCCACATGTTGATACCGGGATTGACAGCATCCTTCTCACGGGTTCATGTTGACCTCGTTCTTTGCTCTTGGCGACAGCTCTCTCCTCTCCATGGAGGCAGTGAATCGGGAGACATTGAGTTTAACCTCGACTTTGAGAGGCTGACGCTGTGAACTAAACAGGGGAAATTCTTGCGTGGGCCGCTGGCGCGGCACGTAAATGGGCCAATGTTGCAGTGGGGAAGGATGATGCTCCTGAAGTTGATTTTTCTTGTTCGTTTTGGCCGTTGGATTTCCGTTGGACAGTACTATCACCAATTGTTTGCGTAAAAGATTGTAAAAAGTAACATGCTGACTATTTTAGTTTCCGGTTTGGGTTTCATGTGCTGAGCTGTTTGCCGTCCGTCCATCAACAATGTTGTCCTCGAGCCGATCACCAGTTCCCGCTCCCGTGTTAGCTTCAGTCCCTCGTCAAGTTCCGTTGTCGTGACTCGTCGGCCCTGCTCTGTTTGAGTACCCGCAAGATTGAACTGACGAACCACCAATGCCATCAAGATATGGTAAGAATCTGGCTGACACGATTGCAAGGTTCAAAATCCAAGAAGCTGTGTCGATCTTTTGCGTAAGCGGTAGGAATTACACTTTTCGGGTCTTTGCTCAACACATGGCCATGGTTCAAAAGCAACGAGGCCAAAGAGTGGCCGCCGTTGCATCTCGTTGGCCGGTGCAGGTTGCCCAATTTGTCGGCCCGCTTGCGTCGGGAGATTTGTTGAAGTAGATAGAGCGACCATGCCTAAGTATGAGTTCGTTTCGGGTGGGGGTTTGTCCATTCCGTACAAACTTGGACATTGCGCCCTTCCCATTTCCTTTGAGATCCATAGCCTTATCCAGTACTCATCACCGACGACATCATCCAAACAGCATCGGGTGACCGTGGGTCCGCCAGTCAAAATTGTATTTCTTCCCGAGCCAGACGAGAGGACTGGTGGGAACGAGAGGCATGATTGCCAGTCGGTAGTATCTTTGCGGCACCTTTTCATGGTAAAATGATGGGCTCATGTTGTTTTATCCTCTGGTGGATATTCTCGGTTCTGGAACAGCTTTAATGCCCACATGCTCAAAATGCACCGCTTTTGGGCAGATACTCTTTCACGTAGCAATTCCAGTGAAAAGTTGCTTTGTGTTGCCATGATCCAAGTTCAGAAGCAAGGCTGACGAGTCAGGCTATTAAGCCACTGCGCATAATCGGACGATTGGCGGTGACTTTGCACAGATGCGTGTAAGAGAAGCCACAGTCATCGAGAAAGGCTCAGTTGGTAGAATCGGAAAAAAGTCCACAAATGCTCCCCCGTGTTCCGACGCACGGTTCGTCTCTCGTGTGTTCACTTGCATTGATGCTCAACATGTATCGTTATATACAGTCCACGTCGCCGCCGTAAAAGACGCATCTCACCCGCTAATGCAATAAAATTGCACATTCAAGCGGTGTAAACCTAAAGTAAAGACAAACCCCCGCAAATGCACGCCTGGCATGACAGCCTAGCCACGCTTGTCAAACCTCAAACAAGGCCCTCCGTCATAAGACCACCGTCAGCAGTCTTCTTCCTAGAAACCTCAACTTCCTCGAGGAGGAATTTGGACCCCGGAAGATGCGCCATGATGCGTTCTCTGTGCCACGGGCCGACAAACATACCCTCGGGATCAACATGACGGCGTATCCTGTTGAACGTTTCCAGCTTCTTGCCGTACATGGCTCCGATTTCAGGTCCATACGTTTCAAAGTTCTTGGCCCAGTGAGGTCGGCCTCCCATATCCTTCATCAACCACTCGAACGCCTGGTAGTAGCGGTCGCGGCACGGTGGGTCTCGCCAGTATGGTCGATACAAGGTGGCATTGAGATACAGAGTTGGGCCGTCTGGGACAGTTGGGTCCAGGTAAGGCCGGGCGTTTGAAGTGAGGCTTGTATCACTAACCCGGACCTCCACTGGGGCATGAACATATAGTCCATCGGCCGAGAAGGGGATGTTGTGCGGAACGTAATCCGGGTCGTCTGGGCCGAGGCGGTTCAGCCAGGAGCCGAGCCGTCGCAGGGCCTCGGGGCCCTTGTGCAGGGGGATTGCCCATTCATTCACAAATTGCGAGTAGAGGCAGTTCATCAGCAGCGCCTTTCGACTCGGCTGGATGGCGGTTATGGTGGAACCGTTGGCGAAGCCGTCCTGCATGCCAAACACGAACCACTCGACCCAGGGGAGAATCCGAGGAGCGAATTGCGCCACGTAGAGCAAGTTGTGGTAGACGTAGTACCCCAACGATCTGTCATAGTAGCTCACTGCGGGATCGTGTTCGGGCTCGGTGGTTTTGTCCCCCTGCCACACAACAGCTCGTCTCGTGTACGGGAACCACCACACCCTGACAAACTCGCTCTGCGTCCAGAGGTCCAATGGCCATCTCTTGAACAGCTTGGAATCGGCATCAATAGTCTGCGTCCATTTGAGCTTGAAAGCGGGGGCCGCTCGAAGGGTGATTTCGGTGATGATTCCCAATGCGCCGAGAGAAAGCAGTGCAGCTTGAAAAAGCTCCGGGTTCGACTCGGAGGAGCAAAATTCCGTTGTGCCATTGGCCAGGGTAATCCTGAGAGACAGTATATCTTCAGACATGAGGCCATGACGCACGCTGCTTCCGTGGGTTCCGGTTGATATGGCGCCAGCAATGGACTGTTGGTTGATGCTTCCCAAGTTGGGCATTGCAAGACGGTGGCGTTCAAGTTCCTCGCACAGAGCGTACAACCGGATGCCGCTCTCCATGGTCACGACGCCCGTGTCCGAGTTGACGGCGAGGATCTTGTTGAAGCGGTCGAGGTTGACCATCCAGCTAGAAGTGCAAGTGATGTTGGATGGCGAGTGGCCACAGCCGGTAGTCACGATGCGCCGACGGCATTTCTGCGCCAGATGAACGACTTTTTCGACTTCGGCGAGGCTCTCTGGCTGAATGTAGAGCTCGGGCGTTGACGAAAAAGTCCTGGCCCAGGTTCGATGGACATGATGCCGTTTCGCGCGAAACGGAATACCGTCGGTGTTGTGGCCTCGCAGCTCGGATTCCGCCTCGGGATGCATTGCGCAAGGCCCCGGGTTGACGCCGTCTCGGGCAAGAACAGAAGAGCAACACCCGGAAGAAGCAGAGAACCAAGACACCGAGAAAAAAACGGTGGGGGTCACTACTTGCTGCCGTGGCGGAGAGGCAGGATTCTTTCAGGCACACAGACAAAATAAGAAATTGGTCAAGGTTGGAGATAAGATGTTGCGGGTCGATGTATCTCTAAGTGGGACTGTTCAAGTCCGGCGCTTAGCCTCATTGTCACCAGGAGGAGGCCACGGGCAAATTCGAAACGACAATCGGAGTGTGTTGCAGATAAGCCGCGCGTGGGATGAGCACTTGGTCCGGTTTGTCTGAATTGACCCGTCCCAACATGACGGATGAAATCATAGATGGACGAGCTGGCCGTTGTTTGGTGGCGGGGCAACCATAGTTCCGAGCCGAGACCCGATCTCGAATGAACAGACAAGTCCCGAGCTACGTACCGTGTGCACGTGTGCGGTGACGTCTCCTCTGGAAGTGCCTTCGGTACCCGGGTATCTGCCTTCAGGTCCCTGGGAACCCGATACGGCATGAGGAGGTACTCATCTCAAATACCACGGTACTTTGGCAGCCCCAAGCAAGATGCCACTCGAAATGCTCGACATCAATCAATGCCGCCACTTGAATCAACGCCATCCTACCAAACACCTTTATCAACATTCGAAGCATTTTCTGCTGCTTCCGTAAAGACAAGCACCCAATGGCCGCATCGAAATCTCCATCAGCAAATGCACTTGCAGCAGCAACCACCGCCGCCGTGGCCAGCCCATGGTGTCTCAACGCCCGCGTATTTTCAAGACATCAAAAGCAATAGCACCCCCGATGCCCTTGCACCCCTACCATATTCTGAAGCTTCCGAGCCAGCGTCAATGGGCATCAACTGCCCTGTTGGCTGAAGCGCCGTGTTCCATACTTGCCACCGCCGTGCTACACACCAGCCTTTGCAAGCTCTTCTCGGCCGCGAAGCCGATTGAGCGGCAGGTCCCGCGCCGCTGGTATTCCGGACGAAGACCTCCAAATCCTTTCCAACGTACGGCATCAGGATGCCTGTAACGGTGCCGGGTTCCCAGGGCCCTCTGTCGGCAGTAACGACGGCGAGAACGGGGGCGAGGCAGAAGCGTCTGACCATCTCGCTATCAGTTTGTGTCGCTGGTATTCGGCCCATGGCGGGGACATGCGTCCCGCGCGTCTGAATCCCGTCCCTTGCCCGTCCCTTGTAACGTCCACGTCGACGTCAACTCGGTACGCTTAGAGACTCAGTCTTGCTTCTTCAGAATGATGTCGCCAGGAAAGGTCTGCGTCCATTGGCGAAGGTGATCAGACCGGGCAGCTCGTTGGTCTGGCGGAGTCAAACTGCCTGTTCCGGAACGTGACGTAGATGTTCTTGCGTCAAGTTAGACTACCAAGAACTTAAGCAGGTCGATATTCTCATTGTTGTGTGCGTCTCATTCCCCCAACCTAAAGAACGGCTGGAGGGAGCCTAGTCGGGGCCATGGCTGCCAGAGCCATCGCCATCGCCATCGCCAATCGGCAGTAGCGTCAGATCCAACCGAACGAGGCGGAGGGGCGAGGCGTTTGCAATGGCACTCTGTCCGCCCTACAGACCACTCACTAACAGACGGCCCAGCTAAATGTCTCGATCGCCGCCCTGTTCTCCATTCGTCACCACTCCCGACCAACCTGATCGGTTTCAAGCTCTGTTGCTAGCTCGATCTGACCCATCGTCGAGAAATACTTGCACCGAACGGTTACGCCCGAGCTCAACGGTGAACGCTCCCGCCAACGGTCAGGAAAAAAAAGGAACGCCGATTTCTGAGGAGAGAGGCCGACTTGAGCATGGGGGCTCGCGTGAGACCTCAATTGGGAATTGAGTGTCGATCGATCGGTTTGCCCCGGAGGTGATGCAGGTACCATGGAGCCTCATCGCAATCGAGTATTTGAATCGACATTGGCTGCATGAAGGGAGTGTCTTGCGACTAATCCACACCACTGTCACGGCTCAGCTCGATTGTGAAAGGCGTATATAAGCTTCGAAAACCCCGTGTAACATTACGCATTCCATTCACTCGAAACCAACAATTGACGAGAAATTCACTTGGCATATATTGTCTAGCTACAAAGATACAATCATAAGACTCACTAGTTGCATCATGGCGCCCAACAACAACGACGGCGATTTTGTCAACGACGAGCCTGTTACTTCCAACGTCAAGGATGTCAAGCCCCTTCCACCAGATGTCTCCGAGGAGGACATTGACGAGACGGTTCGCAGAAACCCTGAAATGCGTACGTCGACCTACTTGCCGCCGTGAGAACTAGACCGAGCGTCAGCTGACAATGTACAGAGGAAGATATGGTTGATGGGATTGACGAGTCCAACATCATAGAAGAGACTACACGAGGAGCGCAGCCCGAGGGCGGGTCGTATAAGGAACCCAGCGATGACGTGAGCGACCTGGTGAAGTAGCGTTGACGCTGGCTTTTGTTGATCATGTCACACAACCACATAGCGACACCGTCGTTCAAGAGTAATACCTGTTTCGGATTTCACGACATGTACACAGACGAGAGAGCTTTCCTGATAAAAATACCATTGCCGCCGTCCTGGCCGTCTGATGCTCAATTTCGTGACAAACATGGGCGCCACTACTGTTCTCTCGTGGTGATTAGCACTTCGTACTTGAAGTCCCCACGTTCCTCTGGAAACATATATATCTACGTATATAGTTATGTTTGGTTCAGGAAATCTTAGATCCAGTCAGCAGACATTGTAGCATACGGGAATGTTGTTCGGCCGCACGATCCCCGGACCCCAGCTAGGTCCGAGTACGGTCCTAGCGAGACGAGGGCTGCAGCAACAGGGCTTGGAGCAATAACTCAAACACTCCTGTACTAAAGGGACTGAGTTTTCTACCTAGAAGACCCTTGTGCCTGCAGGCTTCTAATTACGCAGCAACCTTCTGCCCCAGGTCTGGTGATCACAGCCCTTGTAACCCAACCAACCGTGGGACATGCAGTCCAGAGTCACGGCTCTGGAGTCTGGACTGCCATGTATACGGCATCCAGCCCAGCAGAGCAACCTCGGTCAAGCGAGATACACTAGTACGATCAGGTTCTGAGTTAAAGACGCCTCCGTCGCGTGTAGGAAGCTGCAAGAACAGCAGCGGCTCTCCGGCAGGATGCGCGAGAGCTAGGCCGGCGGTGACTTTTGGACAGAGTACGCTGCTCGAAAGCATACTGAGTTCGACGGCGTATATTGGAGGAAGTTGGATCCGCTGTTCTTTGGGCTCTTTGCGGGGAATGACAAGCCGGAAGATACTTGGATGCAGAGGACAACGCCTCTTGACGAGAAGGCCGGGGATTCCACCGAGTCTTTTGTGGACAATGAAGTGGCCGAGATAAACGAGAGAATTGGCGTCGGAGCCGGACGAGTAGCTGTACGCACTCCGGAGTCTGGAGTATGCGGACCATGGCGTACGCTGGCGAGTCTTCCCACGTTGGGGCACACGATTCCACCCATGGCGTCCAAGCACTTTAATGAGCAGGTGCTGGGAGCAAACTTCAGGCTACGCATTTCGCAGCAAGCCATCTGTTTTACCAAATAAGCAGAGGGTACCACCGCCTCTGCGTCCACGGTCGTCATGGAACAAGCAATCGTGCCATACCGCAGCGGTGGCCACACAGGGCTCCAGGATGCTTCAGACCGCGCGTACCAAACAACAAGGCCATTGTTCAATGTAGACCGAAAGCCAGACCAGACGATCAAAGCGGCGGGACACCCCAGATTCCGCACCCGTCGCCGATCAACAGCCGGTGGTGCGGCCCCCGTTCCCAATGTGCGGCGAAAGCGAAAACTCCTCGGCCCTAGTATACGGGACTTGCGGCCTCGTGCAAAACACCAGACAATAGCGGCAGACCACGGTTCAATTCGTACCAGAATCAGCTCTGTATATCGTGCAACTATCCTCTCCCAGTTGTCCGTTACGTTTGTACAAACACACAGGCATGTCACGTTCGAAAACGCCATCAATTTAATCCGGATCACAAGCCTACTGGTAGCTCGGCTGCTCAAGATGATATCCCCCGGCCGAATGTTTCCCAGAACACCATGGCCTCAAGAAAGATGGCAAGCCTGACGAGCGAGTACAGGCAAATTAAGAACACTAGTCAAGTTGCTGGTCTCCAACAGTAATAGAGTCTCAAAGATGTAGGAATTGGTTATTGATCCAACATTGGCGACATGTGGAAGAGCGACGCCAGTGTTAATAGGTTGGGATCGGACAGTCAGGACCACCACGCCGTTTGAGAAGGTGATTTTTGTTGTCGCCTGGGTCAATTGTCTTCTTGCCGTCTTGACAAAGTGATGAAAGGGGGTGCTTTGGGGACAAGGAGAGCGACTAGTCAGCCGTGTGGACATGGAGCATATTTAACTTATTTATTTATCCCGATCAGGCAGCTTCCTGGATGACTTCAGCCAATGAAAGCGAAACTGTGGGGCGGTCGGTGATTTCACCCAAGTACTCCGTACCTCGGTAGTAGTAGACTGGGACTCGAGCTGGACATGCTACCATCAGAAATTGAGCTCGAATCGCACGTGCGTCAGGCGTCAAGTCGCTCCGGGGCCGGGCCGGCGACGGATATTGTCACACGACGTGTTGCTGCGTGGCGGCACGTGGTGATGGCGGACTCGTATGGTCGGATGGTCTCCGTATTTCCACGAACCCGTCAATTAAGGTGAAAACTTGGCGTCGGGACCCACTAATTTCCTAAGCAGTCCACAGCCAATCTTCGAAGTTCCAAGAAACTTTCTCGAACCGCCCTGAAACGCTTCCCAGGGTCCAGCACGGAGCTCGCATACTCTACCGCGGCGGCAAACTCATAAACGGAGATGGATTGCTAATCCTCACGCTTTGTTTCTCACAGTTGCATCGCAAACTAGCACCGCTATCATACATACATGGCACGAGTCAGAATGGCACGACTAAGAATGGCACGAATCAGAATGGCACGAATCAGAATGGCACGAATCAGAATGGCACGAGTCAGACTCGCACGGCTTGGCATCTACCGCGTCGCCTTTGGGTCGACCAAGCCAGGCGCAGCAAGTCGTTCAAAGGCAGCAGTCGAACACTTTGCAGGATTCTCAACCTCATTGAACGAGCCGACTGCTTCTACTGTATGGAGCCTCGACCCTGAACGGCGGCTCATCGTTTTCAAAATCCATGCTCGGTCTCGAGCCAAGCTAGTGTCATCTCGCGCAAAGTGGACAAACTTGGCCTCAGTAGGTCGTCTGGGCACTGAACCGTAAAAAATGCCGCATAACACAAGACAGTCCTGCCTTGACGGGCTATTGAGTCGCCACCGGGACCGGGTTGCCTCGCAGTTGGTCTCTTGTGCCGTTGCGCCTCCATCCCGACGTCTGTAACGAGCCCATGTACGAGCTGTGGCACTAGTGGTCTTTAGTCCACGTACTTCAATTTCCCAACATCAGGCCTCTTGGCCCTGGCGATGAAATCATCATCTCTATCAAAGTGTCAAGACTTCGGACGCGTCTGGCGAGCTTATAGTCGCTTGTGGCGAGCTGCAATCCTTGTCCCGGGTCTGAATCAAACACCGGTCTTCATGCCCTGGCGTGTTTGCCAGAGGCTAGAGCATATCCAGATGCCGATTCGGTACAAGGGCAAAAAAAAACCGAAATAGTACCTGCCGAGTTGGCCGGTGTCAATATTGCAGATCGATCAAAATGTCCGACGAAAGGTTATATAAGACAAAAGACCTGTTTGCTGTCTCTACCTTGAAGACTATCTTCTCAGTGCATACGCGCACTTCAGCAAAAGAAGGCGCAGTACAGAACAAGACGGCCAAGCTCGAAAACCACTCCCTCACAGGGCAGCACTGCTTTGTATAAAAAACCCCCCATTCATTTTCCACGCACACCAGCCATGAGACTCGTCACTCTTGCCAGCCTGATCAGGGCCACCGCCGCCGTGCAAATGGTCCACCTGGGCTGGCAGACTCCCAGTGACGAGCCGCTCAAAGACATCACGTTTCCCATGTCGATGCCGCGCGCGCCACGCGAATCAGGCTACTACTTCGAGCAAGCCGTTGCGTTCCGCAAGGCCCCTCAAGACGTCAAACACAAAGTCATCTACATCGGCCTGCAGCCAAGACCGGACAAGGACGGCAAGAGCATCGTGCATGCCACCTTCTCGAGCTTCTTCCCCAGAACTACCGTCCGGGATGGACAAAACTGCCGCGACGGGGCTGACAACGGCCCCGGCGTCTCCTGCGCCGTCGACGTGCCGTCGAGCTACAACGACACGTATCACCTGCGCGTGCAGGCGAACAAGCAGACGTATACCGGCACGCTGATCAACCGCAGCTCCGGCCAGACTTGGCCTATCGGGTCGTTCGATTTGCCCTGCGGCGTGAGCCAGATGATGGGAGGCTCGTGGCTGGGCTTTGTCGAGTACTACAAGACCAGTTTGACGGAATGCTCGGAGCATCCCAAGACGGCTGTCACTTTCGGCACCCCGTTCACTTCGACACCCGGGGTAGACATGAATTTGACTACTCCGTACAAGGACAAGAACTGCGGAGCGGCGTTTCGGTGGAAGGTCGGACAGGATGATCCCAAAGCGTACGAAATCACAATTGGGTGAGGATGCTGCGAGAAGCGAGATGCCATGCCGGCCGGCACAGTTGTAACTAGTGTCGATGGGCTGGCGAGCCATTCATCAGCTCAAGTTGGGCGCAGATGCGACCTTTGCCCTGCTCTGGTCTGCAGACGGGGCTTCGGCACGTCGGTGTTGTCGTGGGAATTTATATGCGCTGGAGTCATGTGCCAGATCAAGGCATGTAGTAACCACCAGTAAAGAGACTTGTGTGTACGATAACATCACGACGCATGCCGTCCGTTGCCAAGAGACTTGTGTACGATATCACGACGCATGCCGTCCGTTGCCAGTGTTGAGGAATTGCAAATGCCCCAAGGATCCGAAAGGGGTGGCTGAGGGTCAAGCGCTAACACGCGATTGGTCCACGTCAAGTTTCACCGTGATATACAAAAAGAGTTGACGAATCACACAGTTGTGTGTGTGTGTGCCCCGTTGGCTTAGTGGTAAAGCGTATCACTAGTAATGATAAGATCACTGGTTCGATTCCAGTACGGGGCAGACTGCGTTATTTTTGCCGCCATTGTCCAATCCTAGCCGGGGTGTAAAGTTCAAAACAGGCGTTGTTATTTGATATTCACGATGCTGTCCTGTCTATTGTTTTTTATCTTTTCTGTTCTTTGTTCCTTTTTTTTAGTATAAAAAGTGACAAATTTAGCATAGAATACCCGAGCACGCGGCGCCTTCATGTAGCTGGAAGCCGAATGAATACCAGACTACATGCATACATACAATACATAACACCATTGTTGCATGACGGCGTGACAACAACCCTTATCCAGCACTTCTCTTGCGGCACAGTTGAACAAGACATGTCAAAGTCAACTGCGTGAGCCTATACTCAGGTCCCTTTTCATCGGCAAGCCCGACCCTCGACTCCCACGACCGACTACCGCTCGCATGGTCGACCCCTAATCGCTGCTTCGTGGCCGCTCACGAGGATAACTAAACACTGGTCTGGGCAAGGCGCAGGTCTCGCCAGAGCCGTGAGGGCGGCAACTGTGCCACCTCATCTGCAGAATGGGCCTCGTCCAGCACTCTACTGTCGCGGAAAGCAGACTTGATAAGCACTCCTTCGAGACATGGAACCGCCAACTGATATGCCGACTTCACACACACGGCAGTCGCCTACTCGGGTATCTGGGTTCGACTTGGAACCGGGGTGCCGTCTTCAATGGCCAATTTTTTTTTAAAATGTTTTGCGTAGTCTGAAAGGGCAGCCGTTCGTGCGGCCCCCTCGCTGCGCATGCTCGCGCTGAGAATTCCCTCAGAGAATAATAAGAGGCCGTCGTCGCCATCACTCACATTCCGCTCACTGGCTCGTAAAGGCAGAAGCCGGGACTATTGTTGCAGTCTGCCTCTCCTGCGCAACCGAGAAATAGCACGCATGCGTCCTCGCAACACCAGCCCGTCAACAACCACCGTCAACCATCACCACTTTTACAACGTACATACACGCACGCACGCGGGCACGCACGCACGTACGCAGCTCACGCTCAGTGCTGTTCAGCGGGGAAATGCATCAAAATCTAGTCCAAGTCCGGTAGGCTCATCGACCCCCTCCCCTAGCCAGCAAAGCCAGCCCTCTCATCAACTCCATGTTGCCGTCGCAGCAGGCGCAGCGACGCGCAGGCGCGCGAGCACGAGCTAGCCATGCTCATGATGCAAATCTCCGCCCTGAGGGAATTCACCCGCCGCCTCGGACGCGTGGAGAGGACCATGAGCGCGTGCCTCGCCGACATCTCAAACACCATCAGGCAAGTCGTCGCTTACCGCCGCCACGTTGTGCGCCGAAACTAACGGCCTCACCACGGGCTAGCATGCTGGAGACGGCGCAGTCCTACTTGGAGCGTTTCCACAACGCCATGGACGCCGAGGACGTCGGTGGCTTCCACCAGCCGTCGGACGAGGAATGAGCCGCCTCGGGCCTTTCCCATGGGCGCAGCGGAACAATCAGGTCGGGACGTCGACGGGAGGAGTGCTGGGCAACGGGAGCGATTTGATCGGGAGCGGCGGCGACGACGCAGCTGGCACCTAGGCAGGGCGATGGAATTCCGGGGCTTGACAGGCGTTCAGTATATGCAAACAGGCCGCTGCCATGACTGGGCATCAGTAGTCGTCCCCCGCCCCGTCTGCGCTCTCCGTGGTGTGAATGACAGTGCTTGGCCCTTCAGCCGCGCTTCCCGGCAAACGCCGAGCTGATGGGTGTTGCGGTCCCGCTCGAGTCTCCGGATCCATCTTGCCCGGCTGCAGGAGGCGGCCGTGGCCTTTTGCCCGTGACCATGACCCGCGCCACTTTGATGATCGTGTCCCTGCTCTCCCACGCGGGGTACAGGCCGACGGCGATGAAGGAGCAGAAGATCCAGACGATGCTCACGGCGACCCAGCCCGTAAAGAACCTCTTGGAGAAGACGTATCCCGTGCCGTACATGGGCATCGGCCAGAGGACCAGCAATGAAAGCGCCCTGCGACGAGACGAGTTAGCAAGATATCTTTTTCGTGCCCCTCAAAACAAGGCGAAGCGAAGAACGGGGTAGATGTAGCGTTGGTGCTCGGCGAGGGCCAAGACCAAAGACCAAAGACCAAAGACGCACATTGAGATGGTGATGACGCAGGCAATCTTGAACGCACGGTCCAGCTTGCGCTGTTCCTCGTCAAAGCCGGCGCGCGACGGCGGTTCGGCCCCGGCGGCCGTTTGAGCTTCGGAATCCAAGCCCGAGCTCTCGAGGACGTCGTGGTCGTCTGCGCGGCGGATGTCCATCATGGACTTCCAGTCGTACCTGTCCAGGCCGAATGCCAGACAGCACAGGGGGACGAAGACGGCGGGCGACAGCAACGCGGTGACGTTGCCCGCCAGCATGGCCTCGTTGGAGCCGGTGCACTCGACGTCGAGCTTGCCGCACGTCTTCTTGGCCGTCACGAGCCAGGCGACGATGGCGCAGGCCGTGCCGAGGACGGGAGACGCCGTCGCCGCCCAGCGGTTCTGCCGGTCCCACAGCAGCGTCAGCGTCGCGGGCAGGACGGCGGCCGAGATGAGCACGCCCATGAGCAGGTACAGGTATCCCATGGAGATGCCGTTGTACCACAGGCCGACCGAGACGCAGCATATGACGGCGGCGTAGGCGACCATGCACACGTGCGACGTGTAGATGAGGTGCTTGCCCTTGGCGTCCGGCCTCAGGTAGGTGCGGTAGATGTCGTAGGTGAAGATGGACGACGTGGCAACCAGTTCCGAGTTGAAGGACGACGTCACGGCCAGGAAGATGATGACGAGCGTGGCAGCGGCGCCGCCCTTGCCCAGCAGCGCCACGGCGCCGTAGGGAAGCGCCAGGCCGGCAGACACGTCGGCCTCGGTCATGCGGTCGGGGAAGGTCGGGAAGCGCGGGCTCGACTCGAGGGCCAGGGCGGAGAGGCCGAGCGTCGTCGCCGTCAGCCAGGGGATGGCGAACCAGGCCAGGCCGCCCATGATGTAGCCCGGCAGCGCGTGGACGGGGTGCGCGGCGATGGCCTTGTTGTAGTAGCCGTTGTCGAGGAAGACGGTGCCAAAGTTGCCGACGATGTTGATGACGAAGAAGACGGCGCCGCCCTGCGACCGCATCGTCAGGTAGCTCCCGTCCTTGTTGCCGTCGACGGGGTGGCGCGACGCCGCCTCGACGAGCAGGTCGTACACGGCGGACGGGCTGCCCAGCACGTCCGACGTCGCGTAGGCCGTGAGCGCAAACATGATGATGATGACGAGGAGCGCGAAGCCGTGGATGTAGTCGGTGATGAAGGTGGCCTTGAGGCCCCCGACGAAGGTGTAGGCCACCACGGGGATGGGCATCATGAAAATCGCCGCAACCGCATGGACCCCCGTGAGGGCGTTGACCGTCGCCGCGCCGCCCGCAATGAGCATCAGCGACACCAGCACGTTCGTCATCAGGCCAAAGGTGATGAAGGTGAAGTGGGCTGGGGCGCCGTACCTCGCCTTGATGGCCTCGAGGAACGTGTGCGCGTTGGGAGCCCTCTTCTTCAGGGTGATTGCCAGCGTGGCGAAGAGCAGAATCTGGACCGTCGCGCCTGACGCGTACCAGAACGGTCCCGAGACGCCGTATCGGTAGCACACGCCCGACGACTGGAGCAGCGTGGCTGCCCACGTCCACGAGGAGACGACGGCGGCCGCGACGAGGCCCGACTTCATGGTCCGGCCCGCCGTGTTGAACATCTCCGACGTCTGGACCTCATTGTTGAACCACTTGAGGATGTGCGTCAGGCCGACCATGAGGATGGAAAACGCGAAGCCGACGCCGAGGATGATTCCGTAGCCAAAGCCTTGGCTGAGGGCCGGACCGGGGGAAGGGGAAGACATGTCGTGGACAGTGAAGCCCGCAAACAGCACAGCGCACGATGTTGTCGTTTTGTCGTTTTTCTCTTTTTGTGTGATGGGAAGGATTCTAGAAATCACCAGGCGAGCTTTGGGTTGTCAAACGCGGCGCTCAAGGGAGTTGCTGCTGCTTTAATGTCATGGAATAGCCACCCGACGCGAGCGGGCGTCAAGCCGCGCCTACGGGACGAGATCGGTCCAAGACCCGTATGAGATCCAAAACTCAGATGCCATGGTCGCTATCCGCCACTCAATAGCGGCAAACCATGCCAGGGCGTCCTGGCCTCCTGGGGAGTCGGGAAGCTCGAGCCGGCCAGATGAGCTTATCTGGATGTGAGGCCAACACACGTGCTCCGAAGACGGCACGGCTTGACAGCGATTTGCGGCGTAAGAAGCTGACTACCGCAGGGCTGGAGCCTGGGTCTCCCCAGTCCAGGAAACATGCCTTTGTATTCCGTACGCCCTTCTGCCGTGTCACTGCGTGCTGTCAGCCGTCGGTGCGCGCTCCTGAATAGCCGAGAAGCCCATCACTCACCAACTGCACGTCGCGGCTGCTGCGTACAAGTCCCAAACATTGCGATGGTCGCAGTCGCAAATAGAAGCACGTAGACGATCCCGCCTCGACCGCAACGTCAAGAACCATTCCAAGGGGCCAATACCTCTCCGACAACGCAACGCCATGCTCGTGAGCCCGTCTGCCACATCTCCAAGCAAGCGCTGCCACGGTCCGCTTCCAGCACTCGCACGCACAGCAAGCCGTCGGAATCAACCCCGTACGCGACCCAACCAAACTGCCTTTTTCCGTCTTCGGCCCCTTTCCTGATAGGCCTTGAGAAAAAGAACAAAGTTCGGGAGACCCCGTATCGACCTTTTCGAGTTGATAAGCACTTGATAAGCTCCGCCCGATAACGAAAGTCTGACTAAGGCGTAGTGGCAGCGACCAATCAGAACCGAGCCCCTGTCTAGCGCCGACGACGTGTGTCTGGCTGGGCTTGAACAGACGGTGGCACCCGGAGCCCTTCCCAAACGAAGTAGGGGACGAGGGTTTTATTTTGTTTCGAATTTACAGCTCGCATCATGTCCTCGACTTGATGGTGGTTGGAAGCGTCCATGGATCGTATAGAGCGTCAGCGATAAGACATACCGAAAGTCCCACCAGCTGATCCACTTCCCTTACGTCGTGTGAGATTTGCGTTGAAGATTCCGAGGAGCCAATGGACGGGCCGGCTGCTGTGCTGTTCTGGTTATCTCACGCACACAAGCCTTGGGCCGGGAAGCAAGCATGCTGCCGATACGGCAAGTAATGGTTCATGCCACGTTAGACGTGGTCATGACTCATGACAAGTTCATACGACTCCGTATGGTTGGTCAGCTTCCCCAACGACACAAACACAATGCCCCCAATGATGTTACGGGGACTGTGCCTTGAAGCAGGTTGATTTACATTCTAGGGTATCTCAGTATCGCTTTGCTGTACTCTGACCATTCTTTATTTTCAACCAGCCAGCCAGCCCGCCAGCCCGCCAGCCACATGGCCCATCACCTCTGCAGCCGACTCTGCGGCTCGCCGTCCCCCGCGCTCCTCGTTGCCTCGTCCGCCAGCCCTTCCTCAAACAAACTTGCCCACCGACCAGCCAGGTCCTCCAAATCCCATCCCAGCGCCGAGTCAACCCCAACCTCTGCAGCCACGGAAGTAACCGACCTCCCGTCAAGCCCGCACGGCACGAACCGAGCCCACGGGTTCACAGCTTCCCCCCCGGCCACGGGCACATCAATGTTCACGGCAATCCCCAACGCAGTCACGTACCGCCGGTGATGGACGCCCAAGGCTGCAATCTTGCGCTCCTGCCCACTCGACGTCTTCACCCACACGCCAGGCTCATCGCGAGTCGTGTACGTGTGGATGCCAAACAGCCCAGAGAGCAGGCGCTGCGTCGTCGTTTCCAGGTGATTCGCGTACGAGGCCACGCCGTACTTGGGATACGCGGATGAGTGCATGTCGATGATGGGCCAGAGAACTATTTGTCCCGGACCGTGGTACGTCGTCAGACCGCCGCGGTTGGTCTTTCTGACCTGCGGCGTGAAGCGGCGTGAGATGGGGTTGCGACGGTGCACCAGGCCGATATCCAGCGGCTGTTGCAGACGTCTGGCCTGCTCTGCAGTCAAGTCTTCCTGGCGGCGGCCCAGGGTGAAGGTGGGCGTTGCCTCGAACGACATGAGGCGCGGCCTTGGGACATGGCGGTGCGACGCTGATGTCCTCTGTTCCTCAGATAACGCCTTCCACCGGAGAAATCTGGCCCGATGCTGCTCCTGTGCGTCTTCCGCATGCTCGTAGGCTACCAGGCCGGTTGAAGGATCCCCCTTGAGATGGACGTGCTCCAGGATACTCAGCCTTCTCGGCAGTCCCAAGGCGTGCTTCATCAACAGGGTGCGTGACCAGCCTTGACGACTCAGTGGCGCTCGGCATCCGGATAAGGACGCGGCAGCGGCAGCGGGCAGGCCGCACGGCAGAGTGGCACGCCACATCACGAGGCCGACATGTGGTTTGCTATGTCGTGCGGGCAGGGCATAGGTTCACAGAGGCAGAATAGACGATGAGAAGTGGTGACTGAGATGCTCCAAGCTCCACATGGAACGGAGCGGCAGTTGGCGTGTTGCGGGTAATTGAGTTTTTTATTTTAATTGGGCGAATGGTAGAGCCTACCACCCAGTCAGCATTTAGATTGCCCACTGAAAAAGTGACTTGACGACTCCACACAAGGAAGTCGCGAGTGGTATGCTGCAACTGGCCGTTGCCCGTCAGAACGACTCCTACGACGGCCATGTTGCGTCGAGGCTTGGAGCGGCCAACCTGTCGTTGCCTCGCTCCCATCTCAGCTCTGGTGGCCCTCGCGGCTGTTGAGCGCCTCAGTCTTGTTCAGCATTGACTCACCTAATCGACGCGAGCGGCGAGGACCAAAGTGACGACGCACAAGAGTCTGGAGGGCCGCGACCGCCGGGAAAGATCTTGTGGGATCGCATCGGCGGTCCCTTGCTGCTCTCGCAAACTAGTCCATCTGTGGCCCTTGGGCGCAAAATGGCCCGCAGAGGAAATTCCGCCGTTCTCTTGTACCCTGTATTGTCCGTCGTAGAAATAACCCAAGCTCGCCGCCGGGTCCGTTCCTTCGTTTCACGTATCGAGTGACGTCACTCGGCCGACTCGAGTTGAACGTAACCGGAGACAATTCCAAGTCTGGGAGCCGAGCTAACCTTGACAGCCGAGGCAGCAAGTACATACGTCCATATGTAAAGCCAAACGGACTTGAATGAGAGTGGAACAACAGGCTGATGCCCAGGCCCAGGCCGGGCTGGCACTCTGTTGCAACGGCGACGAAGGAATATACAATCCTGGATAGTTTTACTGCAGAAACAAACGGCTCGGCACGTTGCTCAGCCACAAGCACAACCAATTAGCAGCTACGTTGAAGGAGAAGCCGCATCTCAAGCGACCTAGCATATGTACGCAGGGGCTGTACACCCTACGGCAAAAAGCTTGCCAGCCCGGAGGTGGGAATAATGGAAATGCGCTGAACCAATCATACAGAGGCGCAAGAGGAGCAAAGAGTCAGTCCAAACATCCCATCGTCTGCGGAGTACAGGTTTCGAAAAAAAAGAAAAATACATCCCCAAAACAGCACGTCACAAGACTCGGGCGACATGCAAAAGTGATGCGCACAAGGCCAAGCCTGGCGCGAGCGTTGATCCAAGCTGGAAACATGTGTCGCACGACTCCCAGCAGGAGCCATGGTCTAGGTCAACGTCGTCATCCTCGACGCAACGTGGCAACGCTGGCTGGACACTGTCCCCTTGGGGGAGCGTCATGCCAGGCCAGCACTTGGGCTTGGCGGTGGCGACCGGTGCAAAGCTTATTTGACGTGAAAACACTAGTTCAAGGTTGGAAGTGAAGCAGCAACACTGGCGATGCGTGATGATGCCCGTGAGCCTGCGACGTTGGGACGAGCGTAGTGAATGACACTGGGGAGGGACTTGGCTGGAACCTCTCGCGCTGCTATGCTCCAGCACGAGCTGCGCGACGAGATGGGATGGGCGACGGCAACTTTCTTTGCGTGACCCGAGATTTTGGCGAGATGAAATTGATGTTGCAGAGGGACGCTGCGACGCCGGGCATCTTGGTCTGGTCGTGTCTACCAGGCAGACGAGCTTCGAGAGGCGGGCTGAGGCGACAGTCCGTTGCCAGGTTTGTGACTCCATGCATGACATCACAGGGCCATGACCGGCCGGCCGCGGAGCCAATCACGGGCGACGGAACTTGGTAGAGACTGGCGGACATGGACACAAGTGCGAGACGGTCTCTGTCGACGGAGTTCCGACCCGCACGTTAGCCTGCGAAACGAGGCTCTCCCGAGCACCCGTCACAAGCCAACGCCGCCAGCACCAGACCAGCACCGGCCAGCGTCTCCATCCGCGTTTCCCATCCATCTGCCCAATTGAGCCAATAGGCGCCGGTGCCCGCGCCCCTCCGTGTCGTCATCACCAGCCTGCGAGGCCCACACGACGGGCACCGGCGCCACGGCAGACCTGCTGGGCCAAGCCAGTATGTTGTCAATTGGTACGTAACGAGAATCGCGGGCTCGCAGCGACCATCTTCATCAATCAGCTCACGGACATCACGTAACTAGTCCCTACTCTAGGTACTCCGTACTGCGTGGGTAGTTGTATTTGTACTGGCCGCCATCCCGTCGGCCTCGCGAGACAATGTCGTCTGCTTTGCTCTGACCTCGTCCTCCACGCTTCCTTGCTGCGCCTAAAAAACCACCCCCCGGCAGCTGCCAGCGACCACGGCCCGACCACCCGCGACCCGCGACGCCAGTTCAATTTCCAAAGGTCCAAAGCTCGACGCTAGCTCGAGTCGCGACCCCCCGACCGCGGACGCCTCTGCAGGACCCATCCCCAGACGTGTTTGGTGTTTGGTAGGGACAAGAAAAAACGCCCAATTCGTACCCTTGCCACGCCTCGACTGGTTGGTTGCCGCACTTTCGTCATATACCAATCACCACCTCCACCCTTCTCCTCGCCTCGACCTTTCTCTTCCCGCCATCCCTCCCTGCTCGATCCTCCCCCGACCGACCTGTTGCAGCGCATCCTCTCACACGGTACACGGTATACGGCCGATGGGCTTCACGTTTGTCAATCATGCTTAAAAGTAAGTATCGTCCTCGGCGGGTGTCGACCGCGCCGCGCACCACTGCGACCCGGAACGTGGCCAAGCCGCGTCGGACAAGTCAACAAGGCCGCAACGTCACCATGCCCGACTGACAGGAAATTTCTGCATCCAGACCTCCCCCTGGGCCTCGGCGGCCTCGTCATGCTCGCCACGTCCATCCTCTTCCTCTTCTTCATCATCCTCTCGGGCGTGACCGACTCCACGCCCCTCAACAAGACGTACTTCCTGCGCGCCAACACCGAGGGCATCACCGGCGCCCTCCCCAACTCGCAATGGACATACTTCTACATCTGCGGCGACGGCAACAGAGACTGCACCGGCGCCAAGGCCGCCATGCCCTTCGGCTGGGCCTGGGACGCAAACGCCCGCAACGTCCCCGACGAGCTGGGCGGTAGCTACGGCAGCGGCACCACCTCGTTCCACTACTTCTACATGTGGCGGTTCGGCTGGGTCTTCATCCTCATCGCCCTCTTCTTCGAGGTCCTCGCCTTCTTCTCCGGCTTCCTCGCCTGCTGCGGCCGCCTCGGCGCCGCCGTCGCCTTCATCGTCACCGGCGCCGCGCTCGTCTTCCACGCCATCGGCGCGAGCCTCTTCACCGCCACCTTTGTCGGCGCCCGCAACGCCTTCAACAGCGCCGGCCGCAGCGCCCACCTGGGCTCCTACGGCTTCGGCTGGGTCTGGGGCTCCTTTGCCGCCGCCTTCATCGCCCTCGTGCTGTTCGCCCTGGGCATCCGCGGCGACAGGTCTGCCGCCGGTGGCGCCGGCGGCGGCATGTTTCGCCGCAACAGGAGCACCCGTTCGTACGAGGGCCGCCGCGTCAAGGACGAGTATTCGTAGACGCCCCCGGGCTTGCGAGGCGCATCGGCCGACACGCCTTGCCACGGTGGAATGGAATGGCGCAAGAGTGACGAAAAACGCATATTTTGTTCCTGGTTCCCGCCTTCCCGCCGCTCTACGGGCCAAATGCCCGCTCCACGCATCCATGCACGCTCGCTGACGTGCCGGCATTGCGGGTCAGGCAGCATGACGGAACGGCTTGTCATTTTACTGTTTTCTGGTGTTTTTTCTTTTTCTTCTTCTTTTTTTTGGGGGACCTTGCCTCATTTCGAAAAGAATAAACAGGGACACTCATTTCAACGACGTCACGGCCGCGTGCATGCAAAAGATGCACGAAACGGAGAAAAAGGGGAAGGGGGTACGTGGCTGCGAATGCGGATGCGGATGCGGATGCGGACGCGCACACGGATACCCGACTTGCGTATGTAATGCGACATGTTCACGCTCACTCGTTCAGGAAGAGAGAAGAAGAGGTGGGATACCCGGTATCGTTGTAGTTGCAGTCGCAGTCGTAGCTGTTGTCGTTGTCGCGGGGAGCAGGGACTGTCGGTTGCGGCAGTATTAATTAATAATTTGGAATTCGGAAGCACCATCATCTCGGCGCGCCTGTCGTGACTCGTGATCACCACGCTTTGCTCCCCAGGGGCAGCTGGCACTGGGCGCTGGGCGCTGGGCAGTTGGGCGAAAGAACACTCTCCTGTCGTTGACGTCGCTGGCAAACACCCCCGTCCCGTCTATGTACACTTCCTTCCGGCCGTGCCTCGTCCCTCCCTCCTCCCGTGGGTAGGTGACGTGGTAAGCAGGCCAGGACTGAGTGCCCAGCTACTCCGTACATCAAAGTTGAACCACCCGCCCCCGTCGCACCGCATTGCCCCGTGTATCATGCACCGTCCGTCTAGTTGCTTGTCCCCTTGCCCCCCCCTCGCACTCGTTGCACAGCCGCGACTCGCCGGTCCCTGACACCCCCTCGCGCGTGGTACCTGGAGCGCCAAGGACAACAGCCGCGACTGGCAAGAGAGACCACGACCCGGCTCCCGGCTCCCGGTGTCCACGAGGCCGGGCCGGGCTGTCCTCGGAAAAGCAAAAGCGGCCCGGTCCGTCTGGGAGCCCGTCCGATCCCTCCCTTCCACCAGAAACCCACGGCCCCCGGGCTGCCGAAACGAGATACCAGCTCCGAGTCGGCGGGCCAAAAAACCCCAACGCCAGAGTACATGCGTCGCCCCTCTCCCCCGCGCCGGTTTTGTCTTTTCGAGGCACCCCGTTGAGAAGAAAAGGAAAAAAAAAGAAAAAAAGGTGTAGAAATGATCCTCGAGGACCATGGCGGCGGGAGCTCAGGGCTTCTTGCTCAGCAGCGGGCTGTTGAGCGGGCTCACGGAGCCGAGGGGCGCCTTGTGCAGCGCGGGAAAAGAGCTGCCGCCGGCTTTGTCCTTGTCCTTGTCCTTGTCCTTGTTCTCGAGGACGCCCCTGACCCAGGCTGCGACCTCGGCGTCTTCGGTGCTGGCCTCGCCGAGCTGCAGGTTTCCCACTGCCTCTGCGGCCTTTTCCGCCTCCTCGCCTTCTTCGGCTTCTTCTGCTATCGTGCTGGGCTTGGAAAACGCCTGCACCCACGGGTGGTTGAGGAGCATGGCGTACGTGGCGCGCATTTTGGGCATCTTGTGCAGGCAGCTGGTGACAAAGTCCTGCGCCGTTTCCGAGTATCCCTCCTTGGGGAGGTCCGGGGGGTCGCCCTCCACGATGGCCTGAACGCGCGGGTTAGCCTGGCCTTTGCGCCGTTGCGGGGTGATTGGGGCGAGAACAGAAGGGGGCGGGCGGGGGAAATGACTTTACATTCAACTGGCTGAAGATGGTGGACGAGACTTCGGGGGGATATGGATATCGCCCCATTGCGCACTCGATGATGGTCAGGCCCAGACTCCAGATGTCGCTCTGGACGCTGTAGGTTCCGTCGGAGCTGCCGGTCGGGGCCATGCCTCCGCCCGAGATTCGCTCGGGGGCCATGTAGCTCTGACAGCCGATGTTGGTCTTGGCTATGCTGGCCACCAGGTTGCCGCTGACGCCAAAGTCGCAAATCTTGACCTGCCCTCTGGTGTTGACCAGAATGTTGGTCGGCTTGACGTCGCGGTGGATGATGTTGTGCTCGTCCTTGAGGGACTTGAGCCCCATGACGGTGGAATACGTGATTTTGCGCAGCACGTTTTCGGGAACCCCCCCCGCGTACAGCTTGTCCACGGACCCTCCGTCCATGTACTCGATGCATATGTAGACGGCGCTCTCTTGGAAGAACGCACCGTAGAACTCGATAATGTACGGAGAGACGCACTCGTGCAGGATGACGAGCTCCTTCAGGATGGTGGAAAACTTGGCGTCGTCCAGCTCGAGTCGGATCTCCTTCATCGCCATGAGCTTGCCGGTTGTGCCGTCACCGCGGCCATCGCCGCTGGCCGGGTGCGGTGGCTCGCTGGCCGCTGCCGCTGCCGCCGCCGCCGCCGCCGCCGCCGCCTTTGGACTGTCCAAAGCCGCGTCTGAAAGGGAGTGCGGTAGTCGGCCGCCCGGTAGGCTGCCGAATCGCGGGGCCGACGGTTTGGCATGCCTGACCTTGTGAACCGTGCCGTAGTTGCCCTTGCCCAGCTCGCCCAGCTTCTGAATCTCGTCGGGGGAGATGGTGAAGGTCTGGCCGCTGGCGAAATTGACACCGTCCTTGGTGATGGTGGCGGCTCCGTCAAAGGTGATCCAGCCCTTCTCGGTGTCAATGTACTTCTTGAAGTCGTCCAGCTTCGAGCCGAGACCGGCCCCCCTGGGCTTTTGCTCGCCGCCCGGCGGTGCACCGACCTCCATGTCGGCCAGCTTGGGAGCACCGGCGCGCCTGAGGCCGGAGGGCGACTGAGTCGTGGTCCCGACACCCATGTCCGACAGCTTCATGCCGAATTTCCTCTGGCTCAGGGATGGTTTGGCTATCAAGGTGTCGGAGTTGGGATGCGGCACAGGGCTCGGGCGATGCATGGTGCCGGGTGACATGCCCATGCGCGCTTGGTGAAGAGCCCGTGCTCTCTCCATGACATCGATGTTCATGACGCCACCTGCGCCCGTAGCAAGAGTCGGCGGGGAGTTTGACGACGGGTGTCGCGCGCTCTCCAACAACCCGATGGCCGTCGAGCTCGGGTTCCTGTTGGGCGGGTCGGATACGGTTCGCAGTGAAGGCATTCGCTTGGGCTGGTGCGGCGCACACGGTTCCGCCGGCGCTTCGTCTGCGGGCGCCGTGTCCTCGACACAAACGGGCTCGGGGGCGGCATCCTGAGGTGCAGGCGACGTCGCCGCCCCCATGCCCCTTGATCGCTCCATCTCATCCGGCGTGCCCGGACTCGAATCGGAGCTGCTCATCGCCGCAGCGGGAGTGGACGAGGCGACGAGGCAACGGTCCTGAGCGGATGGCGCAGCCGCTTCCGCAAGACAGCTTTGGTGCACACCATGCAATTCTCTCGGGGTGTACGGTGCCGTGCTGGAGGAGAGGTGGCAGCGCTTCTTGGTTCGCTTTGGTGACGTGTGTAATTGCGAGGTGAGGGACTGGTTTCTGTCGCGGGACAGATTTTGGAAATCGAATCAGTGCATAGTCCGCGGTAGCGGCAGCTCTTGGTCTGGTGCTCTGGCGGGTACTTGGTACCTGTAGGCTGGGGGCTGTAGGCTGTAGGCTGTAGCAGGCTGTAGGTATCTCCTTGGGCCCGGTAGTGCGACGAACAGCGGGGCGTAACGTGGGCTAACAATTGGCGGAGCCGGACATCAAACATCAAATCAAAGTCACAGAGATGAGCCAAGAAAATGCAAGACCCAGTGAGTCGTGAGTCTGACTAAGTGGTGGACAAGGGATCGGCTGTGATAGGCTTAGCAGACGGACTTGTAAAGAGAATTTGGGCAGACCTACAACTCAAGGCCACGTCAACAGTGGTCGACAGTTTCGTCTTTTGCAACGTCGGCTGGCTGATTGACGGAGTGTATACACATGGTAGGTAGGGAACCGAAGGCGCTTGACGACAATATATGGACGGTTCCAGGTTGCGGGAGCACCTTTCTCGCCCCTGCCCATGTATTGCCCAACTCCTTAAGACTGACCTGACCGTACCACACTCGCAGCTCAGCGGCGACTCGACGCTCTAGCAAGGAAGAGCCTTGGTGCATGATGACTCTTCTCGACAGGCGACGACAACAGTCGACGACGACGACAACAACAACAAATTACAACAAACAACGACGACAACTGGAAAAAAAAAAATCAAAAAAAAAATCAGTGGAACTTTACGCCTGATGCCTCTGGTCACAACGTCTTGGGCAGTCAATTTTGCGACGACTCCGTCTCAGTGGCTCTGCGGCGCCCACGGTTCAGGGCCTCACCGACGGTTATAGTGGGTTCCAGTGGATCGCTGTGGGGCCACGCCGCAACCGGGACGCAAGCATTGACCACCCTTGTGCCATCCCTCGCCTGTGCAACGTCAATCTCCACCCGCATTGATCCCGGGACTGGCCCTGGAGCTGGACGTTCGGAACATTCAAGTGAGGCTGCCAAAAGGCACAGTGTCCAATCAAATATTTTCCTCTCTCCCTCCCTCGCCGGAGAGGCGTCATTCAAAGACAACAAGCCGCGTAATGCTCCTTCTTGTTTCAACAACAGGCCAAGGCCTTGCCTAGCGTAGTGACTCACAATGTTCGTTGACACGAAACATGTCGGCTCTGATAGGCGGCGC